TGATGTTCTCAACATTACCTATAAGTGTTATTTCCACATCCAGTTCTTTGACTACCATTTGGCACATATACTCCCACATGGATTTCCTGCGTAAAACGGTGTCAATGACATCTTTCGGCGGCCGTACTTGCTTCACTGATACTTTGAGGGCAAGATCTCTCATAAAGAATCTTATTGGATACAATATAAAAAGTTGAGATCGTTGCGGAGTCTCTCCAAGGCATAATCGCCTGATAGCCTCCCTGATCGCACTAATCCCATGTACCAAAAATAGTTTGTAACATTACGCCTTGAGGAGAGTCTGCAACGATCTCAACTTTTTATATTGTATCCAATAAGATTCTTTATGAGAGATCTTGCCCTCAAAGTATCAGTGAAGCAAGTACGGCCGCCGAAAGATGTCATTGACACCGTTTTACGCAGGAAATCCATGTGGGAGTATATGTGCCAAATGGTAGTCAAAGAACTGGATGTGGAAATAACACTTATAGGTAATGTTGAGAACATCAAGTAGGATGTGTTGACATAGTTGTGCGGCAAATCAGTAAATATAAGACATTGATATCTGACGCCAAAGTTTCCACATAGAGCATGTCGATCAATTGATTTAATGAATGAGTTCATCTCAGATCTACGAGGAGCAACGATGACGAGATTTGTTTCCAAAGCGAGCGGATGAGAATGATGTAACTAATCCGAGGAATGAATGATGAGACTCCAGTTGAGGATTGATGAAAAAGGGATGGCGAATGCAATGAGAATGTCAGAATCAGCGAATCGATGAATCAGTTTTTGACAGCACTGTATAACCGTGCTTGTCAAAGCGTACGCAGCATCGGCTAGTATGTACTCTTGACCGTCAAAGTAGCTGTCCGGTTGGGTATATAGCTGGGTTCGCTTGTAAGCCAGGGCATCATGGGTTGATCCGACGTAGCCAGTTGCAAAGTAAATAAATCGTCCCAAATGGTCGCAAACAGCAGTGGCTCCCATGGCGTAGTCGCACTTTCTTGTTATCCACGCGTTAGTCTCCCACGACGGACCCACGGCAAGAGGGAAAGGGACACCGTCGACAGCACCAATGCATTCAGCAAAGCCGTGCTCGCGTTTATACCAGTCCTTGATTACAGCCTTGCGCGCATTGTCTGGCCACACGACATAGCGCTGAAATAGCTCGTCCAGTGCATTGATACATCTCCATGTATACGCTGTAACTGAGCCGACACTGACACCTGTAACCCACGCTGTCATCAGAACGGAGATCCCTTCTGAACCAAGGCGGAGGAGCGCAACCTTCAACTGGATAATGATGTCCTCCAAGGGTACATGTTCGTCTCCACGTCTGAAATGGCCGCTTCTGCTGAGCATCAATGCGATCCTCTGGAACTGGTCTTTGGTGAGACGCATGATGCCCTTGAATCTGACATCATTGTATGCGTTGAGGACACGATCCCTTAAGTCCGTAGATGACGGTACCTGAGTTCTAGGGTGTACATATCTTTAATGGCGTAAGAACCATTGTCTTCTATTATCACACACACATTGTAATCGAGAGAGTAGCTTGTGTTCTTACCTATTCCCATGAAGGAACTTCAAAATCTCGACAGTTGCTTCTAGCATTTGTAATCGAACAAGCCTCCTCTCCTTCGGGGTCTGCACGATAGCGATAGCAGCATCGGCAAACTCTCTCTCATACTTGTTAATGAGATGTTGTTTAGCAGTGTATTTTGGCATCGTGCGAGGTGTTAAGAATGGTGGGTAGGTGAGAAAAAAGAAAGAGGAGACGCCTCTTTTTCATGTTTTTTTTTTTCTAGTGATGGATGCATGCATAGTGCGGCGTGCATGGTCAAAGTCGGTAACATTTTCAGGAACTTTTGAAAGATCTAATGTAACAAGTCTGACCAATCAGAAAAAGTCCCCGGTAGGAACTTTCCTATCCTTGTATTTCACCTTTGAATGGGGCTCAGGGTAGAGTTCCCCGAGATTCTGGAGCAATCAAATGGGCGAACACGGAGTTATGAAGGAAAATGTCGAATTTTGCAAAATCATGTGAACTTTTTGTTGCGCACTGTAGTTCAGCCAAGATATCATCCGTAAAAAAAAGTGAAAATATGTGGATAGGCTCAAGGGACCCGTCCAGACGCATAGGCGCAGGGAGGTTGATATAGCCATGGTGAGGATGATGATGTGGATGAGTAAAAGCATGAAAGACAGGAAGAGGCGGAAGACAGTTGAGAGAAGAGGACGGGGGGGAAGATTGGCGCCTGCGTTTATTATTGCAATTGGTGTTGCTGCTGACACTGTCGGCAGTATCCATGCTAGCGACTTTTGAGTGGTTAATAAAAAAAAATAAAAAATAAAATAAAAAAACAAAAAGTATTGGGCACGTTGCTTACCAGGTTCGTTCTCCAGATCATCAAACTGTTCCTCAGCATTGAGGAGTGGACGGGAGCGAACAATTGTCGCCAAATGCCCCTCCTCTACACCTGAGTCGGCTCCACTGGCTCCTTCAGCAGGTGGAGGTGCGTCTTGGGTGGCGACAGGCACAGTTTGGATGGTGGTAGGAGCGATCTGGATGGTCAAAGGCATCACTGGTCCGAGGGGTGAGGTGCCGTGGATGATTACAGGTGCAACTTGGACAGCGATGGGCATAACTGGAGCATGAGACGAAGTCTGACTGGATCCAGGTACAGAAGCGTTAAGCCCCTGGGTAGCTGGGTTAGGCAGAGCCCCAGGTTGACCAGGCACAGGCACGGGTTGGTCAAAGAGTGGAGCAAGCTGTTGCATGAGGTTTGCAGCTTGTGTTACGAAAGCTGCAGCGTGGCTAGAAGGCTCAGTCTGGCCAAGGATGGTTGTTACTTGGGATAACAGGGCAGCCACCTGCCTCAAACTAGCAGCCTGGCCACCAGATGGAGCCTGATCAGAAGGTGTTCCCGAAGAAGGATTGTTGGGGGGATTCATGGCTAGAATTAGCTTGATGGTAATGGTAAAGAATCGCAAATGTTGGTGGAGGGCACTTTTCATCTGCAATTTCGAGGACAGGAATCATAATGAAACAGTTTCATGGGAGCTGGCCCCCGTAGAGTCCTCGACAATAAGTAACGCGCCACATATTTTTTAAAATAAAAATTTCAATTCATCAGAGAGGTGACCCGTCTAAAAGGCATGCCATCCCGTATTTTCAAGCAATACCATTTCTCCACTCAATTGTGAGGGTCACACATGCATGCCGAGGGCGCAACGGAAGCCACGGGCACATTGCAAGAAGAGCATCATCATCAACAGACTCACTGCGACTATCTACTCAATGGAGAACCCGCTCATTACCCCTGGTGCTATGCCTACTGGCGTTGGTACTGACACTGACCAAGACACCAGCCCTGTGGAGTCCCCAACTGACTTCCTGTCCGTGCCAAGTGACGACCCTTTTCAATATCTCAGTGGTGTCGCGTCTCCTTCAAGTGATATTGAGTCCCCTCCAAGCGGAGCTGTTGCCGCAAATAGCCCGCCCAACAGCTTGCCACTTCGAGTTATAGCTGCATCTCCCGACAGGTACCTGCACCTTCGCCTCAATGGAACTCCTACTCGCTCGCTACGACGTCGCGAAGAGCGACCTCTACTAGGGACAGTGAGTAGTCTCATACCTCCATATCTCATACGTCCCAATACGGAAATCATTCAATCAATTTGAAAAAATATATGGCGCGTTACTTATTATTAGCCGCCCTCAGTTCTAAAAATCGTGCACGATGTTGTCTGCGATGTTGTTCTCGATGTTGTGTTAAGGGGAGGAGCGGACGCTGTTCGTGTAACATCGTCGGTTGACATCGTGGACTCGCCAAAAAGGACGATGTTTAGGGCAAAATCGTCGACATCAGGTTCTCACACCCTAGTCAAGCTCAACGTCCCACTGTTTTCGCTTCCTGTTCTTCATTCATCGCACACCCGTCGCCATCCCCGCAACCCATGTCGCAAGAGCAACGTACTGTTACCAATGAGGTTGACTCCAGTTCTCCTTCTTCCCCTCCCCTCACTCCCCGCCCACCTGAGTACGACGTTTTACCTGCGCCTACCATCAGCAGGGCAGAAGAATCTGACCCCGAGCAGGAAACTCCATTGACCCGCTCGAGCATTCGATCTCGTCGTCTCTATCATCAGAATGGAGCAACAAACCAAGACTTTTTTCGAATGAGCAGACGACCTCAACAACAGCAAAGTCGGCAGCAACTCTCTGACGATCCTGTTCGCGACGTTCTACATCATCAGTCCCAGCTACGGCAACCACCACAGTCACAACACCAACAGCCTCAACAACACCAGCAGCCTCAACAGCCTCAACAGTATCAACAGCATCAGCTGTACCCAAGGAACCAACAGTACCAAGAGCAACTGCATCGAAAGCAGCAGTTTTCTACTTTGGAGCTTCTTCGGCTGCAGGCCCTGAGTCAGGTAAATAAAACACGCGACACCTTTTCTCTTGTCAGACTGTAGCCTCGTTGCAGATGGTGACAAGCGTCTCTTTTCTAGCATTGCGATAATCCCTTGTTCCCCACCCATTCAGCGCCAGGCACACGCTATGGACCTTTGCAAACGACCGCTGCCTCCCTTGGTATTGCGTCAAACATGGGACCCCTGGATGTTTCTCAATTGACGTATCCTTCGCAGCCTCAAGACCATATGTCATCACCGGTCTCTGTTGCCTCATCACTACGTTCTCCTCTGCTTTCGGCAGCATTCCCTTCCCCGACTTTAACTGCCAGCAGCGTATCCTCCAATTCCCCCGCAGTCCCAAAAAAACTGCCTCGACGGCCTTCCGCGCCTACTCAGTCAGAGGCGAAGGGGAGGTCGAAAGGACATGTTTTCACAATGGACCAGGAGACGTATATCGCAGAGCTGCTTGCGGACCCAGAGACTTGGTCTCTTTTGGACGGTCCAAGTGACAGAAACAGCTACCACATGCCTAAGACCGAGGTTCGTGAAGGCATTGCTAAGAAGGTCAATCTCAAGTTTTCCACGGAGGAGAAGCCGGTAACCCTTGATGGCTTTCAGATCAAGAACAAGATCGATAACATGAAGAAAGTCTGGAAGAGGGCTAACCTGGCTCTCAACAAGACCGGCAATGGAGACCTGCCCAACAAGTCATTGAAGGAGAAGGTCATCCAAATTTGTCACTTCTACTACATCTTGGTCGAGGTCTGGTCTGCGTCTTGGTCCTTGAACCCAAGGGAGCCCTATCAGCTTACCGGCAACCTCAACCGACCTATTCCGGACGACAACGACATCACTAGCGACGAGAGCGACGGGCAAGGCACTGGAGCTGGACCGCCGGACTCTCCCAATAGACTCCCAGAAACCAGCGCTGTACGCGGACACCGGAGCTCAACGACACCGGCCAAGACATCCAACAAGCGTGGAAATGAAGGGTCGGATTACGTCGCCATGCTCAAGAACTTATCTGACATATCTGAAACAGCGCACGAGCTCAAACGACAGAAACTGGCTATCGAGGAGAGGGCAATCGAGGATAATCGCCGGTATCAAGAAGCGCAGATACGATTCATCGAGATGCAGACCTTGAAGCTGAAGTCCGAAATGGAGGCTGAAAGGATGAAGTTGGAGATCGAAAAAATTAAGGCAGCCGCAGAGATGAAGAGAGCAGAGGCGGAATTGGCGAAAGCGCAGTACACGGGAGTAACGCAACAGAGATCTTCACAAAGTCCACAGAGATGTAGTCCTAGCCCGCAGAGAAGTCCTGGCGGTGGAAGTTCATCCAAGTATCATCACTAAAGAACTGCTATATTTTTTATTACTCATCGTCTTCTTTGTAAAACTGCGGCCATGATAGTGATTCGTTTGTTTAATGCCTCCTCACGCATCTGTCTCTGTTGAGCAGGAGTCAACTCATCGTCGTTATCGTCGTCACTACCACCCTCGCTACCACTGTCATTTTCTGCAATCGTGCCCCTCGCCCTCCTTTCCTCGACCTCCTCTTGTATCCATCGCTCAGTCTCTTTTTCATACGGATTGTGAATCCCACTCGTCAAAAGAATATTGCGCAGGACAACGCAAGCCGCTACATGCCTACTTGCCTCAAAGACGCTCTGGTTGCTGTTGATATGGATTCTAAGGCAGCGGAGGGATTTGAATCGTCCTTTGAGTAGACCAAAGCCATGCTCCACTTTCGTCCGGGTTCCACTGAGTTTTTTGTTGAATTTGATCTTGTTGGGCGTGTGATATTCTCTAGGAGTTAACTTACTAATTAAACAATCGGACTGAAGTCAACGAGAACAAGAGAAGGTTTTATTGATGACAGGTACCAACAGGTCTTTTATAGTCCCTGTAGTTACTAGTCACAGAAGACTCGCTAATACGTCGTAGAAATAAAAATGGAGGTGCGACTCAGGCACATAGTGCCCAAGCCCCACACCAGGTTGGAACACCACAGGGCGTAAGAGCGCCTTTGAAGGCTGTCATGAGAGTAGGTGACAGCCCATACGCCGCATCACCGACCATGTATTCGTCTCCCTCGAAGTACCGGTTCTGGAAGCGATAGAGCTCGGTGTCCTTATACGCTGCGGAGTCATGTCTGCTCCCCGGGTATCCCGTGGAAAAGAAGATGAAAACTCCTCGATGATCACAGACGCCAGTCGCGCCCATTGCGAAGTTGCCTTTCCTTGTTGCCCAGCTGTTCTTGTCCATTGAAGGCACACGGTATAAAGGAAATAAGGTACCGTCAATGGCCCCAAGCAAGTCTTTGAAACCCTTTTTCGCGAAAACCGCCTTGATGATAGCCTTCGCCTCGACATCGGGCCAGGAAACGAATCTCGAGATATGGGCACAGAGTGCTTCGATGACCCGCTGGGAGTACTTGATGGCTGTCCCTTCAGTTACGCCCAATACTCGACCGATTGCTTTGTATGAAACCAATGATCCGTCGTGTGCTAAGCGATGAAGGCCAACTTTCAGCTGGATTGCGACATCCATCTGGGGCTTCTTCCCCTGACGTTGAAACACCGAGTGATCTCGAATGATCTCGAGCACGTACTCGAACTGCTCGGGAGATAACCGTAGAGCATCTTGGAAGAGGGTCCCATTGTCCGTGGTAAGGACTTTGTCCCGGTAGGTCGACGACTTGAAGATTGGTGTCCTTGGATTGAGGTATCTGTTGGTTTTAAAAAAATGCTTTGTGATGAACACTTTCAGGAACAGAGGAGTGATTGTAAACATCTCTTTCTGGGACGCGTCAAGGAATAGTTGGAATTCAAGGCGTGTCAATGCTTCAAGTATCAGTGCTCGCGGAGTCTTTCGGTGGCGAGAATAGTCGCGAAATGGAGGCATGGTGTAAAAAAAGTGCTAAGGAAAGCGAAGGGCAAATTTAAAAGAGTGGCATGGCTCTTTTGGCGATGTTGCTTGTAGAAGAAATGAGTGCACCACGATCAACCCGATTTTACTGTTACACGAACAGCGTCCGCTCCCCCCCTTAACACAATATCGAGAACAACATCGCAGACAACATCGTGCACGATTTTTAGAACTGAGGGCGGCTATTGTCGTGAAATTTCGATCTGAATCAGATTCAGATAAACAATTAGGGGGGTAAGCTAGCCCATTTTAGAGAATTTCTCATTTATGTAGTTTTTTTAAAAATTCCTCACCCCAGAGTTAGGAAAACAAACGAAGGGATAAAGGTGCCTAAATCGTGAACTCTGTCATACCCAAAAATGTGTTCGCAAACTGGCTATTAGCTGGTAAGCCTGTATGAGCTACCAGAGGAGGTCATGGTTGATTTTCTTTTTATGGGGATGTAGATAGCCACATTCTATTCGCTGGCAAAGATAGTTAACCAACAATCTTTTTATTTGAAGCTGTTTAGAGGAAAACTTGCGTCGGTGTTACGACTGAACAGTGAGTTATCCGAGGGCTGCGGTTGTTGAAGTCTTTTTTTTCGATGTTCAACGACTTCTCTTTCTTGACGTCTGCGCTTGATCAGTTAGTGGAAGTGGTATCGGGCGTAACATCTATTATTAGGCAATATTATTACAGCATTACAGATATGGGTATCTGTTAGCTTGGCTTACAACGAATCTGGAAGATTGCAGCCAGCCCGGGGCAGTGAGCATGAATGCGCGCCAGAATAAGAGGTCGTACCTTCGTTAACGGCTTGTTCCCGTCCACTCGGCGGATAATGCATCATTTGAGGTTCCATTCCTAAAGGTCGTGGGTGCATCATCATTCCGTTGGGGCCCATAGGGGACATCATTTCTGGTGGTGGATACCGCATCATTACATGCCCGCCTAGATTGAAAAGATAATGCGATGATAAAGATTGTGTTAACGGCCATCGGTTCAAGGGAATATACGTTCTCGATTGCAAACATCAAAGCAAAATTACCATGAGCGGCTGGCGGGTATGCGTACATGGCCATATGCGGAATCATGCCCGACCGGCCGGGGGGGAATCCCTGTGTTGTATAGTGAGCTATGATAAACGAAGCAAACAAAATAGGGTACGTAAGAACAGTTTTATCAGAATACTTGCAGGACAGATGGTGACGGCATCGCTTACGTGCTGAGGTCAGTGCCATCTGAGGGAAGCCAGGCCCTGTGCCGGTGTGAGGCATTCCTGGAGGTGGAGTGGGCTGTGAAAAGGGAACTGGCCCGGTGGTGGCAATGAACGGCACCATATGATTGGGCCCAGCCATGGTCATGGGCGGCGGTCCGAACTGGCCTGACGGCCCGTAGTTGTAAGCAGACATTGCATAATAGCTGCCGACGGTATTTGCACCGTGCTGTCCTATGCCCTGACTGAACATCATATCTTCTTCGTACCGGTTCGTCACCTGAAATAAGTGACGGAAGGGGCGTTGCCCATATGGCCACGTTGGAGTGATAGTGACAGGGTTTGGCGTAGTCTGATCCTTCCTGAAGGGGCTCGACATGGAATCCTGAAAAGGAAGAGCCCCTTTTTTTACCACTTTTCCAAAAAACATATTCTTGTCCGGTATGCCTGGACCGCCTGGACCGGCCTTCTTATCTCCGACAGCAAAGGAGGGTGTAAAGGGTGCGGCATTGACATTCGGCTTGAACACTGAGGCTTTGACATTAAACTTGAACGAGCCGCCTGAGTTGGTTCGCCCATCGACAGGCTTTCCTGCAGAGGATGATGTCGCAGTGCTAGTCGTAGGTGCATTTGTAGAATCTGCTTTGGCGTCCTTGGTCTCTGTATCGGATTTTTCCTTCCCCTTCTCCTTTTCCTCTTTGCCCTTGTCCTCGTCCTTGTTTCTGTCCATATCCTTCTCCGACAGTTCTGCCGGAGAGCTCTCCTTGGTCTTTTCAACCGTTGCAGACTGCTCGTTCTTCTTTCCAAAAATCTCCTTAACGTCATCTGGTACGGGCGTATTGAGTTTTTTCTAGATTGAAATATGAGCACTAAGTGTAAGTATAGATGGTATATTAAAACCCAAGATAGCGAACAAGTTCGTGTTCACAGCAGCTTACGGTGAGCTCCTTGCCAAACTGCTTTAATTCTGCAGCCAGGCCGTCTTTCTCCTTTTGCAGCAACTCCGTCCTGCGCTGCGTGAGTCCAATTTTGGTTTGATTTACCAAAGCCTTATCATTTGTCGCGAAGGTACGCGCCGTCATTGCAAACTTGGCAAGATTGTCCTCGATCTGCTTCGAATCTACGGCATGCTCAGGAATCTGCTGGTTTTTTGATCCTTGGATGGTAGCCGCATTCAAAAGTGTTGAAACCGGGTTGTGCGTGCGCAGGTCGTTCAGATTGAACTGTGGGTTACCGCCCTTCGTTGAATTAGATCGACCGACAGAAGCGCCCTCGGCAGGCTTCGCAACAGGAACGGCAGCTTCGACGGCAGCGGTCGATGAAGAGGGCATTTGATCAGTTGAAAATGACTTTTGCGGTTGCGAGGATTGGGTCAGTTGAGCCAATGAGGTCGACTGCTGTGCTGATCTACTGACCTGAGCCGCCGTATGGATTGAAGACGTCGACTGAGCAGGTGCGGGTAGTGGACGGCCTGTCTGCTGTGAGGGTGTAGATGGTCGTTTTTGCTGGCTGAGTTCCTGCTGACGCCGCATCGCTGGGGGCATATATTTGTTAGAAGCAGGCAGGGGATCACGAACGACAGCGCCATAGAGATCCTCTTCATCAAGACCACTATCATCTACGGTTAGGCCGCGTTCTTCCCGCAAATGGACGTTGTTCGAGACGCTCTGCTGGATTTCATTTGCGATTTGAATGGCCTGCTGCTCGCGCGCTTTGAAATCTGCCCCTGAACGGTCCAGTTTTGTCGTGTACAGCTCTTCGTTGAAGTCGGTCTTGACCCCAAAGAGTCGTTCATTGGCGGCAAACTGATCCCAACCAGCCCTTCCATTATGATGTCCATCACCAAGGTCACCTTCGATATCAAGAAAGGCTGTGTGCTCCTCGGGAGCCCACTTTTTAAGATCCCGCTCTCTGATGTCACCAGACCGACTGATGTCCGTATCCGTTTTAAAACCTGCTCAGGAACAAGAGAACACGTAGTGAGCCACATGAATGAAGCTTGCCGTACGTGGTGGTCGATACCAGTGTAATTGCCTGAGCAGTACCTTCGCGCTCGCCACGTTCAGGGCCAGGCCTCTCCTGAGGAAGAAAGTCGACACCTACGACGTTGATAGCTGTGCAGTCCTTGGCGAGGATAATGATCTGTTTGGTCAGGGGCACGTCTTTCTTCTTATCTTGGCCAGAAACTGGCTTGGCTAGTCGCAAAACGACTCCAAGATCTCCTTCCGTGAAAGCCGTGTGGAAGAATCCTTGGTACTTCGAGCCGTTCTTTACAGCGACTTCCACTTTCAAGCCCTAGAAGTGTACCATTATGATCAGCGCATGCTCACCATGTTAGGCCTTTGTGTTTGCACAAAGCTACAGTAATACAATCTATCTTCGGGGCGCCGTTGCGAGTGTCGGTGCCGAGTGCACTTACGATCATGTTTGACAGCAGGAACAGCATACGGTCATGCATGTTTTTCAAATCAGCTTCACTGAGGATAATTTCCTTGTTAGCCGCAGAGCTCGGGGATGGTGGTGCGGGGCTGCTGCTGGATGAGTGGCCAGACTGCGTGGTCGTGGGAGGGGATTGGGCACCCCACTTTGCCTTTCCGCCCCTACTGAAGAGCGAGATTGTTGTGAGTCCTAGTCAAGGCCACAGCTGGCAGGACGCTTTTTCGTCTGCTGGACTCATCAACCGCGTAGTTTCACTCTGTCTCCTTGTCGATCTAGTTTATGATTTGCTGTGTTGAGAGGTTCTTTGCTTTTCCAGGTTGCAATCGGCTAGATTTGATTGTAGGTGCTCATTGACACGTCTTCCATCCCTAAGCTCAACTGAAGAAGGGGCAATTGGACCTGAAGAGGTTGGGAAGAGGACACAGTGATGGTCATTACCTTTGAATAAACACTGCCTTTCCACCCTTGGTGGTTGGGCGGCCGGTATAAGTTGTCATTCTCTACGAGATCAGAAGCAGGAAGGGAGGAGCACGAGGAGGCGAGAGGAGGCGAGAGGAATGGGCTGAGAAGGAATGCGAATGAGACAGAAAATCGAGAGCGAGGAAAAGAAACGAGGAATGGAAAGGCGATCGAGACGGAGGTCGCTGAAAGAATGGATGAAGATTTTTTGCACGCGTAGGGCCAGCGTTCAACACGAATTTATTTTAGCATTCTGACACATCACTCAGACAGCAACTTTTGAGGTAGCCGTCATCCCTCCCTATGATAGACACAAATACCCAGGACGCCGGAAATGCCTTTCTAATTTCACCTTCAGGCACCATAAGCCTCTATGGCTGCATGCCTTCGTTGGCCTCCTTAATGCGCCCCAAGGCCTTGTTCGATTCAACAATGCACTGGTTAAAGCCCGTCTTCAGTCCATGCTGCTTGGATTGTCTATAGTAATCCCGTGCCCTCAGAATATCGCCCCTCATCTATGGTTTCAGCACAATCAACAACAATTTCCAGTAAGTGTATATTGAGGGAACGAATGAGCAAACAAAAGAAATGCAGGTGCAGAAAAATCGTTCGCACCTCATGAAGCATCCCGAGATTGTACAATAGAACTCCACAGCCTTCATCGCACTCCTGGCCACTGCTGCTGGTCCCGACCTTAAGCCCTCGCTCAGCCCATCCTGTTGCATCTTCAATATTGCCTAATCCCGCAAACGCATCTGAAATGTTGCACCTACAGTAGTATATCGCAGCAAATAGTCAATCCAGTGTAAACATATCAGCAATAATCCAAAAAAAAAAGTCCGCAGTGGCCATACTTACATTAACACGGCTGCGTGGCACGAACGTTCATCAACCAAAGACAATGCACGCATGTAGAGCGGGAGTGCATTCCTGAAATGAACATAACAGATATGAATACTTAATTCGCGCCAGGATATCTTCGATAACACAGTATCACAGCATTTCTCAGAAACAAAATGATGACTTACGAGTAGATGCCTTTACTGGTATAAAATCCACCCAAAGCTTCTAAACTGGCGCCCAAGTCCATTTTGGTCATCCAGCTTGGTAGCTTTTCAAAGTTGAATTGCTGCTGCAAGGCGTCTTGATCCCTCGCGTTCCGCAAGCCTTCTTCTCCGGAATTGTCTCCAGTGTGCTTCTCGATCTCGTAGTGCTTCTTCATCAGCTGCTCGATAGACCAAAGATAGTACTGCTCTGCTTGCTTATCCTTCTTGATAGAGTGATACAAATCACCCAGCTTTTGTGCGACTCCAATTGCCTTGAGTCGTGTAGTCCCATCCATAACCCTTAGCCCATGCTGCACTTGCGGTTGTTCCGTAGGTTGATCAAACTGTGTTTCAATGCCGTGATCCTGCTGCCCCTGCTCTATAAATTGGCTGTCGTTCACACCAATATCCGTCTTAGTGAAGTCATTTCCTCTACCCACGGTCCGGCCATGGACGAGGCATTCAAATGTCATCACAAGCACGTCGATAGCTTCGTGCGTGCGGCCCATGTCCTGAAACATCGTGCCAAGCTGGATCATGATTCCCGTCACCTCTGGACCGTCGACCCTCAGATCCGGATGATGCATAGCTGCGTTAAGTGCGCTACGATAAAAAGCAACAGCCTTTTCCCTATCGTTGCCATAATTTTGATAATAAAGCGCCTTGCGAAGATCGTTACGGATGGCTTCTGGGAAGACGTTAACGCCCGAGGTGTAGAACTGCCAGAGTCCCATGACTGTAAGTGTCAACCCGCCCAAAATAAGCGCTACAGCTGCGAGAGGAACACTCCGGAGTCCAGCACGAGGGAAAGACGAGTAAGGGCGGATGGTAGCTGGGAGTGACAAAACAGCAAGATCTCTTCCTTTCAAGATCTTTGAATGTGTTGTGTGTGACAGGTGGTTAGTGACTCCATTGCTGGCACCGGTGTGGATAGACCTGGTAGATCGGATGGCGGCCGCGGCAGGTCTTAAAAGTGCTGTTGAGGCAATTCCTACTGTGCGGATCATTTGCCCAGAAGTGAAGGAAAAGAAGGAGGGGGGTTTACGAGGAAGAGAAAGAACACCATCAACCTGCATTGGTCACTTGTGTATTAATACCCTTAAGTTATTGTGATGTCTAACCATTACTCCAAGGATCCTTCCATGAGGAACCTCGTGCCAAATGCTTCAACACCCATATGTGCAACCAACAACTGCGAACTGTCATTGAAGACCACGTCCCTGAAGAGCACCAAAGTTGAATAATTTATCGTATTTGCTGACCTCACCTGTTTTGGCTCACATCAATGGATCTACACGCTCAAGATATGGCTACGCTTTCGAACGTTGCTGCTTACGGCGAGGGAAACGTGGTGCAATGAAGGCCTTCGAGAGTGCGGACAGAATTATCTATGTGCATTGTACAATGGTTCATTGAATGCTACATGTATCGTCGGATCCGTATATTGCGAATGTTGTTGTAGCAGTGTAAAAAAAAAACTAGCCACAGCATTCGGCGATAGCTGTTCCATGTTTTTGATGTTAACAACTATTGTGCCTTTCAAATAAAATTGTAAAATTTCTGAGCTAATCTAAGGATACCAACGAACGAGAGCCTCGAATAGCGACATGACTCATCTCTAGTAGAGATCCTCAACTAAGATAACATCCCCGTTAAGCCCATGGTTTCACTATTCCTTACCTTTTTGCAAAAAAAAAATACCAAAAACATAAGGAATACCCCTATCCTCACTCCTCTATTCCAGGTGGGGTCCATAATCGAGGTCCTCGAACAATCTAGGATGGTCTATTCTGAGGATATTCGATGGCGTGCCATAGTCCTTTTCTGCATCATGGGCATGGATATCAAAGATGTTTCAACTCTCTTGGGCATCTCCACATCTAGTATCACCAATTGGGTCGATAAGTAACTACCATATCTTGATACACCGACCCCAAGATTATGAAAAGGAGCTGAGAACTCGAATAGCGTGAAATCAAATCTTGTTTAGAGAGCACCTCGAATACCGTATCTCGACGATAGCGCATTGAAATTTTTACAATTTTATTTGAAAGGCACAATATTTTATCTACAACCTATCGCTGCGTTGGAGTACGTTGCAGGATTTCGCTCGAAAACGAACCTGTCAATGAATGACAAAGTGCTCCGTACTAAAAATTTTCTTCAGTAGCTGTAGTCCATTATTCAAACTCCAGTCTATCGATTACTTCACAGTATCAGCTTACGTTAGGCTGGCGAGGGCGAGGCAGTCAAGAATGTGAAGGAGATGTTTGTGCGAAGGCATTCCATAGTAGACTAACTAAACCTATACCAGGTGCAATGCTCGCCGACCACTTGGTGCAGTATTCAACTCCAATGGACATATATCGGCACTAGCTTCTAGTTCTATTTCTGATGAACCTTCCCGACGAATAACGTCTACGACTCTCGCCCAGATCTGAACTGGTCCTATTAATATTAGATAAAAATATAATCCTAGAGTAATACCGAGACCAAAAATATGCTGGATGCATTGCATCGACATGAGAGGTCCATGAACTCCTTATATGCGGCATACACAATTGCGCGAGCATCTTTGAATCTTAAGCTTGTTTTTCTTTTCCAATAGCACTGAGGTTTTTTTTTTTTCGTTAATTATGGGGTTTTATACTGTAGCTCGATGGACTAAAAATATCGGCCCTCCAGGAAAAAAAAATTAAGGTCAAGGTCAAGGTCAAGGATACCTAAAGATCTCATTTATCTAGTGCTCACCAATTGTCTTGCATGCTCATATTTACGACGCAAAAATATTAAACCTTGTCCCTCCATCTCTCTTGCGAGCTCTTCCTCTCGCTCGCTCTTGATCTCCTTGCCCATGCACTAGAAAGAAAAAAGGAGAGCGCTATAATTCACTTTCTTGGACGTTGTGTTTGCCCTAGTCAACAAGACAGTTAGAGTCTATTTATGCATACGATACACAAAATAAATAATAGATAAAACTGGCGGGACTTTTGGCATTAAGAAACCTAAACGATGCCGCCGCATAAGAACGTACTTCTATCCAACTGACTAGTCTCCTCTTACTTCCAGTATCACGCACCGTGTTTGCCTTTACGACAGTATCCGGCCAGAGTCATTGTTACTTTCGATAGTAGATGATTGCTATATGGATGCGACAACTACTTAGGGACATCATGGTCGCCTAGACTACTGGCGCCGAAAAACTACCCTCTTATAGCCTCGTTCTTCATTTATTTTGTCGACGTGTTTTTGATGGGTTAAAGGGCTAGTGCTCGTTACGCCCAGCGAGTGAAGAGTAAGCGTCTAGCTTTGTCGCCGAATTAGAAGCGCGCTTAGTGCGCTATACCAACTGGCATGGACTTTGAGGGGAGCCCTTTGGCTGAAACGTGCGTTGCCGCAAACCCCTTGCATTTGCCAATGCCGTTATATCATCGAGGTCTTCTAAATATCTGTATGTTTTTATTAGTATGTTCCGCCGGAGGTATTGCCTCGAGCTCCTAATAGTAGAAATCCAACTGGGAACATTGTCCTGAAAAAAAAAGTGGAGACCTTGATGGGCTATCATGATAGACTGGTCCATGCTCCAGCTGCAATCTACGCTGCTGTGCTGTATGCCATCGGAAAAGACACATATTATATAACTCCTCAGCGGAAAAGAGCCTACAGAACAGTGACATGAGCGCTTTTAGTAAAAAGATCAAATAATCGATGGTGGCAATGTCCAAGGACGGTGCTCGAAGGCAGAGTAGGGGGAAGATACAACGGTGCGGATGGAGTAGGATAGACGGAAGAAGGCAAGATCAAGATGTGCCGGCAGTTCTTTTAACATTCTCACTTCAACTCTCTTTTTTTCGGATTGTACGGTCCAGACAGTTTGAAGATGTAAATCTCTGCTTTGAGTGTGATTGTAATGGGTGTAGTTGCTGTCGACAGATTGCATACAGCAGCCATGCCGTCTCAGCTAGTGTTCGCGTATTTTTAACACCAAACCTTGTTGTTTTAATAAATCAATCAATCCCCTTCGTCTTCTCCGTCTCATCATCCCATCCTTCTTTCCTCATTCCTTTTTCTTTCTTCATGTTCATGACCCTCGACCCATAGACCAAAAAACGTGTACCCGTACATTATTTTTTTTATGTTCTAGTCTAACGTCTTCCTCTTTACTTTTAACGAACCCCTCACCTTGCATCGACTGCAGCCAACAACAATACCTATAAACAAAGCAACCACCCACACCCTGACCTTCACCAACCTTTCCTTTTCTTGCCTTCTCGTCTTTTCTTTTTTTTTTCTCACTCCTTCTCTTGCCTTCTCGTTTTCTCTTTTTTCTCTCACTTCTCTCATTCCCATCCTCCTGTAGTGTCCATTCACTATCTCTCCTTTTACTCAATCCCACAACAACCCCGCCCCGACATTTTTTTTTTACGACCACAAATCAAAACTCAATCCAGCCCTAGTTTATCCCATCCCTCCTTCTCATACCCTACCCTACCTGAACCTACTCGCAGTCACCACCCGACCTCTTGACTTTTCTTGCTCATCTCTTTTCTTTTTCTCATCATCCCTACCCTCCTTCTAATCAATCTGACGAGCGCTCATCTTTTTTATTCCTTAAACGCACAATTACCCGTTACAAATCCGCTGTGCTCTCTCTTTCCTCGTCTCTTCTACATACATCACTGACTGGTAAGTGGTTAAAGCCCTGTCATCCGCCTCTCAAGGCCTCATCTGAGCATGTCCATTGTTCCATCTGAATTGTGAGCCTCTCCCTCTTTTCTCTTCCCTCCACTTCTTGTCCTCCTTCCTTCCATCATCTCCGTGATGCTGTTTTATTGTTTTATTTTAATTACCTTGTTAATGTTTCTTACCTCTGAGCACAAATAGCGTGAGCGGAAAGGCCGAAACATTTATTGAGAATTGAGAACCTCGCGACGCGACTCCACACCATTTTCTGATACGGCATGTCTCAGCCGTACCTGATTTTTCTTTTTTTGGTTGCTATACTTCCTGCACTTTCTTTTCTTTTGGGTCTGTTCAATGTCACTCCTGTCAAAAATGGTCCTGATACCCCGATGTATGGAGAGGGGTGTCAACGATATTGTAAATATTGTTGGCTGGAGTGTCGAGAGTTGTAGGGGGGATGTGGTTGGTACATGGATCGGTTGTTGCGTGTATAAACAAATACATGCACCATGCACCTGGTATGGAGAGGCTGGGTTCTCGGTCGGCCGTCGGTGGTGTTTTTTTTTCTCGTATTTCAATTGGCCCTCCCTCTTTAATTTTAAAAATTAGGGCGGGGTCGAAAGGTGCATCCCATTTGCTGCCTTTTTTTTTATGTTTATGTTTATGTTTATTTTTATCCGCTACATACATGGACTGCATATTATGCCGTGTAGACCACATCAGACATCCCCATCCTCCTCTTCCCTCCCTGCCCATGCCCATCTAATTTATCTCCATATCTGTCCTTCTCTTGCCACAGTACTTGTGTATTTACTTTATTACTTTTCTTTGGTCTCTTCCCTCCCCGTCTGTCCTTCTGTGTGCTTGGCAGTTGTTGTTGTTTGTTGTGCATGCGTATTTGTGTGTTTGTGTATCTGTCCGTTGAAGCGTGTTTTTTATTTATTTTGCAAGCTGCCTTGTTGTGCTTTCCACCACATCCATCTATCCCACCCATCCAACTGCCCCATCGTACTTTGAATTTTAAATTTGTGAACACAACAGACAAGTCTATGCAACTTACAGGCTTCGTTTGTCTACATCCAATTATCAACCAATTCATTTCATATTCAATAACCATTTAAATAATGCCCGCTGTGGTGCTTATTCTTGGTGCCGAAAGTGGTGTGAAGATGGTAAAAGAGGGATGCAGCTGCATTTCTGGCATCGGTGTGGGGCCATCGCCATTAAAAATAGCAGTATTAAATATCACCCACTCCTGTTCCTGTTCCTGAACCTGGACTCTACCTGAATCTGTACCTGAATCTGAACCTGTACCTGAACTCTACTTCTGCCTATGCATATCAGGATCCCCCTCCTGGTCCTATAGTCTACCTTACTATACACCCTCTCATTTCCATCCGCATGTCTGCTCGTGCCATGCATGTATTGGTCCACACCATATCATATGCCTGATTGATATATTTGTATTCGCAGCTAACCAATGGCCCCATTGTCTATTTTCATCCCTCACCTTATAGAGAGCCTCTTGTCTTCCTGCCTCGCCCTTTCATAAGAAGACAACAGTACCGTCCACACACCCTCTCTTTTTTCTGGAGCAAGGCAAAGCAAATAGCGAAAAAGTCTGTCTTTCTACAAGCAAATGTCCTTCGGCACCACCTATCTGACTCCGACTACCATCGACCGAGATATCGCCTTTGCCAACGGACCCCGTCAGAGCTCTCATCAACGTACCTGCAGCGGCAGCGCCTACACCGAGGAAATGTTTTTGGCCCCAAAACTTGAGTCCGACCCCAGAGACTTTTACGTGGACGAGAACAACAGAAATCTCGCTCCCTCAGAGACCGGCACCTACATGGTTGACCAACCCATGGGTGGCATAGACGGTGTTCAAAGACACCCAGCTGGTCCTGGAGTCAAGCAACCGCGGGATCGGATGAGACTCAATAGGATTCTGAACGGCTCTTCGTCTTCATCTTCGGAGGAGGGCATATATCAGCAGCAGCAACAGCAAACTCAGCAGCACCCAGAGAGTGGTGAGCAGCAGTATAGCAACTATCCGTACCAGGACAATTCGCAGCCGCAACAGCAGTTCCAATCATTCCATCCCTCAGTTGGAGCCATGCCTGTGTCAACATTCCCCTCATCAATGGCTGTGCCAGTGGCTACGCTCCCGACACTCGCTACCATGTCCTCGCCTTCGACCTCGTTTTCGACCATGAGTCAGCCCAACCTCATTTTTGACAATGTTATGCCCTACTCATACAGCGGCGCTCCTTATCAAAGCCAAGCCTATCCGTTCAAGCATGCTGGTAATGCTAAATCGATGGATCCCTCGACCTTTGGTGCCGACTCCAATCAGGGCTACTCTCCTCAGGCCCAGCACTATCAACACAGCCCCGACCCCTCGGGCTCTCCCTCGGTCCTCTCTGCGTTCCCTCAGCGCATGAACTCGGACGGCCACGGTGCCCCCGATTCTCCTCCATCATCCTTCTATCATGGACAGCACCAGGCGCCATCTCCTTACAGCATTGGATCCCATAGCCCGACTTCAAACGGATCATACCCTCCTGCCTATGTCACAGCGGGTGCCCCAGGATACAATTCGCTGACACCTACACCACCAGCCACACCCCATTATGGATTCTCGCATACGCCTGACGGTCGATATACTGGCGCTTCAGTGCCTGTGTACGGCGACTATTTTACATTGCAATCGCAGCAGTCCTCGGCTGGTGCCCGTCCCAATAACCGCTACCTCGGTTCACCTTCGACGCCACCAACACCTACGCCCTCGACTCGCTCGCGAAAGACCCCTTACCAGCCCCGCGCTGCCAGGTCGACGGAACTTGGGGTGGCAGGAGCCACTCCTGCTCCGAGACGATTTCAATGCCATGAATGCGAGAAGGCCTTTCCGACCAAGGGAGAGTTGGCATCACACTCTCGCTGCCATCTCAAGGTCCCTGCCTTCCTCTGCGGCATCTGCGGAAGGCCCTTCAAACGCCGCACCGACTATGTCCGTCATGTCCGCAATGTACATGAGGAGGTTGGGCGCTACACCTGCAGTCGGTGCGGTGAACGGTTCGGTCGTTTGGATAAGCTGAAGCGCCACGACAAGCGAGGCTGCGGTGCAGATCCAGAGGAGGACGAGAAGTAGTAAGAGCACAGGAACCTTCAGAATCCTTACCATATCGCTGACGGCATGCCATATCGACTTGTCGTAATATTTGGTTGTTACCCTCGATTCGCTGGTCGCCTGGGTTTATTATTTTTGGTCGCTAGCTTTACAACGGTCTTTATTCCCTTCTTTCGAGCTCTCCTAAATAAGAGAGGAGTGCTTGTCTCATTTGTCTCCCCACTAATTCCTCTTTTTATATGGTCAACATGTTGCGCTTTGCTGATTCTTTACTTTTATTAGAATGGACACAGGGGCGTGGGGAATGCCTATAGAGATGGGCCTATGTTCCCTCTATTTCTTGTATCTTCCCCAGCCCCGGTAGCGCCTACTGTTTACCTTTTATCTCTATGTATTATACATATCTCTTCCTTCCTCGTCTGCTTAATATAAAAAACATAAAAAAAAGTGAGCGCCGACTTCCGATTTATTGCTAAATGAATATGCTCAAAAACTACGAGTGTCCAAAAGCTGACAGGACTGACGCTGCAGATTTGATAGTCCATTAGTCCGCCACACTATGCTGTCGCTTCTGAGAGCATCCCTTGTAGTTTACTTGTTTCTACGACATGTTTTACACGAGCTTTGATTCATTCGATATAGTCGTTAGATACAGCAATGCAGACACACGCACACGCACAAAATAAAATAGAAAATAACGCGTTCAAGCCTGTCTGGTCCTCTTCTGCAGTTTAGCCCTCGTTTGGCGGGAGCTGTGTATCCCATTCTTTCCCAGCCCACTTCTTTGAGTCAAGTCCACTTCCATGAGCGCAGACATCGTCCAAGGCGGCTGACATTTATCGTCTAATGACTTTCAGCTGACACGCATCAGGCTACTGTTTGCTGCTTGATAGTCGAGGCTGAGTGAAATGAGTCGTGAAAATACTTTATATTCAGCTTGAAGCCAAAACCGGGTTCCCCGCTTGTGTAACCATGTCGAGGAAAATAAGGAGACGCCCGTCCTTGGCATCTCAGACGGGCGTAGAGTCAATGAATGATAGGTGCTGCGCCCAGATGTGGTCGTTGATGGTCCTGATCGAAAACCTTTTTTTGATGAGGCGGCACTCCAGATTTATAATCGTAAATGTGTTCTCCCATTATTCCTGAAAGAGTTCCTCCCAGCGCGCCATCGGCATCGATAGCCGGTTAGAAAAGATCAGGAACTTCCTGTCTCCACTCGTTTTGGGTGAAGGTCGAGAGATACTACAATCCAGCTGGGTACATGGGGCGCGCGACTATAGGCCGCCTACGCGCAATATGGCATGTCAGGCTTTGGAGCATTCACGCCCTATCAAATCAGTGCTTCCCACACCTGCATGCGCACCTAAACACGTAAGTTCTCCGCTGTTTTACGTTTCAATTGCGCTAAAGCGAGCTTCCTTGCCAATCTCACCAGCGTTAAACACGGCTGGCAGAAAAATTCGGTGGTTCATGTTGATGTAGCCAAGACTGACAGCACCTTCAAAGACAGTTCGTGCATCTTATGGACTCGCAATTCATGGCGTCGGGGAGGCCTCACCGCCAGCACTCGTGGATCCGTATCAATGCAGACGTTAATCGGTTCGTGACTAGAGCTAATCCCTGTATTCCTTTATTAAATGATTACACCGCAAGAAGAAAGCTCGATCTCCCTTCATCATCGTCGAAACGATTGTTGCTACAGATATTCATTCATTTTGTTCGTACCACTCACGTCGATTTTCCAGGATGGTGACTATAACGACGATTGTATTCAGCCGTGGCCTGCAAATTACGTGTCTTTATTTGTTGATAGTTACGAACTCACGGCGGCGTGGGGTACCTCTCTGTCGCAAAATCTTGTCAACCATCACTCATCTCATCTTGAGCTCACTCCGGATTGCTGGCGGTTTATCTTTACCTTTTTCTCAAGTGTCAATACTCTGGGGCCGTTTTGATGCGGCCATGGTTGTAACATCTCATCCTCGTCTTCCTCGACTTTTTCTACGCTAACACTTGCACTGATAGGCTGCTGCTGCTGTGTTTCCTGAGCAGAGACAATCGCTGGGCTGCATCTCCTGCGCGGCGACAAGTACTGCTGTGGATATTATTGTATCCTGCATGCCTCTAATCGCGAATTGATTGCCTCTCGTCCTCTCGGTATTGTGGCCTGGTACTGACTGCTGATTCTCCGAACTAGAACCGGTCGGAAAAAATTCCGTTTGCCGTCATTTGCTTCCATTGAATCGCCACTTGACATCCATATCGAGCAATGACGGCAAACGTGAAGAAGAGAGCAATGAGGGTGATGAAAACGCTTCAACTTAAGCTTTTAGTTGCCGTTCCAGATGCCACATCGCCATCCTCAATTCCATATTTTCATGCTGAAGTTGTGATAACTTGTTCACATACCGCCATATCCGGGAAAATGCTGTTTGCAATTTCTGATCAACCCTTGGAAATGGCGCCAACTTCGGCATTCCCGTACGGAGCTGTTGTTGGAGGAAGAGAACAGAGGGATGTCTGGGACGAATTTGATCTTTGTGCAAGATTTAAAGCTTAGAAGGCGCTACTGGATGCCAATGATTGAGTAAATGTGTTTGAGGGAGCAAGTAGAGTGGGAAGAGGGTCAAAGGATGGGTAGGATAAAGTGGGAAGAAAAAAAGCCCGGAATGCAATCAAGAAAACTACATTAGTTATAACGACAGGAGGCAGTAGTCCATTGGCCGCGAAGAAAAGAAGCACGAACAAAAAGATATTCGCGAAACTTATATGAACAAGGGACCGATAAGGCCTTCGGCCATGAGCCGCATACACAATCCAGCTACCCTTGAGAGAATGTGCAGCCCTCTTTTTTAATAGTGTGAGCAGGGACGCGTCAACAAGTTGCGACCAAGAAAAACTTCAAGCGTTCATCAGTCATACTCAGTACCAGTGCAATTAAGAAGATGCTGAATTCGGGCGTCATCAAGCGGGCTGGAGCAGAATGCTGCTTTGGAAGAATCAAACATTCAATGTAGAGGAGACCAACGGAAGTGGGAAGGAAAAGTAGAGTAGCTTATATAAGGCGCGTCGGACCGCCAAGGCCGTCCGATTGCCGAAAAAAGAGACGTCCCCCTTTCTCATACCTTTTGTTCCTTCCATCCCCACATCAACTGCTTCTCCCCTCACTCTCTCCTTACCGATATCCACTCCCATCTACGCTACACGTTACGCGGGTTCAGAGGCTTCTTACTTCTTCACTTCATTCTTCTCATTGACACACACATAGCCATGGCTTCTTTCGGAGGTCCCATCGCTCGAGACTCCACCGGCACAGTCCGTCGTCGAGGTAAATGGTCCTCTCACTCACACACACTCTCTCACACCAGAGCTTGTACTCATCATCTCGTTATCATCATTCCTACCCTCGTCCCATCCTCACCCACCTAATTATGCATGTGAATGACCTCTCATCATCAAATAACACGGAGTGGAGTGAGAGTGTGCAGCAGTATACCAGAGTTCTCTTTCTCGTTCTATTGCTCTACTATGTCGACCTGACACGCAACCAGCGCAATTGACGGCATCCATAGCCTGTACACCACTCACTGTCTTGTCTCTCTCCTACAAGAACTTGCTCCAGCCTTGCGTTTGCAGCATCCCTCTTGACGTATATCCCATCGCCATTTTGTTGTCCCCGTTCTCCTTTGATAGAAGTCACTCTTTCAACGCGCGAAAAGCAGCTGTACGGTCAGCTATGGGCTGCAGCAGACAAGGACAGCAGCGGATTCATCACTGGTGCCGACGCAGTGCCCTTCTTCGCTAAGAGTGGGCTGTCACCACAGATTCTAGGACAGGTAACGTCACACTATGGCGGGACAAAAAGACAGCTTGAGATGGTCCCCGCGTTTCAAATACAGAGCCACGGAAGAGGCATGAATTGGGGAGGGCTACCGTGAACCGCAAAGGACCTACCGCTCTGGAAAATCGGCCCATCGCCCTTTCCAGCTGTCGGAAACATGAATGCGCTCATTTTTGCTCTGTCTACGGCCTCCTATCTGGCTCTCAGTAAGATTTATTACCGTTTGATCATTAATACTGAACCTTGCGTAATGTCATCTGCACACCGTACAGATTTGGGTACTCGCCGACTCCGACAACAAGGGCGTCCTAGGACAGCAGGGGTTCAGCATCGCGGTCAAGCTGATTGCGCACGCGCAGAACGGGAAGACCCCATCGCCTGCGTTGGTCAATACAGGTAAGGAAGTAAACAGCCAAGAGTGTAGGAGTGCTCAACATAACGCCTTCCGTAGCCAGCTCTCAAGTGCCGCTTGTGAAGCAGGCCTGAGAGCCGCGAGATAAAAAAAGCCCTCCTTCTTTTCCAGGCATCAAGCTAACCCACATCATTCACATATAGATGCCCCCCTTCCGCATTTTGAGGGTATAACTCCAGCCAAGACTGGTGACTCGCCTGCCACAGGGTTGATCACGGCTCCAGTTGCTGCACAGATCACTGGAACGGAGCCATCACTCACGAACGAGGATAGAGCTAAATATGCCGGCATGTTCATGGGCTGTGGGCCGATCGGAGGCCTACTTGATGGCGACAAGGCACGCGAAGTGTTTCTCAGGTCCAAGTTGCCTGTCGACAAGCTTAGCCAAATTTGGTACGTGGATGTTGGTTTATTAATAGTTATTGCTGCAGGATCCCATGGAACCAGCTGGACGACAATAACCAACTATTGCCCTTTTTTCTCTACTTCTGGCATGTTATGGTATGGCATTACAGGTCTCTTGCTGACACGAAATCGCGAGGATCATTGGATATCGGCGACTTTACAATTGCCATGTACTACATTCAACACACCATGGATGGGTCTATCAAGACACTACCCACCACTCTTTCACCATCCATTTTGAAAGCATGCACTGGGGTTTCTACCGGAGTCGGATCGATTTCCTCTCCCGTCCTGAGTGCACAAACGCTATCGCGTCAAGTAACGGGCAACAACATGGCGATCCACAATCCTGCCATCGCCAGACAAATGACTGGGTCTGTTAGCCTGACATCAAGTCCCCTCGCAAAACAGAATACTGGGGGCGCAAATAATTTGTTCGGGGGGTCTTCATCGACAGACGTGCCGTGGGATATCACTCCAGAGGAGAAGGTCAAATTCGACCGCTTCTTCGATCAATTGGATAAGAGCGGCACAGGTGTTGTTGGAGGTAAGCAAACATGCCGACTCTTGATGTAGACATGGGCCTGAGCGCATAGTGATGATTTTGTCACAGCTACTAACCCGTCATTACATACGATATGATGATATACAATAATAGGCGAAGAAGCAGGCAAGTTCTTCTTGAATTCGAGACTGCCGGAATCGGTCTTGGCGCAAATCTGGGATCTCGCCGACATCACAGGATCCGGCAGTCTGTCCAAAGATGAGTTTGCTGTTGCCATGCTTCTCATTAACAGGAAAAACGCGACCGGTGCTCCAATCCCCAAGACCCTGCCCCAGTCTCTTGTCCCACCGTCATTGCGCAATCGAATCCCCTCGTCTCTATCTTTCCCATCCCAGGAACCTTTGCGTAGTATGTTTATGAGAGAAGGCGTTGCAAATGTCAGTGCTAAAGCCAAGCTATAACTTGCCGTTCTAATCTTACGCTGTACACATACGTTCGTGCTCCAGACATGACTTTGCCATCAAACTCTTCCTCACAGCAATTCAGGCGCCAGTCATTCGATCTCTTGGGTGATGGCCCCATGTTGACAACTTCCATTAGTGGTACGAGTGTGCCACAGATGGATAAGGATCTGATAGGCGCAGAGGACTTGACAAGCAAAATTACATCAGAAACTGGCGAATTGGCCTCGATGCAGAATCAAATCAACAATCTCAGCAAGGTCACAGGCGACTTGCAGGCCAAGCGCGCCGTCCTCGAAAATAACCTCTCGGCGCTTTCTGCTCAGAAACAGGACATCAGCATCCGTCTTAACCAGATTAAGACGCTACACGAAAGCGAATCAAAGTCGATTAAGGACCTCGAGAACGCCCTCACATCGATCCAGCCACAGGTGATGAAGTTGCGTGACGAACTGTCGGCTTCGGAGAGGGAACTTGCTACCGCTCGCGCTGACAAGGATGAATACCTGCTGTCATTGGCCAAGGATCAGGAGGAGAACAATCAGATCCGAACGCGACTTCGTCAGAACAATGAAGAGGTCGCCAAGCTGAGAAAGGACCTGGAGGCCAAGAAGGCCGAAACCAGTCGCCAGAAGGGATTGCTCCAGATTGCGCGCAGTCAGCTCGCTACCAGCGAAGCTGACAAGCAAAAGCTGACCAATGATATTGCGCACGAGTCCGAGCAAGCAGCTCAGGTAGCTAAGGATATCCAATCTCTAGCTTTGGAAGCTACCCCTGCTTCTTTCACCTCTCCAGCGTTATCCTTACCATCAGCCATACCACCGCCGCCTGCCCCCCGTGGCTCTAGAAAGGAACCCCCGCCTCCGCCAGCCAGCCGCGGCACTGCTGCCCCTACTGCTTCATGCGTGTCAGCCGAGGAAGAGGAAGCGTTTGGTATTCCAGAGGCCCTCCGTAGTCCTACAGGCAGCTTCCACAGCATTCCTTCATCAAGGATGGGCGCACCCGTCACTATCAGCCGCCAATCGACAGGATCGTCCCCATTTGAGGCAATCCCTCGACAGGGCACCGGCTCGTCTCCTTTCGAGACGATATCGAGACAGGGAACAGGCTCATCTCCATTTGAACCGATCGCTCTCCAGGGTACAGGTATGAGTACCAAGGCGTCTTCGATCTCAAATGTGGGTGAGAATGAACTCTGGTCACCAATGACTCATGCTGGCCAAGCAAAGACGGTTGGGCAGCCTGAAGTCACCATGTCCCCAGATCCTGAGACTCCTCAATTTCCTCAGCAGGACTCTATGCTTGCCCTTGCGGCCAGACAGGCGCTTCCTATGTCGCCTCCTATTTCGCAGGATCCGTTTGGATCAATATCCTTCCCCGCGATGGACACGCCTCCTGTAACCAAGATGGATTTTGACTCTGCCTTTCAAGATTTTGCGACCTCCAAGCCCTCGCAGAGCGGTGGCATGGATGGCGTTAAGTCGGCGGAGGCCTTTGCGGAGGCCTTCCCGGACATTGGCGCAGATGGAGACAAGTCCAGGCGCGTGAGTGCCTTTGGGTTCGAGGATGATTTTAGCGGACCATCTCCATTCAACCAAAGTCTGGAAAAGAGCAAGGGGGATTACGAGTTCCCACCCATTGTTGAAATGTCCCATCCAGATGATGATTCAAGCGATGATGAGTCGAACGACGATATTGCAGACACGTTCGAGCAGACCAAGAGCTCTATTGTGTCTCCAGAACCATTGCCCATCCCTACACCAATTGAGGCTACCGCTGTAAGTGCATCCCTGACGCTCGTTCCACGTCAAGTTGAAGATGAATCGTCAACTGCATTTCTGACTGTTTCTCAGTCTGCAGCAGCATTAGAGTCCAAGAAGGAGCCATCTGCTCCCATTGTTGCTCCAGTCTCGACCGGCTCTCCATCGACAAGGACCAAAAAGTTGAAGGCAGCCGATTTCAGTGAGTTTGAATCATCATTCAGAGGATCGAGCGACGACCTTGATTCTGCCTTCAAGGGAATCGAATTGGCTGCGCCTAAAGTGAGCAGTGGTGCTGTCGGCAACATGGCAGGATTTGACGATGGTTTCGACTTCAATGCATCGTTCGATGATGCATTCGGATCATCATCGCCGCCTGGGAGCAACTCTCAAGCACCAGTAGTGAAAACAACGTCCAGCACATTGCCTGCCTCCGGCGCATTCGGAACTATTGATCTGGATGAAGCATTTGGAGGATTTACTGCGTCGAACTCTGCTCCCGCACCTGCGGCTGGGGGCACTGGATCAAGCGCATTTGAACATAAATTCGATGACTTTGAGGCAGAATTTTCGCCATCCAATTCGCGTCCTACATCCTCTGCAGTGACAGCGGCAGCAGTAACAACACCGGTAGCATTAGCGGTTCCTTCTCATAGACCTGCTCCAGCGACTCCGAAGCCGATATCCAGCGCGATTGATATATTGGCAACATCCGCACCGGTACCCCCGCAAGTCCCCATGGCAGGCGTGGATGAGTTGATCAACATGGGCTTTACACGACAGCAGGCGGAGGACGCGCTTTTACGGTACGACAATGTTGAGCGCGCAGCCAACTTTTTGTTAGAGGGCGGACAATAAGATGGTAATGTGTGAAAGGAGCAGCCGAGCTGGCACTTAGCGGTCGACGCACGACACTCTGTCCCTACAGTCCTGTTGTTCCGAATCAAGTACCGATCATGGTATAGATGATTATACAGCAACGACGACGCAACACGACACGACATGACATGAAAATGAAAATAAGCGAAATAACGATAGAGCCCAAAAGCACTCAACAGTAATAAAAGTGGTCAAATGAAGAGCGACAATTTAATTTACACGCCCCTTCTTGCCATTGAGTATTTGCTTGCTCCGGGGGTCCTGGATGTTTCATTTGATTGCACGCCCCAAAAAAGTTAGTATGTTGTGTAGTGCAAATGATCTGTCATTGAAAGATGCCTGCAGCGCGTCTTGTACGGACATGTCGCTTTATTTCGGCTCCGCTATTTGGCACTTACAATTGCCAACAAGGAACAGTTAATGAGCGGTCTTTGCTGCGGTGGGGTAGGAGGATATACCATTTAAAAGTGGCGAACGACTCTGCGTGCGTGTATTTTCTATCGTTATCGGCCTATATAGGCAGTAACTACGTATTTAAAAATGAATGGTTAGTATCTGTTGTCAGTGCATCATCTCAATGTAACGCTCATGTTTAGTGTGTTTGCGGACACACTTAGTGATGATATTGGGGCAGCTATGCTCGCCTAAGTGCACGGCGGGTGGCAGCCCTTCCATAGAGGCTACTCGCTTGCGCGCTCGAGTTCCTTGTTATCCAGAAGCCATGCTACTAATGCTCGAATTGCTAACACTATTGATAGGACTCATGCTGGTGCTGGTGCTGGTGCTAGTATTTGTCTGCGACTTCGCAGCTTGCTCCCAAGGGTAGTTCCCGCTGTCATCCACTGGTTGGAGATATGCTGGTCGCCGTTGATGGAGCAAATACCCACGAATAACATTGCAGATGTTATGACCAGACATCACATCGCGGTGCATGTATGTCTTGAAAGTCTTACAAGTCTTACAATACAACCTACGGATCTCTGCCTCCCCGACAAATTGCTCGCAGGTTGGACACTTCTTGGACGTGTAGTATTCGTTCACTCCAACCACGATGTATCCAAGTGACCTGGCCTATGTGGGCGTTAATAAAAAAAAAAGCATCAATAACGCCAGCACAATATCCAAACATGATACAGATCTGCATACCTGTTTGATGATGCGTTACTTTTTGAACAAAGTAGGACTGGAAGGACTCGTGCAATATGGAAGGACTTGTGCAATGAGGGAAGCCTAGACCGACTCCAATGACAACCTTGTTGGTCTCATCCCTTTTCCTGCCGATGTTTCCTCCAACTGCCCTGGGAAGACTCTCTGTAATGAGTCTGTATTCGGCATCTCGCGCTCTTCTTGCGTCCCACTTATGCTTCTTGAAGCGATTGTTGTCGCTGTAAAACTTATGTAGTCGCTCTTTCACTTTCTCCATCTCTACGACATGGTTCGTGAAGCTGGCACCCTGACCGCGCAGCGGTGGAAGCCTTGTCTCAACGCAGCTAATGGATTTAATTCCATCGCCTGGCACGATATTCTTCTGCTCTTCCATCCATCTTCGATGCTTGAATGTAGGCTGGTAGACGGCCTTTTGCTTAACTGCGAGATTGCGAAAAGTAACGGGAACCTAAGACTGAGAGGTGTCTTCGGAAGTGCTGGCCATATCCACATCATCGCATTTTCGCATTTTTCTCCAGTCACCGTCACCGCGCTGCCGGAATCATGGTTTCCGGTCAGCAACACGCTGGCACCCACGACACACGCTTGGCCCCTATCGATACCCAGAACCCTGACCTGATCGGGCGCACAACTCCAAAGGTCGATGACATCCTGCTTACTCTTCACAATGTTTCGGATCTCGGTCAAGAAACAGTCCACCCCACCAAGTGTAGCGGCCAATCGACATTCTCCGGAAGACGTCTGTATTTGACTGAATACAGTTCCTTCACCTTGAAACTAGCAGCTGCAGGCGGAATCCATCTGTACGAATGGAGCCTCGATGGGCATAGCCGCGTTCGGTGTAATCCCTTAGATCAAAGTTGGCCTGCCGAAAGGATTGAATGTGCTCTCGCATCGTCCAAGTCCATCATGGAATCTGAGTCCTTGAAACTCCTGGGCCCTTTGCGTGGTTCTGACCCGCCGACGTTCGAGAGTAGTTTTGTAATGATGGCGCCGGCAGGCTTTGACTGAAGCCACAAAATTATATCCGACTGGGACAAAGACGTGTTTGTGCTTGTGAATCCTCCTGTATCAATTCTCGAAGATATGTCTGCAGAATTATGTTCCGCCAGAACAAAATGCAGAGTTCTCTCTCGGAAAAAGACATGAGAGACTTTTCTGGCCCCGCAAGTGGAGCCGTCTTGCGGTAGCTCTGGCTAGAGTGGTTCAAGAGCATGAAATTCTCAATCGCTGGAAGACTCGGGTCAACTTCGGTACGAGATCCTTCTGCTACTAGGCCCTTCGCCTTTTTGGCTTGCAGCTATTATGAACATTATGAACATTATGAACATGCCGTCGACGTTAGTGTTGTAGTTCCTTCTAGTGTCTTCAGTAGTTCCCACATGTATAGCTAGAAACGTTTACTGTGGCTTTTCCCGAGCTCAATGCTCCCACATCTAATACGGTGCCATCGAAAACTGCTACAATGTTCCGTTTCCCGCACGGCCCCTCGTTGGATTACTGTGTGCCTTGCAGAAAACATATCTGCCGTACATCTCCAGAGGCCATGAGATAGACTAATACTTTGTATGCATGCCCTTTTCTCTGTGAACCGCTTTAAGCCTCCTCGGTATGCTCCTGACGAGTTCACGGCAGTATTCCACTGAGATCTTGTACCATTCAACAGATATTTAGTCCTATAGTTCCTGACAGCTTCCTGGAGGAGTAGGATACTTTTCCAGCCGAATCTCGAGGTACTACCACATGTGCTCGATTGGGGTATGGTCAGGCGACTGTACAGGCCAGTAGAGAAGCCTTCAGTCACATTCATTGACTTCAGATAGTCTCGAGTAACCCTATGCTGTTTTTTTTAGAGCTGGCTGCTTTACACGCCTCTTCGCTATCAGATCGGTTTCTCGAAGACGCAGCCGGACTGTCGAAGTGGATACGGTTCGTGTGAGCAATTGGTTGGCCTTGTTTGTGGCTTCAACGGCAGCCTTGAGGACTCTCCATTTCAAGTTGATCTTGAGGTTTTCCACAGTTTAGAGGTATGGTCTCTTCTAGTGATTCTCACCGGTAAACGGTTAACCGCGGTGAACAACTTTTTTTGTGATTTTTTCACTGGTGAATTCCACATATGGTAATAGTACTTCTATATCACTGAGCTCTACCGAGTTTCCGGATTCCACCGCTCACCGTTGAACTAAAATACACGAGACCGATTCTTTGTTCACCAGTGATAATCACTGGTGAATATTTTTTCACCGGCGAGAATCACTAATCGAAATGCAATGAACAAAGGTAAAATAGACGAGACGGAAATGGAAGGAAATAAATGTGGGGGGTTGTTTAGCTAAATGGTTCGAGCGAGGACTATGTTCCATTGAGAATGACTGGGGTAGTTGCAAGGTGTTCGCATATGATGTCCGATGAAGTGACAATCGAGTCCACCCCTCTGGAGTCGTTGTATGGCAATGTTCGCTGATCAGACCTCTATTGTACCTTTATAACGCCGTCTGATGATGGGCGCCAATGATGGATGCTCAATGAGACGATCGGAGATTGGGGAAACGTTGCGATTGACGGTGCAAAGGTGGCGAATGATCAGGCTTGGCATTCCCTGTTGATTGTATCTCGTTGCGTCGGTTGCTGACGACGGTAGTCAGTGTCTGCCGATGATGCGGTGTTATCCGGACAATCTGGATGAATGCAAAATGCGGTACAAGATATATATGTGAAGAAGAGACTCTGGTTCAGGAATCAGACGGTTTATTCTTTTTTCTGGGGCGATGCTCTTCCTCGTAATTTATTATCAGTTTTACGAGACCAGCCAAATAATTCAAGTTTACCAAACTTTGAAGGTTGACCGCGTTACTTGACTAATTTCCTACCCTCAATTGCATCCCTAGCGACCTATCTGGATTTGCGCCTGCCCCGCGTACGTTGGAAACAGCGGTGATGGCGATGTGGGTGAACATCTGTGTCAGGCCGTGGCAAAGCTACTTGTAAAACACTGATCGCGCTTCGTGTCAAGAGACCGGCATCCATCAGTGTGATGACTCTTTATCAAAGCCTTTTTTATTGGAAGTATTCCGCCACACACTTCGCAGATCTCTTCACCATACTTTTATTTCATCTTTTCAGCCTGCCACACAGTCCACAACCATCTTTCCTTTCTTTTTCGTTCACTCTTTCAGCGCAAGCGGCAGCATTCGTCTATTCGCGACACCACAACAGCACATTTTCCTACCTTTCATTCGTCATCCTTTCTCCTCATCGCCCTTCGCCCGTAGTTCGCCATCCATATACGCCTTCACGCTAGATACCATACGCCTATAGAAAAGGTAATGTACCCTCCAAGCCTATCCTTGCATATCTTCAGCGTCATGAGAGGGTTTCACTAACCCTGCTAAGCTGTCAACCCACCATAGTGATCATGGCATGGGCATAAGAGGCTTTTACAGTACTCTGAAGAAGCGCGGTTTGGATCCAGATGCCGCGGATCCTCAAAATTACCAGAACCAAGCTGTTGGGGTTGACCTCTTCGGTGTGTTTTATGGATTCCCCGTTCGCCAGATCACGGATGATTACGACCCAAGCAAGGTCTGAACTGTCGGTCTCACGATGGCAGTGCGTTTGGCGGAGGACTTTACCCCTGCGCAATGTACGATTCACATCGATGGCGCCCCATCCCAGCAGAAGCGGAACGAGCACACCAGGTGAAAGAACAGACTGACAGCGGACCTCGAGAAGTTACAGGCGAATTTGAAAGTCATGAGCACGAAGTCGTCGAGCGGCCAATGGACCTCGAAGAGCGTGGTAATGAAGATCAAGAAGGGCCTCCGTGATGTGTACAGATTTGATACGGTTGCCAAGCTGACGCTCCCTTACGAGAAAAGGGGTTTTCTGTCTGCACTTGCAGGAGCGAGGCCTACACCTGCATTGCACGCAGACTAGCCCTAGCAACCGATCGCTTCGTGGTGTCAGCCGACTCCGGTCTGTTGATATATCCGTCGATCACCAAGGGTTTGCAGCCGATCTCCCTCGGCCTAGCCTATGCGTTGTACACCAAGGAGAGTGTTACCAATGCACTCCAGGTTCCCAGCGCAGACTATGTGACGCTGCTGGGCATCATGTCCAAGAACGACTATACCGAGAACATTCCCGGCCTTGGAATAGTTCGCAACCTGGAAATCATCCGCGCTCTTCCCTAGTCGCCCGATATCCGCCAGATGCTCGATGCTTACAGGTTCACGGCAGCCATCAAAACCCATGAGGATATCGACCAGACCCGATTCAAGCCATCGGAAGACATCTTTTTGGGTCTCGAGGAGAAAGTGCTCCAATCGCAGCCAGGAGATGAGGCCGCCGATGAGGACATGCTCGGCTTTGATTTTAACATTGCATCGCCGCAGTTCCGGCACTTTAAGGCGGAACGATTTGCCGTCACTGCATATCAGCATGCGAGTAGAAGGTAATTTAAGTGCGATACCACTTCATTCACGCGCGTGTTGTACAGACAACAAGTTCTCTAACACCTTTGCATGGCGATGCATGTGTGTACTTACTAGTGCGGTTCCCTTCTACGTTGCGAGGAAATCAAAGCGCAACCAGTTCCGGCCGATCTTTTCTGACAAGAAATCGATCCTACCACGACAATCGATTGACTTCTCGACTGCCGTATCTCACGATCGCCTGCAGCCAAAAGCAAAGCCCCGCGTTAAGACTCAGAAGGCGGTCGCGAAAAAGAACAAGAAAAAGAGGAAGAAGGGGGCACTGCTGAGGAAGCGGAAAGGGGCGGGCTTCGCCAACCCATCGAACCCAAGGCCCGCTTCTGCAACTGCAGCGGACCGCCGCCTCCGCAAGCTGCATATAACCAAGGCACTCACTGTGGGGAGTATCCGGGCCAACATAAAGCGAATGGATCGGATATCGGCTGCAGAAAGCAAGCTCCTTTCAGACAGGCTACGTTCAGCGGTTGCGATCCTTAACGCGATCTAGATGCATATGTACGAGGTCATTGCACTGGATATCGCGCGGCTTGTTCGTTCCAAAAACATAGCGACAGATGTATCACAGCGGACGGAGGACATGCAGACATTATCAACAGCAAGGCCTTCTACTTTGCACTCAACACACTCTTGTGCAGTGGTCAAGAAGGACGAGGTTCCCAGGCTGTTCGAGTATCGATTGCCCCTGCGCTCAGAATAAGCACTCGAAATACGCCGTTGGTCCCTGCTGCCCCGCAACCGCAAGCACAAGCACAAGCACAAGCACAAGCACAAGCACAAGCACAAGCACAAGCACAAGCACAAGCACAAGCACAAGCACAAGCACAAGCACAAGCACAAGCAACAGTCACCCATGCCCGACGTGTCTTTGATGCGTACACGACGCTCGCCGGCTTTGTCCCCTTTTGCCAGCAAGAACCAGAGATGTTCCCTTTGACGGTCTGGAGGCTTGCTGTTGCGGCAGTCTACAATGCAGTGCGAGTCCATTACTATGGCGCAAAGGTATATTAAAGAGTATGCAAAATGTAGCCGTTGTGTCCTTGCTTTTTGGAGCACTAATGTTAACCATTAGCTTTTCAACACTCCTAAATAGTTTTCCGAGAATGAAGGGCGCCCCAAATATGTAAATCCGATCGACTACTTCTTCGAAAAGAATACCGAGAAGCGCATGTTTGCAGACTTTGTCAAGGCAAAGTTTGCAGCTGGCTTCATGTTCTTGTCAGAGGCGGACCTTGTCCATTTATTCTATACAAGCGATAAGGCACGGTCGATTATAGCCCGATTGCTGAGCGATACAGCAGCCTACACTGCGGAAGCCAAGGTTGTCGGCAAGAAAGGGATCCTCATCGAGAAGCTGCTATACAGACTGGATCCGGCGACGCACTTTGATGGGTATTACAAGAAGGCTTCGCTTCAGAGTGACAGACAGCACCACACAAGGTTCAAGCTTCGGGGCGTCATCTGCACGAACGGACTGGTGTTGCATCTTCTTGCGTATGACACAATGACAACGCGACGCCGAGCACCCCATCAAAGCATCAGGGGTGATGACGACGATGAAGGTGGACACGACGACGACGACGACGACGAGGATTTGACCCTGTTCCACGATGTTGACGGTGACTATGACCTCGACGACGCGTTTCTTGAAAATAGAGGGGGCGAACCTGGTACAGATCCGGTCGCATCAGCGACGGGACCCGCCAAGAAGAAACGCATCACGCTCCCGTCTTTGATGCCAGAAAGTTCAAAGCGGCAGAGGCTGTCGATACACCAACTGCCACCTGCAGACCCTACTGTGGCTGCTTCGCCCTCATCCAATTCAGAAGCCTCATCTGGTACAACATCAGGCGCAGATACGATCGATGTCACACGCAACGCCATCAACTGGAAGCGAGGTTCAAAGATTCTAGAGAACGTGGAGGTGCGCCTCAACTCTCCTGGTACTTGCCCACCAGGCGATACTGTGGTCATCGGCATTGACCCGGGTGAGGTTTACACAATGACAGCGACAAGAGTCGATCCCGCCTTACCTACGAAAAGAGAGTCTTCACGAATCCGCAGGGCATTCCTCCACAGGCCTTACATGCTCTTCAAACGCCTCCCAGAAAAGCAGAAGGCCGCGGCACGCATTGATGTTCTTGAGGCAAGACTGCCCGCATTTACCGTGGAGAAGATCGAGGAATATCTAGCGTATCTGGAGGCGCCTGGCACGGACGGCACCGCCGCGACCACCACAAGAGTCCGCATTTTTGACATTTACCACAGTCAATGGATGCTAAGGAAGCGCTGGGATCTTCAAAAGGCTCAACAGGCAACGTATGACTACGCAGTTGCGGTCTTGCTTGACCTTGCCGTTAGCAAGGACTTTGTTGGTCAGCTGCTGAGCTCGCAGGATGGCGTAAAAGTGGTGTTTGCGATAGGATTGGGCTCTTTTAATTCGCCCGAGAAGAAATTTGTCGGCAAGGTAAGAAGAAGAAAAAAGAAAGTATGGCATACCATCTCTCATCCGCACTGCAACTTTTTCTCATCTGTTTATTTGTTCCTTGGCGTTGCTGCTAGGCAAAGACTATGGGATACATTGTGGTCGGGGTGCATTAGTACTACACCAGTGCTCGGTGCCCTCGTGACCAGTGTATGGCGTTCTTGGAGTCCGACAAGAGGCGGTCAAAGTACTGCCGAAGCTGTCAAATGTACTTTGATCGTGATATTGTCAGCTCTGAGAACGTTGCCACCGTGTGTCTGTCGCAAATCCAGAACCAGTGCCGGCCTGCCAAGTTCATGCCATCAGCATAATCATAGGGGGTCGGAACCTTCTTTCAAAATTTGATAGACAGATACTGTGACGATCAATGCCGCAATGTCACTTGCAATTTTCGGCTCTGCACTCCTTGACGCTGCATCTACAGTACAACTCTCAAGTAATGCAACTGTCGATCCACTGAAAGCAAAAATCGCTGCTCTCGAGGCAGAGCTAGCGACTTCCGAGCGTAAGGACGCCCTCATAGCTTAAATTTTTGCCCTTGAAGAAAAGTTGGGAGGCATGAGCACGATCTCGTCGGCACTGCCAACTGCGAATACTACTGATCAGTCTACATCTATAGATCAGAGGTTGGGCGCGATGAAATTAGCCTACTGCCGCTGGACGGTAATGCTATGCGATTCGCAACCTCATTGGGGAAGACTGCAACCTTTTTGCCACCTAGTCAGATCAAAGAAAGTAGGTTCATGTTGCTATGAAAGTATCTACCTTCATTGCAATAAAACTACGGCGAAGCAATATGCACACCTTGATTACAGGAGCTGAGTTCGTCATTAAAATTAGTTATTCGATGGTTTGCTGATGCAAGAGTAGGTAGATAGAGAGAACGTAGAGGACAGAAAGGAGGGACTTAACCGCGTAGTATGCGTATATATTTGTAAAGAGTCGTTTGATGATACTGCTAATATATTATGGCGTTATGGGAGCTGTGCTTGGCGAGGGCGTAAAACTGGGTGCAGCCGTCGTTTGGGTGGGGTTTGATGCTGTGGTCGTCGCAACAGGCAGCGGAGAGACGGTCGCCGGCGAGGTGGCAGCTACCGTCGTGGTGACGGATGAAACTGGGTCCAAAATCGCGGCCGCTTCTGGATGGTTCTTGTCCCACCAGTTGAGAAGCAAGGCAAAGTCTGGGCCAGTCTGAATAGGGATGATTCCGCCGGTCTCAGGGAAATATGTACCCGAGGTCCAATCGACATTCATTTGTGTCGGGTCGTTATTGAAGTGGATAGTCGGGTACAAGTCGATGGAACTGTTCACATATCCCGACTTAGAGCGTTCTACCATCCCCACTAACTTATCGCGACTCAGAGGGTTGCTAGGTTCAATCGCATCGGTAAAATTGACCTTGAAAGTGACGGTCTTGATGTCATTTCCGCCTACGGAAAACTGAAAGTTGCTCATGAAAGCAAACACTGGTACTGGAGCTCCGGTGGTGGCAGCAAGGGCGACGTTGCTGAAAGGAGCTTCGAATCGATCCCGGTCAACAACGGCGTCATCAAAGTGAACCGTGGCTCCATAGTACATACTGCGGAAGTCCATCGACATCTCGACCAAGCCGTCGTCCACCGTCGTTGGCAGGACCTTGATCTTGACTGTGTTGTTGAGGTATGGATAACCAGCATTTGGAACTTTGAAGTTTGGCGGAATACCAATCTCGCTTCGAAGATCCTTTAATCCAGCTGAAAGAGCAGGGTTGCTCGACGAATCAGAAAATCCTTGCAGATACAGCGTGGAAACATTGCCGCTCATGAGGACCGACATGAGGAAATCCTCCATATTGGGTGAAAGAACGCTGAGCGACGCCAGAGAAACATATCGATTGTCCCCTGGTACCAGCTGCAAGTTATTGATTGATGTGGTACCGAGATATCCTTCCTCCGTGTAATTTACACCGCCATTCAACACGAGGTTTCCGATGTTGAGTGTGAGCTTACTGGGATTATGGATGTTGACGAGTACGGTCATATCGATGGTTGGGATGCCGTTATGCTCGCCTGAACCCATACCGAGTGGGTTAAGGAACTCGATGACTTTCAGTCCTTGAAGACCATCAAGCGGAGTCTTGACGTCAAGGTTGATCCCCTGGATCTCGATCTGGCCGAGCTCTCCCAAGTCAAGGATGGCATCAGTCGTTCCGCTCAAACCTAATTCGTACGTCGTGGCGGCGTTCAAATCTCCAATAAAGGCCTCATAGATTTCATGCGAGCCATCAGCAATAACCAAAGGTGCCAAGGGAGTCGTAGTCGACACCATGCTGCTAGAGGCATTCGCGGGGGCATAAGGGGTGTTCAGTGTCCCCACGAGCTGGCCATTCTTGTCCAGAATCTGGATATGCTGGCTGAGCTGGATGATGGGTGCACCGTTGCTGAAAGGCAGGTTAGTTTTAGCAGTGATGGCCGAGACAACGTTAGGGGTCCAGACGCAGGTATCACAAGCAAAGTCCATCGACATGGCATCGATCGTGACGGATTCGATTGGCGGCAGCGACAGAGGCGGCAACGCAGTATGGAGATTGAGTGTCTTGACTGCCGCGTCCAGCCACGAGATTCCAGGGGCGCCCGCACCCTGGGCGTCGAGCTCAGTCGATACATTATTCAAAGCGTTGTGGAAGATGCCTGTCAAGTAGGGCCTCATGTCGCCGAGGCCAGTCGCGATGGTCGCATTCAAGGCGAAGCTTGAGGTGCCGTGAGGAATAAGCGCAAGTCCCTTGGCGACGGCTGGTCCGAGAACCTTGCCCTGGAAAATTGTGTTGAAGATCGAGGTCGGGATGGTCATGCCGATGGTCGACGGGTTAGAAATCGAGGCACTGATGACCATGTGCATTCCTGTAGCATCGATGCTGTTAATGATGTAGCTTGACAGCTGCAGGCTAGCCAATTTGTCGAATCCGTCTAGGGTCACCGTCTTGGTCATGGTCACACCGGGAAGAGCGACACCCAGGGCGTTCACGACAATATTCTCAGCAGATATGGTCCAGTCAAACTTGGCGTTGTTCAATGCAAAGATGTTGAAGTCCGTGAATGCTGCGAGGTCTATCACCGTGAAGGCCACGCCAGCCAGGTTCAGTTCAGCACCCTTGTTGGCAGTCGCGTTTACAGTCGGCATCATCATGGATCCGATCACCTTGCCAGCGTATGAAATAGTCACCGCACTAACGAATTGGATCTGCGCATCCAATGGACCAGTGTCGGTGATGGCTCCAACAATGTCGGTTTGGAAGCCGGTCTCCTCTGGAGCAAGGATATCGATGGAATTGAACGCAAGGACCGCGCGCTCCACCAATATTTGAGCAATGGGCGTGCCGACGATAGGAATCAGTCTCAGTATGGACTGGTCTGTAGCAATGGCGACGCCAGTTTGAGTGTAAGGAATCGTCACTTGGTAGTCGCCCAACTTGACGGTCGTAGTCATGGCGATGTCGACTGCGAGACCGGTCATAGCCTTGATCGTGAAATCTGCGATGTTGAAGCCGTCAAAAAGGCTAGAGGGAGGGTTACCGCCCTGATTCAGCGAGAGTAGACCGTCAAAGACATCAGTATCCATGCCGTTCTTTTGGGCTTGAGCGCGGATCAGGGTTACGAGATCGGTAGGGTCGGTGTTCATGGCCAAGCCAGCGGTGATCGTACCCTGGCCGACTCCAGGGATCACTGGTGGGTTACTGAAGGTAGAGACGAGTGTTCCCAACGAGACGCCATTGTAGGTGATCTTGCAGTCGATAGACAGGATGGCCATGGGTGGGATGAAGGGGTTGTTGACCATGACCGTAGTCTGGGCGATTCCATTGGTGAGAGTCGTGTCAAGAACTACCAAAGAGGCACCGGCCAATAATTTGGATTGGAGACCGGGCACCTCAGACCCAATGTCCAGAGTACTAAATGCAAGGATCAGCGAGTCAATAGCAGTGCTCGCAGAAGTCCCGACAATGTTGACCGGAGCACCGGTACCAGAGGTGTACAGGCTCAAGAGCTCAAGTCCCTCAGGGGAGGCAGCAGGGTCGATGGTGGACGAGGCATTGACAGTGTTTGCACCAGGGACAATGGCTAGATTAGGCATGGCTACGGTTCCGAGACGGACGCCTTTGTACACGAGATCGAGCACAACGTCACCCGCGTTTAACGAGATTGAGGAGGGGTTCACAATCACGACGGTGATAGCCATGGTCAGATCATTCGCCGTGCTGGACACGACCTGGAGGGAAGTGATGGTTGGCGCAGGATTGGCCAGGCCCTGGAGACCACCAAGTTGAGTAGAGGCATTAAATGGAATGTTGACGAGATTGATTGTTCCAATCGAGGTGTTGGCAAAGACCGAGGCCTTGCCGACAACATTGAACGGAAGGTTGGAACCGATGGTCAAGTCGCGGTTGAACTCTTGGAACACTTGGTGGGATTCCTCAGGGACATTCAGGGGAGTAGCCAATAAGTTGAAGTTGAGAGTGCCAGCATTCGCGTCGGAAGTCGAAGGGCTGTAGGACGAGTTGAGATTGGCGATGGTAACGTTGTTACGACTCAAAGTGAGCTCGTTAGCGACCTGAGTGAACTGAATTTTGAAACCAAAGCCATCGGGAAGACTGTAGTTGGCGAGAACGCCTGTTGAAGTCGTCGCAGGCTGGTAGGCGGTAGGAGGAGTGAAGACGAGTCCCAGAGCGCCAAGGTCCAGTGCTTTGATGAGCTGCAAAGGCTGGGGACTCTGTAAGGGAATAGTCAGCTTAAGGCTCTTGATCGCAGAAGACAACCAATCGAGCGGGTTGACGCCGTCCGGCTTCACCTCGTAACCAGTGGCGATAGTATCGGTTACGACATTGCCGATGTAGCGCGACATCATTTCGGACGTATCGGCCAGACCCTCAGTGGCGTTCTGCGGAATCAAAACACCCTTCATGCTCAAGATCTGGGGACCGCGGACCATAGTCAGGTTGCTGGCAGTGACATAGCCCATGAGAGTGTTCTTGTACGAGATGGCCAATGTTAGATCACCCATGTACATCTGGATCGCTGAGGGATTGGTGACACTGGATTCGATCTCGATGATGATACCGTTACCGTTGGGGTCATCGCCAGGGAGCGAGAACTTTTGAATAGTGACGCCGGACAGGCCGTTGAATGCTACGAGAGGTAATAGTCAAAGCAATGATAAGAGGTGGGTACGATTGCAGGTGATTGTGATGCTTTTTGAAGCCAGAGAGCACAGTGGTGCGGATGCTTACCATTGACGGTGATATCCTTCTTCAGAACGAGGTCCTTGACGCTGCGACCCAGGGCCTTGACGTTAATCTTGCCTTCAAAGTGCCAGACAAATGACTGGGCATTGAGCATATAGCTCGAGAACTCTGAGAAGGCAGTGGCGTTGGTGATAACGAAACTGCTCTGCATGTTCAAAGCACCATGGCCACCACTGTAGGTATTATTGGAGTAGTGAAATAAAGTTGGATGTAATGGGTTGGTCAGAATGCCGATAATGGTTTAACAGCAGTGCCAGGGACGCAAAGTGCATATTTTTACTCACGAAGCCGAGCTTGAGCCTGGAATTTCGGTGGTACCCAGCTGGAGATTGTTCCAAGAGACAGCAACGGCGCCAGGGAAGGAGATTTCCGCATGGAAAGGACCGGTATTGTGCATGTCGCCCTGTAAGACAATGTCCATAGACGTGGGTGAAGGGTTCGCGATGTCCTGGTTGATTGCAAAAGGAAAGAAAGAAAAAAAGAAGAAAGAAAGGCGAGTTAGCGAAGAAATGACGATCCAGACGAGGGGTTTTTTTTTTTTTTTTTTTTTGTTGATGCTGGTGCTTGCGCTGGTGCTGATTCTGATGTTGATATTGTAGGGCTTACAATCTGTGAGAAACTGATGGTGGCCTTGTTCATCAGACCCTGGGCAATCTTGGGCATGATCACATAGAGGGCCAAGACGACGATGACGACGACAGCGATGATGGTTGTGGGGATGCAGCAGATCCAGAACTTGCGGCGACGGTAGAACTTCGGACGGGCAGGCTGCTTCGCATCCGTATACTCGTCAAATTCGTCGTGGTGGGGGTCATCCTCGTCAGAGATGTTGAATGCCATGGTGAGGACGCTTGGAGGGGGAAAGGGACGCAGGCGACGGCTGGAGGGAGGAGGAGGAGGAGGAGGGGGGGACGGGGTGGGGCAGGATGGACGGGCTAATTGGACGCCGACAGGCAGTGAGAGGGAAAGCGGTCAACGGAAGGAAAGAGTCCGGACAGCGGTGGGCTTTTATAGAGAGGGCTGGCATGCCCTCTGAAGATCCTTCTGAAAATGCTTTTAACACGTTCGGCGTAGGTGGCACAGGCAGCACGGCAGCGTTCCGACTATGGGCACTATGGGCAAACAGCTACGCGTTGTCTTATTGGCCGGACTATCGTTTATTGGCTGGTTACACAAAGCACCGTGTATGCCGCCCTTGCATGCCAGACACGACCGTTTTGTTTGTGCCGCTGTTGTTGACGCTGCTCTCGTTCCGTCTCTCCCCCATGTCTCGACCTCCCTTTGGCTGACCCCGGTCTGCATGTGTGATTGTGTCCATGGCCATGGCATGCTCTGTAGATCTCCATGTTCGCTCCATGTGAAACGTATGCGCATAAAAGAAAAGAGGCCACAAGTGCTTATCTGCTCTATCTGCTCTGTATATCCAGGCCCAATGCCCAATGTCCAATGTCCAGTACTCCATGCGTGGCTGCAATTTGTTAGAGCGCAATGGTTATAAGAACCTGGCCTGCGCGACTCTCCAGACAGCGCTGAGCACGCGGCATGCTCGCTTATTCATATTCAAATCGTAGCCCACTTAGCTTAATACATCAATAAATGGAAGATGGAAGCTACGCGACTGAGCCTTCCGGCTAAAGTGTAAATGTTCATGGATACCAGGCTCTGGTCACTCGCGGAAGGAACAGAGTTTGAGTTTTCTGTGAGCTGCGGTTGTGGATCACCACCACCACTGCCTCCACATTCATACACAAACATCCGTATGCTCATTTTGTTTGTTCTGTTTTGTTCAGTAGCCAAGCACGATCAGTGCACATACAGGTTTTCTTTTGTTCTTTGTTGAGGTGAAGTTAAGCGGGGTTCATTTAGTTTTTCGTTGGCGCCAATCCGTTGTCTACGACACATGGCAGGCATTGACCCTCATTAGCTGCTTAATTCTACTAATCTGTTCCAGTCCATTCTGTTACTCTAATGTCGGTCTTGTTTCCATGTCCTGTCTCAATGCCGATCACCGACAGTTGCTCCTCACAGACTCCTAGAACCTTTCTCAGAGCAGTTACCGAGAAAAGGTAAATGCGGATTACGGGTCGACCGAGATAGACAGGTGTTGCCTATATCTAGTCTAGCAGCTGTTGAAATCATATACTTGAACACGAGTGGCATTGGCGTTGGACCGCACGGAAGCAGGTGTCGAATCGTATTGAGGAAACATGGGTGTTGATTGGCGGACTCGCCTATTCCGCCGAAAGAATGGTTTGTGCTGCAAAAACAGCTAAAGAGGCGGGCTCAAGCGGTCTGCCTTCTCCAAAACAGCTCCACATGTCCTTTCCTGCTCACGACAGAACAAGGTTTTGCTTCCATATCGAATCACTGCCTACATAGTCTAACTTCCTAGGCTAATCAATCGCCTGTGGAAGATGCGTATGAATGGGCTCAATACGCAATATGGAGCGCGTCAGATAGATATCCGTTGTGGTTGTTGTTGTGTGCTTTGCGGCGCGGCAGACCATCCCATTAGCAGAATGATCATAGACGGCTGCTGCGACAACGTAATACTATGCTAGACTTTTTGGTATGAGGCAAGAGTACTTTTAAGCAGCACAAAACAAAACAAAGTAAGCTGAGCAGAAATAGGATAGCCCAGTCTTTGTGTGTTGGCGGATGGTTAGAGTAGACTCCGCGATTAGTGGAGCCCGAGCACAATCAAACCATGGAATGATCTCCGTCGAAGCTACACGGTTAGTCAGGACCCAGAAGGACATTCCGCATCTGATGTAGCGTCACCGTCCACATTGTCCCCATTGTGATTGCGAAGGGATTGGGATGGAGATATCGAAGGATAGGTATTTGCTTATTAGATCCTGCAAGAAAATTGGCGGCAGATTCAGGTACGCATCCTGCTCCTGCCAAGCAGAGAAGTGCTGTTCGTAACAACAGCTGTTTTCATGTGCACATGCACATCTATGCAAACCACGCATGTCGATCTCTTGCCAGTACTGGAGAGGCGACAAATAGACCATGCATGCCGCTGTGTCCACTTGTATTACATGAGGAATAACTCATCCGTAAGGATTACCACATACGATTCACATCATCGTCGCTACCATATTTATATTCCATATCCCCTCATCCCTTCATCTTTTTGTCTCTACATTCTGCTCTGCAACCTTCCTTCCGCCAAGTCCCTACCTCAAAGATACACATGTTCAAAAGTGATATCCATCGACTAGTCCATCTTAGCTCCAACCGCAACCTCGGTTACTGTCAATTATGCGGATGGACCCACATACTCGGGTGAAGTTCTCGTTGGAGCCGACAGCGCCCATGGTCACGTCCGTCAATGTATGCACAGGGAGTTGCAAGTGACTCGCGAGGGGCTCTTTCAGGCAGACTGTGCCTAAGTAGCCCTGCCGCTTAGTAGAACCTATGACTTGGGCACAACCAAAGAGCTGGATCCTGAAATATCCCCAGAACTGCTCACGAATGTAAGCAATCCACAAATCGCTTTAGCTAAAGGCAGGCCATACTTCGTAAGCTGATTCATTTCCTCTTCACCATATTCTCTGTTCAGTGGATCGTCTTTCCCATGAAATGGAATGTCATTTGCTGAGGTGTGGCACAATACTCATACAATACTCGACAAAAGAGAGCGTCGACTACAACGAATGAGTCCCAATGGTGTTGAGACCATGTGTCAGACTGTGCGGGACTTCCAGATCCGTGACGAAAATAGTACCAGAAAGAATGTTTATGATTGGGTCCTAAAAGGATGGGTTTTCGACGCCTGGTATGCCGGGCGTGTTATGCTCCTGGGCAATATCTGTCACAGGATGATCCCGTCTGGCGCACAGAGAGCTGTGGACGCTATGCAGAGTGCTGTCGTGCTGGTCAACTAGATCGATGTGCTTCCGACTACGGTTTCGAACAGGGATCTAGGGTTCGTGTTTGAAGAGTACCAGGGTAAGGACACCTACTTGCGATCAAGGCATTTGAAGCCAGCCAGTTCATGGGCAAGCAAACATTTTAGGTATATCGCGCAAGAAATTGTATTGCATGTTCAATAGGCTGATCTTTAAAACATTTGTTGACGATTTTTCATCCAACACTAGAGGTCTTTAGAGCTGAGAAGAGGCGCTCAACCGGTTACTCTCCAAGTACATGGCGGTATGGTTTCAAAAGTAACACGGCCAAACTGATTCATGATCGACCGCAGGTGTCATTTTTGTCGCCAGCACAGGACCTTGGTTCTGTTTGTACAAGACCAGGAAAATAAGCGTAAAAAAGGTTGCGGCGTAAACCTTATTTGAGCATGAACGCCAGTGATATCCACCAGATGGAGCGCTGCTTTATTGTCTTTCTGGGATGTTGCTACTGCTCTATCAGACCGCTGACCCTTGACACTTTAATACGCGTAGTATCCATCGTCGGTCCCTGATAACTCATCTACTGATAGGCCAAATAAGATTGGATAAAAGCTCTCAGAAGCGTGTTCCAGTTCCACCGGCTGTTTCCATAATGCAGGTATACAACAAACACCAAACTCAACTTACAGTCATGGTCCCCATCACTGAGCTCGTCCTCCGGATAGTCATTCTGGTAGTAGTCCTCAGCATTCGAGTCAGAATCTTCATAGTCGTCCTCACTTGAATCATCCTCGTTCATAAAATTGTTTTCATCATCGCTGAACCACAGTCTATACAGATTCGTGAAATAACGAAAACGGAATACAGTCATCAATAAGAAAAATAAGAGCGACATGCTTTTTTTCTTCCGAATAGCTAGTGTGATCAAGCATACATACAGTGCTCCGACAGCTCGATGCGTCGACTCTTGTTGATGGCCCGCATGCAAATCTCGATAGTAGATATCATATACGAAGTCATCCTCTGAGTCTTGGCTTCCGGCGTTTTTGCATGTCTCCACTGTGATCTTTGGATTCGGGACGTTCTCTGCAACTAGGATACATCAAGATGATGAATATGCAGTAGCATTTGTCTAGGTCAGTCATACATTTCACAGCGGTGAGCCAAGCTTGAGTCAAAGCAAACTTACTTGTCAGGTATTCGCGCACCATGGGTAGGAAGTTGCACATAATATCGGACTCCTCTGCTTCACGCAACCTAGAAAGTTGATGTACAGTGAATGTGATTAATATTAGTACAGGGGGCGCGACGATCGCTGATCCGCTATCCGTTTTTGGCATGAATACTTACAGCTCCTTCTTGCTTGAAGAGTCCTCCTCTTTGACAGCATCATACATCTTAAACATGTCCAATGCCGCCTCAGCTTCCACCTCTACAGATGACCTAAAGTTGTCATACCGAATGAGGTAGGTGTGCTGTAAGTGGCCTATTTAAACAATACGCGTTCGCATGCTGCATTGGTCCTCATCATTAGTTACTGCCCTCATACTTGACTACTGGCGGAAGCTGCTCCGGTTTACCTAGGCCCGTCCTGTTCTGATTAATCACCCTGTAGCGCGCAGTCCGAACCTCTTCCTTCTTCCCTTGCACGAGAGCTCCCCTCCGCTCGTGAATACGATCTTCAAACTCCGGTATATGACGATCTGACAGACGAGACCTTGGTCGCATTGTCTCTGCTAGATGTGTAATCTTGTCCTAGAATCCAAATCCAAGATGATGCTTCAGTACAAAAGTGGCACCTCAGTTGTTGACCGCAGGTGAATCAGATGTTCAATCAAAGGCTTCATCGTTACTCTAAGCTCAATCGACTGAGTTGGATCCTTAAAGCTCTCCTTGTTGACTGTTGTAGCCAGTCTGAACACTGCCGGAGATATCTCTATGTTGTTTTCCAAAGATATAGCAAAAAAGTTAGACTTGCTGAGAATCCCGCAGTATCCTGATGTGCTTCATGGGCCGAACAGAATGACAGCATGCTGCTTACTTGGCGCTGGAAAATCCGGCTCTGCTTTCTCACCCTCACCATCCACTTCATCGCCGCGCCTTTTTCGCCTTTTCCCATTTAACTTCTCGAGCTGTTCCTGGACCACTGTATATCATTGAGGATGTCGGAAATTAAATGACGAAAGGTAATTAGAACATCTTTACAGTTGTGCAGACCTGTGAGCCCTCGCACCACCACGCAAGTTAGAGGAGCTAACGAAGTCCACCAACGACCCTTACCCAATGTATCCAAGGGTTCTTCATTGCGCTTGCGCTTGATTCTCAGAATGGTGTATACATCGTGTTCAGTAATCTCACTTGCTGCGTTGGTGCTTGTTACAGTTTCGCTAGTCGTCTGAGGCTGAGTTATTGTAGAGTCCCCACCATCACTTTGGATCCCGCTCTGATGAGTCTGGTTATTGGATGAAGTCGATAGCGTGTGTCCAAACCCAGGAGAGTGAATGGGAACACCCTTTCGCGGCTTCGCTGAAACTAGATTATCCTTTCCTGGGTTATTATAGTCAATAAATTTGTTGTTGAAGGGCTTTAAAAGTGGCCTGTCGCCCACGGAGGCGACGGTCGGTTTTTTCTTCGTGAAAATTGATGGCCGTTGCGGTTCTGTAGACTTCGGAGTTGGCACTGGTGACGAGGGCGTTTCCAACGAGTTTGCCTTGGTCTTATCGACTTGCCCCCATGTTTGCTGATTATTTGCCATAGTTGTATCTGGGTTGGTTGAGCTGGACAAACGCTCATGTCTCTATGGTTGAGTAACTCCGGGTAAGCACGGGTTCCTCGTGCAGGAAACTAATGAATACACCACGGAGACCAAGGTTGAGTTGCGTAGAATGCAAGGCAATACCTGATCATGCTGATCTACTCCTGGAATGTTTTCGGAATCGGCTGAGCTGGACGTCATTGAGTCTTGGTGCGGTTGTTTGTTGTTGAGCAAGTTTCGTTGATGAACCTGAAAAGGGTTTTTTTACGCAGTCAGAATTTAAGTACATGTACGTGGGCAAGGGCTAGTCCTTCGACTCGTAGTTGCCGAACGTGTTCTATTCATCATGGCCCACTTTTGAAAATCGCCATTCCCAGATTATCAATTGGAATTGTGATGAGTGGAATAAAACATCGCTGCAAGTGTTGTTTTAAGAACGATAGGCTACAGATATTTTGCTACCTCCTTTGCAGCTAGAGCTCGAGAACAAAAAGAGAAGCGCACTGAAAAAGAAGATTGGTAACAATCGCAGGAGGAGGTTCAGCTTTGGGAGCTATTCGAAGATACTGGGAACCGGCGAACGTCCTTTTAATTTCGGTTCCTGAGGGAGCACTCGAGAGTGAGTTCTCTCACGAAGAGATGTCGAGGAAACGCGCTGCATACCGAAGTCGTGCACGATAGAGCGTTGGAGGAGTTCAGGGTGATCTGGATAAACTCAAAGATGGTCCTCATAAGATAAGTAAGTTACCACACGTCTGGCAATAAATAAAAGGCAAAGGAGTTCATCCAGCCTGTCTTCAGCGCCAACTAGAATGAAGCGGAAAGCCAGCTCCAAGGGGAAGGCAAGCTAAGAACGTCGATAAGAATGACAAGAATCAGTTCAAGACCCAGAAATCTCGCAAAGAAAAATTCTGAGCAATTCCGCTTCGGAAATGGATCCAGAAACTCCCCCAACCCACCCCACCCAACCCAACTCAACCTCCCCCCCCCAAAAAAAAAAAAAAAAAGCGTTGGAGACGTAATAAACGGTAATTTCGCGGTGGTAACGATGAATGTTGGAATGTTGGAACTATTGATCGGCCCCTTCAACGTGGACTGCAGCAGAATTACAGCACCGGTGGCTATCTTCAAGCGAGTCGGTGTATCGGGTCGGCTATCCAGGACCCTGTCAAGCTCAACATGGATCTTCAAGACGCTCGTAAAAGGAATGCGTCGCTGGGACAGACTGAAGGACAGCGGTGTCAGGTTTAACTCGGCGCTAACAACACTCGAGTTGTTTAAGATAGTACCTGGGATCAAGGGCGCCCGAATTCAGAGAGTGAAGGGGTACCTCGATGACGCGACCCCGTCTCCGTTTCTGGAACAAGTTGACCAACTACTGAGGAATCCGATCAGATGGTACCTCCGGATATTTGCTTCCAAATTCAAGTGTTCTGTTTATATCTCTGTCCACTGTCGCGACTTTGTCATGCAGCCTGAGTACTTCTAGTATACTTCGTCTTTGCACAGATCAACTTCCGGAGCCCAAGATGGGCAGTGATTCAGGGAGACGGCTTTCATGAGTAGGACCGATGACCACGACAAGTCCTCAGTCCACGACCCGGCGTCCGTGTTTTAGATCCTCGATACCAAGTTGCCGTCCTTAGATCACTTCGCGCACCTTCCGATGCCAGGGCACAAGGACACCTTCTGCTTGATCAGCGAAAGCAATTGCTGGCTGCATATGGACCAGAAGACCAGATAAGGAAGAGAGGAGCAAACTGACCAGGATATTCGGAAGATCTGTAGAAGCTATGAAACGACTCAGCCCCACCCGGGAGAGCTTTCTCGAAAGCTGTTTTTCCATGGCAAGAAGCCTGTATGGTGTTCTCCGATAACAAGTTCTTGCCGCATGTGCTCGATCTTGATTCTCTGCCTTGCCAAGCTCAGCTCAACACACTGGCAACTCAGCTTTCATCCACACCAGAGTAGAAAAGGCCAAGGACGATGTCATGGCCATGAATAGCACCACCCAGGCAGGGAAGTACGTGCTTCCTGGCACTCTGTGAACCGATGGGCACCAGCTTAAGATCCACGCCTACAGTCTGTCCTACTCAGCGTAGAAAGAAGGACGAGGGCGAGGGCGAGGACGAGGACGAGGGCGGCAACGCCTCCCAGAGCACCGCCTCCTGCTCCACATAGCCGCTGAAAGCGAATAATCAGCAGGACGTCGCAGGCGCCAGCAAGGCCTTGGCTGCATCCACGAGCCCCAAGGTGAAGCACCTGACCGAAACGATCCATACACTGCAGGAAGAACTTGAGCCACATCGTGCTTGCCATCGACCCAGGTATAAAGAATGCCGCAACAGCCATAGTCGTGAAATTGCTCATATCTGAAAAGTCCTGGAGACTGTCGTTGCTCAAGGGGTGCCATAGCTGGAACAGCCAACGACACGCAAAGCTGCTGAGGCGCCTCAAAAAAGACAAATGAATCAAAGCTGCAGAGGGGATGGCGAGCATCAACGACCTTGAGGCAAGAATTCGGCTTGCTGGGTGTTCCGACCCTCAAGGAGTCTAATTGGCCTAGCAGTTCGAGGAACTTAGGGATGCAGACTCAGTCTTTACGGTCAAGAAAGATTTGAGGGCCTTCTACGGATCAAAGGGTCTGAAGGCCGCTCGTCCTCTCAAGGAGCAAGGGGAGAAGGTCAAGGTAGGACGTGCAACCAATGGGATGTTCAGGACGGCCCGAACGAGGGCCACGAGGAGTCAGCGACGAGTTATGGTCGTTATCATTGACGGCGACTTCAGGGCAGGAGCGGAGGACTGGTCAAGTCGAACAAGTTTATATCAAGACTCTAAATTTAGGTACGCGGAAACTGAGGAAGCGTTCTGTTTGCAACGATGAAGGAAGGTACGATATGCGTATATTCTTGACATTCTACTCCTACGAATATCGCTGTGTGTAGGCCACCGACGAAGGGATGCTGGTATGCAGCCTCGACAAATTCCGAGCGTCGAGGAGCATTTGACGCAGCACACAAGTTGCACCCCAAGGCTAGCCTCTAGCGCAGTCGGGACCACAACGCTGGCCAGAATATAGCTAACGCAGCCCTTCAATAGGTAAAGGGCTTTAAGTGGCCCGACGCACTGAGCCGGCAAGAAGCGCCAATTCGAACGGCGCATAGCAATATAGCTAGCAAGTCACTCCTTGTCTTTTGTTCTACCCACCCTGAGATTACCTACAAAGAACAGGTTGTGTAGCATTCATTCTTTGTCTTGCAGGTCTATAGTTATTTTGTTCTGTAGGACTATAGCGGTAAATACGGCTTGAGCCTTCGAGTCATCTAGCGGTCTTGATAGAGTCACCTCTGCTCAGTGTCGGCGGTTATCCTCCTTGTCCTCATCCTCATCATCCTCATAGTCCTGGTAGCGAAACTCTTTTACGTTTCCACCTAGGATCCCTCGCCTACCGCCACTACCGCCAAATGATGTCTCTGTAGTCTCGCCTCCAACGCTGAGCCCAAGACTCATCATGTTGAGTTCTCCAAACTGGGATGACATGGACGACACCGTATTGAGGGACGAGTCCAATAGTGAATGCTCTAAGAATGAGGTCTCACGCCGGTATTGGTCATGCGGCGATAGGACCTTGTATCTAGATACACAAAATGAATTACTTTAAATGAAGGCGATAGTATGCCCACTCCCTTATCCAGTGCCTGCAAAGACGAGTAAACGGCGAAGGATCACGGCGTACCTTGTAAACAGCTCCTCGAGTTCGACATCATCATAGTCCTCGCTCAGTTCGTAAGTGATCATGACAAGATTAGCAATCAGGTCGCCTGCGCGGTAAACAAGCACTGTCGGGCAGACCTCTTCGTCAAAGTCAACCTCAGGAGCTTTGATTCGAATGAACTTTGTGGTCGCGTACCGTCCTGCTAGCTGAATTAAGTATCCGTCTAGCTTCTTGCATGCTGCATTGCGCTAATGCAATAAACACAAAAAGAAAAGCAATTGCGTTTGGTAAGGACTCTCCTCGAAGTAAACGCATTCTGCATACAAAGACAGCACCGTGGCGGAAATACCCGCCCGTCGCACCCAGAAGCAAAGAAAAATAGCATACCTCACTGTAGATATGGATAATCACAGTAACGTCCTTCTTTTCCGTATCGATCGCACTCACATACTGCGCTGCGTTCATCTCCATTAAAGACCCAAACACCTTCTTACTGGCCAATCCTGCGCTTCCTGCCACACCCGTCTTTGTAGCCCAGGTCATATCTCGCAGCCGATTTCCTCGAATTCTTTCTAGAATTGCCTTTTCATCAGCATCTACTACGATGGTATCGTTTCCATCGTCCTCGTCCAACAGACCCTTTTCCTTTTTTTCTTGCCGTTCTCGCTCCATGTCTTGAAGGTAAGTCGTCGTTGTTGGTGCCCTTGCCAGCATACGTGCATTGTGGGCTTGTTGAAACGAAAGCCGTTCCTGCAGCTGCTGCCGATGATGGTATTTCTGGTCTGCGATCACGCCCTTGGGCCCTGTGTTGGCGCCGGTATCCCGTTCGGGGTACCCTGGCGCCCTATTGCTTCCTGTCCCTCCTCCTGTCACTGCTCCTGTACTGTGGCTAATTATTGATCCTAATCGACTTGAGGTCTTGCCGTCTAGACGGTCAATCTCACGATCAGTCAGTCCGCCAGTCTCGAGTGAGTCGTATGCGAGCTCCTTGTCATGGATGTCTGTTCCATCGAAGGATTCAGACTCGGAAGCCGTCGAGCCCCAGTCTTCCGGGTCGTCGTTGTTGTAGAGGTACTGTGCCCTGGTGCCGTCTCGGAGTTGATGATCTCTTGATGCATTGCTGCTTCTTTCGGGGTCTGGGAGCAAGTCTAGCCCCATCAGTTTGGCTTCCTCGGCGGCCATGGTTGCAAAAAAAAAAAAAAAAAAAAAAAAAAAAAAAAAAAAAAAAACGGCAAGGGAAAATATATAAATGAACGTAGATGAGGTATTGGACAGGAAGAGTTGTATGGTTTGATGCACAGTAAGCGGGATGAAGGAGGTGGGATGGAAGGATGGAATGAGAGTGGGAACTGAGATGAAAGAAAATTAGATAGAGTAGGAGCCCATTTCTGACTGTTTTACCTATGAAAAGACTACGGCTACACGCCATGCAGCTACTGTATTTGCCATCGTTAGTGTCCTCACTTTAGCCCAGACGGGGCTGTCCACAGTGTAAGAAGGCTTTTTTTTGTAGTATTAATCCATGCACTATGTCAAGCCATATCAAACTAAGGAACAGCCGAGGTGAGCTAAGCTGGACTGAACTGGGCTGAATTGACCTGACGATGTAGCTTTCTATCTTCAAAGGCCCTTCGCGCTGAGTAACAATGGGCTCATGTCAATGAGCCTCTGACATATCTTTCTCTGTTACGGAATCACCGGCGCACCACTCTGTCCTATGAGTCCGCATCCATACATCTTTTCGCTCAGCATCCTGAGCTGCATCGGCATCAGCGGGTCCTGGTAGTGCTCCATCAAGTCGGCCTTCTCGTCTGCTCACCAAAAAGCTCCAGTTATCTATCATGCCCCATGTTTAAACGTCCGACCGCCTTCTCTGAGACCACTATCCCGGCAGCAAATCTGGCCTTGACCCTGCGAAGCGCAGAAAGCGCACGAACCCATCGTGAGCCGTGGCAGCTTCTTCGTAGATGGTGTCATTATCGGCTTTGCCCTCGAATTTGTAAACGTCCCCTATCCTGAGACGGTAACAGTCGATTGGTATCCTGTACATATCTTTTCCGGGGTAGATATGAATGAATGAATGAATGACGATGCACCATGCTTTAGCCCAAACTTTATTTGGAGAGGGGTATGTTCCTTTCTCCTTGCTGTCACCAAAATCAGTTACTTACAATTTATTGACCCGATTATTAGCGAGTATCACGAACAGGAGCAACAAGGAGGACAATGCGTCCTTTACATAGCGGAACCTTGTCAGATGCAATAGGAGAAAGAAAGCCACTTTAGACGCGCTTGATTGGCATGAGCCTTTATAGGCATATATTTAACCTCGGCAGCAGTTTTCCCTCGATTCCATTCCTCGACCATTGCTCATCTTCGGCGTCTTTTAGTTGCAGCTCGACGGGATTTGTGATTTTGCCTTCCTCCTGCCTAGCATCACTTACCTGTGCCGCTGCTCTGGCTATCTGGATCGCTTTAATACGAGAACTCTTCTCGGAGATGTTGGAGGAATCGCCGGTGTCGCCCTCAATGCTGGTACCCGCGCTGCTGATCGCCTTTTCGCCCTTCCTCCCCTTTGGAGTGGCAAGGACAGGTACAGGGCTACTAGGCAAAGAGCCATCGTCAAGCCGATCGTCTTCATCCTCGAACTCGCTGGCAGTATGATAAGAGCTCGACCGCATCGACTTGTCATCGCCATCTTCTTCCTCGTCCTCCTTTCCCCTCGTCTTTCTCCTCATCTTCTTCGTCATTTCCATTCCTGCCCTCTTCTCCCCCTCCATTTCCTCCTTCCCTATTAGCTCTTTCTTCCAGCGCACGCGCCTAGCAGTCTTTCCATTCCCCATTCCTTTCTTTGCATTCTCTTCGCGTTGTCTTTCTAGTCTTTCTTCTATCTCTTATTATTCGTTCTATGCTGTCGCTATCTACGCCCTAGGCTCTCTCCTTCCCCCTTTCTTTTGTTTTCGTTCGCTCTTATGTCTATACACATCTGCGCTTCAGCTATTTACTGGAGAATAAATAATCAGTCCTTTGGCACATAAGGGATCCGTGTGCTGGATTTGTGCTTCTTACGCGCCGGAGATGAGCGCGTCGGCGGCGAAGTTGATCGGGGTAGTGACATAGGTGAAAGCGCAATTGATGCAGTCAAAAAAGCGCTCTGTAGTTGTGGCCACTGAGGTTGCAGTAGAGGTTGCATCAGTGGCACTTGAGGTTGGGGCATGAATGACGGCTGCCCACTCATTTGCTGTTACCACAGCTGCAGGATCTGTTGCTGCTGTTGCTGTTGCTGCCTCGTCTGCTGAGCTTGTTACTTGAGCAAGAGCTGACTCGTATCCTGATTCCCGCTCTGAATTTGCGTCAATGCTCCTGTACAGCCTGATAGGTCAACTGGATCAATGCTGTTGACTCTGGATGACCGTGGACTGGACCCTCAACTGATATGCTAAGACATGGAGCATGTCTTTATATTCCTACATTGGATTCACCTCATCGATTTCCGCAACCATATCCATCCCTGCCCGAAAATCCATGGACATGGGCAATTTGAAGATATCGTCCTGCAAAACCATGCAGTCTTGATCATGGCGCAGCCGATACGCAGCATATTGAAGTATAATTCCCTGGCGCCGCACAAGCAGCCTCAAGAGGCCAGTCCTAGCAACATTCTCATCAGAGTATGCGACTTTGTCGAACGCAGGCTTCTCATGCTGTATAGCTCCTGATGAGGGACTCTCTCCCATAAATGGCGCAACATCCGGACCGATTCCGTTCATCTCGTTCGGGCACGCGCTCTTTCAGCCCTCATTGTCGCTGCCATAAGCGCTCTCAATTCAGGAAAGATCATCTGTTGGAGTAGTATTGATGGGTTGACAGTCCCGAGAGAGAAAGTGGTATTTTCATAGTAGAATCCTGTCATTCTAAATACAAAGTTGAAAGGCAGGCAAGGCACGTAAAAATTCTCCACCCTTCCTCTCTCAGCTGTCCACCAGCCTCCGTCTTTGATGTTCTCTTGTCGTATGCCTAGTCTGTGGGATTCGATGGTGTCAGGAGCGGACCTCTCGATCTGGAAGACGAGGCGGAGGAACTTTAGGCGAATGCAGAAGCAGAGATGGAGCGGGCCAAACGTCTCAAGTCAGACAGCAGTTCCACTGTTACCTCTGTTGCTGCTGCTGCGGTCAAGGAGAGGAGCTTGGATAGGGGTCTTAGGACTCTGCTTAGCGCTGGCCGAGCTATGGCTCGATACCTTTGGTTCACCGATGACTCAAAGTCCGAGAGCGGTGATTATTATAGAGAAAATTCCAGTGACAGCAGCAAGGATAATGACTCAGAAGACGACCATGACGGCAGTCGGGGCCGAAGCAACGACAACAAAGACTAAGATCATGGGAGCGGAAGCAATGACGAGGACAGTAACGATGACGACTCGAACAAGAATGGCGGGCATGAAGGGAATGATAGCGGCGAAGGCGAAGAGGAAGAAGAGAAGGAAGAGGAAGACGACGAAAAGGAAGATGACAAGGACGACAAGGGCCAAGACGCGTGCCTGAACCCGACGCGTCTAGACCGCCATTATGATGGGATGACTGACCAATGAGCGATCGTTTGATATACTAGGGATATCTTACTCTGTGGGCTTCACTGCAGTTTTGGAGACTGGCCATCCATCCCCATCATCCTTTCTTCCCATCCCCTCACCATGAAGCGCTCCTCGAGTTACCGGCTGATCTTGCTCGGACTGGCTTCCGCCTCTCTTCTATCGAATCTCGCCCATGCCTTCTACCTCCCAGGCGTAGCCCCACACGAGTACGAGAATGGGGATGCAGTGCCACTCATGGTCAACGCCCTCACCCCAGGATCCGACAGCGAACTCAAGTCCGTCATCCCCTTCGACTACTACGACCCACACTTTGGGTTCTGTGAACCCAGCCAGGGAGAAAAAGCCCAGGCGGAATCCCTCGGCAGTATCTTGTTTGGCGACCGTATTTGGACATCACCTTACGAGGTAGACAGCTTTGCTCTATTGCATATGTCTTGATTATGCTATCCTTGGTCTGACCTGGGTTGAACGCTAACATCGTTTCTTCATGCTATCTCTATGCCCCACTAGATCCACATGAACACCAGGGTTACCTGCAAGCAGCTTTGCAGCGTGGACGTGTCGCCAGAGCAGGCCCAATTCATCAATGCACGTATCCGGGAGAATTACGCGGTCAACTGGCTGGTCGATGGATTGCCTGCAGGACATGTGCGTCCCGGACGGGAACTCAACACTGAGGTTTACTCCATCGGTTTCCCTCTCGGAGAAGAGGATGGCATGGCTACTCCCAAGCTGAACAACCATTACGAGATTGCGATCGACTATCACCACAACATCCAAAAAGACACGCTGAGGGTTGTGGGTATCGTAGTCCAGCCCATGAGGTATGCGTGTGTCAACATCATTGCGAGCAGTATCTGTGTGCATTGTGTTTTGTCCACAAGCGCTGCAAACGTACGCCATATCTGATATTATCTATCGCTCTTGCCATATAGTATCGCCAAGCCCGTGGTCGGCGAAGTTGTATGCGGTGCCTTGCAGGCAGAACAATCGACTCCGGTTTACTTGGCCGAAAATAGGATCACTCCAGTCGTCTATACTTACTCTGTCGAGTGGAAGGTATTCTACACAACATTGAAATAGCAGAGTTCTGAGCGCCATCATCAAGCAAGCTACACAGGATGTTATCACACATTAACGCTTTCGTGTCCTGTTTCTTCTTGCTGGTATATACATGAAATACTGGCCTATCAGGAAGTGACTACTGCTTGGGCGACTCGATGGGACAAATATCTGTTAGTGGGTGAGCCTCGAATTCACTGGTTCAGCTTGGTCAACTCGATCATCATCGTATTGTTCCTGACGGGCATGGTGGCAATGATTCTCTTGCGGGCCCTTCACAAGGACATTTCTCGCTACAATCAGCTGGAAGCACAGGAGGACATCCAAGAGGATTTTGGATGGAAACTTGTCCATGGCGATGTCTTCCGCACGCCATCTTATCCGATGCTGCTGTCTATTATCGTCGGAAACGGATCTCAGATGTTTTTGATGGCTTCGGTTACGATTGTGTTTGCAGCGCTCGGCTTCCTGTCTCCCTCGAACCGCGGATCTCTTGCGACGATGATGATCGTTTTTTACATGTTCTTTGGGGTCGTAGCCGGGTTTGTGTCTGCCTGCATGTACAAGATGTTGGGAGGCGAGTCATGGAAGAGCAACGTTATTGGCACCGCATTCTTATTTCCCTCGTAAGTGTTGGCAGGACCCAGAAGTATCGCCTTTTAGTCGTTTCGGACGAAGACACATGAGATGTGTGATCCGCATGTTTTTTTTTTTTTTTTTTTTTTTTTTTTTTTTTTCGACTTGTACATGATTTTAACATAAACGCTATTGAATTTTTTTCTTTAAAAGAATCGTCTTTGGCGCGTTTGTGGCACTCAACTTTTTCTTGATCGGTGCCAACTCATCAGGAGCTGTCCCATTCGGGACGATGCTTGGGATCGTCGCTCTCTGGTTCCTGGTGTCGACACCTCTTTCAGTCATTGGATCGTATCTCGGATTCCAGCGTCCTAAGGTCGAGCACCCCGTCCGGGCCAACCAGATTCCACGCCAGATTCCAGACCAGGTCTTTTACTTGCGTCCTATTCCGTCGATGCTGATTGGAGGCATCCTGCCATTTGGGGCGATCTTTATTGAGCTGTACTTTATCCTGAACTCAATCTGGTTCCACAGGATCTACTACGTGTTTGGGTTTTTGTTCCTGGTCTTTGGGATCCTGATCTTGACGTGCGCAGAGGTGACGATTCTGATGTGTTACTTCCATCTGTGCGCGGAGGACTACCACTGGTGGTGGAGAGCATTCTTTACGTCAGGATCATCGGCATTTTACATCTTTTTGTATTCGGTGATGTACTACTTTTCAACGCTGCAGATCGGGTCGTTTACGTCGATGGTGCTGTACTTTGGATGGACGGCAATTATGAGTCTGATGTTCTTTGTGCTCAGTGGGGCGATTGGATTCTTTTCGACGTTTGTCTTTGTGCGAAAGATCTACGGCAGCATCAAGATTGATTAATCTACGCACTCGCGCCTATAAATGCACCTACACGTACATCTACCTGCATACACATATGCACCAATGCGCACACGCGTATACACACAACTCCATGAGTCTCCGTGGAGCCAGAAGCGACTAGCTTTTATCTTTTTCTTCTTCTTCTTATTCCTCTTTTTCTTCGTCTTCTTCATCTTCTTCTTCATCTTCTTCTTCGTCTTCTTCATTTTGTTCTTTTTCTCCTGGTATGTAATAAAGATAGAAAGCGAATGGTATCGGGTTTCTTTTGTTTGTATCACTGCTCACCAGCAGTAATGTATTTTATGAAATAATTATCTTGGGCCGTCTGCAGATGAGCCGTTGAAGAGCAGCATGTGTAACGCGTGGACGAGAGAAGGAGGGACATATGGTTTATGGAAGCGATTGAGGCACCAAAAGGATGTATAAGAAAGACAGAAGGAATAAGGTGCAAGGTTGCTGTTACTATGGACATCAAAATCGCCAAGGGTACGTAGTCTAAGGTGATTTGCCACCAAACAATAGGAGTGAAGGTTTATTAAGTTTATTTAAATGAATTCCATCGTACCCATGCCTCGCAAAGGAGAGCCCGGCCAAGTGGACAGCAAAACGATTGTGTGCCCGGTCTGTATGTTGCTCGTGCCTGTGCCTGAGTCTGTGCCTGAGTCTGAGTCTGCACTGGAGAAGAAATGAAAGTGAAACGAACAAGCTCGGCTGTTTCAAGCAGGCCAATCACATCATCATCATCATCATCATCATCATCATCATCATCATCATCATCATCATCATCATCATCATCTCTATTCACCTTCTTCCATCCTCTTCCATCCTCTTCCCCCCTTCCTCGCTCTTCCTTTCTCCTTCCTCATTCTCTCCAGTCACTCTCATCCCTCTTCCCCTTCATCCCATTTTCCCTATCCTGTCCCCACTTCATCACTCATCTCTTTTTTTCTCTCACTCTCCCGCTCTCTTCTCTATCAATCACGCACTCACGCTCTCCACGCTCGATCTCCACCTCTTCTATCCTTCTCCACCTCTTCAACCGAACGCGCTCTACTCTCACCGGACACAATCAATCGTGTTTCCCCTCTCAATCTCCGCTCTCCCGTCATATCCTTCCCTCTCTATCCTCAAGCGTTTGAAACAATAGCAAGAGTAGTCCGACCATGGCTGGTCTGTTTTCAAAAAAATCCAAAAAGGAAAAGGAAGAAAAGACCGCTGCCAAGAACGCTGCTGCCGCTAGTGCCATCAATGCCACCTCCATCTCCTCCGTCCCTGGAGTCCCGGCGTCGACCTCCAATATCTCATCGATAGGTCCTCCTGGCTCGACCGGCTCCATTGCATCCTCCACCTCGAACCCCCCCTCAGGCACCAAGCCGGGTGCAACAACCACAACTATGTCAGGGGCACATATGCGTGACAACTCAATTTCAGCCTCAGCCTCAGCCTTAGAATACGCGACTCAGCACCAGCAGCAACAGCAGCAACAGCAGCCACAACTTCAACAACAACAGCAGCAGCAGTATGGAATGCAGGCGTCCTCGAGCAAGTCGTCTTTTGACAATGACAAGGCGCGGGTGTATCATCTTCAACAGCAGCACCAGGGCCTCAATAACGTCGTCTCTGCCTCGTCTATCTCGACCCACAACTCCTTTGCAAACTCAAACGGACCATGGCTCTCGGTCCAGGTCATGTCCGTCAATCCCTTTCCACGCTTTTCGCATACGGCATCTTATGTCCAAACTGGCACCGATATCTATATCTTTGGAGGCATTGTCAAAGACTCAGCTCAAAAGGATCTGCACGTTATTGACTTCCGTATGTCGCAATTATCGGGCATCTTTATTTTGCATGAACTTTGTAGGCTGAGTACTCATCTCTGGTTGATTGCGCAACTATATAGAATCGTTGCGTTGCCAGGTATTACCTGCTGTTGGCGCCGACAGCCCACCACCGACGACGGGCCATACAGCCGTGATTCTTGGCCAGTACATCATGTGTAGGTCTTTCGCAGTTTGCGCGAAGCTCACTAGCAACGCTGATTCAAAAGAATCATAATCATACTAAAATCGGTTCGATCCGTCTTGCTTCTCTGTACAGATTTCGGTGGCAAGGACGCAAAAAACAAATGCAGTGATGCACTTTATGTTCTCCACACTGTCCGCAAGGAATGGAATCGGCCAATCATCCACGGACTATTGCCCGCACCTCGTCATTCGCATGCGGCCTGTGTTATCGGGACGACCATGTATATCTTTGGCGGACAATTCAACGGCTACTATCTTAATGACATCGCCTCCTTCGACATGAAGACCCGTATGAGCATGTCTCTTTCCATTCCTTGACCCGGTAGTTTTTCCTGCAATCAGAGCCATGCCCTGACACACACTCTCTTTACTGTAGTAAACACTGCAAGCCCTAAGTGGAATCGCCTGGAGCCCTCGTCAGAACTGCCCCCTGCACGTGCTGGACACTGCGCGGCAGCACACGACGGCAAGATCTATATGTAAGAAAGGGCATTTAAGATCGCGTGCAAACTTGTTCTTTGTGTTTTCTTTCAAGTAATTCTGGTATCAGATGTACGGTTTTAACACTTTAGCCACTCATCTGAAAATCATGTGTTGCCATCTTTGATTACTTCATCCTATAGTTTCGGTGGTGCAGATGAGCAGTTCTTTTACAACGATATTTGGTGCTACGATCCACAGACAAACAAATGGGAGGCAGTGCCAGCGTTCGGGGTCCTTCCTACGAGTCGGCAAGGCCACGCAGCCAGCGTGGTGGATGATACCATGTATATCTATGGAGGTGTTAATCATGAGGATCAGCTCTTGGGCGACCTTTCCGCCTTTAAGTTTTATGGTACAGCTCAGGCTCCGTGCATGTATCGCTGTTCGCTAGTCGTCAATGTTTCTCGCGTTTTTAACATATTCAGCGCTTCTTGTGCAACAGACCGCCGCTGGCTTACATTCCCTGACACTGTAGAGTCGCCGTCCCCAAGGGCCGAACATGCAATGTGCACCGTTGGCGACAAGATTTACATTCTGGGCGGACAGCTGGAACCGAACGCCGATGATGACGCAGGATCCGTTTATATCCTTGACACGAGTATGCTCATGGTGCTGCCATCCTCAGTTTTTAGAGAAGTGTGCATTTTTATTGGACTCAGTACTAACATACTCCGTCTTGCGTTTGGGTGCGCCCTGGGCGTCATTCTTGTTTCATAGCCAAAATTAAATACCACGAGCCGTCATTGATAGGATCCCAGCGACCAGCTTATGACAACGATAGTACGCTACGCGTGGATGGTATCCAGGATGATTCCAATCCATCCTCCCAACGGCCGACGCCATCCCTCAATTCAAACCGACAGCATAATGACCTTAACTACGACACCCGCCGTGCCTTCCAGCTACAACAGCAATCGCAGCAGCAGCACCCGGAGGCTCATGACCATTATTCCAACCACTCTGCGATACACTCGCCCCGGTTTTTGGATGAGCCTAACACTGGAGCCCATTCCCAGATGCGTAGGAGCCTTGACGGCCCAGACTTAAACTCAGCGTCTCGCAGGAGGATGGCGGGCAAGTCTAGCAACTACGTCGTGCATGAGATAGAACCCCGCACAACGCAGTCGATTGACGAGACACGCCGACCCGGCATGCTTGAAAACGACCACTACGCACAAGGTCAGCGACCTATGCAGCTTGACAACGGTGTGTATCCAGCGAGTCAGCAACAGCAACAGCAACAGCAACAGCAACATCAACATCAACAGCAACAGGATTTGATCCGCAGGCAATCTTTGGACAACCGCAGCCGTGGGACCTATACTCAGGTACCCTTGATGCCACTACGTACCTCAATAGATCAAACCGGGACCGCTGTCGTTCCCACCGGCACCCCATCCTCGCAGAACACAGCACAACAAGACTCCTCCGATCCCCAATTCAGTTCCAAGGATATCGAAATCAGGGAGCTGAAGCAGCGAGAGCAATGGCTTCTTGCCGAGGTTGCCATGGCACGCAAGAAGATGGGCGAGGGGGCCCTTAATATGATGGTAGCGCTCAAGGAGGATATGGGAGCCTTCAATGCGGACCGGGACAGCGAAAAGTATCAGATTATGCAGGCACTTCTTAGTGTTAAGGCAGAACTCGAGCGGTCTAAGACCTCGATCGTGACCCAAGCCCAAGTCGTGTCGAACAAGCTGCGTGAGGCCGAGCGAGTCCGTACGGCTGCCCTGCAGGAAGCAGCATACCTCAAGGCAAAGGTTTCGGCTCTTCAGTCTGGCGAGGCATCAAGCTTAGTCATGACTGAGACTGTGCGAGCAGTGGACCTGGAAAAAAGACTGACGGTAGCCTTGGCACTGGTTGACAAGCTGCAATCGCAATCGGCACAGCACGATGCGACTCTGGAACGGGAACGACATGCACGGGAGACTGCCTTTGAGCGAGAACGGCAGACGACAGCGCGTGCAGAAGAGGCGGAGTTGTCACACACCCGCTCGCTTGTAGAGCTAGCGACGCTACATGAGCGCGCCTCTAAGGCTGAGGCCAGCCTGAGAGAATGCGAGGCCAAGAATGCGGCCAACGAGGCTGGACTCTCGAGCTACCAGCAGCAGTCAACGGCTTTATTCTCTCAGATCTCGGCGCTCAAGACCACGGTCGACCACCAGAAAAAGTCGCTTGAGAAGGTCAAGCTGGCCTATTCTGTTGCCAGTGATCGTGCAGAGCATGCAGACCGCCTATGGACTCAGGCGCGTCAGGAGATTGATAACACGCATCTGGAATTTGCAAGTGTTCGTGCAGATCTCGAGCGAGCCCAGCGCGAGGCTGAGCATTGGAAGGCCAAGGCCCAGGACACAGATTTGCTCTGGCAGAAGGCCAAGAACGAGAACGAGACCATGCGGACATTGTTGGAGGAAGACATGAACGCATCTACATACACTCCTGGAACAAACAGCCGCAAGCACGATAGTATCATGGCCATTACCTCTGCGTCTCGGGTCGCAGAACTAGAGCATGAGCTTGGGACATTGAGGCATCTGTTGCGGGAGTCTCAAGCTGCTGCAGCCCAAGCGAACAAGGACCTGGGTGAGGCTATGGTCAGGATCTCGCAACTGGAGCAGACCTCGATGACAGCACGTGCAGAGGCCGCTACTGCCCAGCGCCAACTAACAGCGTCGGAGGATAAGGTCGCGGCTCTTGAGACGCAATTGAGTCAAAAGGAAGAGGCGCTCGAGGAGATGGCCAAGGAGCAGGAGAACAACGAGGTCCAGTTGGGTGTACTCCGGGGTGTGATGCGCGAGAATGGTCTTTTAGCGGATGACCTTATTTTGGAAGCTCTGAGCCAAGGCGCGGATGGCAAACCTGTGGTGGCCAGCCCGACCACGATGACGGGGCTCAAGTCTAAGGTCCAGTACTTGGAGAAACGTGTCCAGGACTCGGAAGTGCAGCTGGAGGAGATGAACGCGCTGAAGGATCAGCAGAAGGAGAGGATCCAGCAGCTCGAGGCGGACTATCAGACTGCTGTGCACTATGTGCAGGGATCTGAGAGTATGCTTCAACGACTCCGAGATGAAGCGCAGGCGGCCAAGAATGAGAAGGATGCTACGCTGGCCAAGTTCCAGGAACTGGAGGCAGCACATGCGCAATGCAGCGATCTCCGCGCCTCTGCTAGCGAGGCTGCCTCTGCCGCTGCCGCTGCCGCCGCTGCAACACTACAGCTCCAAGAAGAGATCTCCGACCTCCATCGTCAGCTGCATGATGCCATGGGACGATCCATGGAGCTCGAGCAAAAGATGGAGGAAATGACAGGGGTACTACAGGGCTCTGAGGCAGCTGTAGAGACGACGCAAGCGGAACTCAAGGCACTCAAGGCGAAGCATCATGAGCACAAGAAACAGGGTGCCATCAGTGCTGAGAACTACCAAACAAAGCTGGAACAGCTCGAGACAACTGTTCATGAGACTCAAGCTTCCCTCGCAGAGACTCAGCAAAAGCTAGAGGCATCTCAGCGAATACTTGAGCAGGCACAGGCATTAAGCAAGAGCAAGACTAAGGAATTGGACGAGGCTTTGGTGGCACTTAAGGATGCACAGGAAGCTGTGGCGGCTGCCAAGGATGTGTCCGCAAGCCAGGCTTGCAAGCGCGATCTAGAAGAGGAGAAGAAGAGGGATGCGGCTGCATTAGAGGCCGAACAGAAGCGGGCAGCAGCCTATGCTGCGCATCAGGAAGACTTGGAGCTGGTGATTGACAATGCACAAAAGACGATTCAAGAACTACTGGGCAAGAATCTGGATCTGGAACAGCAACTGCGGGTGTCCGAGAACAAGATCTCGATCCTGTTGGATAATTTCCAGGGCCCGGATTCTGTGCGGAACAGTGTAGCGAGTTTGAGTGGAGGTGATGATCTGATCCTCCGCTTGTTGGAGGCTAACCAGCAGCAGCAACATATTTTGCTATCAGGGACAACAGGCCGGTCGCATCTGACACCAATGTCGCATGGGTCGAACCTGACGGACCGATCCTCGGCGGATTCACTTGCAAATGAGCTGGAAATGTTGAGGTCGAATTGGGGACAAGCACAGTTGAACGGCACTATCCATCGACCAGGCGATATAATGACAGCTGCAGCGGCAGCGGCAGCGGAGGGAGGCAATGGTACAGCCAGTGCGGAAGCTGAAACACTTTCGGCAGCACCGTCAACAGTAGATCCTTCTGGAACGACTGCGAGCACCAACGGTGGCGAGATGACTGGGTCGGACACCACAGCAGTCTCCTCAGCACCAGTGGCAGCAGCAAAGGAATTTCTTTCTTCAACACTGGTATCGTCATCGCCACCCTCGACGTTGACATCCGCGCAGAAGCTGGAGGAGTATGAAAAGATGATTGAGGATATGGCTAATACTCGTCGACAGTATGAAGAGTAGAGGGATAGTACAGATTTCAAAGGGTTTATTTAATTAATAATGAAGCGAATGCTAATGACTGATGATTACCGGTTCTTATTACAACCAGCTATATATCTTATGCCATGCCATACCAGGGAGTAAGGGCAAGGATGGCGGCCTTGGACAATGAGCACTGGGGTATAAGACAGTATGCGGACCAAAATAAGCGGAGCGAAGATCGTATCTATGTTGAGATTGAGGGGCGTAGCGCATCCAAATGAACCCTCATCCTGAGGAATCGACAGAAAAAGTAGCAAGTAGGATTCACAGGTAAATAAAGGGTCTGGAGGTTAAGTGAAATCGTAAAAGAATGAAGAATGAAGTGAGTTGTGGAACACTCTATATCAAAGGGAGACAATGCTAGAAAACTAATGAGTAAGGCTCGGATATGGCCTCCTATTTGTCTAAGCAAGGTATACCCACAGTTGACATGGTCTATCGGTCCGACAAGGAACATCGGCAACAAAAAAAAAGAGTTTAGGGTTTCACCGGTGAATTCCACATATGGCAATAGCACTTCTATATCACTGAATTTCACTGGATCTCACCGATTCTTTGTTCACCGGTGAATATTTTTTCACCGGTGAGGAGATTTACCCTGGCATTGAGACATTGAGACATTGAGACTGCGCCCTTGCAGCCAGCTCCTTTGGAAGATCAGGCTATATTGGCGATACTTAACGCCGACGCTGGCAGGGTGAATACTATGACAACTCATGATTGTTAGTAGAGGCAAAACAACGGGAAGGTTTATCACAGCCAGGACAAATAGCGGACGATGTTAACAGCACCGCATACCCTGAGAAGAACCCGAATTCTCCCAACCCTTCAGGCATGCCTCTCCACGAGTTGCTGATATAGAAGGAACAGGCAAAAAAAACTGTAGAAAGTGCGTGGAGAGCCTGGCAGGGGCACAGACAGCGTGGAAAAGAAGGGCGAGTGAGCCGAGATAAGGTGCGAAGCAGCGGGGGAGGGGGGGAGGGGAAAAAGAAAGGTGAAAGACATAAATGAAGGATGAGAGGCTGTACGGAAGGGCAGTGTGGAGGAGATTCATGTTCTATGCGCGTAAAGAATAAAGATAAAGATAAAGATAAAGATAAAGAGAGAAAGAGATACCAGATTCTGCTCCAATGCTGCAGTTACGAGAAGACAGCTCAGCAAGAGGGCCCTTGTCCACTCCATTCTACATTTTCCAGATTTGCAACTTCATTGGGAGAAAAGAGTCAAAGGAAGGCGCGGCCATGGTCAATCGACTACATGTTGAATCCAAACATGATTCCTCCCTCAAAGTTGGAGCGTTCGAGATTAAGCACTATGAAATTATGCAAGGCATATCCTAACTCGAGGTAACCTCGATTGAGCGACCGACCGCTCACGATGATACCACAACACATCTCTTACGGGATTGTAACGGATTCCAAGGAATGGCATTTTCTAGACTGCACATTTAACCCCACCAACATGACGCCGATAATCCGCGAATCTGCCCTTTCAAAGAAAATCAACTACTACTGTGCAGACGAACTCGGCGACGAAGTGGAGTATGTATTCGGGCGCCTCGTGTGGCTACTGGAACAAATTTCGAGACAAGGCAACTTCTTCAGGCAGACACTGATCGCCATGAACCGTAATACTAAACCTTTTTCTTGATTGACACCGTATGAGATGTTCTTCATTAATACTTCATTAATAGTGAGATGCGATGTGATTTGAGCTTGGGGTATGTTGTGCTGGGTGCACATGGGTAGTATATAAGCGCAAAATGTCCTAGTCTGGACTGTACTCAGTTCCTGGTCATGCTGCAAACATTGATCCGGGTGCCGTGTGTTGTTCGATCGCGATGCAGTGGGGAGCGAAAACATAGTCAGCGTATGCCAGGTGCTGCTACAGGATCAGAAGAGACCCGACAAATACAAGCCTTTGTAAAGTCCTGCAACAACAGCAGCAGCCCCAGATCCGTCAATATCTGCAGCAGCGAGCAGGAACAAAAAACGAGCAATAGACCAGGGCCCATCAACATCAGCAGCAACGAACAAGGGCCAGAGCCGTCAAACCCCAGCAGACCCCAGTTCATCAGTCGCCACATGCGAACTACAGTAGGAGCCGCGAGGACATCGCTAGAACAATACGATTTGTTGGGCTTGAAATCTTCATGAACAATTTGCAGGCAGGCACTCTGCCTTTGCTTGCTGTTTTAATAATATGCCTGCTAACCGCGTATTCCTCTGAATTGAATGCAGACGCTACAGGTAAGCTGTATGAACTACAAGTACCCAAGTTGAAAGGATAAATGCAGCTCCTCGAGCGGGTCGTCCGTATCGGCGACAGCGACATACGCTGCGGGTCCTTTGATCTATATAGTATCCAGTCGTCGGCCTATCGGACATTGATCAAAAACTGTTCTCGAGCAGCCCTCCAGCAAAGCGTGGATCGCGTTTCTATACGTTGACAATAAAAGCCAATACCATGAGTCAGTCGGACTGAGGCTGTAAACATCACATATAACTAGTAACTAGAAAATAATAAAAAAACAGGTTAGTTATACAGCTAGCTCCCTTACCTGTGATGACATGCTGCGAAGTCTCTTCGTTCAAGGACCGCATCCTCGCCGCCTCCTCGTCAACGGTGTCATTCTCGCCATGGCCAATGATCACCAACTCGTCATAATCTTCCTCGTCCTCTTCTTCCTCTCCCGAGTTATCTCCTCCACCAGGAACAACCGACCCAGGTACGCTGAAACTTGCGCTGCTTGATAGTGGCAGTCCATCTGCTCCCGCCAGTCCATGGTCGCCGCTTCCCTGAGCAACCGGACTCTGTACCAAGCTTGTGCCACTCACCACCGTGCCTGAAATACCTGCTATGGCTGCAGGAGGTGCTGGAGTCTTTTTCTTGCGTCTCACTTTTAGCGTCTTGATCGGCTCTAAAGAGTTCATCTCTCTCCGCCGCTGAATCTGTTTCCGCAAGAACTCGCGCACCCGTCGACCTTGAGCCTCCGATCGTGCCGTCTCAATTTCCTTCATTGTCAGCTCGTCCCCGACCCAGTCCCAAAGCACTCGGAGACAGGTCTCATTCCCGATCCTCGCTGCAAGAAGCATTGCTGTCAGAGGTCCACCTTCATCGAATGTCTGATAAGGGTCGGCGCCATGATCCAGCATCCAGTCCAACAGTTCTTCCTGGTCCTGTTGATCTGGCCGTTCAATCGCGTCGTGCAGTGGCGAACGCCCCATGTTGCCTTTGGCATTAATGTCCGCACCATGCAGCAGAAGCGTCTCCAGCGCAGAAATGGGTTTCTTTTGGCAGCTGACAGCGATGTGCATTGCAGTATTCCCTCTGGAGTCCTGATCCGAGCATCCCTGTGGATTGTGTTGAAGAATCAGGTTGAGCACCTCGACTGGGTCCTGATTATGCTCCGCTACATGGAAGATGGACTGCGGTGTCAGCTTTGCGCCCTTGGAGAGTAGGAGCGTCATTGAGGGAACAGGGTCCGGGCAATACCGCGTCAACAAATCCATGCATGTCCAGTCACTTCCTGTCTTTTTCGTAAAGTCGGCACCGGCGTCAAGAAGCAATTGAATACACTCGTACGGTTCCGGATTGTAGCGCACCAAGGAATGCAGCACTGTCCAGTCTTTGTGTCCGATTGCCGTAGCATCGGCGCCGTGGTTCAGCAGCAGCTTGAACAACTCTAGCGGTTGATGATTGGCGCGGGCGACGAGATGAAGCGACGTCCAGTCACTCTTTGTCTTGGCGTTGACGTCCGCGCCGGCCTCGATTAATAGACGCATACTCTCCAAAGGATTCGCGCAATAGTTGGCTAAAAAGTGCAGGATGCTCCATCCGTCCTGCGTTGTCACTGTCGGATCCGCTCCACACTGCAGCAGAAATCTGATAGACTCTAGCGGCTGAGGCGTGCATCTGGCAACACTGTGCAGGACGGACCACCCGTTTTTGCCGACTGCATTCACGTCCGCGCCGTATTCGACCAGAATCTTGAGAGCCTCCAATGGATCCTCGTTTGAGTTGGCGAGCAAGTGTGTCGGCGACCAGCCATCTGCTGTCTTGTCGTGAACGGTCGCACCTGCCTCGAGCAACAGTCTCAATGCAGCCATGGGTTTCTTGTTACTGTAGACCAAGAAGTGAAGGGTCGTCCATTCTTTCTTCCCTTGTTTGTTGACATCGACTCCTGCATCCAGCAACACCTTGATGGACTCGTACGACTCATAGGGGTCATGGCAATGTTTTGCAAGCGAGTGCAGTGCGGTTGCATGTCCAGCCTTGAGAACGTTAACATCGACTCCTGCGTTCACGAGCAATCTGATCCCCGCTAGCGGCGACTTGTTGTATCGGACCAGACAATGCAAAACGCTCCATCCGTCAGCACCAATCACGTTGACGTCGGCACCATTCTCCAAAAGATATGCAAGCGCCTCAACGGGGTCTGGGTTATCCTTTGCGGTATAGTGAAGTGCCGTCCACTGCTTGATCGTCTTTGCGTTCACGTCGACTCCGTGCTCTACCACCAGCTTGATGGTCTTAAGCATATCCTTACTTGCCCTTGAGTATTCGCCCTTGAAAATACACCTTGCCAGGGCATGCAGGACTGTGCATTGCTCGTCCGTCTGTGAATGGACCGAGACGCCATGCTCGATCAGGTACTTGATGCAGTCGTAAGGCTCGGCGTTATATCGAGCAAAGGTATGCATGACGCTCCAGCCATGGACACTAATAGCCGAGACATCTGCGCCAAGGGAAACCAGCAGCTTCATGGCCTCGAGACAGCCAGACCTGTATGAATGTGCGAGGGTATGTAACACCGAGAGCCCTTTTTCTGTCGCATGGTTCACATCAGCGCCGTGTTGAACCAGCAGTTTAATGGACTCGAGCGCCTCTGGTTGTTCCTGGACGAGAATGTGCAGGGGCGTTGCACCGTCAACTCGCAAAGCCATAGGATCGTAGCCCTCATGAATTAGGATGTCGATCATGTTCCAGAGCACAGAAGGATCGTCGAGGATGACGTATTGACATGCGAGGTGGAGATATGTCTGGTTCTGGCCCAAAGGCTTGTCCCGCATGAGTTGTCCTGGTCGGGCGTAGAGCGCATACTCTGCCGACAGTGAGTATTCCTGAGAGATGGCAGACTGTTGGCGGTATGCTGCTGTGGAAGAGGTGGCCATGAGTGCAAAAGGGTGTCCAGAGTTGTCGATATAAGTCCTGCGGTAGCTGCCACTTGCCGTTCTACTGTAGTAGCTGTTGTATGGTGCGGTGTTGCTGTCGGCGTAGACACCCTTTGAGGTGGAGGATCTTTGTGAGCTGTGGCTGCTTTGGTTGGTGCGACTGTTGGTAAAACGTTGAATAGGCCAAGACACCTTGACGTTCGGCGGCACTGAGGTGAGAGAGGTGAATGAAGATGATACATCGGAGACGGACGTAGAGGCAGCAACGGCTGCGAGGCGAGAGCGCCTGCGCATGGCGAGGATGAATGCGACGGCATGGTAGTCGCCGGCCCGGACAGAGATCTCCATTGGCTGGGGCGGAGGGTTTTCGATGGAGTATGGTCCAAAACGGGCTTTGAGCCACTCGAGATCCGGGTCGCAGGAGGATTCGGCGAGGAGCTGGGGATGAAGATGAGAAACCATTGCAGGACTAGGCTTGTGGTCAAGGCTGAACTGGCTGGACTGTCTGAACTGGGCAGGGTGCTGAAAGGAAGAGATATGAGATGAGAGGCATGATCCGCTGGAGCAATGGGTATTATCTCCTTGAAGTCGATGGAAGCACATGCTTACCTTGGTCTTGATCTTGTCTTAGTCTTGGTCTTGGTCTTGGTCAGGTCAGGTCAGGTCAAGACAATGCAACTTGGGGAGTGAAGGAAAGTTTGTTTGTATTGTTCGTCTAGAGTGTGGGAGTAAGAGTGGGTGTGTGTATGAGTGGTGAGGAGATATGAATGGGATGGGATGGGATGGGATGGGTTGGAGTGTGATGGGGTAAAGATGAAGGAGCTGCTGAGGCGATGGTTGATGACGCCTGAGCAGCTGTGGTTTTTCCTCGTTTTGAAAAAAAGGGTGCAATGGTCACGTGGAAACCATGGCGCCCCAACAGGGCTTTTTCTTTCAAAAGAGGCATCCCAAAAGGACCGCACCACACCCACTCTGTCCACACATCCACCCCAGACTTATGTACAGCCGACACTCATTAATCCCCAGCCGAACCAACAACCGTCTTCCGCTACCAATACATTTCTCACTCGATTTAGACGAAGACGATCAGGATGGTTCGCGAGAGTCTATTGACCACTTGGAGGATAACGGGGTTGGTGATCAGGATGAGGACACGATAAACAATTCGAAATTGCTTCAAGACGACAAGGCAGGCAATAAGGAAGAGGAACACGAGGAGAAACACGAAGAGGTACACGAAGAGGAACACGAAGAGGAACACGAAGAGGAACACGAAGAGGAAGTAGAGGATGACGGACCATACGACGAAGAATCCGACGAATATGAATACGAAGATGAATACGAAGATGAAGACGAAGACGAAGACGAAGTCGAGGAGGATGTACCAGGTGATGAAGAATACGAAGAAGAGCTGGATGACAGTCTTCACAGCTGGAAAGAAGACACAAGACACTGCGACAGCGAGGACGACGGCTTGAAGGGCAGTGGAAGGACGCTGGATGAACTCCGAGAAGAATCCCTGCAGCGCTTGGCCGATGCTTGGTCAGATATCTTTGAACGCTATGGCAGGGACCAATCCGAGCTTCCGCCAGACGACGTACTCGACCTCAAGACAGGGACTCTTATAGTCGACAATGGCTTCCTTAGGTCGCGCAAGACAACGCTCTTTGGTACACTGACAAGGCTCGGTAAGGATCTCAAGCAACCACTGATGTCTGAGCGCAAGTGGCTCCAAGCTGGGATCGGAAAGAGAAGAAGGCCACGTATGGACTCCGAAAGCGAGGATGAAAAGATACGTCATCATCGCGACAGTCGTCTTCGGCCACATACCAGCAAGCGCCAAATGCCCCAAAACGAAGAACCATGGAACAATGTTAACGGTACATTCTCGAAGCGGCCGCGCTCTGGTGAAGATCGTATGAGCCGCTCATCGCCTCCAGGGCTGCTATACTGGGAGACCCCGCCGCTTTCTCCCGCATCTGACGAGGATCTTGTCAGCGCACAGCACCATCAGGACGAGTGTGAGAGCGATAAAGAAGCAAGATGTGATGAGGACAGCTCTGGCATGATGATGCATGAGGACATTTATGGCGAACATCAGGGGTTCAATTATAATAATGTTGAAGAAGAGGGAGAATTCAGAGACGACGATTATGCGCGGGAACGAGAGGCAATGGTCCTTGACGATGTTCATATGACGGAGCAGGACGAACGCGATGAGGCTAAGGATCGGGCGAACATGGCTCAATGGCGGCCAGTGATGCTGCCGCAAACAAAAGTGTTGCTGCAGTCGCTCCTGTCCAAGGTGCCGCTCGTCTCAAAAGACATCTAGGTGCCTTTCCGCATAGCATGCAAGAAAGACACTGAAATGACAGACTACTACTCGTACGGTGCACAGGAACTCATCGTTGCACGGGCGACTCTATTTCTGAAACAAATAAAATTTTCAGATCACCCCACGCGATCGACAGTTGTCTCCGACTGGTGCCTTTTGTCTTACAGCGTCCTCTGATCGGGCAGTTATAGCTGATATGCCCTTTGATCGAGCCCATGTAGCAACACCTGCACGCTCATGCTGTCTTCTACCAACTGCGGATCAAACTCGCCCTGCCATTTTTTACCGACCAGGGACTTTCTTTCTGATCAATCAAACTTCTAAGGCCTTCCGCCCAAGGATACAATCAGTCCACGCTAGGCGCTCGTCACTAAAAATACCAAACTGGCAAACGAACTGCTTCTTTACACTTTTTTGTCTCTGCCTTGTATTCGCTCTCCCATGAGGTCTACCCTCACTCCCGCCCCTCCTCCCCTCCCCCTCCCCCCACCGAGTCACATATCAAAAACAGAATCGGACAGTAGGCCTACAGTCCTATAATCGAAGCTACCCATCACACTATAATGCAGGAGTGCAAGTACGATTTCAACCTGTCGCAAGGTGTTATTGCGTTATCTTTATTCAATATTCTAATAACCAGTGTGCTTCTTTTAAAAGACATCATGGCCAGGCAGTCGAGTGTCGACAACATTCCATGACCACACCGTCGGAACTTTCGAGATTTCTACCAGTATTGCATCACGAACCCTTTTAGCGGTAGTAGGGGGCGGTCCAGCCGAGGTATTTCTGTAGAAAGAACACGAACACAAACTAGTTAGTCAAGGACGCTGCATGCCAAGGTGCTCGAGAGGAGGAACAATTGGACAACAAATAATTTACCTGGCCCCACTTGCTCTCGATGGCACCAATCGTGCTGCGAGTGAGAGTACCGAGGCCGTTAATGTCGGTCGAGATGATGTTGGCACCACCAGTAGAGATGGCAATATGGCCGGCTCCGGTTTTGCCACCCTTGTAAAAGACCAGAGCGCCGGCTGGAGGGTTGCGGTCATTAGGGTGCCTGTACTTGCTCGGGGTAGACTGCCAGTGAATATAAGCAGTGTTGAACCCAGAGTAGGAGCGACCGTAGGCACGAGCCATGATCTTGTCACACCATCCAATGTAATCGGAGTTGCGGCTAGTCGAAATATGGGAGACAGCCCACTGGACCGCGCCAGCGCAGGTCCTGGGGTTGCTAATGCCAGAGGCTTGACAGCCGCTGGTAGGAGGAGAGGGAGTAGTACCCTTGCATGCAGGAGCAGCACGTCCATCGGTTCCGGTGTAGACGTAGGTATCGGTGACATAGCCGCCAGGGACGTGATCCCAGATGGTGGAGGTGCCGTACTTGCCAGTGACCTTGGTACCGGTGGCCGTGCAGTCGATAGTGACCTTAGCGCCGTTCTTGATTGATCCGACGACCTTGGACGAGGTGGAGGGTCCGGAGTGGATGTTCAGAGGAGCACCGGCGGTGTGGACAGTGCCGGTAGCGGCCTGTGTCGAGGCGATGGATGCGACGAGTGCGATAAGGGCAAGCGAGAACTTCATGTTTGGATTGAGTTGGTTTGGTTTGGTTTGGTTGAACTGAGTTGGGCTTGATGAGAGGAAGGCTGGGTGAATGGCTTTTTTCAGGGCAGATGGAGCTCTTTTTATATCTGCCTGGCAAGAGAGTGGAGCCGTAGATGGATGCCCCGGCCTTGTGTGACAGCAACTGGGACACAACGCATTGCGCGCTCTCGACCAGCAACACTTGGCACCGTTAGCGCGGTGATGGGTGTGAGCGCGGTCCAGCGAATGAAGAGTCGTGGAGAAGAAGAAAAAAAAAGCGGCGTGGATAGAAAGATGTCTGAACACGGCGCGCACTTTCCTTTAGAGGCCATCCATTTGTTTTTGTCTTTGTCCTATCGTCCTTGAGAGGACCGTTGGAAGGTCTAGGTGATTTCATTTACAGTTTCGATCTACAATCAAGAACGCGCGCGCGAAATTTTAATCGAGCATAGAGCGTGTGCATGTGTGAGACAGAAGGAACAGCAGAGCCCGCTGCACCGCCGACTCGCTTAGGAGTAACCAGTCATTAAGTAATTGTGTTTTCTTCTTTTTCATCGAGAGCAGCCCAAGGAACTCGGGAGTACGCGTAGACTCTCTGGGATTTATTAAATATTATTAACAAAGATAAACCAGTCAGTCGCTGGGAGCCTTCAACCCTTTTTTAAGTTTGTTCCGCATGTTGGAGTATTAGTATATGCATCCCTGGAAGATCGTTAATATCTGTGCGCATGTTTATTTTTGTCCTCGATGGGGATTGGCCCTTTTTCCATCGGGAGGACCGCTCTGGCTAATTCTTGGGTAGAGGGTGTAGCTCTCGTCCACGGCCATCGGCGGGATAATGAAGAGGTATCAATGTAAACATGCAAGGGCGCCGCTTTTGGACGACCACACCTGCTTTGGGTTAATTGGGCTGTGCATGCTTTGTTTATCTCAGTAATTTCAAGGTACCAGACCACAACCCCTAGTCTTTTTTGGGTTCATTCTCCTTGCACGCGTCGCGCCCCTTTTGCCTTTTTGTTTGTTTAAAGAGTACAGAGAAGCTCATTCAGTATCAATTGATCCTTCATCCTCACCGGCAAACGCGCGCCTAGTATTAGACATGAAGTAGCTACGCTCTCATCGTTGCGCTGCTATTGATGGTCGTATTACAAGTAGTGATAATTAGTTAGGAATCCATAGTCCATGGGGGGACATGGAGACTGAGTGTGAACAGGTACTCAACTGCCCTCAGAGACCAATCAGAACGGAATACCGCAGACTTTGTTGGCTGTTTAGTCTCTTTTTATCCGTACGGTGTTTATTGTCGTTTCAACCATATCCTTGTGCCAATCATAATCGTGTGTAACATTCACATTCCGAAGCCATTTTTGCAAATGCTCCCAACACGGCTAGCGGTCCCTGTGTCGTTGACGCTACACATCGAGATCCCAGAGAGTCTACGCGTACTCCCGAGTTCCTTGGGCTGCTCTCGATGAAAAAGAAGAAAACACAATTACTTAATGACTGGTTACTCCTAAGCGAGTCGGCGGTGCAGCGGGCTCTGCTGTTCCTTCTGTCTCACACATGCACACGCTCTATGCTCGATTAAAATTTCGCGCGCGCGTTCTTGATTGTAGATCGAAACTGTAAATGAAATCACCTAGACCTTCCAACGGTCCTCTCAAGGACGATAGGACAAAGACAAAAACAAATGGATGGCCTCTAAAGGAAAGTGCGCGCCGTGTTCAGACATCTTTCTATCCACGCCGCTTTTTTTTTCTTCTTCTCCACGACTCTTCATTCGCTGGACCGCGCTCACACCCATCACCGCGCTAACGGTGCCAAGTGTTGCTGGTCGAGAGCGCGCAATGCGTTGTGTCCCAGTTGCTGTCACACAAGGCCGGGGCATCCATCTACGGCTCCACTCTCTTGCCAGGCAGATATAAAAAGAGCTCCATCTGCCCTGAAAAAAGCCATTCACCCAGCCTTCCTCTCATCAAGCCCAACTCAGTTCAACCAAACCAAACCAAACCAACTCAATCCAAACATGAAGTTCTCGCTTGCCCTTATCGCACTCGTCGCATCCATCGCCTCGACACAGGCCGCTACCGGCACTGTCCACACCGCCGGTGCTCCTCTGAACATCCACTCCGGACCCTCCACCTCGTCCAAGGTCGTCGGATCAATCAAGAACGGCGCTAAGGTCACTATCGACTGCACGGCCACCGGTACCAAGGTCACTGGCAAGTACGGCACCTCCACCATCTGGGATCACGTCCCTGGCGGCTATGTCACCGATACCTACGTCTACACCGGAACCGATGGACGTGCTGCTCCTGCATGCAAGGGTACTACTCCTCCTCCTTCTGGTAATAACCTGCCCGGATTAAATGCACGTCAGTCTGGATACGCCCGCACGATCGCCAAGGCTGCCCATACCTACGGAGTCGGTGCCCGTGGTTGTGCCGTTGCCATTGCCACCGCCTTGGTCGAGTCCAATATTGCGGTTTATTGCAACTACAAGGTCGCGGGATCCTGCAACTTGCCTCACGATGCCGTGGGATCCGACCACCAGTCGGTCGGCATTTTCCAGCAGCAGTCTCCGCTATGGGGAACTGCTAAACAGTGTATGGACCCTGCCAGCTCTGCCGGTTTGTTCTATAAGGCCTTGAAGGGCGTCAAAGGCTGGGCTAGCATGCCGATTGGAACTGCCGCTCAGCGCGTTCAGCGCTCGGCTTACCCAGACCGCTATGCCACCCGCGCGAGTCAGGCCGTCAGCATTTGTACCAAGGCTTACTAAAACGATTCTAGAGCGAGGGCCTGGTGCCTCAAGCTTACTCCAATATGATGCTCAGGAAAATATGGTGTCTACGCAGGAATAAATAATACCATTACTATTTTGATAAACGCGTGTGATTCGTCCAGTGGTGTCTTCTTTGGATGCGTATACACATTTGCTTCTTTTCGGCTAATATGGATGTTCCTTATTAGCCAACGCTCTAGTCTGCTCTCACGGTCGTTATGGTATCGCGGATAACTAATAATCGCCTCCACGTCCTGTCTTATGCACTGATTCAGGTGCATACACACGTAAGATGAATGCTCACGCAAGGCCGTTCGCAATCAAAGCTGAGTTGTTCGCAGTCTTGACCGAGTCTAGGACGCGGAAGAGACCATCCTGATCCTGAAAATCATTGTGCACAATATTGATCAGGTACCATTCGTCCCGAATGGCATTGATCACTTTCGCCGGCGTTGTTGATGGCGTATAAATCTTTGACCATTCTGACCACAACTCGAACGCCTCGTCCTATTGTTCAGAAGATCAATAAAAAATACAGTGTAAGGTTCATATAGCTCTCACGATAGAACTCCCTCGACAGATCAGAAGACGTTTTACTAGGTTACATTACCTTCCAAGCCATGAAGCTGACAACTTCGACCACGGTTGGCTGTACAATTTCCTTGCCAACAAATACACCCCATGTAACGGCATTTGGTCCATCATTCTGACTGTTCGTCCGGAGATCGCCGCGCCTGTTGACGGCGTAGTATGTAATCTGGAGTTCATCCTCAATCCTCCTGACCAGTTCACTCAAGTTCTCGGGCGAAATAAAGAATTCGAGGTACGCCTACAACAAGTATTTCAATAATGGCAAGGGTAATGCAAATGAGTAACCTGAATACAGTAAAGGACACCAGAAAGCTGCTTGCTAATCGAATAAAAAGACCTGCAAGCTGTATTACCTTTTGGTAGACGTATCCATTCTTTGGTCCCCATCCATGGACCTTGTCGTCCGAGCGCACACCATTAACGGCAGGCTGGGAATTGATGGTCAAGTAACCACGTCGATTCAAATTCGCCAAAGTATCCCTGATCGCATCCGTCTCAGGATAAAGCGAACTCTCGTCACTCCAAGGAATCGACTTGATCTCTCCACGACAGTATTTTGCAAAGAGATCCGCCACATCATCAGGGTCCTGAGGATAACCCCACATCTCCAAAGCTTCCTTTGCGGGGACCTTGAGCGAAGTACCGTAGCCATCCAGTTCTCCAAATGCTGGCGAGCGAGAGTCTCCCCAGCGACCGTTCGGGAACTCGTCCCATGCCTCCGTACGGGTAATATAGGACTTGATTCTGTTCTTCCAAAAGATAGGCCGAACATTCTCCTTCTCACGCTTTTTGGACAAGGATGGGTTCCATGGCAGCTGACGGACGTTCTCACGCGGCGCAACAAAGTTCAGTCCTTCAAGGATGAGCCTAGTGGATTTCTCAAGATTAAGGGTGTAAAAATGAAACCCATTGATTCCTGCAGCCTTGATCTCCCGGCACATCTCGATTGCCAACTTGACGCCATAGTCCTTCACCGCCTGGTCGTCTTCCTATTATTTCCACATGAAAGACTGACTTTCAGCTCTGGCTCAAGGGTAAAAAAAAAAGAAAAACAGAAAAAAAAAAAGAAAAACAGAAAAAAAAAAAGAAAAACAGAAAAAAAAAAAGAAAAAAAAGAAAAAGAAAAAGAGAGAGGAGGGGAGGGGAGGGGGAGAAGCAGAGACAGACAACACGAGAGAAACAATTCGATCAAAATACCTTGATGGGCTCCAGAGCATTCCTGATATGGTCCGGGACGTATGTTTTGCACAAAGCCGTCATTCTCGTAAAGCCGCCAAAGTTTTGTATAGGCATGATACCAGGCAAGATTGGAACCGTAATCCCGCGCTGCCGGCACTCCTTAACCCAGTTGATGAACAGGCCAGTGTCGTAAAACAATTGCGTGACAACAAAATCTGCACCCTGATCCACCTTGAACTTCAGCCATTTGAAATCCTCCTCTGCGTCGGCCGAGTCTAAATGTTTTTCGGGGTAGCCAGCCACGCCAATCGAAAAATAGTCGCCGTACTGCTGGCGAATGTAGGCCACTAGGTCGGAGGCGTAGGAAAAGCCGTTGTCACAAGAGATCCACTGTTCCTGACCTCGGGGTGGGTCACCTCGAAGAGCGAGTATGTTTTGGTTACCGCAATCCTTGGCTGCCTACAAAGAAGGGTTATCAGAGAAATCAGAACAACGACGGTGGAGAGCACTGAGGGTCTTTCTCCTGGTGATGACGAACACAAAGACAAAAAGCTTACTTTGAGAGCAATGTCGATTTTTTCCTTGGGCATGTTGGTACATGTAAGGTGCATGCAGGTCTCGAGGCCATAGACACTCTGTGCGGTCGCGACCAGCTCTGTAGTGAGGTCCGAGGATGTGCCGCCTGCGTTCCAAGTGATATCGACGAATTCAGGGCCGAGATTGTACATGCGCTCCATGCGCTCAAACAGATTCTGGACACCGGCGGTGGTCTTCGGGGGGAAGTACTCGAAGGACCAGAATGGGCGACCCTCCTCCTCGGCGCGGATGATCTTGTCACTGATTTTCATGGCGGGCAGGATGATGGACTGATGCGACTGAGGGAGGGCCTTGGTTAAGCATCGCCGAAAAGCACGACATCAAACTTATAACAGTCACTCAAGGAACCTTCCTGGGAGCATTCCAGCGCGTCTGAATAATACTCTCATAGGCACTTTTTCAGCGTTTCCTATACCACGATGGAGCCCAATTAACATACTCAAGACATGAGAGAGGATAAAGTAGAGGATATGGTTACCATTCTCCGTCATGCCAGCCAGTGTGCAAGCGCCTCTTTATTGCAATCCTAAGCCTTTTCAAGTGCTGCATGCATGGTATGAGCTCCATATCATTTGGTGCCTTACCCTTTGCCATCATGATTGCGTACAGATATTAAAAGAAGGCTGGTACTTGATATTTACATTGGGATACAGCAATTTGTATAGATAGTCCCGATGCGTTGAGATGGATAGGTGCGACAGAGATGGAAGATCTTTGAGAACCAAAAGCCGGGAATGACAACATATAAGAGTGTGAAGAGGGACGGACAGTTGCAAAGGCTTGTTAGAGAATGAAACGGAGTTATTAATCTTCAACAGAAAGATGTATAAACAACAGTCTGTATCAAGCGATAAAACAGCGGCGATGGCCATGGCAACCAGGATCTGAACCACCAGGGCGGCTTCCACTAATAGCCCCACTGTTCGTATTTTCAAAGTGAGAGTTAACCCATACTTCTATTTCTGTTCAGACGTCGTTTCATTGCGCGGAATAAATTAAGACGTCTGCTAAACGTGCAGAATGTATGGTACAAGGAATGTCGAAATACTGGTAAGTCGGAAGAATTCGCCTGACCACTGTCTTTCACCTTGGGTTCGGACGGCCCAACAGTGTCACTCTCATCCTCACTACTGTCGCTATTATTCACGCTCTTCTTGCCGTCATTGCTGCGCCGACTGAACGCCCTTTCGAAGCGGGTTTTGTCCAAGATAGTCGTGCCACAGACCTGTGCAACTCGTCTTCCGAGTCATCCTCAGAGTCCGATACAATGACACCAGCAGGTGCACCTCCTCCGAATTATCGGCGATTGACATTGTGGTCCTCTTCAGTGCCATCCCCATTCAATAATCATCGCCTCACGCGCTGGTCACGGTCGCTGTCCGTACCATAGTTGTCTCTGTCGCCCTTCTCGTCATATTGCACATCCACTTCATCCGCGCATTCGAGCGCCGAAAACAACTCCGAGACGTTTCATTCGTCATTCTCCACTTCCTCGCCCTTGTATGAGTCGCATTCATAAAGACCAGTCTCTTCTTCGCCATTCACATCGTCGCCCTCTGCCACAGGCTCGTTGCTGGTCCTGGAGGCAAAATCCGAAACTAATTCTTGGATGGTCATCTCCAGAGCTAAATTCGAGGCCAGGTCCATCGCCTCAAACATAGCTGGGTTGGAGTTGATATGGGTATGGGGGCAGAAGGTAGGCGTGATGGTAGATAGCGTAAAGAAAGGTCGTGATCGGAAGGTCTTTCAGTATAGCATAAATACGCGTTTTTGTTAGTATTCAAAACACCTTCCTGCAGAATACACTAGGAAAGACAAGCAGAATAAAGGGCTCGATTGGCCCAGTTATCCCAAACAGAAGATCTAACAGTTCCATCCGGGCTCGCAATCTTTGGTTGATAAGCTTAGGCCAACTTTCTGTACTTTGGGGCCTTGTTGTTGCGCCAATCCTCCCCATCCTCTCAAACCTTCCTCAAAGTTGTGGTGGCCCTCCCTGCATAGTCTCAATCTACCCCCGTAACGCTTCAGCTTAAATTACGGAGCTTGATCGCTCTTTCGACTATTTGACCGTCGATCGATAGCTCCACAGTTTCCTCTGACTCAAGCGCTTATTCGCTCTCCTTCCCGTTTATTGTCATCTTTAGATCGATTGTCTCAACGCACCAATCGCCGATGTTGGCTCTTTCAAGCTGCTGGGCGCTGTTATATACCGCCCGCTTCCGTACATCTTCCTTACCGCGGTTGCCTCATCCGTCCGCGCTTCCTTCGTCGTCGGACTTAGTGTCAGCAAGATCATGAACCGCTGATTTCCCTTTAACTGTTGCCGAGACAGTGCTTAGAGTCCTTGTCGGGTAGGTTTTGGCTTGAATAACTTGTTCGAACCGAGCAAATTCCGCTACACTATATTAATTTACGAGAAGAACATTCATCTCGAAAGCTGCTTCCTGTCTGCTTACTACTCTGTCTGTGGCCCTCTCGTCGTTGCTTCCCCTTCGCTTGCTGCTTCTCCAGTGCCTGCGCTTTCTCTCGCATTCAGACTTACAGATTCTATTATGAAGAGACCTACCTCCCTCGGTCAACCTTGGTCAGCACATCGACATCGACCAGGGGGTTATTACCAATGATTGGCATTCCGGTGTACCCAATATTTTATCCAATGTCCTGCAGTTCGTCCCTGACCACCATCATATTCCCGATTTTCTTAGTAATCTTTCCTCGGCGTCTGCTGAAAGCACTTCGTCCGCACACATGGTCCAGCATCTTTATACTTTAGTATCTGGAATATGTGTGTTAACACCAAGGACATGCTTCAAATAGGGTGATAGCAGTTAAGAGAAGAGTAACGGCAGTAATTGTGTTTCGGCTAGAGTCCTGAACAACCTTTTCCGTGCGGGCTTTCGAGTACCTAATGTCGTTGTACTGGAATAAGGCTGAATATACACTGCCGCCAAGTCCCTCCTGCTGTGTCGCGAGCTCGCCCTGCGTCTGCTCCCCTTGCTTCCTTCCACCCACTCAGGCAGTCCTTGTGTTACCGTGACTTAGACGATGGCACTTCCGCATAATTCATTTGTCGCACTTCCACTTCGGTATGCACTGGACAGCTCGTAGGGTCGACGCGACTGTGCGGTAATGCGTCTTTGGACTCAAGGTCTTGTACGATGACTTCCTAATAGCCCTCCTCCGTATACTATAGGCTATTCATTGGAAGAGGTCGACGACGACCATCATTTGGAGGCGCGGTCGAAGAAGGCTTCTCTCAATGCTGCCAATTAAATGGCTATCTCTGCTGCTATCGCCACTGCAGCAGTAGCGGATTCTGCTCATCCTTCTCGCACTCCTCCTATTCTTCCTCCTCCTGTTCTTCATGTCATTCTCGTAATCGTTCTCTTAGCCGTCCTTGTAGTAGCCCTAATGTTGACCCTATGCCACTCGTCCTCGGATTCCATAGCGCAAGGGTGCTGAGTATATTGAGGAAAAAATGTCGATAATGTTTGTCGGAATGCGGCGCAAGAGAGTGTGTATTGCTGGCGAAGGCACGAGAACACGTGTGCATAAAAACATGCAAAGTCTGTAAAACCTATGCCAGATCATTTGCCGACCATACCTTGATCATAATACTCGGCGCATCGCGTATGAAGGCGTCGTGGAGCTTTGATTTATTTACTTTTTTTTTTTTGCTCCTACAGGGCCTTCTTGCGGTGCCTCGATTGTGCAGCCCTTACGGAGGCGAAGTCCGATAATGAGCGATGAATGTTTGGGACTAGATATCCAAGTCCAAATACTGCTGCCACGACTATTGCTGCCGCGAGTTTGAGCGCTTGGTATGGGATCATGAAGTAAAGACGCTCCAAAACCAAGTTGTAAGGGATCGGGAAGGTCTCCGGACCCGAGACACCGTCTGTCATGTAAGAAACTCCTGCGTACGCTGCCCTGATGCTTGCGATCATGGTGTTCTTTTGATAACAGATACAAGCGTTCAAGGATGAGTGAACAGCCGATACGAAATACAAACTGTACATATGAATACGAGGACCAATTGAGATGAGAGCTGCTATTACCTGAGGCAAGCGATGGACAAGATGTATGTCCTTTGGTAACTGCTCTTGTGCCTGCTCCAGTGTCCATACGGCTATCTCAAAGTCTGTGGGGTACTATAGCATAGGGCATAAAACATAGTGAATCGATATCAGAGAGCGTATAGCAAACATCAATAAACGATAACAACACGACACAAAGCGCGAGTTCACGTACAGTAGCGGGATAAGAGACACGCAACTCGTATGATGCCCCGTCCTCTAGATGTTCCAGCACATACCATCGGAGCTCTCGACTCTGTGGATCAGTGCCTACAATTGCATCCTTGACGAATGTTCGAGCTAGTGGTGTTGGCAACTCCAATCCTGTTGCTCCTTTACTCAGTAATGATATGGTTGCGTTTTGTTTATGAAAGGAAGAGAGTATGGTCTCGGTACGGATGACAGAGTGTGGCGAGGACAGTTTTTTCCTATCGATAGTATAACAGATTGGCTGGATTAGAAGCTGACAAACCGGCGCCTCAATAGCCCCTCGAGGGACAACGCGGTTATGTCCAAGAACACATCCTACGGCATGGTTTTCACAGTACCATTGAAACGGGTCATCAATTCCAGGGTACTCCTGTGCCGTAATATTGAGTCCACTTGTCTCATATTCTGTGGCAACTGCGGGGACTTGCTTAAGAGCGAAGACGAAGACGACCTTCTCGGTGTTGGCATGGGTTGCTTGAGGGGCCACGATGAGGACCGTGGTCATACATAGCGCGAGCAGGACCAGACTGAGGCGATTCATTCGTTGATGAATCTATGCGAGGACGGCACTGAACATCAGATCAACCGAAGCAGGACGATAACCAAGGATTCATTCTTTAACTGCATGGATATACCTTTCTCAAGTTGCAGGATATAACCATTCTTTAACTGCAAGGCTGTAGTCCCTACAATGACAAGTGACAAGAGGAGTCTTGTCCGTCCATTCCATTCCCTCCCCACCATCGCAACCCTCGACAGAAGCAAGACGGCAGCAAGACACTGCTAAGACCGAGCAGTAAGATAGCTTTATTCGGACATCTTGGACAAGTATGCTTGTCCCTCTATTTCTCGTCCTTACAGGGTTCGTCGCTTACCAGAGCAAGCCCAAGCAGGAAACGTTTGTCCCGTTTCTGACCTCACAACGCAAGTCGCGACTTTCTGTGACATTGCCACCGTCGCTTTCTGGATCAACGGTGGCAGCTAGAGTGTCAGGAGCTGATGGAGCTGCGCACAGGCAGGGCGGAGGTGTTTCGGGATGGTTCACACGCAACATCCTCGAGCCTTTGACTGGACCTCGAATCCCCGAGCACACCATCACAGATTGCTACATCTTCTACCTAGCGACACTAAATGATGGTTCTGGACAGTATTTGGGCATGTTTCAGAAGTGGTGGGTTGTTTCCGAACTACAGGAAGTGTCCGACACGACTGAATCTGGACCTGCACCTGGTAATGGGGGCGTATATGAAGCCCAAGCTGAAGGACAAAAGCAGGATGCAGTTCAGGCCAAGATCAAAAAAGACTGTAAGGCTTCGTCGAGTGGCCAGTGCGAAAATTTTTCTAACAGTGAGATAGTGTCTGCTCACTGATATTCAGCTATTACATGCTGTTTTCTTGCTCTGTAAATTGTTTGCACAACTCTTCTAGACCTCAAAGCAGCGAGAGCCTATGTGGAGGCAGCCAAACTATACGAAAAGAGCGGCTCTCAGTTCAATCTCATGGAAGCAGCAGGGGCGTACGAGGACGCGTACAAGACCTACAACATGGCTAAGCAATCAGGTGCGGTTACGTCCAAATTGGTGCACAGGACCATGCCTCAAATATGACTGTGCCATATCCCCTTTTGTCCAGCGATCCATCCCCGACCTTGGAAAAGCGATTCTAACATGATAAGCCTTTCATGATTTGTATCTGCAGGTCTCGCGATTCAGTGTCTTGAAAACGCAGCGAGATTGTTCCACTCAAATGAGCGTGGAGGGTTAAGAGCAGCCAAGGCATACAACCAACTGGGCGACCTTCTCAAGGGGCATGATGCAAAGAAGGCCGCGGAGATGTACCGTGAGGCAGCTGAGCTGTTCAAGACCGAAGGTGATGGGTAAGTCGAGGTTACTGTATGTTGTATATTGGCATCCATTCTATCTCAATCACACACTCTTGGCTCCTGTCTGCTCTTTTGTGAACTCCATAAATGCCATGCTGTGACATGTTCGATGCCTGAATGCCATCTCTCCTTTGTATGAGCTAGACGCGCTCTCTATGCAACCATTCGACAAGTGGAGCAACTGTGTATATTGCAAGATTATGCACAGGCATTCGCACTCTACAGCGATACCATCATCCCAGAGACCATGGCGCAGGACATTCTGCGGTACACGACGCGGGACCATATCCTGAACGCGGTCATTGCACATCTTGGCGCTACCAAAGGCGATTGGATTCTGTTTGAGAAGGACCTAAAGTATTTCGAGGACGTTTACCCGGATTTCCAAATGTCTCGAAGCGATGCTGTGCTCAAGAGTCTTGCAAGAACAGAGCGCGAGAACGATGCAGTAGCGTTCCAGAATGCATGCCAGGAACTCAATCGACTGCATACCGGAGGGATGCCGGACTGGCAAGTGGGCCTGCTGCTGAAGGAAAAAAAGAAGTTGGAGGACGGAAATCTGCTGTGAGGCTCTGGGGACGCTCGCGAGACTTTTATATACCATTCTGATACTTGCAGCAGTATGCTAGCTCGCTCATGCCCACGACGACGACCTTCATCGGCCAGCTATCGAAAGATTTATCGAATCGCAAAGACATGGTCCATTGAATGGAGTAATAAAACAGTTTGCATCATGATTGATTTGCGTGGGAACAGCTTTGTGCACTTCCACGATGAAGTTCGATATTGAGGGTGAAATGTCTGAGCGTGGTTATACCAGCCATATACGTTACTTGTGCTCGGACATCAATGTCTATTGGTATGAAACGAAGAAAGAGGCATCTTGGTACCTGATCTTGATACCACAGGAGCAGAAGGACTTGTCGACTGCTTTACACTCAGATAGTACATAGGCGCCTGGGCGTGAAGACAAGCAAACGTGAAGGACAGACCTGGGGAATGGGTTTCGCTGGTGCAGCCCTGACTGGATGACGGCCACTCGTCCAGACATGCACATTCATGCGCACATTCAGATATGCTTACGAACACAGGCACACCAAAATAAAAAAGTGTCGTAATATTACTATGCCCTAATGCGTTTAGAGTATCAAGGTTTTTGAGTTTAAGCGGCAGTTAGTGTGAGGACAAGGGGCGGGAGGATGGCAATGCCCATGTTGGGAAACAGACTGTTGAGCCCAGCCGAGGGAAATCCCGATTGTTGCATCATCGTCCATTTTCCCTTGATGTCTTCACATACGCCCTCTTTGCGATGTCCCAATCGTGAGAATAGGAGCGGAAGGGGGAAGGCCAGCCAGGGACCGCCCTCCTCCATGTCCCCTACCCTAGCCCAGAAGGAGCACTGGCGGTTGGAGCTGTAGCCATCAAGTGCGTGTATGTAGCAGACTTGGACGAACTCACGCTATGATAATGGTGACGAGGAAGTACATGCGGTGTGATGCGTCTTTTTTCTTTATGATGCAGTAGCTTACAGTGGGCTACAGTGGGCTAGTGGGGATGCGCTGTGTATGCTCTTTTGCCGTGGGGGGTTGAGCCATGATGAAGACCCTTGTCATTTGTTTGAGGCGAGTGGAAGAGGGAGGAGCCGACGTCTGTGTCCTGTCCCTGGCTGCATCGTCGGTCATACTCTCTCCGCCGCCTTCTTTACCTGCAGTGGCAGCGTAGAGCGCATCGGTTGATTGCAAGCATGCTGTATGATGCCATCGTCTGCTGTTTTGTCATAAAACGGAGGTATTCTCTCCTTCACTCCTCTCTTTTGTTCTCTCTTTATTTCCTGATTCCCTGCGAGTTCCCTTATTTCTCTCTCTCTCTCCTCCCCCAAGCATCCATCCTTCATCCTCCGTCCTCCATCCTCCATCCTCCACGCTCACTTTCTACAGCCACTTTACTCCCTCAGACTATGTAAGTGCTTTTCTCGCTCACCCCCCTCCTTATCTCCTCCTGCCTCCTTCTGTCCGTCCTGATCTGCGACGCTTTGTGGGCTACGTTGCTGTCTCTGTACGGAAGTGGGGGCTCCTGTGCGGGAGTGTATCTTGATAAGAGTCTATTCGTTTGTGTGTGTGTGTGTGTGTGTGCATGTCCCTCGTTCATTCATTTTCGGCAGTTCGTGTCCAGCACAACCGACCCAAGCATCTCTGCTCTTCAACCTTATTCAATCCACAGCGTCGCGCGTCTTTATTTTTTATACATATTTTTCGTCTATTTGTCAAGGCCAATGGCCAATGTCCATGGATCTGAAATGTTCCTGGCTAGCTTTGTTTACTTAGCTGGCCACTTGGATGCCTTATGTGGCGTGGGCGCCGCGGGCGCCATGGATGCTATGGATGCTGTGGATGCCATGGATGCTATTCGTCGCATGTCTGCGCACTTGTTTATCTTTCGCAGCCTCGTGTCCCACTTTCTCTTCCCTAATGTCCTGCTCTCTCTCCCTTCCTCTCTTCGCCTGCAAACACAGATTGAACCCATATACCCTCCTATAATCAGCTTGACCGCACCATGACGGACAAGCAAGAGCAAGAGCACATCGGGCCTGCTAAAAACCAACTGCAGGGTAAGTCTCTTCTCTTTCCACACATCATATATCCCTGGCCACTTCTCAATGCCCCAACTCATTGCAGTGCAACATAACACACTAGACGCGCCTGCAAATCTGGCAGACACCCAGCCTGTGGGTGGCGTGAGCAGCAGCACGCCCCAAGCCAAGCCCGAAACCGCTGTTCCCTCATCGTCTGCCAACGTCAACGCCTCTGGTGATAAGGAGAAGGCGAACAATGGCAAAGGTGGCAGTCTGCAGGTTGAGGAGCAAGAGCACCACGAACACAAGGACCAAATCTCGCCCGAGCTCGAGGCCCTCCTCCACACAGACCCAATGCAAGGTCTCACGGATCAGGAGGTTGAGGACCGAAGGGTCCAATTCGGACCAAACGAACTCAAAGAGGTCAAGAAGAATCCCATCATTAAGTTCTTGGGCTACTTTACGGGCGCTATTGCATATCTCATTGAGATTGCCTGTATTATTTCTGCTGTTGTCAAAGTAAGTATGCCTCTCAGCGCACCGCTACCTGTTCTTTCAGTCACTTGGGTCTTGTCAAAGAAAAAAGAAAAAAGAAAAAAGAAAAAAAGCAACTAACCGCGGTTTTGCTTTATTTGTGTGTACCGTGCAGGATTGGCTTGATTTCGGCATCATTCTCGCTTTGCTCCTCGTCAATGCCTGTATTGGATTCATTGAGGAGGCCAAGGCCGAATCCGCTCTGGATGCGCTGCGTCAAACACTTGCTCTCAAGACCCGTTGCTGGCGTAACGGCCATCTGGTTGAGCTTGATACCTCGGCCCTGGTTCCTGGTGATGTGATTGTGCTTCGTCTTGGTGACATTATCCCCGCTGATGGACGTCTGCTTGGTATCGGTGCCAGTGGCGAAACCACCGAAGGCGATCTCTTGATCGATCAGTCTGCGCTCACAGGAGAGTCCCTGCCTGTGGCGAAGAAGAAGGGCGACACGGTCTATTCATCTTCGATTGTCAAGCAAGGGCAGCAAATGGCCGTGGTCACCAAGACCGGAATCAACACCTTCATCGGTCGTGCTGCCAACCTGATTTCGATTACCGTGGAGGAGGGACACTTCCAAAAGATCATCAACCGTATCGGAAACTTTCTAATCCTCATCACCGTCGTCCTGGTCGGCATTATCCTGATTTATCAGCTTGTCCGCTTTCGCGGAACCCCTGAGGGCAAGTTTCTCACAGTCCTGGGCCGCGTCCTCGTCTTGACAGTCGCTGCCATCCCCGTCGGTCTCCCTACGGTCATGTCCGTTACCATGGCCGTTGGTGCCAAGCAGCTCGCTGCCAAGAAGGTCATTGTCAAGCGCCTCACTGCCGTTGAGGAAATGGCCTCGGTTTCTGTGCTCTGCTCCGACAAGACCGGAACCCTGACCCTGAACGAATTGACGTTTGACCAACCTTATTTGACCAACAACTACAAAGAGGAAGACATTCTTCTATATTCGTATCTCGCTGCCGAGGCTGGTGCCAACGATCCGATCGAGCTCGCTGTCCGTACAGCTGCCGAGGAGCAGCTGCCACTCTTGCAGAACCGCACTCACAAGCATGATGTCCCTGGATTCAAGGTCACCTCGTTTTTGCCCTTCAACCCCGCTACCAAGCTGACGCAGGCCACGATCACAAAGAAAGACACTGGAGAGACCTTCAAAGTCGCCAAGGGTGCGCCCCAGGTCATCATCAAGCTTGTGGGCGGAGACGACGATGCGGTCCGCGCTGTCAATTCGCTTGCGAAGCGTGGCCTCCGTGCTTTGGGTGTTGCTCGCACACGTGAGGGCTCCATGGATGAGTTCGAGTTGATTGGTATGATTGCTTTGATTGACCCTCCTCGACCCGACTCTGCCGAGACGATTGCTCGCTGCCGTCATATGGGTGTCGATGTAAAGATGGTGACCGGCGACCAGCTCATTATCGCCAAGGAAGTTGCGCACCGTTTGGGCTTAAGCCGTGTTATCCTGGATGCCAACCACCTAGTGGACGAGAACAAATCGGAGGACGAGGTCACAGAGCACTGTATCCGAGCGGACGGTTTCGCCCAAGTCATTCCGGAGCACAAATATCGTGTCGTCGAGCTGCTTCAGAAGCGCGGTATCATTGTCGGTATGACCGGTGATGGTGTCAACGATGCGCCCGCCCTCAAGAAGGCCAACGTTGGAATTGCTGTACATGGATGCACAGACGCAGCCCGTTCTGCGGCAGATATTGTCTTGCTCGCGCCCGGTCTTTCGACCATTGTAGACGGACTGATGACATCGCGAGCAATCTTCCAGCGCATGCGTTCGTATGCTCTTTACCGAATCACCTCGACGGTCCACTTTTTGATGTTCTTCTTCATTGTTGTTATGGCGTACGACTGGTCCCTGCCTGCGCGTCTATTGATCTTGATCTGTATCTTGAACGATCTGGCAACCCTGGTAATCGCAGTCGACAACGCTCAGCTCTCGCCCCATCCGGACAAGTGGCGTATCGGCCAGCTCATTACCATGTCTGTCGTCCTCGGCATATGCCTGACGGCCCTTTCTTTTGCGCACTTCTTTACGTTCTGGAAGCATTTCCATTACGAACCCCTACCTGAGAGCGCCAACTATGATGATCGAAAGCTCGAATCGGTGATGTACCTGCACATCTCGTCCGCACCTCACTTCGTGATCTTTTCGACCCGTCTGACTGGTTACTTCTGGGAGAACCTACCCTCGCCTCTGTTTGCTGCAGTGATTATTGGCACACAGATTATTGCGCTGTTGATGGTCGTGTTTGGTGGCCTGACGCCCAAGGTCCCGTTCTCGCAGGCGATTGTAGTACTCCTGATTTCGTTTGCGTACTTTATCATCTTGGACGTTGTCAAGGTACAGCTGTTTAAGGTCTGGTCGTTCGAACTGACGGCAGCGATTGTGCGTACACCCGCTCGTCGCAAGAAGTTGGCAGAGAGGAAGGCCCACAAGATCCAGCAGGAACGTGTGTGGAACAGTATTGACCATATCCGTGAGATTATTTTGAAGCTGAAGGCTTTGGAGGCCCTGAATGAAGCGCCAACGAACGAGGGCGAGACCATGGAGGATCCTCGTGTGTACGAGCAAAAGGAAAAGGAGAGGCAGCAAAAGAAGCCGATCGGAAAAGAAGAAATCGAGGCATTGGATGCAGCAAATGCAGTGCAGGGAGCCCCTGGAGGATCGACAGCAACTACAGCAGCAGCAGCAGCAGGATCTCCAGTGCTTTCTCATGGAGCAGCTCCATCGCAAGGAGGAGGAGGAGGGGGAGGAGCTGTTATACCCGTTCCCCCTCAACCGGCGACGCCAGGCGAGAAGAGTAGGATTGAGCAGTAAAGCAAGAGCCAACGATCTCTACTCCTATCCAACCAACCCACCGTTTGCTCTACTCTTTTTTTTTTTCAGCCCGATATTGACGGTATATTTCCCCTCGCATACAAAGACGACTAAACTTTTAATCTCGAATGTAAATAAACTAACAAGAGGCCAATGGAAGGGATATGGTTTGCGCTTTTCTATAGCCACATTTGAGAACAGGGATGCTGTGAGATGACACTGAGTTCAAGGGCACAGCAAGAGGTGAGGGTGCCTCTGAAGAGATTGTTGGCAGCCCTTAATTTTTGGTAGGATGGCTACTAGTAGGCATCCTGTCCCTTCCTATCCCTTGAACCATCAGTTTGTATCTCCTTGATCTGCTCGTGAATGAACTGGATACCTGTATTCAACGAGAGCAACGGCGCACCATCTTACTCTCCCACTTTCTTCCTCGCGCTCCCTGTTTGTTTGTGCTCAGTGGCCCCTTTCTTTTCTCCCTTGCTAAAGGTGTGTGCATGGAAGTCGAACTCCAAGTGGGAAGTAGTGGTAAAGGCGAACATACACTGAGAACTGGGAGAACATACAAGGAAAATAAGACATGCAGTGTGCTGTAGGTTCGATGGCAGACTGGGTTCCATGTGGTACAGGGGCATGGATTGGTTTCCCCGTGGCCATGGCTCCGATCGATGGCACCCATTTTACTGGCACCAGCAATAGAGGCAGGAGCAGCCTCTTTGTCTCGTCGGCATCGATTGGCATCTGAAGACAAATGGAAAGGCAGCCCCCCTTCATCTCTCCTTCTCCTTCTTCTTCGCGTCCCTTTCTTTTCTTTTAAGATCCGTCATCTACCACTACCACGCCTCGGCTCCCACATGCGTAGTCTTCATCTCATCTGCCGGGGATCCATCTTTTTTTTCTCTCTCCCTCTTTGGTAGTATCACAACCTCTTCATGTACCCAGGGCTTCATATCTTTTCATTACTCTTTTCTCTCCTTTCTTTACTTCTACCCTTCCCATTCTGCCTTGTAATTGCTAATTCTGCTCTGTCGATAGCTAGACAGATAGGATAAGCATTACCAATTATTCAGACATACCAGCCATACCATACACCGATCTGCAATATAATTACTTCTTCCCAGGACATCAAGCCGCCCTCATTTTGTATCACCACTGCCACTACCATTACCATTACCACTACTACTGTAACGCAGCAACAGTAGCATCGGGTACAGTCATAAAGTCATAGATCAGAAGGCTGGTAAGTAATGATTTCTTTTTTTTTTTCCTCCTGCCCTATTATAGTCAAGACGCGTTGTTTTCTACACCAAGACGCTCTTACGTCCTTACGCTCACACATACATATATAGAGGCATATAAAAAGGGAGAGTTTAGTTTGATCCGAAGCTTCTAATGGCAAGATTTATAGTGACCCCTATGCTTAGGGTGTTGGAGACGACAGCATTGGCTCATGGCTATAAGACTATTAGGCTGATACAGTATATGTGGGTGTAAATATAGTTTTTAGGATGCCTCGTGTGCCTGTTCGGGAGTACAACAGTACCAGGTTCAGTATCTATTTTTGTTTGCAGATCCTAAAAAAAAAGGAAACTGGGCGTCGCTCGTAGTTCGGCGCCATCCGTTTCTTCCTCCCCCTGTAATGAATGTATGGATGGCGTGGTATGATATGGCATGGGAATCGGTCATTCGGAGTCTCACTACTATGGATATCAGGGGCATACTTTTCGAGTCCGTTACTGTAGCCCATCTAACAATGTCCATTGTCCAATGCCGAGTGTCTTAGTACGAAGGGAGCTTTGTTGTTTGAAGTGCGTTGCTTGTTCTTTGCAGACGGGTTAGTTGCCACACGGGCTGCATGTGGATATTTCCCCTTTTTATCTCGCAGGTCCCTTGTTGCACATCGTTATTAATGTATTTCAATTACCACCCCTTCTTTCTACATATACTGCATTTATTTATAGCCATGTCCACTCTGCCTCACACTCCGTCCGCTTTCCTTTTCCTGCACTTGTTCACGCCCTTGTTGTCTTCTCGCTTGTCCTGTCTCTTGTAGCCCTTTTTTTTTTTTTTTTTTTTTTTTTCTTGCCTCTGCTTCATCGCATGATCACATTCGAATCTCTTCATCTCATTTCATCTGATCTCATCGCATCTCATCGCATCTCATCGCATCTCATCCCATCTCATCGCATCTCATATCTCATCGCTGCATCTATTCGTGAGTCCTTCTTGGTGTTGTTCGTGGGGTTGGGAGGGAAAAGGAGGTCGAGGATACAGACAATATAACTGCAATGTCTCGTGGTTTTTGTCACAAACAAAATGGAAGGGCCGGCTCTATCTCTCCTCCTCTATCTTGGACTAACATCGTCGTTGCTCCTCCTCCTTTATGCTCTTGCCGCCTTTCTTAGATTAATTGGTCCCTCGCTATCATCCGTACTATCAAGGCACGACCGATCCGCACCTACCTGCGTATTATTCATCACAGCACCAGCACCAAGAACAAAGGACGATAGCATCAGCGGGAACAACGTCAATAGCAGTACTCTACGGAAGAACAGCCGCATCCGATGCCTCAACCACAACAACAGGACCTGTCTCAGGTGCCTAACTTGACCGAGGACAATCTGACGACCATTCTCACCAACCGGTTTCAACAGGGCCATATCTACACTCAGATCGCATCCTCAGTCCTCATCCAGCTCAACCCGTGCACCCCAGGTAAAGTTGACCTGCCTGAGGCCACACTCCAGGAACAGGTCCTGATATACAAAGACGGCGCAAGGCTTGTGCCTCCAAATGCCGCACAGCATACCGCAGGAGCCAATGGCAGTATACCAGCGCCACATGCCATTCAGCTCGCAACAAGTGCGTACCTGCACATGAGGAGAACAGGACAGGACCAATCGATCATCACTAGGTAAGCCAATATGCACACCACGCACTCTTTTCCTTCTTTCTTTACCAATCTGTCCCCTACTACGATGAAATGCATCCAGGAACAACGCACACAAATCGGGTACCGATTTTTTTTCTTTCGGTATTACTGGCCGGTTGCCTAGCCAACATAAATCTGTTGGTCATAGGCAAAAGCACGCAATATCGAACAATGGATAAAAAGAGAAACGGTAGCTAGAACCCTTCCTCTTCGACGGTGTTCTTGATCAATGAGTGGCTGCTGCTGTCGCTAGCTGTTGCTGCCGTTTTTGTTTCATGTTCCCAGATGCTCTCATTGTTCCGTCTGCTCACTAAGGGTACGAATCTAAATCTTGTTTTTCTGGTTTCATTTTTTCAAAAAATAGTGGTCAAAGCGGAAGCGGAAAGACTGAGGGCGCACGCCAGATCGTCCGCCAGCTGATCGCGCTGAGCAGCCAGCCCAAGAAGGAGACCAAGATTCAGAACCAGATCATAGCCGCCGGTGCCATCATCGAGGCCTTTGGCCATGCCAAGACCAGCCTAAATATCAACGCCTCGCGTGTCGGACGATTTACAGAGCTACAGTTTAATGAACGCGGTCGCTTGCTCGGCGCCAAGATGCTCGACTACTTTCTGGAGAAGAAACGGATCACTCGCTCGGCATCGACCCCAGACGAACGCAACTTTCACATTTTTTATCAATTGCTTGCGGGCGCCACTATCGAGGAAAAGACACATCTCAGATTGACAGATGGCCAGTTCCAGTATCTATCGCCAGCCTCCCTTAACAGGAACAGGACATTTCCTGGCATGGACGACGCAGTCGAGTTCGGCAACGTCAAAACCGCGCTCAAGGTTCTGGGATTTCAGAAGAAGCAGGTCGCACAGATATTCCAGCTCCTTGCCGCAGTCCTACATCTTGGCAACCTGACCTTCATGGAGGATGCAACCCACACAAACGACGCCTGCGTAGTCCGGAACGTCGACACCCTCATCTTTGTGGCAGACATCCTCGGAGTAGACCCTAACGCACTGCAAAACACACTGACGTACAAGACCAAGCTGATAAAAAAGGAGTTATGTTCCGTCTTTTTGGATGCCCAAGGCGCAGAGCAGCAGAGGGATGAATTGGCCCAGGCACTCTATTCCCTACTTTTCTCTTGGGTTGTCGAGTTCTTCAACGTCAAACTCTGTCATGAGGCCCCAGCCAACTTTATCGGCGTCGTCGACATGTTCGGATTCCAGCAATACACAGTTAACGGATTAGACCAATTTTGTGTCAACTATGCGAACGAGCGACTGCACCAATTCTTTCTGAATCAAGTCTTCGAAACCAGCCATTCGGATTTCGAACTCGAGGGTATCACTTCAATCCCCCGAATCCAATTCTTTGATAACGCTGCATGTCTGCAGCTGCTGGGCCAGCAGCCAGAGGATGGTCTGATCGGCATAATGTCCAACCAGTCACGACACATCTCACGTAAGACTGATGCCACGATGCTGGAGTCCTTCTCGAAGCAATACTCGAGGCATGATTCGCTCATAGTAACCCGGAGCATGAACTCTAAGCCCTCCTTTACGATCCAGCACTTCCTCGCGCCCGTGACCTATACCGTAGAGGGCTGGCTGGAGCAGAATGTCGACAATCTGAGCTCAGACTTTGTGACCCTCTTCCGGGGTGGGCCTGGCGTCTCGCCAAGCATGAATCCATTCCTTCAAGGACTGTTCACAGACAAGGCTTTGACGACCGAGTCCCATCCCCGAAATAACAAAACCATTGTCGCTGCACAGGTAAGAAGAGATGGCATATACAATTTACTCATTTGGTATGTTATGTGTTTATTTGTATTCCAGACTAATCCAACACATCCCTTCTTGCGCAACTTAACACGCAGCAATCGATCAAACCAAAGCGCGCTCCATCAATGCGTCGGCCCAAAAAGCTTGAGGAAGTTTCATCCGCCAACCGGGAAAAGCCCGACAGCGACAGTGGTAGCCCCACAGCCGGCAAGGTTGTCTCAATGGCGGCTCAGATTCAGTCTGCCACACAGGAGCTCTGTGATTCGCTCGAGGAGACTACGCCCTGGTTCCTGATCTGTCTCAAGTCCAATGAGACAGGAATGCCCAACCATGTAGATTCCCTTGTACTCAAATCTCAAGTCCGGTCCCTTTGTCTGGCCCAAGTTGCTCAGCGTCTGGCGCTTGAGTATACGATCAGCTGCACCCATCAAGAATTTCTGGATCGCTACACCGCCCTCTATCTGAACCTGCTGGAAGACTGTCCTGCTGGTGCTTCGACCAAGAGTCGGATGGAAATGGTTTATGCAGACGAAAAGTGGACTGTTCAGGATGCGAGTGTGGGCAAATATCGAGTTTACTTATCCGAGAAGGCCTGGAGAGAGCTCGAATTCCAACTCAAGAGTCTCGAGTCGGACAAGAAGGGACACGACAGCAACAACAATGCAAAGGGTGGCTCTGCTCTTGCCAGTAGGCCTGGTGGACTGGAGCACCCAGTTTCGGTGGTCATGAATGACATGGGCTTCCAACAAGCGTTTGGTGGTGACAACGGACTCGAGACCCCCAACAGCTTCCGTGGCGAAGCCCTTAACGTGTCTGAAGATGACCAGTCCATCAACTCCAACACAGCCATGGTCGCGCCGCTCCTACTGCAGCAGCAACACTTGCAACAACATCAGGAGATTCTTCAACAACAACAACAACAACAACAACAACAGCAACAACAGGGCTATTTCATGCAACCACCTCAGGGTGGATACTACGGCGGACTGCACCCTGCCCACGCATCCTTTATGGCAAATGAAGGACTCGAGAACCGCTCGTTTTATTCTGGAGACGACAGCCAATCCGAGTATGATCCATATATGCGAGGCATCAATGCTGGCGGTCCCGGCGGAGATTTTAACCGGTTCGAAAATGAATCTGTTTATGGCGGATCAGAGATTTACAGACCCAACGCCAGAATGTTTGGTGATACTGAGAAGCGAGGCATGATGATGCACATTGATGGATCGTCACCCGACCCAGACCGCGAAGGGACCCTGGGTGATGGAAAGGATGGATCTGGCAGGAAGGAAGGACTGGAGGATGAGGATGAGGAAAATGCCCCGATGACGACAGCCCGTCGCAACTGGGTGTTCTTGACCTATGTGCTGACATGGTGGATCCCGAGCGTCTTTTTGTCAAAGTGTGGCAGGATGATACGGCCGGATATCAGGATGGCCTGGCGCGAGAAGGTCGCACTTTGCATCCTCATCTTTTTCCTGTCGCTCATCATGATCTTTTATATCGCGGTCCTTGGGGAGCTGATCTGCCCCCATCAGTATGTCTACTCTCCCGGAGAGCTGTCGGGGCATGATGCCAAGTCGACTAGCCCCTTGACGATGATCCGAGGAGAAATATTTGACATGAACAACTTCATGGTCCAACACAATCCCAACATCGTCACCCATACACAGCTGCTGCAGTACGCCGGAATCGATGCCACTCCCGTTTTCCCAGTCCAGCCCAGCTCGCTCTGCGATGGTCTTGGTGGCTATGGATCCGCATCCATTGATCCCTCTATTCAGCTACCAGTCCTCGACGCCGTTGATCCCAATAGTAACTATCACGATTTCCGCTCGTTCAGGAACGACTCAAGACCGGACTGGTACTATGAAAATATGGTATTTATGCGTCAATGGCGAGTCGGCTTCTTGGCCTTCACACCACAATATATTCGGGAACAGGCTGCGGCGGACAACATCAAGAAGCGATGGGCAATATTGGACGGCAACGTCTACGACATGACCAGCTATATCCAGGCCGGGCGACAGGGTGTAATAATGACCAAGGCTGGACAGCAGGCGCCAGCTGGAGTGAATGCGGCGTTTATGGAGCCGTCTATTGTGGATCTGTTTGCAACGAGCGCAGGCGAGGATGTGACGGCAAAGTACAGTGCCTTGCCTCTCGACAGCTCGATGAAGACTGCTATGCTGATTTGTCTTCGCAATTTGTTTTTCGTCGGCCGCGTGGATGAGCGAACCAGTGTCCGGTGCCAGTTTGCCAACTACATGCTGCTGTTGCCCTCGATCCTGATCGTCTGTACAATCGGCTTCAAGTTTTTGGCGGCTTTACAATTGGGATCCAAGCGCGAGCCCGAGGAGCACGACAAGTTTATTATCCTCCAAGTTCCCTGTTACACTGAGGGCGAAGAATCGCTCCGAAAGACCTTGGACTCTCTGGCGGCTCTGCGATATGACGATAAGCGCAAGCTGTTGTTTGTGATTGCGGATGGAATGATTGTTGGCTCTGGAAACGATCGCCCGACACCTCGAATTGTTCTCGATATCCTGGGCGTCGATCCCAATGTCGACCCTGAGCCCCTCAGCTTCTTGAGTTTGGGCGAGGGTAACAAGCAGCACAATATGGGCAAGGTCTATTCAGGACTGTACGAGCACAATGGACATGTGGTACCATATATTGTTGTGGTCAAGGTGGGCACGCCCACGGAGCGTCAGCGACCCGGCAATCGAGGCAAGCGAGACTCGCAAATGATCTTAATGCGGTTCCTGAATAAGGTGCACTTCAATTCGCCCATGACGCCTATGGAGCTGGAAATATACCATCAGATCAAGAATGTGATTGGTGTGAACCCTTCGTTTTACGAGTACACGCTCATGGTGGATTCAGACACGGAAGTCTTGCCGGATTCTTTGAACAGGATGGTTTCAGTGTTCCTGCACGACACCAAGGTCATGGGACTCTGCGGCGAGACCCAGATTGCGAATGAAAAGGATTCGTGGGTGACGATGATGCAGGTGTATGAGTACTTTATCTCGCATCATTTGGCCAAGGCATTCGAGTCTCTCTTTGGATCCGTAACGTGCTTACCAGGATGCTTCTGCATGTACCGTATCCGAACACCTACAAAGTCCACACCGTTGCTGATCTCGAACAACATTATTGAGGAGTATTCCGAGAACAGGGTCGACACACTCCACAAGAAGAATCTGCTGCACCTGGGCGAGGACCGATACCTGACCACACTCATGCTAAAACACTTTCCCAACTACAAGATGACTTTCACGCCCGACGCACAATGCAGGACCAATGTACCCGACCAATGGAAGGTCTTGCTATCGCAACGTCGTCGCTGGATCAACTCGACCGTTCACAACCTGATGGAGCTGGTGTTTTTGCCGCAGCTGTGCGGGTTCTGCTGCTTCTCGATGCGGTTCATTGTAATGATTGATCTGTTTGCTACACTGATCATGCCGGTGACGGTGGTCTATATTGGATACCTGATCTACTCGATTGTGTCCAATTCGGCGGCGGTGCCCAAGCTGGCGCTGATCATGATAGGAGCAGTATATGGACTTCAGGCGGTGATCTTTATCTTGCGACGGAAGTGGGAGCACATTGGGTGGATGATTGTCTATATTCTCGCGATCCCGGTCTTTTCGTTCTATCTGCCATTGTACTCGTTTTGGCATTTCGATGATTTCTCGTGGGGAAACACGCGTCTGGTGGTCGGAGAGAAAGGTCGGGCCAAGGCCGTGTCTGCAGATCAGCTGGAGGGCAAGCGGTTCGATCCAAAGTCGATCCCCCAAAAGAAATGGTCCGATTACGAACAGGAGTTGTGGGAGATTCAGACCACTGGGTCGTTGGAGTCCAAGGGCTCGAGGTACCCATATGGCGCCGCATATGGCCATGGATCGACAACAGGGTCCATCTATGGAAGTACAGGAGGGGGCGATATGGCGATGAGTGGTTTTCCTTCGATGACCATGCCGTCAGGTCCCTTCATGGCAGGGGGTTTCGGTAACAGTCGCCCACAGTCCCCAGCGCTGGGACTCGGATTGATGGGAACGCCTGTGATGGGCAATGCTGGACTTGTTGGCGCGTCGTCGTCATCAATCCCAGGTACACCTACGCGGTCGTACTCGCCAGCACCTCAGTTCGCATACCAGCAACAGCTACAGCCACAGCAGTACCAGCAGTTGCAGCATATGCCCAGGGATTCGTGGACGGCCGTATCTTCCGCAGGGAGTCAGATCGGCAGCAATGGCGGAAACGCAACACGAATGAGTATGCAGGGAACGCCTTTGAACCAGAACCAGAGCCCACGGTTCTAAAAGAACTCCTGCTGCTGCTTGTCCGCATATAATGATATAAGCCACCAGATCTCCCCTTCTCATCTCTTTCTACTATTTTGTGTTTTCACAGTTTAGTGGGCATTACAGTAAAGCGTTCTTCTAAACATCTTAGGTCTCTCGACCAGAATGTAGTCTACATAGATAATCTACGTATGTAGTGCACGCTTGTACCTAGGATCTCTTCCAAATTGAACCAAGTGAACAAATCAATGGGATGTTTCGGTCGGTCGGATGGTGTAATATCGCGCGAGATAAGAAACTAACGCAAACAGTGATGGCCTAATGCATGGGCATGGTCGACAGAGTCCATTCTTACACAACCCGACTCTTTTCGGCAGATACATGCACACGTAAGTCTATACAGAAAAGTGCGGTACGCCCCCCCGCGAAATTTTTTGTTTAGCAAAGCATTCACTGACCCGCCATCTTGGACCTCTCATGGGAGAGATATGTTAAACTATGCTATGCTTCGTGAGCAAATCTGAGTAGAGCCCGCAAAAAAAAAGGCAGAGAACTTAGGCTACTTTTCTATCGACATTGGAGTGGTCCGTGGTGCAGAAACCAATGTGTCCTCCCATCCATCGAAAGGACCACGGGACAAACATCTGCTCCTTCTTCTTTTTACGCTCCAACGTCTCTTTCCCGACTTTCCTCTTTTCTTCTCTTCTCTTCCTTTTTCTTCTTCTCTTCACCAAACCATTTGTCACATTTTACCTCCATTCCCTCTCGTCCTTAAGTCCAGAAAGACCCGATGCCGATTTTATACAATGATCCCTGGTGCGCCCAATACTTTGAGCATGCAAAGTGTCCAGATAACGTGACCATTCCCACAGAAGACTGGCATGCCTGGTCTTTATTTCCAGACCACCGCTGGATCTACGACAAACTGACGGTCGCCTTGACTCAGGGTCTGGAAGCCGCACCACACGGCGTGTACCCAAAATCCTACCCTATCTTCAGCAAGCCGATGATGAACCTACGCAGTATGGGTGCCGGAAGCTTCATGATTCCGGACAAGGCTACCTATATTGCCTCTCTCCAGCCAGGTCATTTCTGGTCGACATTTTTGACGGGGAAGCATGTCAGCACGGACGCGGCTATCCTGGATGGCGAGATGGTGTGGTGTCGTCACACAACGGGCGTGTCGATGGGCGATGGCATGTTCGATTATTGGCACATCCACGTCGAGGCCATGCCGGAGATCGAGGATTGGTGCGGAGCCTGGACGCGCAAGTATCTCGCCGGATATACGGGCATGGTCAATTTCGAGACCATCGGCGGGAAGATTATCGAGGCCCATCTCCGATTCGCCGATCAATGGCCTGACCTATACGGTGAAGGATGGGTCGACGCCATGGTTCGGCTTTATTCCGAGAAATGTTGGGACTTTGACGATAGTGAGCGTCAAGAACATTATAGCGTGGTCCTCTGGGCACCCCATGGCCGCTCATACCGACATCCGCCTGCTGCGAGTATAGCGAAGGCCAAGGCCGAACCTGGAATCGTGAGTGTCCAGGTCACGTTCTATGAGGACCTTGACCCTGTACAGCACTCAAATCCACCGGGAGGTTTCCGCCTCGCCATTGTCAATGCCACCAACCTGGCGGCCGGGCGCCGGGCGATCGAGATCTTACACAACACCATCCTCAATCAGGACAGCCAGGTCGAGAGAAAGGCGGTGCTGCAGTTGAGCTCATTATAGAAGTAGCATCCCTGGCTGGAACTCCTAGCCGCATCCCTCCCTCCATCTATTGTCTAGGTCCTGTTTTCATATAGATTTTGGACGGGGCACTCTTTCCCACCCCCTTACCCTGTTACCTCCCGCGCACTCCATTGTAGGTCGAGAAAGTAAAATAAATATGACTTTTTGATGATGCAGGGGAATGGTTGCATCAGGTTCTCATCATGCATCAGCGCTTGCTCTATCAGTTCTAGCAAGCTCGATATCAGATGAGTGAGCAGCTGAGGAGTGATTTGCAGGTCAATGCAGGCGCGGTCGATTTTGGTGATAAAAAAAAAAGCACAATCGAAAATACCTTCGAGTCGAAGTGGATTACTGAGCATGCTTCGCTTATTCAAACATTCCCAGATGCGCAACCAATCTTCTGGATAAGAATTAATGGGAATTACGGAAGATGGCTCTGAGGCGCGATGGGGGGGGGGTTTCAGCAGTAAAGGGTAGGTTTCCAAGGAAAGAGAGGAATACTACTTCCCTTGGAGGTCGAGACAGGTTCGTGTTGCGATCCAATCGTGCGTGATATCTGCTCAGCACTCTATTCCCAGGCGCAAACATCGCATATTAAGGGTGAAGAACATGGATGTACAAACCGCATTCAGGGGAGGTTGGCTGGCCATTGGATTGTCCGTGTCCATCTCTCACACAACACACAGCAGCTGCTTCCATGGCTAGCGTGCTCAGCAACTCTAGGCGGTCTTCAACTCGGAGGGAAGCAAGGACCAGTGCCCCGACAATCGTCCTTTCATCGACCCTGGACGAATCCACATCACTTAAGACTTCATCTCGGAATCACAAGGACAGCCTTGTTGACACCAACAATAATGGAGACGTACAAAATGGCATATCACGCCAAGCAAGGGATGGTTTCCTTTTCGAGGCGGATATAAAGATCGAGACAGCGCAAGGCAGACTAGAGTCCGATGATCAGGAACTGGATATGAGTGAATATGGTGCGTTCAATCCTGCCCATCCGGTCACGGTACCAATTGTGGTTTGGCAATTGAACTTCTAACCAACAACAACACTCTAGAACGACTGCGACTGGAGAATATCAAGCGAAATCAGGAGATGCTCCAGTCCTTGAGACTGTCCACCGTTGCGACAGAGATGCAACTGGCATCGCTGGAAGATAGCTTTGAAAAGGGAAAAAAGTCGAAGGTTGGAGCCACATCGCGAGCTATCCCTGCTTCTGTTATGTATGACAGATTGAAAGCCGTTGATGCAGTTCCTTCTTTGAGCAATTACTTCTTGCATCAACCACGACAGCTGTTGACGCTCGCTACCCTTTTTATTATTATTATTATTATTATTATTATTATTATTATTATTATTATTATTATTATTATTATTATTATTATTGTTATTATTATTATTCGATAACGCCTAATAGGAAACGAAAGCAGAATCCCGTCCTCGGTAAGGCAACTGACGACAGAGCATATAGCTTTGCACCTATACACTCAATTCCGTTGGATTTGATGAACTGTGCGAGATCTGACCTTTGCTGTTGGCTATCGACCATTATGACGACTTTTAGCGCCAAGGATAGCACAGCCCGTTAGATTGTCGAAGCGACTACGCGGTTTAGCCGCACCATCTTTGGAAATTGGGGAGAATGACAATATGCTTCAAGGAGAAGAGCGAGCGGCCCGAAATGATCGCAGTAGATCGCGAGGAAGTGAGGCCGATGGAAATGCCGACGGCGACAGCGACAGCGAGATAGACAGGATAAATCTTATGTCAGGCGACCTCTACTTTGACAAGGAGACGCGAGAAAAAGCTATTCGTGTCGATGGCCACTACAAAGGCTGGCTCCACCCTGATCTCATAGAAAAATATGGGTTCGAGAAAACGTCTGAAGAGGCCTGGGAGGCCAACGGAGGAGGTTCGTTTTCGTTTGGGGATCCTCTTGGACAAACTGAACAATCGAGTGCCTTCAGGTCAAAGTTCAAGAAGCCGAAACATGATGCCAAGATGGTATCCAAAGCCTCTTTCAAGAAAAATCCAAATGCATTTTTTTATCGGCATAACGAACCTGGACAGGTAAGCAGCGGCATACATATTTTTTTCTTAAAATAAAATGATGGCCTCAAAGATGACTGCAGGCGCGCTAATATCTTGCGAATTATGGGATGATAGGAACAATGGATGGGGGACTGGACACAGGAGGAGTCGGAACTGTTCCTCAAAGTTGCCAGAGAGCACGGGTGCGGCGACAAGTGGGGTCTCTTCTCAAGCCATATTCCACACCGTGTTGGCTACCAATGTAGCAACCACTACCGCCAGGTGGTCTTACCTGAGGGCCTAGTCTTTGACCCGAACTACAAGTATACATCAACAGGCAGCCCCGTTTATTGCGGAAAGTATAACAAACGTCGCTAGTAGTCAACGTACACGCGCACGTACGAGTAAATTGTATTTTTTGAGGCACCATGCACTCCGTCTTTTCATATTCATAAAAACAAGATTTACTTATTTTCCCTCGTCCTTCTGCAAGGGGCTCCCATTGCATTCACCTCAATGGTGAGAGCTTGACTAAGGCCCAGTGACAGCACGCTGGTGTTATTGGTAGTTGTTGTTGACGTGGCGATGGCACGACGCCCCAGCGATTGAAATCGTTGACGCAGCATAGGGGGGGGGGAGGGGGAGGGTCCTCACATTCATAGTGTACCCAGCGCGGAAGGACGGGCGAACCGGGTTCATGCATTCTACGGCACCAGTAACGGGGGCGATCTTGACCTTACCCTTAACCAGGCGGCGAGACCGAGCGAGTTGAACCTGCTGATATCAAAACACAGGTTTTCGAAGACCGATACTCGTCCGTTATGGCCACAGCGCAGTATCTGCGATATGGCCCCTTACCCTGCTTCCTACTGCTGTACCTACGTTCCTGATCAATAGCATTAGTCGAACCTCCGGTAGCCATTCTGGGGTTGTGGCGCCAGCTGCACCTATCGCATCAGCCATCTATACTTGATACTTGCTAATAAGTGTCTGCGTAGCACAAAAAACGTACACTCTTAAAAATGCGTGTCAAATTACCAATTGCGTCCTTGAGGGCATGGTCTTGTACGTATCATCGCTCCGCTGCCGCTAACTTTGACCATGCTCGTTTTGTGCGCGGTTGTTGATTGTATCGCTCCTTGAGGCTCCTATTGCTGTTCCTTGCAGGTTGAGCCATCCTCACAGCTTCCCGAGTCGTTCAGGGTTGGTCTGGTATCCTCGTTGCCTGATGGTATCTTGTGATCGCTGAACGTTGTCGTGGGTCGGTGTTCCAGCCTATCCTTGTCTTTGGTTGGCAGCTCTCTTACCAAACGCATCTACTGCTCGTCGTTTCGAAACGCCAGCTAGCCTGCTGTGGGCTAGTGAAAGTAGGAGGGTTGATAGCGGAAAACGACGTGGAAAGGAGCATATGAGCAGCGGGAGTAATCGCCGAACAAGGGAGACGTACAGGGCGGGGAGAATATGGGCCTGTTTACTAGATATTCTTGCGTTTATGCTATATTGCTAATCTGTCGAGCTACCACTGGCTTGCTTGATCCAGGGGCCTCTAGTCCATCATTCCTTGCTATCAATGTGCAAAATGATCCACCTCCTGCCCTTGTTGCCGCGCTTACCGTGTTACCTTGGGGAGCCTCCACGCACTTTCGCGTGTTATCGGCCTTCCTGTACTGGAGTTTCATAGCAAACATCATCATCTTGCGGATCGTTTCACGTCCTGGCACAACGTAATCCGAGAGCCATGAGGCCACAGGTTTCTTATGCAGGCGCATGATCACCACCAGTCTGCCTGTCAAGTTCATATGGAGAGCAAACGTACACATAATACTCATACAAGTGTATCGGTCTCGAAGATCTTCAAATCCTCTGCCCTCCAAGACACCTCAAATGACTGCTCGTCGATGTATGGGTGGTGTTGTTGCAGCGTTTATCCCACTCAGCTTCTCCAATGCGCAGACCTCGCGACAATGTCTGACGACGCGCCGTTCGTCCATTGAGAGCTTCTTGCCTCGCTGCCGCTTATGTTTTCCGATACGAATGATAGACTTGGTGAGTGCCCCGAATTTGCTCTTGAACTCTTCGTATTTGATGTTTGACTCCTGCAACTGGCATTGCGCTTCTTTCAGCAGGCCCAGCGAATTCTTTAACCGCCGCTCTCTCTCTTGCACCTCTCGCTGTTGTCTTTCCATTATATCCTACGCGTCCCGCTCTGAATCTGTGATCGGGTCGTAGGGCTTTATCGAGGATATGATATTTCTCCTTGCGCGTTTCCTCGGCATCTCTTCAGTAGAGAACCCTCAAGAACTGACTGACACTGAGAGGATTTTTGCTAGTTTGATCGGATCAAAATCGGACAGCCTTGAAAGCTGGACCCCCTCCTGCCGATCTTCTTTCTCAGTGCACTTTCCCTTTTGTTCTCGAGCTCTAGCTCCAAAGGAGATAACAAATCTGATTAACAGCCTATCTTTCTTCGTAACCAGCTCGGCATATAATCAGTTCCTTTAAAAGATACCTTCAGCGGGTTTACTCCACACACTAGTCTACTACAGCGATTCCAGCTGATGACCTGGGACTGGCGATTTTAAAAAGTAGGCTACGAAGAGAACAGCTGAGGTTGGTCTAAGGTAATCAGGGGCGCTGGGTAAGAAAAACAAGGCAAAGGGAGGGATTTGGTGGCAGAAAAGTCAGTTCCTGACGACAACTCCAATTGATGACATAGGAATGAATATTCCAAAAATGGACTAGGAGACTAGGAAAAACACTGTTGGAGTTGGCCTATGGTAATCGGGTCCGTTGAGCAAGAAAAACGTGGCAGAGATGGATTGCTTAGGGAAATGTATGTTTCCGGGATGAGGAATGTGAAATTAGCGGCGATGTGGATATTGCAGATCAGCGATGAGGTTTTTGTTACTGATCTCTGGGTGTTTAGGCGAAACGTCCCCTTGCCGGCGTGAGAATGCAAGCAACAAGGGCATCATGTTCTGGCTGCTCTCCAAATTTTCCCACAGGGAAACAGCCCACGTACATGCCTTGTGCTGGCAGGATGTGCACGTACGTGTGCGAAGATGACACCAAAAGGGGGAGAGCGAAAGAAAGACAGAGAGGGCTCAGTCGACGCGCTTTTTCTCGCTTCTGGACGCGTGTTTTTTTCTTTTTTCGTTTTTTTTTGTTTTTTCAGTTTTAAAAAAAAAACTTTCGCGTTTAAAAAAAAAAAAAAAAAAAAAAGAGAGAGAGAGAGACAGACGCGACGAAGTGTGCTTCAACCAACCGCGTTGCTATTTGTTTATTGTTTGGTGGAGTGACATATAAAAGTCATTGCATCTCCATCCTTTCGAATCTTTTCCCCTCCCCCTTTCATCTCTTTTCTCTTTCTTCTCTTCCTTCATCTCAACTCATCACCCCCTCACCAGCCAAACCGGACCGCTGTTGAAACCCGTCTCCATCCAACCTACAACCAAAAAAGCACACTCGGATACATACCAACAACCATGGCCAAGGAAAAGTCCACCAAGAAGTCCACCGGCGGAGCCAAGAAGCTGTCTCCCTACAACAAGTTCATGAAGACCGAGCTCGCCAAGGTCAAGGCCGAGAAGCCAGGTCTCAACCACAAGGAGGCCTTCAAGGAGGTTGCCTCCCGCTGGAAGGACTCGGCCGAGAACCCCAAGAACGCTGCCAAGTAAACGCCTCATCCCTTCCCCCAATTTCTCTAGTCCATGAAGGAGACGTCCCTGTCGGCCGTGTTTTCAAGTCAGCACTAACCCATAGCACTATTCCCTCTCGAGGAGAAAATCAAGGAAAAAAAGTCGCTTTCAATGGCTTGCCTTACCACTTGTTTTCCCCCGAACCAATGTACCATTACTATTAAAGCCTTTAAGCCCAATTCATATGCATATACTCTTTGCATGTCTTACTGATTGTCGGATGGATTTGAATGTGCAAAGGTCGCTTCAAACGTGCACAATGGCTGAGGCAGAACCAAGAAGGGTATAGTAAACGCCATGGCCTTTGGCAGCAGTCTAAAAAGCTCCATCTCCTTTAAGATGGCGAAAGTGACCAAGGATGATGACGAGTACAATGACTCGATTGAGGACCCAAGGTCCTTGTCTCGGTCCTCGTTTGCAGTTGAACAGGTACATCAGCTCATTCCCTTCCTCTTTCTCCAGTCTGGGCCTCGGTGCGCCCTTTGACGGAGCAGAGCGCCTCTGGTCCGCATGTCACGGGACCACCGTGTTTATGTTTTTTCTTTCAGTCTCCACTTCCTCGCACTCCTCCCATCACCCCCTCTCTCCCCATTATTCGCACCACCACTAGTCAGTCGTCTACTCACACATCCCCTTCGCCTGCGTGTCCCTAATTTCTGTCTCCTTCTCCCTTCCTTCTCTTCCTCCATTTGCCACACTTATCTCCTACCGCTTTACAACATGAGTGCCCTGTCCGCAGCTGTGCGCGCCGCCAACGCGAAGGTCAAGAGAAAGCCTGTCAGCGACGCCTCCACATCCTCCAAACGGTATGGGTATCACTCACGGCAAATGCACTGTCTAGGCTATTGGCTACATATCTCGGAATGCTGGCGGGCGTCGTTGCATCAAATATCACTACTCACGGCTTTGGGCCTGATTATTTAGATGGGCTTTTAGTTTTATTTTTATGTATTCTACTTATTCAAGTGGATTCTATTAGGTGAATTGAGTGAGAGTTGGTCTCAAAGCTGGAGAATCCAACCTGGGCACGACTGGAAAAAATACCATGGGTTGAAAACGCGGCATGGAGAACCAGATAATGGGCATTGGCTATTTGACAGGCATATTAAACTCCCCTCTTTGCTCTTACTCCTTGCTGTTTACTTCGACTGGATAGTATTCAGAAGGAAATGATGGAGATCAACCTGGACCCACCAGCCGGCTGCAGGTACACGGGCGTGTTTGTCTTTTCCCTGAAAGTGCGAGGAAACAGTCAGTCGGCTCTTTATTCTCAGCTATTTAGCTTCCTTTTCGGTTCATGATAGTGCGGCACCTAAGAGCGACAACCTGTACAGCTGGACGGCAACGATTACAGGACCGAGCGATTCGCCATATGCTAATGGTGTCTTCTTTCTCGACATACAATTTCCTCAGGACTATCCTTTCCAGCCTCCAAAGGTGAGAACGACTGATCATTCTTATGGAGTCCTTTCATTTTCGTTATCACACCTGCTTTCTTTGTTTTCCCCTTTCTGCCCGACACATATTGCCATTGCCATTGACACAGACTTCTCCTCTGGACATCCATCGCGCATCATAGGTTACATTCCGCACCCGTATCTATCACTGCAACATCAACAACCAGGGTCATATTTGCCTGGACACCTTGAAAGACAACTGGTCGCCTGCCTTGACCATCTCGAAGGTCCTGCTTTCAATCACCTCGCTCTTAGCGGACGCCAACCCTCGTAAGAACTCTTGACTGCTAATAATGGATAGCTGATTGGCGATCAATTGGACCGTACTGTGGGCGTACAGAATATTTTCTGACTGAAGTTCTGCTACAACTCTCCATTATAACAATGTTTATATTTCTAGATGATCCGTTGGTCGAAAGCATTGCCAGTCAGTTCTTGAACGATCGACAAGAGCACGACCGTGTGGCAAGAGACTGGACCAAGAGGTACACCAATGATTGATTGTCGCATTATCAGGGTGTGTTTGTCATCGGCTGCGATTGCGTGCTGACAACCTGATTCTTATGCGCCGTGAATAGATATGCCAGAGATTAGAGTTCGCCGTGGGTTTCATATGGGCAACTCCCTTCTGATCTAGTCATTCATCCCGTTTGCACAGGATATTTTAAAGTGTGATTGTTCTCCATGCGCCTCTTTGCGCCTTTCTTAATAAAGAGATGGGATTGTGCGACTGAACATGCTGGCGTCCGGCGTTGCTTCTGTCATACGAAAAAGCAGCGGATAGACAACGAATGGACAAAGCCACATTTGTGGTGCTCATTTGATGCGTTCTTTATGAATGAGCCCTTTCGTCCGCTTGTGGTCCATGGAAAATGAAAGAAAGGTAATTCTCGTGATGGGCGCAGGTGCCTGTTCGATCCTGATCTTGCCAGTCCATGCCCCTGCCAATGCAGCATTAAGTCGATAATAGTGTGTCCCTTTCGTTGTCTTTTGTAGATGCAGCCTTGTGTCCTGTTTATGCCTGTTGCACAAGGCGCCAGATACCCATCGTTCGTCCTTCCTGTAAGACTAGTACTGGTGCCAGACGCCGAGCCATCGATGGCCAAGCAACGGCACGTAGAAGCATCATTGATGGCAACACAAAGACGTGACCATAAGTGTCGCACTGCTTGATGGACGGCTATTCTGCTACGTCCACTGGAGATATCGGATGAACGCGAGAATAGAATACTGGACCATTGGAATGTCCGAGTCGATAACTGAACAATTGCGCGGTATTATTTCAAGTTGCGTCCCTGTTGCCTTGGCTGACATACTTTGACGATAGTGGCGGTGGTGGTGGCATGAAGGTCCAGCGAGAAGCGCGAAGACGAGTGCGCGGAAATGGATGAAAGATGCTGGTAGCCATAGGTCTTTATTTCGGTTTCCTGGCCTGATACTGAGATAATGTACTGAATATGATCCAAGGTCGATCCAGATTTATTCATAGTTGCCTGCACATGTCGTCTATTTCTTCTTCTTGCCCTTGCCACCCGAAGGCGGCGCTGCCTGGGCGACCTGCTTGGCTGTCAGATTCTTGCGATCGATATCGCCACCGTCTGCAAAGTCCAGATCGTCGCCGAAGCCATCGAGGTCTCCGAACTTCTTGGCGAATCTCGATAGCTGGCCAGAGTCGTCGCCAGAGGACTTGCCGTGCATCTCGGGGTTCCAAAGAGGATGGTTGCGGGTGTCGCGAGTGAGACGGATCTGAGAGCGCGGAGAGGGGGTGCGGAGGGTAAAGGTTGCGCCGTTGGAGAGGACGACGGTCTGATCAAAAAGTTCGGGGAATCGGGACTGGGTTGATTCTGATGAAGACGCAGTGGTGGATGAGGACTTGTAGCGGAGAACGCATGACAGACCGGGCTGGGTTGTCCTTGAGAGAGGGGCGAGTGACCGTGTGAGGAGGGCCATGATGTGTGTGTGTGTAAATGTGATCAGTCCGTCGGGCTTGAAGGAGGTGAGTGATGGAAGGGAGGAGCAGCCTTTGTTGTTGGTTGCCTTTTTTGCGTGACTCTGCTGCTCATGTGCAGTCACTCACAAAAGTAAAATGAGCATGTCTTGTCAGTTGCCAGGGGGACGCCGCATAATAAACTTTGCACACTTTCCGGTGCTGACGTCTGGCGTGGGGAAACCACTTGGTCAGTCGTCATTGCACCAAGCGGGAGCCGGAAAACACGACTTGGGCTCCCTGCGGCCGTGGACTACAGACACATCTGAGACGCACACCTAGACTAGGCATTGAACAAGGAATAGGTCCCTGGGATATGATTGGTCAGAGAGAAATTAAATGTAGACTATGTGCTGATGCGATAAATCAGCATGGGCTGGCTGCATGGCATATTGTTGGTATTTGTTTTGTTCGAGGACAATTTATTTATTGGGCTACGAACTAAAAATATATTGGCGTTTACCGAGAATGATATGGACGACCATCCGAGTCCAATTTCATTTGGCACCATTCATTACCTGGGTACCTGGGACAACCGTGCCAAACTCACGCCAATGGCCTAAGCAATCAATGGCCCCCACTCCTGCCTTTTCCCCTCTCTCCTTTCTTTTCTCCTTCGCCCTCCCTCGCCCTCATTCCTCTTCATCCTCTTCATCTCCCCCTCCTCCTTCTCTCTCATCCATCGCTGCCTGTTACCCCTTCCTCCTCCTCCCTCCCATCCTCGCCGCTCTATTCCCCCTTCCCTGCTGTCTCCGTCACTGAGGCATCCCCTCCCCTTCGCTCTACGCCCGAAAAAAAATCGCCCTTTTTTTTTTTTTTTTTTTTTACAGTACTTGAACCAAGGTAAACGAACGCTTTCTGGCGACTAGGTTCCACTTCCAAGGTGCGACCTTGTCCGTCGCGCTCGCCTTTTGCCCCTTCTAAATCGCCAACTCGCATTCTTCATAGGTCCAACCATCGCAACACATAAACGGTCATGTCCCGATACAACAATAACCAATACCCGCCCCAGGCAGGCTCCTCACCACACCAACAGCCTTACTATGCAGGCCCTCCCCAGCGTGCCCATACCAATAATTCGATGCGCTCCCCACCCTCGCCGAACATGACCCCGGGCTACCTCCCACCACAGCCCATTGGCTACAGTGGCCCTGGAGGTCCCGGAGGATATAACCACGGTGTTCCTCATCATGGCTACGATATCGACGACAGCGACGGTGCAGGACTTATGAACAACCAAGGTCGTGCTGGTGGCCATCTTCCACCCAGCGGATACCCTAATGGACCAGGGCCTCTTCCACGCTCTGCATCCAAGCTCGATAGAGCGGCGACGATGAATCGCAGGGTAAGTTTTAGTTTATTTGAGAGCAGTAAAGAATATGTTATTTTTGTCTATTAAAACTGCAGTAGCTCCTTATAATGGACTTGCTCTCAACGCGCCGACATGTTGTGCATCTGTTCTCGGTAACAGAGTCCGTTAAGCCAGCAATGTCTAACCACCTTACTTATCGCCGTGCTCTGTCTATCCCTTAATGTTTAGTCGGTTTGTCACGTTCCTCTGACGGATGGCAACCTTGTCATGGACTGCCCTGTCCCCCGACAGCTGCTCCAAAACGCACACTTCAAGGGCGAACGTGAATTCGAATACATGCGCTACACCGCCGCCACATGCGACCCCAATGACTTCTTCAAGGAGCGTTACACTCTCCGACCAACGATTTACCGTCGCCAAACAGAGCTGTTCATCGTCATGACCATGTACAACGAGGACGACGAGCTCTTTATCAAGACAATGGGCTCAGTCATGAAAAACATCTCTCATCTTTGCACCCGCGCCAAGTCTAAGACCTGGGGCAAGGATGGTTGGAAGAAGGTCGTCGTCTGTGTTGTGGCCGATGGTCGGAAAAAATGTCACCCTCGTGTTCTTAAGGTCTTGTCAGCCATGGGTGCCTACCAGGAGGGCATCGCCAAGGACACCGTCGCAGGCAAGCCCGTCACCGCCCACATCTACGAGTACACCACTCAGGTCATGGTCGACTCTGACCTCAAGGTCCGGAGTGCAGACCGCGGTATCGTGCCCGTCCAGATCTTGTTCTGTTTGAAGGAGCAGAACAAGAAGAAACTGAACTCCCATCGCTGGTTCTTCAATGCATTCGCCCCTCAACTGAATCCCAACGTCTGCATTCTTCTCGATGTCGGAACAAAGCCCTCGGGAACGAGTATTTACCATCTCTGGAAAGCCTTTGACCGTGACTCTTCCATCGGCGGCGCTTGTGGAGAGATTTGCGCTGATCTGGGACCAAACTGCAGCAATCTCCTCAACCCATTGGTCGCTTCGCAGAACTTTGAGTACAAGATGTCCAACATTCTCGATAAGCCTCTAGAGTCTGTCTTTGGATATATTTCTGTCCTGCCCGGAGCATTCTCTGCATACCGCTACAAGGCTCTCAAGGACTCCTCGCCTGGTGTCGGTCCATTGTCGTCCTACTTCAAGGGAGAGACCATGCACACATCTGGAGAAGCAGGCATCTTCGAGTCTAATATGTATCTGGCCGAGGACCGTATTCTATGCTTTGAACTGGTCGCAAAGAAGAACGAGGCATGGCTGCTCAAGTATGTCAAGTCTGCCAAGGCCGAGACGGATGTGCCGGACAACATTGGCGAGTTCATCTCTCAGCGTCGTCGCTGGCTCAACGGCTCCTTCTTCGCGGCTTTTTACTCGCTCGCCCACTTCACCCGTGTCCTCACCTCCGGCCAAGGCTTCTTCCGCAAGATCTTTCTGATGTTCGAGTTCTTATACAACGCCATCAATCTCATCTTCAATTGGTTCTCGCTCGCCAATTTCTACCTCACCTTTTACTTCTTGACAGTCGCTGCTGCAAACAATTCCAACGACCAGTTCACGCCCTTTGGTGAATGGGGTAAAGTTACGTTCGGCGTCTTGCGTCAGGTTTATCTCGCTGCCATCATCACCGTCTTTATCTGTTCTCTCGGTAACCGACCTCAAGGATCGCGATTTATCTACATCCTCGCCATACTGCTGTTCGCTGTCATCATGGGCGTCATGCTCTATCTTGCGGCGGCAACAGTATATGCTGTGACTGTGGCCAATTGGGGAGACTATCACCACATGCTGGAATTGCTCAAGGTCCAAGGGCCCTTCCGGGACACGGTCATCTCGTTGATCTCGACCTATGGACTGTACATCATCTCTTCGCTGATGCACTTCGAGCCATGGCATATGTTCACGTCCTTCATCCCTTACCTTTTCCTGCTCCCTGCCTATGTCAACATTCTGATGGTGTACGCCTTCTGTAACACACATGACGTCTCGTGGGGAACCAAGGGTGACAACAAGGCACCCGAACTTGGAGGAACGACTAAGGTCACCAAGGACGGTCAGGAGGTCATCAAGCTGGAAAAGCCGACCAACCGTGAGGATATCGATGCTATTTACCAGCTCAATATGCAAGAACTCTCGGTCCGACCAGAGCATGTGAAGGAGAAGCGAGATAAGAAGACAAAGCAGGAGGATTACTACAAGATGTTCAGGACGCGTCTGGTTTTGACGTGGATGTTCTCGAATGCGGCGCTGATTATTGCGATGACGAGTAGTGTCGCGTTCAACAGGGATGATGCCGCGGCACCGAATGCACCCGCAAGCAAGGACGAGATGTTCAACCCATACCTTTCGATGATTTTCTGGAGTGTCGCGGCGCTCAGTGCGGTACGCTTTGCTGGATCAAGTATCTACCTCATCTTGCGTGCCCTATTTGGTTAAGATGCTCTTGTTCATTTTCGTTATAGTATTATATGCGCCTCTTCACTTGTCATATTGTCCTCCTCTCCATATTCCCATTCTACGCACTACGCCGACTAGAATAAAGCATCATTATCTATTGAATACCAATCCTTGATGTCCGCATGCCTCAGCAATTATGGGCCAGAGCAAAAGGTCGATGAGTCTTCTCAAGCAATCAAAAATCTGGCACTCTCAAAGGAACTAAATAAAATGCGCTCAAAGTTGAGGGGTCAGTGCGAGAGAGCTGGCAATTCCAGTCTTACACTTTTGTCTATGTACGCTGCCTTATATATTTGCAGCAGAATCCGTTTTTCGCGAAACCGCTCAGAAGTGTTATGGCGGTTTGCGTGTGATTGGTTCAGGTGCAGGGTGCAGTAAAGGCATTTAAACAGGGTTTATCAAACGCAGTTGAATATTACTTTGCTTGAACTCTTAGCTCGAGTACTTATTGTTCTAAGCTGGGCTATCTTCTACTTCTGCCTGGCGCTAGGCTTAAGCTGGGACAAGCCCTCGTGGGAGATCGAGCATTTGCCTCATGTCCGACATGAGAGGTGTCCTTGAGGAGGCTTACAAGCTTACAAGGGAGGGGGGAGTGATTCAGTTCCCGAAAACGGTTACGCGAGAGGATATTACTACGTAACAACAGAAAGTTGCTACGGCTGGGCTGTGTTACGCGTCTGAATGTACGGTTAGAGGTAACGGAAGAGGTAACAGTCATTGATATCCTTGCAACAGTGACAGCTAGCCACAAGGACGGATATGCACTGGAATGCGTATTTAAAACTCCTCGATTATCTATGACCCCCTATACCGGACTCGATGGCCACCCTTGGGATATTTGCATCACTATCGTTGTCGACTTTTCTGACGGCCCGGCCTTGTAGTACATCTGCCGGCGCTATATTCACGGGCGAACTAGAAGATAGGGCTTACCCCGTTTTCCAGCTGATTCGCCATTACTGAGACTATCCCAAAAAAGTCAACATCTGGGAATATACGGATGACAATGCCGCTATCTTTCTTAACAGCATTGTAGGAAAGGTTGAATCTCAGATCACACCGTTGGAGTTGGATCCAGGGTATCTGATAGACAGTGGCATGTAATACATTGATCGAGTGCTGGACCTCCAGAAGCCCAGCAATAATGGTAACAGTTTGCACGAACTCAGTCAACGAGAGAAGTTGTTGCGTCTGCTTGGACGACACAGCAAAAAATTGACTACTCTAGTAGTACGTGGAGGCCCAACGTACGAGTGGATCCGTAAGGCTGTAGGACTCCGTCCGACAAGACGCAAACTGCCACAACTGAAGAGACCTCGCCTGACCGCTATAAGCGGGCGCGTCAAGGCTCCCGGCAGCTGTATCCAATAAGCGGTCGCCATGGGTCAGTTGTTTAAATCATATTCAGCGATAGGACTGGCGCCAGCTCGTGCTCTCGCTGTCGAGCGGTCAGCCAGGAACAATCTATCGTCTTCGCTGGACATTTCAGACACATGAGGACTTCAGACGGTTGTCGAACACTGTTCCCTAAAACTAGAGCCGGAGGGTTGGACGAAAGCTCTCAGTCATTCTGTACTGAGAAAGCTCAATTTCGGTGGCAAGCGGTCTTTCGCTTGAACAGCTCATCCTGACTTAACTGATACCTCAATACAAATCCTGCAGGGAAAATGGTGCTGAGGCTTAAGAATACAGCACAGACTTCAAGGAATATGCCAATACAAACGCATTACTTAAAAAGCTCAAAGAGAAGGCACTCCGTGTCGATACTCTGGCCTTTGGTAGATAAACGTCAACACGATACTCTGGGGATGCCGCGATCTCTTCGAGATGCTGGTGTTACTAGTATTAAGTACAAATTCACGGCTATCATAAGCTGCCACTAAAAAAAAAAAAAAAAATACAGCATGGTCCCAAATACGACATTTCGTGTAGAAGTGCTTCGCTACCCATCAAATCCCCATCCACAACTCCAGGCCTCAGGGTATTGAGATTGTTTAATCGCTTAGTAATCACACACAGAACGGTACCGGATGATGGCAGCTTCGAACGGACACGGGGGGTCCGCTGCTGGATATACATACTTCCACTCCTGTATTGGTTAGACACTCCCTGCAGAGAACAAGACTAGAAGAGGGGAAGAAGATTTATTTGGAGCATATTGATAAAACCTCGCCTGTTCTTCTTCGATTTTTTCTGTTTATAGACTGTAGCATAGAGTAATCGAGGTCCTCAAAAGGCTTGCGGAGCAATTTTCTAGGACGCGTTGGCGATGCTGAGCCGTGCGGAGCAAGGCACGACATGGACGGGCATGGATACATTGTGGATGAGACACGTACTAGACAGGGTCAGGTCAGAGCGGCCACTCAAATGCGAGTAAGGTCATCAGGACATGGAGCGAAAGCTCAATGAAGCCTTCTCTTGCAAAAAAAAAAAAAAAAAAAAAAAAAACACTTGGTCTGCTTTGGCGAAATAACGATGGTAATGTGTAACTGAATAGCCTTCTAAAGGAAAAAAAAAACCGGTGTAGCTTATTATCGAATCCCTTGTTGATTAAACCGCGCGAAGAGACCTGAGCTGATGAGTAACTGCTGGCTTTTAGCGATGGCTACTATAAAAGAAAGGCAACAGGATTGCCTGTCTTTGCTTCTTCTACCATCTGAATGAATATGGAAGTACGCGTTTGTTGAGGCTCTTCAAGGACTCTGTAGATCTGCAAAACATTCGAGTACTAGTGATATAGAGGCGGAGCTTCCATCGTTGGGCAAGTATGGGGGGTTATTCCATTTATTGGAGCAAAGAAGCGCGTCGCTTGGTTGAGGAAAGGATTTTGGCCCCTGTGTTTCTCGCCTAAGGACGATATTGCAAGTTTCTACTGGCAAATCAGCTGTCTCTGCAAGCTTCCATTTGCCCTAGTCGCGTTCAAATCTCCAGATCTGAATTTTCTTGTTTCGCGAAGACTTGAGCAAACTACAAACTGCAAGCTGCAAAAAAAAAAAAAAAAAAAAAGTTTAGAACGGCATATCACATATTTACGTATTCGACAGTATCCATGGCAGGCAATAAACGTCATACTAGGCATCTCGTATTGCCTGCACTCCTAAACATCGCCTTCAATGGTGCGAATGCGGTCAGCCAGTTCCTTCCAGACCTTTAGCTGTAAGTTTGCAAATACCGAGAATGGATTGAAGGCAGTAGATTAGTGATTTAGATAACTGTAATGGTGAACCTAAGACAGTGTAGCAGCCTGGCTTGTTACATCTGGCTCCAGTGCTTCTCGCATCTTCTGCTGTTGTTGCTCCCATTCTTGTCGTTCCCGTTGCCACTTCAGCTGATATCGATGAAACTGGTCCAGCTGCGCCTGTCGCTAGATTGTATCCATAGTAAATTAACCGCAGATGACCTAAAGACAAAATCGTATCAGACTGATTATTACCTGGACGTCGGCAGGCGAAAGCTCGTGGCGCTAGTTCGGATCATGGAAAAATGGATTGTAAACATGCAAATTTGTGTACTAGATGGTGGCGGTGATGAGCACAGGACAATCTTTCAGAATGGTTAGTTACCTCCTGCTGTTGCCGTTGCCGCTGTCGTAGTCGATAATCATTTTCTTTTCTCATAAGTATTTCACGATTCTGCAGCAGCAGTTCATCGATCGTCTGAGTGCATATTTTCATCTCCTGGATGAGTCGCTCGAATTCGGTGTCTGTGGTCATGGCGTGAGCTGCAGTAGTCGAGAGATGAGATAAGCGCGCGGGAATATAGCGTGGGCGAGGAGTATGGAAGGGAGTAAGGAAGGGTAAAGGAAGAGAACAAACGAGGGGTTTGCCTATCTGGTCTGAATGAAGCACAGAGGTCCACAAAATACGACATCGCAAAATCTATCAGCATGCGGTGTAATTCATTTATCAGTTCACCTGTCAAAATGTCTAGACCCTCTTAATGCCTGGATATAGAGCTAGGCAGCACGCATTGACATGGATGTCGAGAATGATATCGAAAAGAACATCGACATTGGCAAGTGAACAAATGACTGGAGACCCTAGAAGACGATTCGGCAGAGAGGATGAATAGGGAAGCGCAGGGACACTAGGTACTTTACAGGATGCCATCAAGGACAGCAACACGAACAACAGCAAGGGTGACAAGACCAACAACAGTAAGAGCATCAAACGGGCGTCGTACGAACATGGAAGTACGAGTTCGCTGGGGCTCTCCAAAAGTCCCGCAAATCTGCAGAGGCTCGGTTAGTAAGGATGCCGCGTTTCCAGCGCTGGACAAGCATGGGAGCTTCTCAGCTTGGGCGGCGGCGAAGAAACGCGTTTCAGCATGTCGTTTGAGTCAAAGGCAGATTCGGCCCCTGTATTCTCTCCAAAATGGAGGGACCGCAATGCAAGAAAGAGTGCCCAAGGCTTCTCGTTTCTCATTTTCTCCGCTCCTTGGTAGTATATGCTGGCTATTCTATCAATCTGGTCTACATCGTCCTTGTTTGTTTGGATGTTTCTGTATCGGGTCTGTTAAGCACATCCGATCTCGTCTTGCATCGAAAACACTATTATTTATTGACCATTTGTAACTCAACAGAAAATACGCGACAAGATCGCCATGGCTGCGCTGCGCAACATGGTGACCTCATATCCTCTATAGAGTGCCCTCCATCCTTGTTTCTCCACGATCTGCCTGCCCGCATCCCAGGAGCTCGAGTACCGTCCAGGCGCCGCAGTCATCCTGCAATGGCATACGGTGCTCAATGGATACACCAGCAGGTTAATGGCAGATGTCGCCCCAAAAATTAGAAGGAAGGCACCTACGCCTGCTCCTCCAATACGTGATGATCCTCCTCCTCCAAATCGAACAAGTATTGGGGAGATCATGCGGAACAACGCCAGAGAGCCAACGCGCGATACGAAAGTGCTGATTATGACGGAAGAGAACCCCTTGTAGAGACCAAGCACTCCTTCGGATGACTCGAGCGTTATTCGTAAAGCATCACGCACATCATTGTGCTTGTACGAGAGCACATACTCGTACTCATACTCCTGAGCCAGTGTAGCCGTCGCCGTGACCGCTGTTGCCTCTACTGTCGTCGTTGCTGCCTCCTCTTTTGTGGCAACTTGCAAATCTCCACCCTCACCTTGGTCCTCCATGTGCTCAATCCATTCCACGGATTCGGTATCTGTGCTGGATGACGACAATGGTGGCTCCATGACCTTGGATGTATGTGTTGCTGGTGCCTCTGTCATGTCCTTCATGGCAGGTTCATTACTCTGCACCAAACTTTCCGCTGCTGCAACAGTTTGCTTGACTTTTCTTGTCCGTCTCACTACATCGGTCGCCATCTTTGTTTGTAGTGTCGCCAACGGATACGCCACTAAGAGGGCTACTGTGCTCACTACTGTTCCTTGAACGGATGCGCCGAGGATCCATGCAGCCGTACCACCAAATGTTTCTGTCGAGAGAACAAACCATCGACGGAGGTCCAGCCATGCACCAAACTGTCGCCGTTGAAGACCCGCGTCGATCCCAGCCTGAAGTGCGAAACGGGCGCATTCGAGAGAGTATCCTCGCCAGAGCGACCGTCGGCCTTCTTTTTCAACAAGGCGCGTGAAACAGTCCTTAGTGTCCACATACGGCAGCTGTGCATATGGGACGATGATCGAACGGGGTTCGTCCTCGTCCTCATCCCCATCCTCGGCTTCACCACCGGCGCTGTGATTACTGGTGGCATGACTATCCTTATCAGCGGTGCTGTCGTAACCCTTTGTGCTATCGCCCTTAAGCGGAGGACGAGGAGACATGCTCTGGTTAGGACGATAGTGGCGATGGTGAGCAGCAAGGGACTCCTCGCGCAGGTTGAGAATGATTTCGTCTTGGGTCTGCAGAAGCAGCTTGACACGCTCTGCTGGGGCCGTGAGGGTGCTGAGGAGGAGAGGGCCGCCAAGACCGAGTCCTAGAGGAAGAAAGGTACTTGGAGACATTTGGTATATATGGGTCGTGCAGTTGCTGGCCTGTGTCGCTTGCTTGGTTCTTGATAGAAAGACAGGAAAGTAATTGAGGCCGTCTGTGCCGTGCTTATTGCAAGTGAATGGACTGAAGCGCGAGTTAGGAAGAGAAAGATGGGCGTGAATAGGTCGAGTGTTGGAGTGAGATTTGTGCATGCAAGCCATTCTTTTTCTTATATGTTGGAACTGTGTGTGACCTGCCTCTCCGAAAAAGGAGAAAAGTCGGCTCTGAAAACGTACGCCGTAAAAGGGAAAAAAAAAGTAGGACCTGGAGACAGTTCTTGGCGGCACAAACAAAGGCGCAAACAAAGGCCGCGTCCAGGCTCGGGAACGCGTCTAAGCAAGTCGTCATCCACAGGTTTTTCCTATTATGCACATGTCGTCGGATCAAATCGATTTTTTTTTTTTTTTTTTTTTTTTTTGCCACTGCTCTGCTGCTTCGCCCAAGTCAAAAGTGCCTCGTAGTGTTCACAAAAACTGATTTCAGACCGTCATGTCTTCTTCTACCGCCAGCAAACACCGCTATACATGCATGGGTAAGATGCCTTTTACTGTATTCCAATGCCGCATCAGAACAGATGACAGGGTCGCTGGAAGAGTATCGATGGCGTGTGATCCAGAGCTTAATCCAGGATTAAACGCGTTGTGAGAAGGCGCTGAGGAGACTGAGGAAGGCGACGAAGGAACATATGGAGGCCATGCCAGGAAGTTGGGCGATACGTCACCGGCAAAGAACCCTGTTAATTGACTAGCCCCGCCCACGCCTTGTGCTCCACCCATAGCTGTACCCGGTACAAACGCGAATTCTGCCCAGATGAGCTGTATTCGGGGGCTGACTGCAGGGTGCTGAGGCTCTTTCCTGCAGACATTCCGGAGGACCATGAACTTGTACTACCACTATCCAGCACTATTGCTTGATCGTCACTGTCGCCAAAGCGATTGGAACCGCCAGATTCATCGCTGATGCTACTGTTGGTCCTGTTCCTGTTCAGCACCACAAAATCCTTCATGGCGCTTTGCTTCCTTGGCGGCGATCTAAAGCCGAGGTTCGTCATCCCCTCGCGCTCGTACTGCTCTCGCAATCTACCTAATCTTGCAGCGGTGTCTTTTTAATAGTCGATGTATGAGAGAGAAAAGGTCCAGATGCCAAGGGTACCTATGTTCGTATGGATCGGACAGCCGGGCTTGGTCTGAGATGGAGCGTAGTGGCTTCTACGCATTCAATGTTGACACAACTGTCTCTAGCGCGTGGATATAGACTTGAAGAATCCTTTCCGGGTTAGGCTCCAGAAAATGGAGACAGCAGTAGATGTGAAAAGTGAAGGGAGGCACAGAGAAACGAGAATGTAGTGTTGATCATTGGCATCCTTTTATGTCCCGCAAGTCACGTTGCGGATGCTCCTTTAGCTCCATATCCGAGCGCCATTGTTTCCATCCCCCGGCGACTGTGTGCAGAACGAGATCCCTATTTTAGGCATGTCTTTCTTGTCTTTCTTGTCTTTGTGCCACCAACTAGAACGAACGCCTGCATCTCCACCCTGGCGCATGAAAAGTAATCCCGCCTCTCCTCTTCTACCATCTTCTCATCTCCTTCATCAGCCTTATTCTCTCTTTCTCTCTTTCTCCGCCCCTCCCTTCTCTCATCCTCTTATCCCTGTGGACGTAGTTTTGCAAGCCTGATTTCTGAGTCTGTTGCCGAGTCTCATCATGCCCATGACCAGATCGAGCAGACAGCAGGCTCTGCTCGGCGCCCTCCTCATCTTCTGCATCGGATCTCTTCTCACCTTATCCCTGCGCCCGCTAGGAGACGACAGCGCCTTGGTCGCCTCTAGTCCATCTTCCTCTTCAACCGACTCTACATCTGATACGACCAACCACCGGTCCCCATTCTCGTCTCTCTCATATCCCTCAGAGGATAAGCTGGGCACAGGTACCAAGGGAACCGACCTTGAAAACAACAGCATCCTGGACTTGACTACACAAGATTACTCAGTCATGTCTCTCAAATCCCTCGAGCAATTGGTCCGCGGTACCATCCTAGAGACATCCGAAAACCTGCTTGATCCCACACGCCCCGTTCGACCCAAAGGCTCTTCCGAGTCAGTATCTGACCAACGACAACAACTACAGCAACAACAACAACAACAACAACAGGATGCAGGACAGGGCGAGCCCCAGATGGACGAGGATGAGATTGAAGGACAAGAGGATCGAGAGTCAATCGTGGATGACTCAGTCGTAGAAGTGGGTCCCAAAGTGGAATCTTTGATCGCAGCGGGCTCCACCGAAGGCGACGACGATCTCACCACTAGCGACTTCGACTCTGTTGAACTCGACAAACCTTTACTGGAGCAGGGTCAGAATCAGGACGGAAACCAGGGTCAGGATCAGGACGGGAACCAGGTTCAGGAGGATACTTCGCTGACGGATTTCGATGTCAACAAGGCACTCCCTCTCTCGAACAGCTACCTGGTGTTTATCCCATCTGGCGACACGATCGAGGCCCAGTTCTTTTCTTTGCTGACAGCAATCTGGATTGCAAGGCACTCGAACCGGACGCTGATTATCCCTCCACCGATGATGGCCCCACCATCGCTATATTCTCTTTATCCATTCTTTGCGGGGCCCAAGGGCAGGAAGCGTCAGCGTTGGAGCACACTTTTTGATCTCCGGGGAATCTCCAATCTGCAACCAACAGTCCTTATTGACCATGTGCGACCAGTCCTGCAGACGCCGTTCATGGCAGAGATGGCCCAAGAGGAAGAAAATCCGACGGTTAGTCGCCAGTCGATCCCATACAGTCCACCGGCAGATGCACCCGCGGGTTCGACTGTTCCTATCACCATCAAGTGCCATGGCCCTCCCACAGCGGGTTCATGGAAAGCGCTTGATTTCGCGGGCCGACACTTTTTGAACCGTTACAACCTTGTGAGCGACTTTGAGATTCTCGAGGATCTGTACTGGGATATGTCGCCGGAATCCATTCGAAATCACTGGAGCGCATCCTTACCATCTTTAGCATCCGACGGTCCGGAGAATGAGACATCAAAGAACCGCCGTCGACAGCTGATTTGTATTTCAGGAGCAGAACTTGTAGGGGCAGAGGACCCGGCAATGGAGGAAACGATATGGCGAGAGGTTGGTTCACAGATTTCGTTTTCAAATACGATCATACAACAAGGAAAGCAGAGTGTGGTTCAGATCCTCAGGGCATGGGAGCTTGGGGAGAGACGCTACGGATACATTGGCGTACACATTGACCGACAGCCGCATCGAGGGTCATGCCATCGCAGCATCTCGTCACACAGGGCGTTAGCATCGTTACCATCGCTACCATCAGGATCTTTTGATGGATCGTCTCGAAAAGCAGACGCGACAGCAGGGGCACTGGATAGACTGACAGAGACCCATGGATCGCTCATGCCGTCGGCGGAATGTCTCTGGACTGTAGAACTGATTGCGAAGAGGGTTGCGATCCTGCAGAAGACTGAGAGTGTGGGTGCTCGACCGGTGATTGTGACGACGACGGAGACGGATCCGGATATTCTTGTGAAAATGGACCAGCAGGCGGGATGGCTGCGGGCTGGGGCAGAGGATAATGGACAAGGGCTGTTTGATGAGTCGAGCGAGGATTTAGGCGGATATGGGGCGGAGGTGACGAGGGCGTTTGTGATGGCGAACAGCGCAGTGTTTGTGGGCAGTCGGGCGAGTGCATCTGCAGTCGATACGGCGTTCCGGATTAAGAACAACAAGCGGTCCAGACATATGGGCGCACGATGGGAGCTGTATTGAGAGAAGTAGAAGGAAGAAGTGAGCGCTATGCGCTTGTAATATACCACCAATGTTTCTGAACAATGTTCCTGAATTTTACCTCCGTTTTTTTTTCCCACGATCGATGATACACGTACACGTACACGGATTGAAACAGCATCATGTACTGTACTCCGCCACTCCATCCCTCTCTCGCCCCATCCATCCATTCATCCATCCATCCATCCATTCATCCATCCATCCTCCTCAAAGAAGACTACTCTTCTTCATCCTCTTCTTCCATCGACTTGTTCATCCTCCATCCCTTTCTCGCGACTTGAACGCGACACAACGCGACACAACGCGACTCAACGCGACTCGACTCGACTCGATCCTCTCTGTTCACTTTAGCAGCAATGTCTAGGCGACTGTCTCTCTTTGCCCATCTCCCAAAACCATCGCGCTATCACCAACACCACAGCTGGCCTCCATCCTCTCCAAATCCCTCTGCGTCTACTGCCTCGCTGTCTTCCTCTTCCTGTACTATATCTGCTATGACTGCCACCACTACTGCCACCAAGACTCTTCCTCGTCATCCTTCTCTTCTACCCATTTCTCGTCGATCCCTGTATCCGCCTCCGCTGTCTCCCCAGGTCCAGGTATGGCTGCGCCGTTGTCTTCTCTTGTTGCTTGCCTCCTGTCGCTATCCTCGTTATGATCCTCACCACCGTCCCCCTGTAGATTCAAAGAACAATGGCCTCCTCTTCCAACAACAGCAGCAATCGCGCAAACACAAAAACAGCCGGATCAGGCACCCTGCAGTCGCTGCGGCCAACTGTCGTTGATCGATACTGGAACGATATCGCCGAACACTTTCGCGAGCCTGGCTTCTCGACCTTCGACAAGGAAAAATCAACTCTGGCCACCACTCGGGACCCAGACTTCACCCGCAAGCTGCTCATGGCCGTCATCACCGATCGACCAGGGCAGGGCGATATCCTCCCCAGCGTCATCGCAAAGAGCTCCTGTGATTTCTTTGCCTCGCTCGACAAGTCCGGCAAAACTGACTTTCTAAGCTTGCTTGCTCACGATTTCGGTAACAAAATAATTTGCGTTCCCCTTTCGATTGATCGACCGGTACCATTCCACAAGAAGCACTAACGCCCTTTTCTCACTCATTTCTGCTGATACTGTCTTTGAACCGAAAAAAAATATAATTCCTGATAGGTGTTCTGCAGGAGGTCGCTGTCGAGGCTGCAGGGAGGTATATGGAGTATTCAAAAACCGAGCCAGAGAGTAAAGCCCTGCTGCGTGCAGAGCAACTACTTCGCCACGCAATCGTTCCAGGACACAATAAGTTTTTCGACCGTGTCAGCCGACTACCAGGAGGACTCAAGTTTTTAATCGACATGCGGGAAGACTTGCTTGTATGGCAAAAGCAAACCAGGAAAAAGAATTTCAGCCCGCACTTCAGTCATTTTTTCTCTCTATTCGTCAAGTCATTGACACCTTTTTTCTTTCTCCCTTTTATGAACCTCTCAATATAGGGTATCATTCAGGAGAATCGTAACGACTTTTACTTGTCGGCGCTGAATGAATCACTCAAGGAGAAGCTGCAATCCTGGTTCGTGGGGTTTTTAGACTTGGAGCGTCTGACCTGGCAATCACCGGCAGTACTTTTGGAGAAAGTAAGGATTCCTTACTCCTCTCGCAGCTAAGATACATCTATGCAGCTACGATTCTGTGCATTGACCCCATTTGGAATAACATGGCTCATAACAACTTTAGATCACTCAATACGAAGCCGTACACAAGTTCAAGGACTTTCATGATCTGAAACGTCGTGTAGGACCTGGCAGACGAGTGTTTGCATTGATGAACAAGAGCCTGCCGACTGAACCCTTGGTCTTTGTGCAGGTGGCCCTGGTCAACACTCTCTCCAACAACGTGCAAGACATTCTCAACGACCCTTCACCCGGACATGCCAACCCGGCCAAAACTGTTAAATGTGCCATCTTTTACTCGATCACTACTCAAGTAGGCAAGTAACGACCTTATTTTTCCTGAATGCCTGCAAGAGCGGCTACGCTCTCCACCACTTTTTTTTTTTTTTTTTTTTTTTTTTTTGCTTCTGCTGTTAATAGCTGGTAATATCTTCTGCTAAATAGGGCTTTCTGGGATAGAACTGGGCAACTTTTTGATCAAGCGCGTGGTGCGGTCGCTCAAAGTTGAGTTTCCACAGATCGAAACCTTTAGTACACTCTCGCCCATCCCCGGGTTCAGAAAATGGATGGAGCAGTGCCAAAATCTCGGTCAAAAGCTGCTTCTTCCCATGGAGGAACATATTATTACCCAATTAGTGGAGCAACAACAAGATGCTACCATTGCAGCCGATGGTAACTCGGAGAAGCAATTTAGTGTAAGCGAACGACGTATACATGAAACCACTCTTGACTGTCCAGTATCTTTTGACGGGGGAAAACAGCTGAATTGATGTCTGTATTTTCCATAGGCGATTCTTCATCACCCGTCCACGTTTTCTAACAATGAGACGACAGGCAAGCTGCGACCCATCCTTAGCCGACTCTGCGCCAGGTACGTTACCCAATCGATACTGATCGAATGATACAGGATAATCTTGTTCCGCACAGCGCAGCCATTCATCCCTATCTAACATGACATCCTGCTTCCGCACTTTGTTGATGTCTCTAGGTACATCCTCCTAGAGAAACGCCGGCACTTAGCCCTGGATCCCGTAGCGAACTTTCATCTCCGCAACGGCGCCTGCGCACACCGACTCAACTGGCTCGGTGACACCTCGGCGAAGGGCATGGATGAGTCCTTTGGGATGATGATTAATTATCTATACTCTCTCGATCATATTGAGAAGAACAACCAGCTATACCTTCAAGACGGTATGATCAGTGTCTCTTCCAGAGACCCGGCCTTTGAGAGTGCCCTCGCACACGCAGCAAGCATGACCAGTAGTGCTGGTTCGGATACTGATGCAGGTCAACTGGTCCAGCTGAATGGATCGCGTTTCCGATTGCTGGATATTGCAACAGCCTGACAAAGAACCATAGAAGCCAGCTGCCAGTCAAGGCCGCTTGGAGGATCTGGCGTCAATAAAAAATAAAATAAAATGAAATGAAAACGGAAGCAACAAGCAGAAGAGTTAATTCGTTCCTCATCAAACAGCAAGGGATAGTACACATATGTACTCATTACTATGTCCCGTCCCTCTCTCTTTCACTCTTCAGATCCATAATAAAATAAAGACAGCACCATCTCGATCCTTGACAACAAGCAACTAACACGAGTGCGAACGGTATCGTTTGATTATTAAACTGAGCAGAGATGCCCTTTATATTTTAAATACAACCACCCTAGGGAAGGGAAACCTCCCATTTGCAGTATGCTGCCGATGTTGTTGGCCGCAGTAGTTCCTGTCATCGAAATGTTTAGATTATCGTATTGGGTTGTGATCCATTCCCGCTTCGTCTACCACGAGTATATCCTTTTTCTGTTGACGCCGTTGCTTTTCTTCGTTTCCTTGCGATGTTCCGCTCACTGAATGATCCTCTCAACAAGTTCGCTGACCAACAATGCATGCTTATGTACAGTGGGTCGTCCATTGCTGGTGTTGAATCCGGGTGCACCTGTGTCCATCAGCCCTGCAAACCCCAGCTCTGTCAGATACGCCAGCTGACTCGCCTTCTGGGTATTGGCCGCCGCCGCGCTCAGCACCGGGTCTGCCACAACCGCAAAGATGATAGACTGCACTGCGTCAATGATAGGAACCACTTGCGAGCTATTGATAATCTGGTTCATCTTTGGCAAGAGCGACTCGTATCTAAATAACAAGAACACCAGTGCGGAAAAAATTAGCAGCATGAAAACAAACAAACAAAAAGCCATCCTTAGCCGACACAAAAAGAGTATCAAACACGGCAGCGGTGAGCGGTGCACTTACACAAGCGCAAAGACCTCAGGGAGAGCAACAGCAGCCTCCGCTAGGAATGCATACAAAAACAATCTTTCCGACTCCGTCTCGGCATTCTGAAGCATCGTTACCACCAGGGTAACCAGCAGCAGACCCGTGGTGTTGTCCGGGATCACCAAATGATCAAACATCTTGTAGTATGTGTCGTTTAACAGCGTGTTGTTGATCTCCATCGACGTGATCCCGACCATCTGCAGCAATTCCTTCAGCTCCATGTTCCTGGCTGCCTGCGGCAACAGCGCCGCGAGATATCCCATCACCCGCACGTCCACCACATCTGGCTGGGTTCCCTTCACAGCAATCTGCAAAATCAATCGGAGAACATCTGTCGTGATCGTCTTTGTCGACGGATGCTTCAGCCCCTTCAGGAGCGCACCCGCCACTCCAAACGAGAAATGCGTCTCAAAATTCAGCCCAACAGACTCATCCAGATCCCTGGTCACATCCAGCAGCGGAATTCTCGCCTGCAGGAGCACTTCATCCAAAGGCTCGTGAATAAAGAATCCCTGTGCATCCAGAACCTTCAGAACAGCCTGTAGCAGCTCGAGCGCACATGTGAAAAGCGGGACATGACCAATCTCCACAATCGACAATCCCAGCCAGAACATATGTTGAAGGTATCGTGATTCCGCCGGAAGATTCGCCGCAATGTTAGTTAAGCACATTACAATGCTGGCAATCAGGTTGCAGTCAGACTCCACAAACATGGCAAGCGCGCCGCGAAGGGCCACTAAGATCTGGTACAGCAAATCGTCGTCGACTTCCTCCCTTGCCAGACATCCCAATGCCACAAATGCTCGCGGTTGAATAGCCGGGTTAAACTGGAACGCTGTGCTCGTCACCAGACCCATCCAGCGAGCTCTGGCAGCATTGGCGGCGTCTATTCGAAGAGCATGAACAATAAGATATTCAATATCGGTTAGATAAAGAACGAAAGGCGGACATCAACCGGCATTAAATGCAACCAGATGCTAAAAGAAAAAAGAAAAGAAAAAAAAGACGCCTCTTCATATCCTAACAAGCGTCGCCCCAACATCGCTTACCATTCGTAGGCGATCCGAGTTCGATAACATCCATCAGGGCCTTGCAAATATTCTCCAGCCATGACAGAGGCATCGGTTCATTGAAGTCTTTCAGCGTTTCAGGAGAGATCACAAACGAGTTGCTGTACGATCGACTCAGTCCAAAGAGCATCCGGAATTTGTTTTCTGAAAGCTCCTGCAACAGATCCAGAAGCTTCGAATGGTTGGGTTCACTTGCAGGAATGGTGGTCGCCAGCGCCTGCACAATATTCGTCACCATGCCGTGGACAGCTGAGCGGACTACTGAGGCTCCTGCAGCGACCAACAACGTTACTATGTGGCACACTTCCGGCAAAAAGTTGAGTACATCCTTGGTATCGTTGAATGACAGGTTCATGCAGAACCGTACCAGCACGCCAATTTCCGTCCAGGACGGGTGATCCGTCAGTTGTCGCATAGGTTTCAACCCCGTCTTTGAGATCACCTTACGAAGGCGAGAGATGACCTTGCCACTAATCGAGACCGACGAAAGCGTCACCAAGGTATCCCCTAGCTTCTCGGCCTGAACAGATCCGATGCCTCCCTCCATCGACTCAGTGATAAACAGATCCAGCACCAGAACGACAAGCGCATCGATCTCCTCTACGCGACTCCAGATGATGTCCTGCATGGCCCCATAAATCTCGGGCTCGTTCACTGTCATGTCGATCAGACCCTTAATGATCTCTCGCGTCTTGGCAAAGCCGGCATGGTTATCGCTAGAGCTGCGGCAATACTTTGCCAAATTGGACAGCCATGGCGATACAAACTCAAGACAGCGGGGCTTCAACGCCTTGGGTGTCTTTTGGAATCCAACAAAGCATTCTGTGAGGAACTCGAGCGTCAAATGACTCTCGGTCCGGGCCAGCATCTCGCTCATCCGACGAATAAACGGTGCGTTGTTGGTGGGGATGCACAGACCCTTGGCGCTGAGCAGTTGGTTTCCAGTATCAAATTTAAAAGTATCCGAGAGAGCACAGAGCAAGTTATACGACGCCAGGCGCAACGCTGAATCTGGGCTCGACAGGTTAAACATAGCCATTGTAAGCAGTGTCCCTGGCACATCGTTTGGACGGATGACTCGTGCACTATAGTTCGCAGGCTTGGAGGCCAAGAACCTCTGCTTGGTTTTAGCGATTGCAGAGATGATCTGGTCCCGCTTAGGTGAGGTGAAGGTCATGGACATGGTGCCTTCTTCGTAAATGATAAAGAACTCGCCATCGTCCCCGCGACTGTGTGCCTTTGATATATCGTCCAGTTCGCTAATGTGATAGACATCGTTGTACTGACAGCTCATTCCTGCAAAGATGTCCTGCTTCTTTTGCTACGGGTGTTATGTATAGTCCAGGAATTTAGATAGCGACATTAGATGTAGGCCTTTCTTTTGTGAAAAAGGAGCGAGTCGAAACTCATGGCATGAACACAAGATAAAATGCTGGCACTATGGAATGCCGGTACTTACCATGACAACCTGGATCACCTCGTGCCCAATCTTGAACATGACCGGTGTTGGTGGCGATCCAAGGGTCAGTTTGTTGACGCCAGCAATGCCAATGTTCGCATCCGCTTCAAGCGATGTGGTTGACTTTGGCAATCGCAGTTCTGAAGGAGATATAAATTCGCTCAACTCGTGCAGGTTCGATGGAAAGATGATCCTCTTGGCGATCCTGCTAGTCAATTGTCGAGAAAGAGACTTGGTGTACCGCCGGAAGGCCGTATTGACGTTGATAAAGTACAGGTTGCAGAGTCCGATCGCAGTGTCCGTGGGCAGGAGCTGTAAAAACTGGCTGATGTTATGGTCTGAGATCTCGTTGGAAGAACCAAAGCCAGTTACATCGACTATCAAGTCGTAGGACTTGTTCGCGACAGGTTCGAGAAGCTACGCAGATTAGAGCACAGAAATAGGATATTATGTTAAAGGGTGGAAGGTCGTGCGCCCTGTTATTCCATAATGATGCGCTTCCCTCGAGATGCTGAACACAGAGTCTTAACTAATGCTTACCAAAAAGATGCGATACATCACCGTCTCCAGATCGACACTGTCCAACGACAACTTGCGCATTACGAAGTAAAAGACTGGTCGACGCTCCTTGGATAATCCACCCTCGTAAAAGACCCCGTCCTTGAGCAGATTGTCGATGGTCCGTCCTCTGTTCTTGCGCATGAATTCGTGGTACTGGTGGATATTGGGGGCTGTGTTCAGGGTCACGGGTACCACATCGCGACGGTGGCGTTCTGGGGGCGGTCCAAGTTGCGCCAGCAGCGTCGAGAGCGTGTCGAATGAGCGCTTGGTTATCAAATAAGTCTTATCCTCCTCCAGTTCCGCAGATGTCTTCATTGTCAAGTCCTTGCTCATCCTCTCCAGGTTCAAGACTAGATGGCGGTGGAGTGAAGACCGGTCGCCTACATCGATTGCACGGTAGTGTGCAGGATCGGTTGATGCTGGCTCCAACTGTTGAGGCGTCGAGATATTTCCAAGGAATCGGGTGACTTTGTGAATGTTGGACGTCAGGAACGTGTTGAGAACGATCATGAAAGGTTCCTTGGCTCCGAAGAGAACGTTGTTAGCCAAGTTCTGGATCACCTTCGTAATCAGTAACAGTCCACGGCGGACTTTGGCGTTCTCGATGGGTCCCTGCAGCAGGCCATCCGACTCTGGAGCCACGATAGCGGGACATAGGAAACGCAAAAAAATGAAGCCACCGACGGCAGTGAATTTTGCATCTGGGAATCGCTCCCCGACAGCCTGCGACAGGTACCAACAGACTTCTCTGAATGAATTTGGGACATTTGACGCCGATTCGGTGATGGTATCCAAGAACACCTGCGCCATGTGCTTCAGGTTCTCGAAGTTGGCATTGATGTCCTCTTCAGGGCCCAGACGCGTGGGGTCAAGCTCGTAGGAACCTTGTGCAGGAAGAGTCATGAGCGCGTTCAAGAGCGGTTGGAGCGTGCTCTTGAGGTATTCTGCGCCGTTGATCTTGGCGAACACTGTCAGCAGCCTAGTGGCCATGCAGTTTCTTCTAAACAACTCGGATTCGCCTATCAAGTAGTAGCCAGAAAAAATAAATAGAAAAGAGCCGATATAAAAGGTATTAGAAGAGGAACTGGATTACAGCACCACAATGATGCATCCTCTCGACAATGGTAACGTCATTTGTTGCAGGCACATACCAGTCTCTCTGACCTCCTTCATGATAATGGCCTTCAGCAATGGCATCGCCAATCCACGGCTCTCGAATACATGCAGTAAGACAATAGCAAGATCATCAATCTCGCTCACCGGACACACTTGGCACAATGAAAGCACAAGCGTGAGATCCGGTGAAGCAATGAGGTCGATCAGCTTCTCATAGCGATCCTCCATAGCACTTTCTGACAAGACTGCAAATTCGGTTCCTTGCTTGAGAATATTGGTCAAGACCTGCATAAAGGCAGTGCGAGTTCGGTCGTCCTCGTGATATCCCATGGATAGTGAGTAATTCAGTCCGGTTTCGATGTTAGCACTCAGCATGTTTGAAAGTGCTTTGATTGTGTATTCCTTTAGCGGACCTAGATCACGAACAATGGCTTTGGACTGTTGATAGTCGCAACGAAATCAAGTGTCAGCTATACATCACAACTATTGAGGTTCTGTGGTCTCGACATAAAATTCAGAGCTTGTACCTTGGCAAAGAGAAGCGCGAGATCCTCATTATTCTGCCTGTGATACGACGGTCCAGACTCGATGTACTCGAGAACGCGACACCGGTTCAGCAGCTTGAGGAAAAAGTTGAAGTACCGGTAAAAGATGGCTGAGCGGATCTGTGTCATGTCTGTATCGTGCGTCGTTTCGTATGGCTGTAGAGGCAGTTGGTACAGGAGCGCTACAATGGATTTCATACAGGCAAGGTCCAAGTCGCGATACAGTCGCCCGTTGTTCGCTGGGTCGTCCTTTTCCTCCACGTACGATGGCATCTCCGTTGGCTAAGGAAGTAAGGATTATACGTATCTACAGTTAGCTTTGCGCTCCTAACCCTACACTTTAGCATCTTTGGGTTGTCATGCAGACTGTACACTTACTAGTGAAAAGTCCGAGGTCCACTCGATCATGACCTCAACCATTTTGTTCCGGAGACGGATTTCCTGTCGGAGACTGATGTATTCCTTCTTTTGCATGAGCGTTTCGCACAGTTGGCACATCTTGATCTTGACGCGCAAACCGTTTAGGCTGTGCCCGAGACGGTGAAGATAGCGTGCAAAATACAGAACTAAGGCCCCAAAGTCCACCGAAAAGATAGCGTCCGCCGGAGATGACATTCGATCCAAAACAAGTTTGAGAACAGAGATCGCCTGGTCGACAAACATTGTATACTGGTCCGTGCACAAAGGCTCGCCGTGGCTGTTGAAGAAGCGGGAGACCACATAGATCAACTGCTTGAACAAAACAGGATATAATGCTGGCGACAGCTCCGATCCGAGTGTCTGCTTGACCACATCACGTACAAAGACCTGCTCATTGACGAGAAGCTGGACCATATCGAGCATGTAGCGCTCGACACTCGCCTGCGCCGCCTTGGTCTCGTTTACAGATGAGCGACGGAAATTCTCACCCGAAGCATTTGTTCTAGGAGTAGCGTTCGACGGCAACGAGGCGCCAGCCAGCGCTGCAAGGAATCCCGTGAAATTTTGCCACTCTGCGTTACGAGAGTTCGAAGGATCGACCACAAAGCCTCCCTTGGGAGGTGGAGGAAGGGCAGTGGAGCGCTTGGCGTTCCGACTTTTTTCAAATGGTTCCATGTTCTCATAGAAGGCAATCTCGTCCTTCGTCCAGAACACCGTGATGTTTTTCCAGCGACGATAGGCCTCCTCCCATGCGCCTAGATTGCCGGGTGTTGGTTGAGAGATCTGACGAATGATTCGACGCAGGCGCTTTTGCTGAGAGATTCGACCTACAGTGAAGAGAAAGGGCGCGCGAGTGAGATTGGAGTTATTGACGCGATGACGCTTTTCAGTGTGGTACATATGCATGCGCTAGATGACGCATCGGTCCAAGGACCACACATACCCGCCACAACAGCACTTGGGGCGGAGAGCTCCATGTAGACATCAATGTTCTCTAGCAATGAAAGCTGCCCGACGTTGGGATTTATGACCTCCTGAGTGATAACTGTCTCTTCACACAGAAGACTGATACAGTTTACAGCCATGGTACAGATGTCTTGCTCCGAAGCACATATGAGGATCAAAAGAGCAATCTCGAGGGCAACGCTGGTCGCGAATCTCTTTGGGATATCGTGGCATGCAATCGCAAGGTCCTATATTAGCGTTATTTGAAAAGGAACATTTGTTAAAAATAAAGGTTGCGTGCGCAATACATAGTATCGGGACCCCTCTTCATTCTATTGACTGAGCGCAGCCAAGGATATGTACCTGGTGATCCTTCAGGAATATGTTTCGGCGGGACATGAGTTGCTGCAACAACTCCAAGAGAAAGCGCGACTTTTCGTCTGTGCATTTGAGCTCCATGAGATGGCGGGCAATCGAGATAATAACGTCCGAGCTCAAGTTCCAGAAGGTAACCATGAGGTTGGCACCCGAGCCCCAGCGCTCGATGATCCTGGAATCGAACAGTTGAAGCAACACCTCACCCGCCGTCGTCCGGATTCCAACGTGAAGGTCATTCAAGCATAGAAGCAAACCCTTCAAAAGCTGATGGATCTCCTCCTCGACTGCCTCCGGAGTTTCCGTCTATAAAGAAGCAAGAAGATCAGCATACGATATGAGGTTGCAATACAAAAGTAAGATGAACATACACATACTACCGCAAAAAAAAAAAAAAAAAACTAATCACTTACCGCAACAGCAAGAGCTGGGTCGATCTGATACATCTTCAACAGGCAAATAATCAATTCCTGTTTATCCCTGGCGTTGTCCAACATCTGTTTCTTGAGCTTTCGATCAATGTGGAGTTTCTTGGCCATAATCTCAGCAGGCCTTTCCCGGACAACATTCTCTGCAAACATCTTTCTCAACGGTGCCCCTAGAGCAGATGTGGCAGGCTGAATCGAAGGGTTCCATGGCAGACGTTCCTCTTCGGAGGCGATTGTATAGAAGGACTGGACTAGAACAAGCTTGAACGCGATTGGTGCCCTGTCGCTCGACAGCTCGGGGATAAGAGAATGGATAACATGGCGCGGGTTCAGGCGATAAAGCGCTGTGAGACAGGCTGACATCGTTGCTTTATCGGTGGCGCCTTCGGGATCCACATAGGGCTTTGATGGTGTAAAGAGGAGTTCCTATATGTGCACAAGGGATTTTCAACAACAATTTCAGATTAGGACTCTCTGCAGCCATAGAGATTGAAGCTCTTCAAAATATAAACACATTTCAATAATTGCAGGTTGGGCGTAGTTACCTTCAACTCGTTCTCGATCTCTGGCACAATATGGCGCAACGCAGATGTATCATTTTTGGAGACGTATGTCGATGCTTTGCACACGTCGACATAGCAAAGTCCTGCAATCTCCATTAAGCTCTTGTTGCGCAGCGATTTTTTGAGCGCCTCCAGAAACTGGGCCTTTTTGGACATGTTGTTGCGATTGTCGTTCATAGCGGCGTTCAGAAGAATGTCTGGGCAGAGAATTAGCAGCATGGTTTGCAGGGGCCAAAAGTGTATCCTGCGCTTGTTGTCTGTCGCAAGAGAGTGGCAGATATCGAACAGTATATGAGGCTCCCCCTCCATGCGCTTTTGAGTCTGACAGAGATGGACGAACTCTGAAGGGAACACCTCGATCCAGTTCCAGATCGCTTTATGAAGCACCTGACCCATGACAGTCTGGGCAGAGCGCTTGAGGTGCAAAAATGTCGAACGTAATTCTATTCAGAATTCCAGGGGTAGATTCAGTATATCGCAAATAAGCGACAGTTAGAAATGCGCTGGAAATGCACGAGTCCATAACCATACACTCTAACAAAAAAAATATATACCAGTCAAGACCTGGCCGAGTCGACGCTGATTTAGACTGGCGGTCTCAAGCAGCTTGAGCTCCGCAGTCTCTGGCCAGTCGTCATTCGTCGTCGTCAGATGCTGGATCCTCGCTTTGAGTCGAGCAAATACAATGGGCCAGTTCGATGCGCTGATGTAGAAGAGGACCCGTCCCGCAGTCTTGTAAATCTCGTTCGAAATCTCGACCTCCTGGATGTTTACGGTATTGTGTGATGAAGCAATGGGGGCACTTTCGATCTCTGCTCCCTTCTTCTTGTTGTTTGTGCTGTTCGTGGTAGCGGTTTCTGCTTTGGCGTCGGGATCCTCGGCCGTGGGGACATCATGCAAGAACCGTGTTAGCACGCTGAGTACATACTTTGCAAGCGCGTCGTCCAGAGGGGGAGGGTCGCTGTGGCGAGCGGCAGCAGCGGCGGTAATAGAGGATACGGCAGTGTCGGCGATCGAGCCATTGTTAGAGACACCGTCACGCACCGTCGCTTCCTCGGACTCCTGCTCACTCTGCTCCCGGAGATGCTGCGTCAGTTGGTCCCTGTATGCCTTCCAATGCGCCTCCATGCACTGCGATAGGATCCTCAGCACGAACAGCTGGGACTGCATGACGTCGTACGGTACACTGTCCTCCAGTACCATGCCATTTTGCTATTAATTTCAGAGAGCATGAAAAGGATTAATACCAAGTGCTCTGGAGGCAGCTGAAGTGTGGTTGCATATGGCAGCGGAGCAGGTCGCGACCTTGCAGACAGATGTCTGCTGATTGCGCTCTCTTTTATTATTATTTTTTGATCAAGAAATGCACAATGCATGTAAACAAATAAGCGAGCTAATGGAGAGTGCTAAATAAGACACTCCCCTCTCTTTCTCTCCCCCGGTGCTTCCAGGCACTTTAACTGGCACTTTAACTGGCACTCTGTGAACAGTGCCAGAATGTCCATTGGTGTACCACATCCGCATGGTGAGGTATTGACACAACGTCGCAACAAAGGGAGAAAGAAACAAAAAAAACGAAGGCAGGGCCGTTGCAACAGCAACGTGCATGATGTTGAGGACGGGTGTAAGGAAGGAGCAATCAGTACCTTAGAGATGTTCTCGAGCTGATTGACGAGGTGGCGACAGATGGGACCGAGGCGATACCGGGACAGCTCGACCAATGAGACAATCGACTGGTGGATGAGCGGGTCCATCTCTATGCTCTCGAGCGGTCGGCCGTTATAGGGTAGCTAAGATGACATGCAAAGACGTCCAAACAGGCGAAAGAGTCATGTTAAAACGATATGCAACTGCGTGGCAAGACCTCATGATACTATGGAGCGGACGTCCTTTATGGCTGGCAATAGCCACATCCCCTTTAACTATTGCTGCTGCTGTCGCTTTTACTGATGTTATAGAATCAACTCCTAGTGTGCGAGTGCTCGGTGTTCCAGGTGCTATTGTCAAGAGGTCTTTACCTTCGACATGATCCTGCCGATCAGGGAGAGGACGAGCTTTGTCTCCGTGTTCGCCATCTATTTGAATCCGGGCTGGAGCTAGGGATTGACGAGGAAGGATTGGAGGGACGGAAGGGGGTCCGAAGGACTGGGATGATGAAGGGCAGTAGAAAGAAGGAGCAGAGAATAGGAAGATAAATGATAGATGACAATAATGCGCGTGGAAAAAAGATGAGAGGAAGGAAGAAGAGAGAGAGAGAGGAGAAGGAAGAGAAGGAGGAGGAGACGGGGAGGGGGGCGGGGAGGAGGAGCAAAGGTGTGTTGCAACACAGCGAAGGATATAGGAGGAAGTCAAAGAGGATGATGAGGATGATGAAGTGTGATGAAGACGATTAGGCCTGCAGTTAGGGAGCAAGGTGGGGAGCACACCCGAAGGTGAATGTGATGCGTGCAATTAGGGAAGGTGCCTTTTTCCATTCATGCAGGGTGGACGCGACTTCTTAAGGTTCGTTGCAGAATTTCGAGGATAGCATTGCAACTCGGATAGCGAAAATGATAAGGGATCGACCTCTGTTCCTGTTGCTGTCCGTAAACCTCACATATAGCTTATTTTTGAGTCTAGGCCACTGCAGACCAGGCATTAACACGATGTAGTACAAGCAGAATAAATCCATAAAGACGAAAGCAATTTCAAAACCACGTTGGAAAATATCATTCTTCGCTTAAACACCATTTAACAAGAGATGGCGGAGACTGAGGATGTGTTCCTTGTCCAGAGAACATCGGCAGTGCAGCGTGCAATACAGCGAGATACCTCTAAAAGGCATCGCATTGTGCCTAGGGGTCGCCATCATAATGGACTGTACGTATGGATTATCCGAGCCGGAGCGCATAACGAGATATTTCATCGGAGGCAAGCACATCTTCGATCATCAGGAAGACACCCCTCGCGCAATCCGCCAAAACGGCCGATGCGACAGAGAACTACCTTCAGGATTATCTCCAATTCTGTACCTTGTATGTCGAGTCAGACGTCGCTGGTTATCCAATCTAAGCGGCCTGCATCAGGAATTCAGCACAAAAGAAGTAAGCAAAAATCGTAGACAATCAATAACACACTCAATTAACAGCATTGCAGCCAACTTATCATGTACGTCTCTCATAGATATAAGTGGGGTGAATGTAATGATTCAATGACGATGGTGGGGCCGAATGTTTTGGGCAAACAATTAAAAAAGAACTAGAAGAGAGAAACGGGGAAAGACCCTTTCATCACCAAACTTATTGCAAAGGACCGATATCCAGAGCAAAGGTCTCATTAGGGGCTGAGGCTGATGCGGGCTCCGCATGCTTGTCTACTTGTTGCTATTATTGCTGCTATCTGTATGAGCTGTTGTGTAAGCTAGAACATTTGCACAAGGCCATGAACCCGTCCAAAGGTCTTGAAATGCAATGCAGGTTTATAGCAAACTGGGTCTGCGCAAATGCAGAGACCTCAACAAGGGCGTCGCTCAACATCTCTGTATTTTTTTTGATAGCGACACATTCTGTCATATAAGAGTCCTAACTACACCAAGGAATGGCCAGTGTTTGCCGCAATAAAGTTCTTTTGATTTAAGATTCTTATTGGTCTCCAGCGTTTGCAATTAGTAGATTCAGCTGTGCTGAACCATTCTGAGCGAACGACCTACAATACGTTGCTGGTTCCCAAACGCTATCACATACACATTCTGTGTGCTGCATTTAGCCAGTGTTGCGATAAAATCCAATTGTGTTGAAAGCTGCTTGTGGTTAACAGTCTTGGTTGCAATCAGCTTACAGTTGAGAATTCGCTCCGCTTACGCTTTTTTTTCCCCTTTAGTCTAACATAATTGCAAGCATCGCCGGCGCACATACAAAGAGAACGATGCTACTCTGTATGTAATGGGTATGGAGCGACAATAATACATCGACTTTAACTCGCTTGCCCATTTTATTTCCATCGAGTTCAGTCATATATAGATACATATGTATATGTATACTTAAAAAAAAAAAAAAAAAAAAAAAAAAAAACTGCATGTCCTCTTTGCATTAACTTTTTAAACAGTTATACCACCTTGCACCCATGTACAGGTCCTGAATGGGTGTAGACTGCCCCTAACACGCCTTTCTCGGTCGACCTGGACCACACTTCCCATGCTGCTTGGCTGCACTAGTCCTAGCTCGGGGTTGGAACGCAGGGGTGGATAGATGCATGTGGTCACGCCGGGTCCTTTTACTGGTATTGATGTCCGTGTGCTTGTCAAAAGATGTGATCTTGGATGCCTCCATAGATAAATCAATGAAGGTCTGGTTCATGTCGAGGTCCGATCGCTTCTTATCTGCATACGCTTCATCGCTGTCGCTGTCGCTGAGCTCTGCTGCAAAATCGGCAACCAGGCTACTGGCAATCTTGCCCCTTCGACGTGGAACCACAAACCCATGGTCAAGACTGGCGCACGACAAGTCTGTAGCGGTTTGCAGCAGGGGTCGTTCCTCATAATGCGTGTCCTCCGTAGAATGTCCGTATGGGTGCTGAATGTCGCTGCCACTGTCACTTTCTTTTGATGATTGCGGTCGCACTGCATTATAATCCCCTCCTTCGAAGTCCGTGCGAGTAGCAGCTATATCTTCCCGACGAGCGCTCTGGATGACTTGGGGACCGATCAACGAATCCAAAATCTCCTTAGCAACCTTGAGGCCACTTAAATATGCGCCATGGGCCGTGGCAGGGTACTGTCGACAGGTTGCCTCTCCGGCAAAATAGAGCTGATCACCGATAGGTTTGGCCAACAGGTCGTAGTCCTCCCCTCTGGCCTCCTTACCAACAAAAGAGTAGCTTCCCTGTGCAAACTCGTCTTGGGACCAGCGAGTGACAATGGTTTCGATTGGATTGGGAATTGGATGAATATGCGGGTGGATCAATCCCAGTGTCTCCAATGCCTCCTGAACAAGGTCTTCCTTTGGCATGCGCTCACAGTCATATGCAGATTGGCCGGCCATAAGCGCCACTAAGCCAACATCAGCAGGAAGGGTAGCCATTTCCCGGTCAATTCCATTGCTCACCGCCAGCAAGCCTGAAGAACGTAAAATATCTTTTTACAACTCAAGAGCAAAAAACAGCTGGCACGTACCTAAGACAGGTAGACCTGAGACGGCAGCGCAGCTCCAAAACATGTAGAATTTTCCACGGCTCGAACGATACGACTCGAGGTCATGCCCATTTACATACGATTCTTCTTGTCCACGTCCAACGCAGCCAAAGAAATCTGAAGCCGGATCCCAGAATGGCTTTTCAAATACAAGCACAAGCTTATTCAGTAAGCCAAATCCAAGATGCCGAACCGCTTGCTCTTTCCACGGCGGCAAGGGTGGCAAAAAATCAATTTGCTGGCTCTTTAGCACACCCAAAGGGACCGTAATAGCAGCTATCGTGCAATCCAAGGATGTTCCGTCGCGACATTGAATGCGAACTGGTTCTTTTTCGCGTCCTCTTGAGTGTCTCCTGGTGCTGCTCTTGACGCAAGTTGATGGGGACCACTTGATTCTGGTCACTGGCATCTCGAGCCGTATGTCAAGACCCTGTGAGAGCGCCTCAGGCACCTGACCATAGCCCTGTACAACCATACAGTGCGGCCCAGAAAACTCATATCCATCATCCTGGTCCCAGTGATAAAGCGAGAGTCTGTCCAAAGTCGTGGCATTCGCAAACTATCCAGAATACATGAGGAGAGAAGGCATTCCCCCTTTTTTTTAGCCAGTTCTTGAGCAAGGCACGTCTGCATATTATTGTCGATGCTGCAACCTGTGTCTTACCTCCAGGTTTGCATAGTGCCAATGGATGAGTCCTAGCTCTTGTTGCGTCCAGGACTTGAATTCGGGATGAGATTCCATGAAGTAGTCCATTGAGTGGCCTAATGTTGGTAACATGGTCGAGCGCACTTGTCTTGAGGCCTTGTAGTCCTTTGGATACCTCTGCAAGAGATATTTCTCTAGTCGGGCAGGCAACTTGTTCTTCTCACGTAGTTGGCATGCTTGATCCAATATCTGATTGAAGACCTCCTCACAACGCGCATCCATTGCTTTTGACACTGGCTTGCCATTAGCGTCAAACAGATCACAGGCTTTGTTGACAAAGTAGTGCAGCGTGAGATCCGATAGCTGCCTGTGTAGGATGACCTCCATTGGGTTCCCATCATCAAAACCAGTAACGATCTGCGCTCCTAAATCAACGCAATGCCTCGCTGGTATTCTTTTTATTGCTGTTGCCGTCCCTGATGCAGAAACTGTTGCTATATTCCCAGGGGTGCTGTCAGCTGAGGTGGCATGATGGTGTACTCCATTGTGATGTTGGCTGAATGGTGGCAAGGAGAAGGCAGCTGTGGTGAGCTCCATCGTATGTATGCGTCCGCCAATCCGGGATCTTGCCTCGAGCACAACTACTTTTGGCGGCAACTCTGGGGCGAATCTCCATGCGAAGTGTCGAAACAAATTTTCCAGCTGTCTAGCGACGGCAATGCCTGAGATGCCACTACCAATGACAATAATGGTCCGTTGTTTTTCAGCCCTGGATGGATTAGCCTGCTTGATGCCGTCGTCCTGAACAGCGCATCCGCCAAAGTTGATATATCCAGATCTCAGTAAAAACTCGAAAACGTGAGCGACGAGTCCATGGTGGAGGCCGTAATTCTTGGTAGCTTCAAAGGCTCTGGCAAGCGTCAGAGGCTCCTTGGGTGATTCTCGCCATAGCCAGAGCATTGTATTCCTGACCCTGAGATAGCTTTCCCGATCCGACCGACCCAGGTGATGCTTCAAGAGCTCAAATTCGTCGATAGAGAGACCGTGGGCAGGCAATCTAGAAGAGTGTGCGGCATCTCTCAGTCGTTGCTCATCACGTCGATCCTGTCGAGATCGCTTGCGTGCATGCAGAGGAAGAGCTTGAGATGGCTCAACTGAGGGTCCAGGATGCGATAGGCGGATGGCCCTGCTGGATATCGAAATCGGCGGTGCTGCAAGGCGGAGGCCCGTTTGCTGTGTTCTTCTTCTACGTAGCTGTCTACTGGATGCGATGGCGGTAATGTGCCCCGGAGTTGGGTGATGGGTCACCTGGGAGGATGGACTGATGGTAGGGGACGTTTGCGGTGGTGGTGTAGCCCATGCTGGTCCCAAGGATGTTGCGAGCTGGTTCAAGACAATGTTGCGCCCAGTGCGCTGCCCTTTGGGGCTGGATGGGCGACTGCAGTGCATCGTCCTGTCTTTTTGGTAAACGAGGGTTGAGAGAGCGAGAAAAACAGAGCCAAGAATGATATCTTGTGCGCTCCATAGTAGCAAGGAGAGCTACCTTCTTCCCTCAATTACAAGACCACATTCCGTCTGTAACTGCAAGGAGGATTCTTCCCTCAGCTGCAAGAAGCTACGGAAACGTTTGCTTTGCAACGGCTTTCTTTTGCTCCAGCTTCCCCACCCCGACCATGACCCGTCTGCAAGGCCCTTCCGCATATTTCTGTACACACTTCTTTCCGCGCGTGCATCCTGCTACACCTTGTCTTTTTTTCACCATCTTAACCAACCGTGAAGTCCCGCAGGTGAGCCCCACGCCCACGAAAGCTAGGAGCATATCCATCTGTGAGACTCATATTCCTCTTTATATATGTGATATACTTCATTGTCATTCGTTTTCCCAACAATGCATCGCATCACACCACACCACATTCGCACCGCATTCGTACTAAAGGATACATTTAGGGTCAAAGTGATGTGTTGCCTCCAGTAAACGGAGAGCGATGCAGTTGTAGTATATTCTAAAGATGCTTATCTTTCTTCTTTTGCTGTCCGCTTCTCTCCTAGAACCCTTGGTCGGGATGCCTCAGAACCAGCAACCGTGCACAGCTTCCGCCTCAGTCAGTAACACCTCAATGGACAGCGTCACTCTCGACCCAATCCAATATAATGTACGCTGATGAAGTGAACTTGGTTCTAATACTCTAAAGAACGATGCTGCTGCTCAATCATGATGGTAACTGACACGCAATAATACGGATTTTACTAGACAAGAGCATCTGCCTTGAACAAGAGAGATAGCCCTGGTATTGGGCCCATGATCTATGCCTCTAACAGGTCCCGACGACCGATCTCCAAAAGGGCCGCATACCGCACTCAGGGGAGTAAACCAAGACCCAGCGAGCCTCGATCAAGCAGCAGGATGAGTTTAGCAAGAAAGCGTACCGGAAGATCCGGCCGTTGGACAGTTGAAGAAGACAGAGCGTTGGTGCGCGGAGTAACCGCCTATCTCGCCAGATTTGGACTTGAACCCAACCCCCCTGCGCATTTGTTAGCCGACGAAGACATACGACGGAATATAATGATGGCTCAGGACCCCTGCGTGATCGTCGATGCCATCAAACCACCAACTCTCGAGGTCCCCATTGACCAACGGCAACAGTATCGCAATGACAGCAACAGCTATGACACGAGCCTTTTCGACTCAATCGTAGATGCGTCGAAAGGTGGAGAGCACGAGAACGAAACTCTCAACGAAGCAATCCCTTTGAGAACGCACTCAGTCATCGACAGGTCTTTGCTGACACAAATGGGCGGGACATCAAAGAGGAACCGGAAACAAGTCCTGTCGTTATCATCATCCGTTGCATCAACAGTCGACGCGTCCGTCCTTGAGAGCATGCAGGAGTACAGTCATGATAACGAGAAGGAAAAGCGCGGATATTACGGACTCAGCGTCAATGCTGTCCATGGCTCACAACAGGGTTTCTTAAAAACTCACCCAAACTACCATTGCGAGGATGTGCTGCTTACCGGCGAGTTGGCAGATGGTTCGCTGTGTTTCCATTCCAGGGCCCCAGCAATGCCAGGACACCATGGGCATTCTGCGCAGTACGAATACAATGACCACAATGTCTTCCACAGCGGCGATTCCCTCAACAAAGGCATGCCCCAGCTGATTCACGAGTCTTACGATGGTTACTTAATGAACGATGGAGAACCATGGTCCACGACAACATCATCCTTCTCTGTATCCGCGCCTCAGACGTGTTCTTTACCCTCGTCACCCTCTCAAGTCGCCAATGACCAGCTAGCCGTTGAAGATCTGTCCTGTCTTTACAGCAACGACACATGTCATAATGCGCCAAGAGCAGGGACTGGGATGAATGCCTATATACCCCAGTCAAACTGCCACTCTGTGACACCCGGCTTTCGGATTACGACTCCATTTCCCCTGGAAAATAGTTGGGCGGGTGCTGCAGACCCAAGCAGCCCGGTTTTCAAATCTTCTACTTTTGGCGATCTGAACTCTGTCAACAGCTCTAGCAGCAATCAGTTCTATAACGGCATCAATGTGCTGGATCTCGAGAAGAGCTACTTTAGGGGGGCTTTTGCTCAGAGATCGATAGAGAACTATACCTCAAGCAATGATAGCAGCGATAATGCCGGCCCTCGCTGGGATAATGCCCATCTCCAGTCGTCCTTAGCTCATTCATACGACGACGACCATCCAGACGTTGATCTTGAGTCCAGTGGTCTTCTCAGTCCTTCGCTGCCTTTCACGACTGGCGATCGAGCCGTGCTCGCTTCCAATCCTATATTGCACACGGACACCTACATACCTTCAAAAACAGCTCGCGGGGCATATTTTCTGGCTGTCTCTCGTGTGATGGCCCATTGCCCGTGGTCTTTGATCGCTGACAGCGATATCCCAGGCAGGACAGGTGTGCAGGCGCAGGCGCGTTGGTCCGAAGCGTTAGATCCCCGAGTTAAAAAGGGCCCTTGGACGGCTGAAGAGGATCAGTTGTTGCTGCAAGGGGTTCAGCAGAGTCGAAAGTGCTGGATTTGGATAGCAGATGGGATCCCAGGAAGGACACAGCGGCAGTGCCGGACACGATGGGTTCAGATCTCGACGAAGGCTGAACGTCGCGCGGCAGCGAATGTTGCAACTGTAGCAGCAGCAGCATCTAGGACGCAACCATGAGGCTCATGATACGTATGGCTGCTCGCCAGGGCTATGCGCTTCGGCATTCAATCAGGAGTGGAAGTGTGGTACCTAGATCTGACTCTAAGGGTGGTTGAGCAGATAGTAGCAGAAGTTATACTTGTATAAAAAAAAAAAAAAAAAAAAAAAACGCATAAAATCATGATCGGTTCAAGTATCAAGAGCTCCAGTGATAGTATTATCGTCCCTGAGCGAAATGGATTGCCTCCGCCGATGGTATCGCGGTGTTCCACAATACCGGTTGCTAGAAGAGCTTTTTTGCAGATCTCTCATACAGTTTTGAGAACAAATGGATCCCAGCTCCGTCTCTTGAAGGTTTTAACGGTTGACAAACCAAGTTTCTCAAAGTCTAACTCTAAATAACGCCCCGTCATTAAAAAGCTGCCACTTTCCCTTTCATCCTCCTTTCTATCTACTCACTCTCACGCTCATAGTTCAAAGCAGCAGCCCGCATTTTCTCAATCCACAACCCCTTGCCAATCTAAACAAGCACACAATGCATACCGCTCGACTTCTCAAGGAGTCCTCCAAGGGCATGAAGCCCTCCGTCGATGTCGTCCCTCTCATCACATTCGTTTCTGGTGGACTCATTGGTGGCACCTACATGGCCTTCCGCAAGCTCACTACTGACCCGCATCTCCGTCATCATGTCCGCCGTAATATCGAGTAAATACCATACTCAAAGGATGAGTAACCAACGCAGAAGGACCTGAACGAGATTTTCTTCTATCGATTCCACTTGGATTGATATGTACAGAGGTGTTTAAATACCTGAATAAAGAAAACTGTCTATATCATACGTCCTGATCTGTTGGATAGTGCTGAATGTGCTTGGTGTAACCGCATGTACCACCCCTATCTTGTTTAGCGATGTAACTCGGGTACTGCGCGCCTTATGGAGGAGAGTAGAGAGCGTTGCAGAACTGAGAGTAATGATCATATTAGCAGCAGCAGCCTTCGTCCAGAACCGCCGCCTTCTGGTTTAAACAAACCCTGCAACCACTACAAGTGCGACTACTGGAGTGCTCCCTCTACTTTACGTCAGCTTTGGAAGATGGAGAGCCTAGTCTATTTGGTTTCCACTGTTGACATTACAAAGCTGCGGCCTTCAATAAAACAAAAGCAGTTTTATTTTATTTTTAGGGGTCAAGTTGACGACAATGGCCTTGTACAAGTCTTGCAGTATGCTCTTCACATTCTCTGGTGTGAGCCCATCAACGAGAATACTTGGTTGATAGAACCGTTGCAAAGAGCATCTTTCCTCAGCTGCATTGCCTGGTCCTGGTTACGCGGTGTCGGATCAATGTACTCTCCACTCGAGTAGTTGATGCTGTCCTGCTCATCTTCCTCTTCCTCTTCCTCTTCTTCATCCTCGTCAAACGACCGACCTCTGCTCTTAGCCGGAAGTTTTGATATACTCACCTGCACAAAACGCGTGTTCAAAAACAAAAACGACGTGTCTGGGCAAGAGAGTCTATCAGACAGCCTAGGTGTATAAGACATTTTAGGTTTATGGATTCAGTAGACAAGGTTCTCTGTTTATGAGTGTTATGCTGCATATCCTTTTCGCACCATTGTGCAGGAAAATATCTACTCCAAGGAGTAGGGCCTATTCATCACTTCCTGGCTACTTGAATAACAACCACCATCGCTGTAAACCCAGCAAGATACCATGGAGGAACTTGAGAACAGAGAGTATGACATCACCATGTTGGCACTATTGAGCAGGGGCTCCTCTGATCAGGTTCGCCATCACCGTCTGCTTGATCGCAAGGAAGGTATACGGTTGTTTTTAATCGACGTTTATAAAGCATTAGTATCCATTGGACTCTGCTATACTCAGCTCAGTCTCTGGCTTATATATGCCAGTACAGGACGGCCAGGGTTTGGACAAGAGTGAGGGATACTATGCTTCTTCTCCTATTCGCTATTACCCGTTTCAGCAAGGACTCTTTATTGACGGGAAGTAGCGCAGTACTTGCTTGGAATAGGACTCCACTGCCATTCTTTATGTATACTAGATTCGAGAAAGCGATGACCATGGGCAGCAACCAGAGCAGCACTCCTGCCACATCGATGAGGGCATCATCGAAAACATTGACATGACTATCGGCATGGATGTCGAGAAAGATATCGAAAAGAACATCGACATAGACAGGTGAACGAATAACCAGAGATTCTGAAAGATGGTTTGGCAGAGACGATAAATGGAAAAGCACGGGGGACACTAGGTATGTTACAGGGTGCCATCAAGGGCAGCAACTCGGATAACAGCAAGGGCGACAAGACCAACGACAGTAAGAGCATCGAACGGACATCGTACGAAAATGGAGGTACGAGTTGGCAAATCTGCAGACGCCTGGTTAGTAAAGACATAAATTCATTGAATATGATAGCCCTGAGCAAAGGCTGAGCGATTGCGCGGAGGAGAAAATACTACTTTAGGCTGGCCAAGAGGATGGATGTGCAGCTGTAGTAATGTGCCTTTACTCTTTTCTGCTGTCTGATTTAAGTGTACTCCTTGCTTCTTGTTGCCACAAAAATCAGCACTCGTAGCTCGTTAATTCTTCACTCTCTGCCATATTTGCCATGTTTTTTGAACTGCTCCAAGATGATTAGTGAGTATCGAGAATAAGACCAGGACCAAGAGCACCGTTCACTACATAGCAAGATTTTGCATGTCGCACAACGACAGTTATTTTATTGATTGAAACTAAGCGTGTATATTGCCCTAGATAGCAGTTTGACATCTGGCTCACTGAGCTTCTGCTTCATCCTCTGCATCCTGCCTCAAACTCCCCCAGCTCGACTTCCGAATCGGAAAATCGCAACATCTTTTTCGGAGGTTTCATTCACAAGGACGGGAGCGAGGGAATGCTGATTACAGAATGGGGCGCGGTAGTAATGCTCGCGGCGGCCCGGCTGTTGATGGCTATCGTCTTTGCTGCTGGTTCCACTTGCTGATTCAGCCTCATTGGCCAACCTGTTAGCTTTGTTGATTTTAGGTAGACTCAAAGAAATGCGCTCAAAGTTGGAGGGTCAGTGCGAGGTTCCGGCGGAGGTTTTGATCAGGTTTTGAAAAAGCTTTGAACGCATTTTTTTTAAGATTCATAAGATTTATATGAAGAAACCCTAAAAAAGCTCCTAGCCCAAACACCTGGTTTTTCAGCGGCTCTTTTCTTTTTTCTTTTTGTGCTTAAAGTCAAGAGATGCTTGTTTTGGGTACTTCCCGAAAAATTGAGCAGAGAGAGAGAAATGGAAACCGCGTGAGAGCCAATTTCTGTAATACAGTAATCAAAGTAATCAACAAAGCTTCTAGACATAACCAGAGACTAGTCGAGATACTGCAAGAAAGGCACAGCATTCATGCTCTTGAAGCTTGTATGGGTATATGTGCATGTACAATGGACTCTGATAAATCAGAGTCTGGCAGACACATCCGTATCGTTCTCTCACCTTGGTAGGGTGACGGAATGAAAATGAACTGTACAAATAGACCAACGTCGACAGTCAGCACCTTGGGTCCTGTTTTCGGTCCATGAGTTTAAGGTAAACATCAAGGACAAATCGCCAGCTGCTGCCCCGCTGCAAGGAGTCATATGGACAGGCCATGAAAACTCATGTTTGTTTTGTATTCCCACTAAGGTACCTATGCCTGCCTTCCCAGTTGAAAGATGAGGCAACATCGAGGTGCTGTTTCCTTGTGTCCTTGTGCGCCCAAAGGGATCATCGAATTTCAAGATGTTCATATCCTGCGGCGGAATAGCTAGGAGGAAAGGCCAATAGGCGTTTTGTCCACTGCAGCTCCAGATGGCTTGCGTTGCAATGGGTTGGTAGAGGGAGGCCTGCAGGAAGAAGTCGTCCTAGGGCCTGTATAGCGTTCATTATCAAAGCCCCCTCGCCTCCTGGTCTTTAGCTCATGGTCTGGCCAGTGTTCCTTTTCCTCGCAGTACATGTACGGTGGTCCGTACCTGTTCAGGGTACTGTATATCACATGCGCGTTCTGTTCTGGGCCCAATTGCGTTCTATCTTTGCACAGATTCTAGTTCGTCCGCTGTCTACAACCGATCATTTAACTCTAACCTTAACGGGACAAAGAGGACGTGCCATCCGCCCTAAATCCTGATGCTCTGGAGGTCAAACCTTAGGGCGGCCGGTTCGAGGGCAGGACGTGATGCTGACACGCAACGGGCCGCGGACTGGCCTCTTTTGCCCTTTTATGTTCTGGACACACCCTAGCGAAGACGTCCCTGGAAAGCGACCGTGTGGCAGACGTCGAACACGGAATAAAATAACAAATAGGAAAATGCAGCATCAACGGAGGTGTGTGTCCTTTAAAGTACCAGCGAGCACACAAACAAACAAACAAAACACTGCAGACAAAACAAACATGCCCAATCTCAACAACCCGCCTTATAAAGAACTCATGCCCGGCCCCCATCTTCCTGTTCTTTTCATTTTAGTCCTCGTCCTGATCACAGACCCCAACCCTTACCCACATCCTCCTCGCATTACAGTTCATCAGTTCATTTCTTTGTCCGTCTCACACTCCCTTCCGTCGTACAACCCCCCCCCCCCCCATCTCCCGCACAACGACGCCTTTGTGCATCCACAATAAGCACACAGCATATAGTATCCTATGGCCATGTCATACTATGAGTTCGACAACGAATTGGGCGACAAGTACGAGATGGATCAAATGCAGGGCCTCGCGCACCATGAGGTCCTCGCTCCAGAGCAGGAGGGTCTTAAGCGTGATCTCCGCCTCCGCCATATGATCATGATCGCCATCTCCGGTACCATCGGTACTGGTCTCTTCCTAACCTCGGGCTCAACCATCGCCACCGCTGGCCCAGGCGGCGCCTGTAAGTACCGCCTCTTCTTCGCAATAAAGTCCGATATGCGTTTCTGACCCGAAGGTCGATCGCTTCTTAACACTTTTATCTCGATCGATAAAAATAGTGCTTGCCTATGTTATCATAGGTATATGGCTGGTGTTTGTGTGCCAGGCGATTGGTGAGATTGCCACGCTGCTTCCTCTGCCTGGTGCCTTCAACGCCTGGGGTGGACGCGTCTTTGACGAGGCGCTCTCGTTCCAGATGAGCTGGATGTACTTCATCAACTGGGCTCTGACTATCCCTGCAGAGCTGGCTGCCTCTGCTGTCATCGTCAGCTTCTGGTTGCCTAAAGACTCAAAGTTCCCAGACTGGGCCGTACCCCTTATAATCATCCTATTCATGGTCGTCATCAACTTGGCTGGTGTCAAGGCATATGGTGAGCTCGAGTACTGGTTCTCGGTCCTCAAGGTTGTCACCATTGTCATGTTCATCATCTGTGGTATCCTTGTCGATGCTGGTGTTATCGGCGGAGTCAACTACGGTATGAGCGCCTGGCATATCGATGGTGCACCCTTCAAAGGCGGCTTCATAGGCTTCATCACCGCTTTGGTCTCAGTCGGCTATGCGTACGGCGGTACAGAGATGACCGCTGTTACCGCTGCCGAATCCCGCAACCCTCACAAACACGTCCCCATGGCAGTCAACACTGTCATGTTCCGCATTGCATTTTTCTACATCATCTCGATCTTCTTGCTTGGTTCCATTATCCCCAACAACGATCCCGACCTCGTCAACAGCAGCGGATCCGCCGAAACTGCCCCCTTCACCATCGTATTTGCCAAGGCTGGAATCAACGCTGCAGCCAACTACATGAATGCTGTCGTCTTCACCTCGATCTTCTCGGCCATCAATTCGGATTTCTACGTTGCGACCCGCGTGCTCCTATCGCTCTCCCGCAACGGTTGGGCGCATAAGTCGATCGGTTACACCAATTCTCGCGGTGTGCCCCTGGTGGCTCTGGCTATCGTCACAGTTTGCTCATGCCTGTCGCTGATCACAATCTTTGTCGGTTCCGGTGTGGCCTTCAAGTGGTTCGTCTCCCTCATTGGCTCCGTCCTTTTCCAGTCCTGGATCCTAATTCTCCTCCTTCACTTCCGCTTCCGCTACTGCTGGAAGGCTCAGGGCCGGCCTGTGGTCGATCTCCCCTATGTTTCATGGGGATATCCCTATGGCAACATGGTTGCCACCTTCATCGGTGTCTGCATCATCATCGCCACCTGGTACCTCTCACTCATCAACCCTCCCACAAACCCTGGCGCTGGAGCCACGCCTGAGCAGCTGACAGCGTACCACGATGCTCGCGGTAGCTACGCGCGAGGTCTCTTGGGTGCCTGGTTCCCATGGGTCTGCTCTGCATGTCTCTTCATCTCTTACAAGGTCATCAACAAGACCAAATTCATCAAGGCTGAAAAGGCCGACCTTGACACGGGCCGTTTCATCCCTACGGAATCCGACAAGGAGGATATGAGGCCCCATGGACCAGCCTGGAAGAGATTCGTCAAGTATTTGATATAAGCATAATTTAGCACCAAAGTATACTCATGTAATATAGATAACGGAAGATTTAGCTCGCCATAAAACCACGTTGAGCACCTGAAAGTTTAATCCAAACTCATTTATGCGCACATATACACATAAACCTTATGAAGGACCAATCTCTGTCTGTAAAAAAAATGGATACTTCTGGCTGGACACCTCTATAGTCTATATAGTACGTTCTATGGGGGATTGTACCAGAGGAACGCACTATAAGTCTCATAGTCATGGACATGCGTACTTCACCGCATGTACCCTGTACCAGTTGGGATCAAGCTCGATCAAAAAAAAAAAAAAAAAAAAAACAAAGCTACACGAAGATGTCGGGGAACTCCGACTTCACGAAAACATTGTCGTGGCAGGAGTCTTCTATTGAAAAAAGAAAAAAGAAAAGAAAAAAGAAAAAAGAAAAAAGAAGAAAAAAAAAAAAAAAAAAAAAAAGACTTTACTGGATCAAATACAGGTATTGTGGGCAGCTAGTACTCATAGATTCAGTACTCAAGGTGTTACTCATTGGTCTGGGCGAAGCTGTTTAAAAATAGACTTCAAGTTGATCCTTTGGCAATATTTATTTCAGTCCTTATCTTTCATCCTGAGCTCAAGCGTGGATAACAGTCTGAATAGGACATTCGCGCGTTAATATCTCTCCTGTAGTGTACGTTGTGGAGATGGGTTCGGGCATCATCCGCGACGTGTACCATGGACAAGCACGATCCGCTAATGAAGCTCATTGACGCCATCATACTCCCGGAGCGGAGACAGGAGGTTCGCAGAGACTTGGCTCTAGCCTTGTCTCGCTGGGCGAATGACGTCAAACCGCTGAGGGGTCAGGTAGTCGTCCTTCGGGTGGTTGCCAAAGATACGGTACTGGATCCCGCCACACCATCGGACCCAACTGTTCAAGGCCATTAAAGAACGCCAATATACTGTTGCCGAAGGATCTGTCGCTATCCAGAGCATGCCTGAGGCTTTGACTCATAGTTTTCAACAGGAAAGAAGAAAAGCATAGGACATCTATCGACCAAGGAACAAGGCTCACGTCTATCGGCTTGGATCTGGTGGGTCCTGGTTTCTTTCAGTCCTCGTGGCGCTGAAGAGTATGTGGATAGGATGTGCCTGAACATGGCCTGCCGTTTTTCGAAGGCATATCGCATGAAATACCGAAGCGCTGTACTCATGTTCGATCCCGCTGTGGCCCAAAGTTAGGGCTTCCTGACAGAGCTGTTCCATGGTGAGGCTGATGGACGGATGGGGTACTTTCATATTTCCTTCTGGTCGTTACCAGTGCAAGGATAAGCTGTCAAGTCTTGATAAAAAAATATCAAAAAAAAGTCAGTCGCCATGTTGAGCACTTCCTGATCAAGTCTCCGTAGCGGTTAATCCACTGTTCTGCATCTCTCCGTGTCGGCCGATGCAACCTCAGCAAGTTCAGATAACCATCCTCCAAATCTGCTGTGGCGACCGGACGTAACCAGAATGCGCAAATAAAACCACGTCTGGTCCCAGAATTGTACTACAATACTACAGACTGCAGGTCGATGTTGCGTTTTACTCAACGCAACATGTTCGCATTATACTGTTGACACGCGATCCTTGGGGCACGCATGTATAGAATACCATTTGTGGGCTGGTCGAAGAATGTTGGGGACAGCATATCCGTTAACTTGGTAGTAGTTGTCGTAGATATGGAGCTGGTGCCTTCTTTCCAAGACGAATAGACAAAGATTCAGCTCGGGCAGGAAGTAACCTCATGGGACCGTGGGAATGGTTACGACAACCGTGTTCTTCACGATCCAGAAACGGTGATTTTTGAGACTCTCTTCCAAGAGTTGTGGAAGTTGTGAGGTGTTCAAAAATGGCGTCAATTATGGGTGTTGGGCCGGTATGCACTTGGATGGACTCCCATGATCGAGCTGTAAAAGAGATGGTAGAGGATGTATGTAATACATCTGTGGTGTATGCCAAGTGAAAAAGACAAGATGGGTTTGATAGGAGCAGCTGTGGTTGACATGGCTTGATCCGGATCATATCATCTTGTAGCTGTCCGGATAGGGGGTGCTGCATGCTGCTATGCCTCGCGGACCTCCAGTAAAATACACGGTGCTCCAGTAACAGTTTGCAGGCAGCTGTCGATCGAAGAGTTTAATTACAAGCTACAATATAATAACGTAACAGCATATCCTCCTCCTTCATCTATGCAATCTCACTCTCCTCCATTTTCATATCCCGCGGCGACATATTCTTCGTCTTCCTCCTTCTTGATTACAGTCTCTTCTTCCTTCTTGATTACAGCCTCTTCTTCCTTCTTGGTTGCCTTCTCATCTCCCATCTCTCTTTCTCTATCCGACTCAGCCTTCTTCCGACTCAGTCTCCGCTTACGGTTCTCCTCTCGATCTTTCGCAAGGTGCTCTTTATCCAATCTGTCGACCCTTCGTTCCAGAGCATTCTCCATCTTTCGAGCCTGCAGTAAGTGCAGCACCAGCCGCAGACGACGCACAAGCTGGTAGTGCAATTCCTTGAGTGTCAACTGCAGCATTGCTAGTGGCTCGCTATCCTTTTCAAGGTCAAGCAATTCCACTTGTGAAGCATCGGTCCCCTGGGTAATAGGATGCGTATCCGAATAGTAACGTCGGAAGTACTGTGGCGGTGGTGAGAAGCATGCCATTGCACTACTGACCTCATCCTCTTGCTGATCCTGCTGTTCATAACGCTCAAGTTCCTGCTCCTGCCTCTGCTGCTGTTGCATTTTGCGCAGCCGTCGGGCTTCTCTAAACACTAGTAGAGGACGAGGAAACAACGACAGATCGTGGCTCGTCTCTGGATCAAAGATCGGTCGAAGCTCCTTGTATTCGCCCTCGGTCGTCTCCTCCGTCCGTTGTCTCTGCAAAACGAGCGCAATCTCCTCCAGCTCCTGCTTGACAAGCTTGTTCTGATCTGCCTCGTCCTCCAGGTCGTAGAAGTACTCTGGTGAGAGTGTCTGATGGACTGTCATCGTGATCCGCCGTGGCGTCTTGTCCTGGTCAATCAGGGACATAACCTGTCCGTACTCAGATAGAATCATCTTTGTATGGTCTGCAAAGTTGACCTAGGAGTAAATTATACAGATGGAGTCGACCCTTTGAGTGAGTATAGTGTTGATTTCTCCGCCATCGCCCAATTGTTGTTCCATACTGTCCTTACCTGAATAGTCCCGTTGCTAAGTCGAGCGAGGACGTGTATTTGATGTTTCTTGTGGTACAGGTCAGTCAGGAATGGCATGTTCCTCTTCAATGTAAAATCCTCGAATGCCCAGGGCGTCGGCGCAGACAGCATCTGGATCATGTAAGACTTGAACCCCTTCAGAACCCTGATCTTCTTTTCATGACGCGTATAATACTTGCTTATACGACATTGGCTCCGCTTCAGAGTGGTTAGAAAGTCGGCGTAATCCCATTCATCGTAGAAATCCTGCTCGATTGGCGCCCCTGCGAGGCCACGCAAGGATGACTGGCCAGAACCACTCATATTCATACTGCTATCGATACGAGCCAAACTTGCACTCCGACTGAGGGAGGGCGTGACGATATTGGCCTTGCCGTCGTACAGCATCATTTGCCGGTCGTCAGTTCTATCCAATGATCCCTCACGCTCTAGGACCTCCCGAAGATCTGCCATGGATTCAGCCACTGGCCTGGAGTCTTGATTACCAGTAGCACCGTTGCTACCACTGCGATTACCCGGCCCGTCGTAGTATCGATAGCCACTGATATCAATAGAGTACTCCTTGCGATGGCCAAAATCACTATGGCTCCGATTCTTTTTAGAATCATTGCCTTCTCGCGATGATGACTTGGATTTGGATCTCGATTTCGTCTTACGTGCTTGCTGCAACTCCATGATCTCCACTTCTCTATTATTACAAACCGAGAGAAAAGAGTGGACGACAAAGAATATTTCGGCATGAATGAACAAACAGATAGTGAGCAATGAGTGTGATGAACTGCAAAAAGCGCCATGGCCTTACTCTCCATTCGGTGAAAGGGCGAGGGTGGTTTTGTCGTTGAACAGCACGCCAATGACCCCGTTTGATAGCTGCCATCCATAGCCATAGCGCGGATAATCGATCCATCGCGACACAAAGAAAGGTGGGGCACTCGGCGGTGGACTGTCAAGATCCGGATGGCCCAATGTACCGTCTATGTGAGCGGATATCATAGTTTGAAGACACCGCAGGGCCTCCTCGCAGGCGCCCATACGCGTAGGGTATTCCTTCTGCTTTGGTACAGGATCAAGCAGGCTGACCTTCTTGGTAGTTCGTCGCCGCTGACTCTCAACCTGATGATGTACATCAGCTGCCGTCGACATCGCCTCCTGAACCAAATGCTGCTGCTGTTGTTGTTGTTGTTGCTGCTGTTGCTGATGCGGGTGCTTTTGATGATGGGGATGGTCGTGGCGCATGGATAGTGACATGGATGTTGTAGTGATACAGCTCGTCGATGGAACCTCAACATGGTCCTGTTCATCAGAGTGCCCTCCTGAGCTCATTGCCATCGTCGTCTCGTTGCTTTGCTTGTTAAGATGGCAGTTGGCGCTGTTCGCCATGGAAGCACCCTTCGTCTCTGCATTTTCTGGCTGCTGCTGTCGCATCGATGACGCATCGTGTTCCTGTTCCTGACGCGACGAAGACTGGAGTTCGTTGGTCCGCCGCATCTTATGACGCATCTCAACCTGCGTTTGCCTCTTTGTCTTCAAAGCGTCCCTCGACAAACTCTGGTCTACAGACGACTCATCCACATCACTGTCTGTCGTGCTCAAGCTGCTGGCTGCAGTCGCAACAGAAGTAACGGTACCAGACTGAGCAGTTTGACGAGAATGTCGCCGATGACTCTTGAGCGGCAGCAGCTCCCTGTTATCGTCCTGGTGCTGAGAATGCTGCAGATGCAGAGGCCGTGGCTGGGTTTGGTCCTCAGACGAGTCCTGAGATGGGTTCTGAGAGGGGTTCTGAAAATGCGAGATCGGATCGACGATGGGCCCTATCCGCGAGGACGAGCACAAGGCCAGATTTTTGGCAGATTGAGAGTGCTGCAAATGTTGTTGGAGATGCTGTTGCTCTTTGGCCTGCTGGTTCCGAAGTCGCAGGGGACTACTGATTTGGTATCGATATGGATCTTCAACGCCAATATTGCTCCCTTGCTGTAGATGCTGCTGGCCTTGATATTTAGGAGAATCCTTTGCGTCCGAAATCTGCGATGGCCATGAGTATTGATAGCTCCCGCTGGATTTGCTGTCATCCTTCATATGTACATCGTCCTGGGGCGCACACGAAACCATCCCTCCAAGACCCTCCGAATCGTCTGCGCCTGTCAGTCCAAGTCCGACACGATACATAGGCGGCTGCGTTGCTGTGGGTGGGTTCATGTCATATCCCTGCTGAGGCTTCGGAGAGCGATCCAATCGATTTGACTGGAGTGCATGTTTGGAGCCCAGCAAGGCCTGCGAAGAAAGTGCATCCTGCCCGTTGATCTGACCAGGGATAGTTGCCTGTGCGGACGTGTCGGAGCTCATTAAATCCATAGGCAGTTGTTGCTGCTGCGAGTTGCGCATTGAATATCGGAGGGATGGGGAGGGTGGTAGATGTTGTAACGAGTGTCGATATTGGGATTGCGACAAATGCTGTGAGGAATGGTGCGCTGCGGTATTAGGTGAGCGCGAGCCATGCTGGCTAGACTGCAAGAACGAATGTTGTTGTTGCTGTTGTTGAAGAGTCTGTGGAGATGACTGGCTGACATTGACCACTCCTCGCTGCTGCGACAGCGGATCTGTTGAGTGCGAATGCGTTGCCTTTGGAATCTTTCGAGGCGACTCAAACATTCGGTTCATATCCGAAAGCTCCCTCTCCTGGCTAAATGTCCTCTGCATCGCGCTTGCGGGCCTCTCCACACCATGTACATTCTGAATTAGAGTTGTCTTTGGATGGATCTGTCGAGTGCTAGGCTGAATGCTTTGCCGGGTGCTTTGCTGAGTGCTTTGCTGAGTGCTTTGCTGAGTGCTTTGCTGTGGACTTTGCAGAAACGGATTCTGGTCGTCTTGTGGCAGCTGTTTCGTATACCGGGGCCCACTATTTTGGCCCACAAAAGGCGCCAGCATGTCAGACGTGTTTGCCACCAAAAGGTCAAGGTGTTGCGAGGGATCACAGTCGATATCCATGTCAGTGTCCACGTCCATGAGATCAGTCGCCCGTTCGATTTGCTGCTGTACCCTTGAAGCCATCGACTGCGACTCTCCGATGCCGGCTCCTGCACGAATCAATGCAGTTTCCTGTCGGCGATTCATCAATGGTTTGCCAAATGCTGAGCTACCAGGGATACTGGCCATATCCGAAGATAGTGTCCTACTAGCAGGTGATGGCGAGGCTGACCGCCGCTGCTGCTGTGGAGTCTCGTTCTGCTGCTGACGCTGCGGGTGCATAGTGGGCTTTTGGTGGACCGATGAGCCAGGCGAGGACGCCTCCAAGGTCATCACACTGAGAGGTCTCGGAGACGAAGGGTTATAAGGGCTCATGAAGCTGGTCCTGGTTGGAGTCGACGAGAACAATTCAAGCCCAGCCTGCTGTTGCTGATCTCCTTGCTGGAGATTGCCAGTACCAGATGCAACGTTGTTACTATAGCGCAACTTGGGCACCGGAAGTCTAGAGGAAACTGCTCCATTAACAGCAGGCAATGAGGAAGCAGAGACCAAGGTCCCACCCTCTGGCCGAATACTAATAGAATGACTGCTGGTCTGAGCACCAACTGGCCTCGAGATAGACGCCTGAGACTGTTGAGAGAGCGAGGGTTGTCTGGATAATGATGATCCGCGATTTGGCGAGGAGTTCATCCTGCGCGCCTGGTGCGTGCCCGAGGCCGATATATCATGTTCTGTATTAGAAGATATGGTCAGTTCACGTTTCTGGTGATAAGGCTGCTGCTGACCCTGATGTGGGCGATCGTTGACCGGCAAATGCAGCTGTTGATTTGAGGGGGTATGTCCTCTGCTGATGTTGATCGTGCGAATCTCAGTCGTTACACGGCCTCCATCGACCAACTCCATCTTGACTTGCTGACCATAAACTAATCGAGAGGTGGCTACATGTGCTGGCTGCTGTATCTGCCTGTTGGGTGATGCAGACCTGGCGAGGGTTTGCTGTGAAGCGCTCAGCTGTTGATGAGTGTTGGTAGCCCTAAGAGGGCTCTGGCTATCCGTATGATTGCCGCTTTGCGTAGGGTTGGAAGTTGCCTCGGCCACAAGGTCCTCAAACGATGGCTGATCATAATGCAGCTGCTGCATTTGCTGGAGTAGCAGCTTTTCTTCCTGTTCAAAGTTGGGCGTAGTATGTAGTGTTCTCCGATCCAGTTTTTTTGGACAGAATCCTGCGGTGAAGAACGGATGATCCAATACGGTTTTGACGGACGGCCGGGAAGCAGGGGTAGGGTCCAGCAGTGCCTTGATCAAGTCCTTAGCCTCGTTTGAAATCGGCACATCCTGAGGGAACTCGTAATTATTGTCGCGGATTTTCCTGCAGCAAAGAACAATCAGCAATGGAAAGAGGAGCAATACAGACGCGATGGTTAATCCTTAGGTCTCCTGGGTCGTTGGATACTCCGTTCATCCGATACGAGAAAGCCACATATCCGTTAAAAAGGAAGACAAGATAAACACCTACTTGTAGATTGCCTTGACTTCGTTGGTTTGAAAGGGAGGCTTTCCTATGAGCAGCGTATACCTGCGCGGCATTAATAATTCAGTTTGGAGTTAGGGACTCATTTCTTCCCGATATGATGCAAATCATGATTTGCGATGGACAAAAAAAAAAAAAAAAAAGAAAAGAAAAGAAAAGAAAATGGAAAGGAAAAAGGAAAAGAAAAAGTGGTAAGAGGTACCTACATGATCACTCCGACAGACCATATATCGACCTCAAAACTATGGCCATTTCCAGTGTCGAACAAGATCTCGGGAGCGATATAGTTAGGCGTTCCACAAATCGTCCTGGTATGGTGATAAGAAAGCGGATAAAGAAAAAAGGCGTCAGTTGTCGCAACCCTTATTCCCGAAACTACGGTGTCTCGAGTACTGAAATGGAGACCTACTTTTTCCTCTCCTCGTTCTGGATCACTGCCGCTAGGCCAAAGTCTCCGATGCGGACATGCAGGTCATGTGTCAGGAAGAGATTGCCGAGCTTCAAATCCCTGTGAACAATCTTCTCGTGGTGAAGATAAGCACATCCGGCCACGATCTCTTTCATATAGTACCGAACCTCAGGCTCTGTCAGCCGTTTCCTCCGCTTGATGAGCTCCATGAGAGTCTGTCGTGTAATTGTTTTTTCCGGTCCAGTGTGGTGTAATGTGGAGTGGATTGCATATGAAGATCAGAGTGGTGTTTGCAAAACATCGTGTAAGTATTACTTTCTTGTATAGCATATGCTCCGTTCCAGAACCAAAAGATGCAAGTCGCCTTTTGACTGGGTCTTGAATACACACCTTGCTCTCGCACAGCTCCAGAACCAAATATACAAAATCATCGTCCTCGAAGCAGTGATAATACTTGACAATGTTCTCGTTGATAAGTCCCTGATGGATCTTGATTTCCGCAAACAGCTATAAACTCGACAACAACGAGATAGATATAGATATAGAGATAGAGATAGGGATAGAGATAAAGACAGAAAGGGAAAGAAAAGAGTGAGAAAGAGTGAGAAGGACGAGGAAAGTGCCAGGCAAGTGAAGAGAAATAGTCTCAAATCGTTGGACTTGAGCGGATGGGTTTGTGCTGCGTATGCATTTCCAAGCATCCGCATATGTCCCTATGTTTGACATCCGGTGATCCCTTCTCGATTGTAAGCGATCCATGACTGATAAGATAATGCGGAATGGAGACGTCATATCCATAGACTTTGGTCCTACAGATCCTTCCTTGCAGGCGCACGTTAAGTGGGTTCCAAAAGAGTAGGTATCTGTACCTTTTGTCTCGTTTTGTGAGACTGCAGTTCGGACTTTTGAATGACTTTGGCGGCATACCGGTCGCTTTTCTGATCCGAAATCATATAGCAGCTGGCAAACCCTCCCTAGTCGATGAGAAATACAGTCATTAGCACCAGACAATAGTCGGAAGCTGAAAAATGTACAGTACGGCAGTATAGGGGGGAGGGGGGGAGGGGGTATGATGCATGTGTCATCTGGTACTACTTACCTCCCCCAGGGATTGTCCGCGGGTATATGAGACCTTCTGGGAGGTGTCGACAATTAGGTCTGGAGGTACGATCCTCGGAGGTTTGTCCTTCTTGCGCGACTTTGGCTTATCCGTCATGCCGGTCATTCCTGTGACGCCCGTCTGAGTATGTGTATTTGTGGCCGTTGTTGTGGTAGTGGTGCCTGCCTGGGTGTGCATGGTCTGGATATTTGTATTCGCGTTTGAGTGCAAGCCTCGGGAAGGCCCAGTTGTAGCGGTGCCTCCATCATATCGTTGAAGACCGACGTTGTGTCTCTGCTGCTGCTGGTGATGCGACAGTGTAGATAGTGGACCCGTGGGCGATAAAGCATGGTGTGGCCTTGTGTCCCTGGCGCCTCCAGAGTTATTGGCGAACGTAGGTGACTTAAGTGATGCTAGTGTTGTAGTAGAGCTGGAACCATTGCCAGTGCTGTGATGCCCTTGATGCTGCTGTAGCTGATATTGGTGCTGCTGCTGTTGTTGACGTTGCTGTTGGTTATGTTGAAGACGACCGGCGGTGTAGTGGTTAGTGCCGTCGAGTCGACTTGAGACTGGGAGCTGCTGGTATTGCAGCTTTCGCCCTGGCACTAGAGTAGCGGCCCCACTGGTTGCTGGAGCAGCAAACCTGGTCTTGGCAGCAGAAGCAGAGAAATCTGGGCCGACGGTGGAGACTGGGGCGGCTGGGGCCGCGATTGGGAGTGCAACAGAGGCCGTAGAAGACGCGGGTGGTTGATTCTGTTGCTGCTGGTTCTGGTTCGATGGCGCGATCTGGCGCCGAGGCAAGGCCGAGGGGGGTGTGTAGGGAGCCATCGATCGCGGGAAGGAAGGGAGGAAGGGGAGGGGAGGGAAGAGAAAGGAAGAGGAGGGAGGGGAAGGTGGTGGCGGGATGGATGAAGCGATGGGACGGATTGAAGGAACAGAAAGGGCAGAAGGGACAGAAGGGACCAAAGGCAGGGGCAGGGAAATGAGCGACCCCTTAACAGTAGCTTACATACACATCGCTGTCGCCGTCTTCGTCGGGGACTTCTCCTGAGAAGGAAAAAAAAAAGAAGTGGTCGCTGCTTTATCATGTGTACTTTATTTGAAGTCCTTCATCGGTGGATCCTCGTCAACTGCTGCTGCTGTTGCTGCTGTTGCTCCCGAGATCCCTCTCTTTTACATGCGCTCCTGGGGCTTCAGGTTCAGCAGACGCATGGCATTGCCGAGTGTGATGCGCGCGCTCCAGTACATAAACAGACGCGCCTCTGCAATATCCTTCTCCGCCCCCATCACGTACATTGACTCTAGTGCCTGCGAGACGTGGTGCGACAGCTTCATCGCGTATCCAACAATGTTCACCGGCTCAAACGTCCGCATCGTCTCACGCACAATCTGTGGATAACGCGCAATCATCGTGATCAGATCTGCAGCTGCACGCGAATCGCCCAGCTGGCACAAGTCCACGTTCGGGTTAACCTCCATCTCTGTTCTACGCTCGATCGAGCACAGACGCGCGTGCGCGTACTGGAGGTATGGGCCCGTGTCTCCTTCGAACGAGAACATGCGCTTCCAGTCAAAGTCGTAGTTCTTGATACGACGTGCCGATGCATCCTGAATCATGATAGCGGAGATTCCAATGTTGTCTGCAACTTCTAGAGGCTCCTCGATCTGTGCGTACTTGTGCTCATTCTTCTTCATCACGTCGTGCATCGCGTTCCGAGTCTCCTCCAGAATGTCTTCCAGGAACACAACTGTTCCTTTGCGGGTCGACATGCCTCCAACCATACCGAAGTTCAGGTGCGTGACCTTCTTGGCCCAATCGAATCCCATCAGCTCCAGAATTTTAAACAGCTGCTTCAGGTGCAGATCCTGCTGCGACGCGACGATGTAATACATGTGTTCGAATCCGTATTTTTCATAACGCTCCAATGCTGCTCCAATATCGCGGGTGATATAAAGTGTCGTGCCGTCCTTCTTCTGTACGACACAGATCCCAAGCTTGTACTTTGTGAGATCTACAATCAGGGCGCCATCTGACTCCGTAAGCAGCTTCTTCTCATGAAGCATCTTCAGCGCGCGATTCATGCCGTCCGTGACCTGGGACTCGCCAGAGTAGACGTCAAAAGCGATGTTGAGTCGCGCATAGATATCCTTGTATTTGACAATAGACAGATCGCGGAAGCGGGTCCAAATCTTGAGAGCTGCTTCGTCGCCATCCTCCATCTTCTTGAAGTATGCGCGAGCTTTATCGTGAACAGCCTCGTTCTCCTTGGCATCTTGCTATAACGGTAGAGCGACAAGACAGAGTGGAAAAAAAAAATGTTAATAAGAGCCCAATGGTTTCCTTACTAAATGATATCAGGGTACAAAACGGTTGCTTCTCAGCTTACGTTAATCTTAACATAAACGTCGAACAGGTGTTTGATGGGATCCTCCACCAGCTTTTCTTCAGATCCGTAACACTCGAAACCAACTGCCAACAGTCCGTACTGTTTGCCCCAGTCACCGAGATAGTTCATGCTGAGGGTGTCATATCCATTGGCCTGCAAGATGTTGCGCACAAAAGATCCGATGATGGTCGAGCGCAAATGTCCCGCATGGAATGGCTTGGCGATGTTGGGCGACGAGAACTCGACAATGACCTTCTTTTGCTGACCGAGGTTGTTGCCGCCCCAGCGTTCCTTGGTGCTGTAGATTTTCTTGAACAGGGATTGCGCCAACTTGATGTGGTTCAAGAAGAAGTTAACAAAGGGACCATCCGCCTTGGCAAGTTGGACATAATCGTTCAGTTGGAACTGGTGAAGATTGGAGAGAAGGAAGAAAGTTAAATATCGCTCATTTTTTGTTGTTTTCTTTTATGGTTGTCTTTATGATCGGGTGCGCCCATATATTTTACGCTTGCTCTTTGTACCTTCTCAACAATATCAGCAGCAATGGCGGAGGGGTTGTCTTTGAGCCTCAGACGGGGTACTGAGAGAGCAATGTGGCCGTTTTCTGATGCACGGGGGGCCTCGAGTGCCTCATAGAGGATCTTGATATCGACATCGATCAGGGTTGACAGCTGAGCTGCCAATACATTCTTGAAAGCATCCAACGGATCTGTTTCCGGGTCCGATCCTTCGATCTGAGGTACCTCCACCACAGAGCTCAGCTTTGCCTTTTCGGCCGCAGCAGCGGCCGCCTCGGCTGCCATGGCATCGTTTGCGTCCTTTATGGTCTTGTCCAGGGTCTCGACGGCCTTTTGGCACTCTGGACGTTCGTCCATACGAGCGATCCAGGCCGTGAACTTGTTCAGATCCTTGAGATTTGCAAGTAAGGAGTGGCTCTTGGTATAGGCAGTAATAGCACCCCAAACAGCGTAGTCGGCCAGCAGAGGTTTTGCGTCAGAAAGCAAGAAGGCAGTCGACGAGGTGTTGGCGGCGGTGGCGAGGGTTGTGATGTGTTTGGGGGTGGCGATGGTCTGGCGAACGATATCGAGGAATTCATCCTGAGCAGCGGCGAGGGTCAGGTCAGACTCGGAGTAGAGGGCGTTGTCGGGCGAGGTGAAGGTACGGACGAGAAAACGAGCGATGGCAACGGTGCTTGAGATCTTGACGGGTTTAGCAGCACCCTTGGGGATGAGCGATGTCGCTGAGGAGAGCTCTGGCCTGACGGGATGCAGGGTAATGGAGTCAGGGAGAGAGTTGAGAGCGGCGGCGATAGCCAGCAGGCCATAAGGGGCGTTGTTCAAGGGAAACGACAATGCCATCGTGAGGGAAGGGAGGGAGAGAGGGGCGGGGAGAGGGAAGGGCAGGGAAGGGCAGGGAAGGCGAGTGGTGGGAAAGGGAAAAAAGGAAAGGAGGGACGAGAGACCTTCTTTTGTTTACAGAAAAAAGGAGGAGCGGCGGGGGGCCGAGGTCCAAGGAATGGTGGCTTGTGGGCGTGACACATGTTGCATACTGCAGACTGCAGACTGCAGACTGCGGGCTGTGTATCTGTGTATCTGTGTATCTGTGTGCTGTGGACTGTGACTGGTTGGGGCAGACTGCCTTTTGTGTGTTTTCTTTTTTCGCTGTTGGGCGGCGCGTAACTCTGTTGTCTCTCCCCTCCCTCCCCGCCCTCGTCCCTCTTCGAGAAGCGCGTCTGACTTCTTCCCTCCCGCCCTCCTCTGCCTCCGCCCCCTCCTCTGCCGCTCCTCCTCCGCCGCTCCTCCTCCCCCACTCCCCACGCACTCTCCTCTCTCTCTCTCTCTCTCTCTCTCTTTCTCTCTCTCTTCTTCATCATCCCACTCTACGGGCCCCTCCCCCATCTCTTCTTCCTCCTCCCCCTCTTCTCCTCTACTTGCTCTTTCTCCTCTGTGCTCTGCCTGCCTCTTGCTATCCATGGCTCACCGAATGGACAAGGACCTGATGGCCCTCATGGGCATCGAGGACGAGGGCGGCGGCTGCAGCCAACCCACCGCTTTTGACAACGATCCCCCACAGGGTTCCCAGTCCACACAGGAGTCCATCCCCGACACTCTAACCCAGCACTCCTCCGCCTCCTCCGCCTCTTCCTTTTCTTCCTTGTCCTCAACCCTGCCTCGGCCTTCTCTGTTCTCCCCAGAGTTCAATCCCTTCGGCGTCCCCCCCTCCGCCAAGGCCAAGGCCCGTCTCCAAAGGTCATCCCAAAAGAAAAGCTCTTCCGAAAGAGATGCATCCTCCATGTTCAGTCCAACCCTCAGTCCACGCAAGGCCAAGGCCAAAGTCAAAGTCAAAGCCAAGGTCAAGACCAAGAAGCCAGAACAGCCCATCGAACACCGCTCGACTACCGCTCCATCGCCGCACTCGTACTCCTCCGCCTCTTCAGCGTCATCCACGACAGCTCATCCTCGGGCACGGACCACAGGCAGCCTTACTTCACCTCCATCCTCACTGGCACTGCAGAAACCGCCCATCATTTTCTCAGACAGCGACTCAGATATCAGCCCCATAGACGATCACGTCTCCAGTCTACGTAGCCGACGACGTCAAAAGGCCGCTCCAAGTGTTCATCTCTCCTTAGACGCTAGCATAGAACAGCACTCATCCACAAAGCCATCCAACACCCTCAGCGTCAACCCGCTCTTAGAGAACTTCAGCAGCGATTCTGATCAGGACAGAGAGATGTTGATAGCGAAAAGCGATCTCCCAAAGGCGCCGTCGCAGCAGGAAATTCTGCAGCTCCAAATGGACAAAGAGCACATGCTTAGAACTTCAGGCCTATCCGTTCACAAGCGCATCGTCAAAAAGGACCTTGATTCTTTATTAAGGAACCTTCAAACCGTCTCGTAAGTGTGGACCCGGTCGATCCCACCCGTACTAAAACGTATGTGCTCGACTAACAAGGGGGCGTCCTTTTTCTGCTCTGCATTGTCCTTTTTACTCAGAGATGATTCCGCCACAGTAAGGTCAAGTGGAAGCGTACGGTCATCATCAACCTTCCCTGCTGCAAAACGCAAGCCTCGGACAATCGTCCTGGATGAAAACTCAGACAACGATGCGGAACAGGATTCAGATCTATCTCAGGAATACATGCTGTGGAAACTCTCTATCACAAAGGCTGTCCTCACCGCCTCAATCTCAAAGGACAAGCAGCGCGGGATCATGAGGGATCTCAAGGCTCCCTCATCTATCTCTCTCGACAGACGACTGGAGATCGAGAGGATATTGCAAATGTCGCCTCTGTCCACGGAAATCCAAAACATGTCTCTGGAGGGCGATATGTCTCAATCCGCCTCAGCCTCGACTCAGGCCCTCTCCCCGCAAAAACCAACACATCATCGACGACGCTCATTGACATCACTCTCCAAACTTCAGAGGCCAGACACCATTGCGGACTTTCTTCAGTTCAAGGACAATTCAAGGCGCAGAGCCGACTTGACGAATCGGGAAAGGCGCAGAAAGCTGGACGAGGATGCTAAAATGTTCGGAACGTTTGTTTCTTCCGAGGACCGTGCTGCAGAGCAAATGGAGGCCGAACAAAAACAGAACCGAGGCCTTGGTGCCGACGAGGACGAGGACGAAGAGGATGCCAATGGGGCTGATGGTGATGCTGAAGATTACGATGGAGATTATGAGGATGGTGCAGCGACTGCGGCAATTAGTAAGGCCGCCCAGGGAGATGTCGAGGACATGGAATTCGGCAGCGCGGATGAAGCCCAAGAGTTTTCTGAGGAATCTGACGATGATCAAGCTGGCAATGATTTGAAGGTCAGGATCCCGTCCAATGAAAAAAATGAGGTTGGGGAGGAAAGTGAAGCCGAGAGCGAGGATGAAGGAGAAACTGGAGACAAGACTTTGAAGACGAAGCGACAACATTCGAAGCATACGGCCATCGATGACGACGACGATATCAAGGTGGTGTCCGTGGACAGAAGTCAGGCCCAGATCCATTTCGACAATGAGGATGATAGCAAAGGCTCGGACGGAAACGACGACGAGGGCGACAAAGTCAGTGGTTCTGAAGACAGCGATAATGAGGATGTGAGCGACCTCGAGGGGACTATGAATGACAAGGACAAGATTCAAGGACTCGGTCACTTTCACAGCGTAAGCCACGACCTTTACAAGTTTAAGAAGCAACCACGAGACCAAAAGACGATCCAGGACTTTGCCTCGACAGAATCATGTCCTATCTCCATTACGTCTGAGAAAAAGTCGAGCCAGCCTCTTTCAGGCGTTCTGGATCTTTTGTCAGGAAATTTTGCGACTTCGAGTGCGAAGCCACAGTCTTCTGATGCAGATGTTGCCCTAGCTATGGTCAACAGCGAGAACGATGACGGAGAAATACCCATCCGCCATCCTCGGCCGACAGATGCCTCCATTGCACCCACGGGAGGGACTCATACGTACGGACCAGGGAAACCAGAGAACGCATTTGATGTTCTGTCGAAATCCATGCAAAGGAGTGATTTCGAGGCCATTCATCTTGCCCCAGGCCTCCGGCGCCTTCAGAAAAGAGAACCTAAGCACACTCGAATCCCGATATCCAAAAATGAAAAATCAGCATTTATTGAGTACGAAGCTGAGGAAGAGGAGGATGAGTTCATGGGTATGGGTGGGATCGACTATGAGTCGGAAAATGAGCAGGACGAATACGATCTCGACGACGGTATGGTGGATACCAGCACAGCTCTCGATAGTCAAGACGTGGAGAATGTCCGCCAGTTACACATGTAAGTGTATTATCTGAACGTGCCATCGACATCATCGCGGCCGCTGATGTTACCTCAAGATTTTTGATTCTAATTCATCTTCACCGTGGCTCTCGTAAAACCATGTAGGAAACACGAGCAAGATCAGCATGAAAAAGATATCTCTGATTTAGTGCATGGGATCGCGGCCGGTAATCTGTGGAAGCGACGCCATGGACAGGGGGATGACCTGGATCTCTTTGATGAAGGAGATATGGATGGGCGATTTCAGAGAAAGAAGAAGCTTAAAGTCTCGGAAAAGTTTGAGAAACTCGGTAAGTTGTATCTCCCTGTCGGCCTGTAAAGACCTAGGGTTGCCATCTCAGGTCCACAACACTAACACGCTGAGTTCGTATTATCTTTGAAATTTGGACTAGCGGATAACCCGAACACGGCTGCGTTCGCAAAAGCGTTCCAAAAACATGTCGATGATGATCAAATGATCTTTCTTAGTGATCCTGACGATAGCGACCATGAGGCAGAGACAACAACAAAGGACGAGGTCGGCACCACACGATCATCGAACGACGATATCGATGATCAAGAAATGGAGGACGTTCAATCCGAGACGCGTAAATCTGAGAAGGCCAGGATTTCGCTGGGTCAGAAAGATGTGCAGCAGCGGCAACAAGTGAGGGAGGAAGAGGATGAGGACGAGGAGGAAGATGAACCACTGAACACTGACAAGAGGAAGGAACGGTTGCATTTGGCCAGACTGTACCAGTACGGAGGCCAAGAAAGTCTTGACGCTGCTATGGCCTCTTCGAAAACGATCGCTGCAATGACCAAAGGACAGACGCTGCCCTTCGATATCAAGGCGAACGAAAGTACCACAAGAGCCGAAGTCGAGCCTGCTGCAACGGCAACAACGTTGGACGACCGTCCTGCAAAGGACGATCCAATTGACGAGTTTAAGGAGACGATACGCCGATCTAAGACAATTCGAGATATCATGGAAGGCGTGGATGACCATGCGGAGCTGGCCAGTCAGTCCTCAATCAGCTCACAGAGGATCTCATCGTTAACCAGCAACATTCTGACCAGGATCATTGATCGGCCATCGCTAATTGACTCTTCTGGCACCGCAGGACCAGTTCAAGGAAGCGTCACGATGTTATCCGCAACAGACGAGAATATGCAGGTAATCGCACAACCGCGCATGGGTCCTCGCCAGAACTCGTCTTTCATGTCTGGAGAGCGACGGAGTCAGTTCCTCAGCACGGTCGGGGACGAGAGTCGCGGCTTACAGGGTGGAGGCAGAGTTGTCAAAGAAGTTAATCGCCGCAGGATGGCGTTCGCGACCACGAAAAAGACGGCCTCGTCAGTGTCACTGCTGGGTACGACCACCACAATGGCCATCGGCACGACATCAACCACCGCCAGCACAAGCACCAGCACAAGTGCCAGCCTTGTTTCGACAACGGAATTTCGGAGGCTACAATCGGCGATAACCAGTAGTACCACGGTGGCATCGACAACTGTCGGTAGTGTAGAGCGTGCACCTGTGGGGTCGAGTCGGATATTGGGCTCCCTTCCAGTTGAAGAGGATCCTTCGCTATGATCGTCTGCTGTATAGTGTCTCTGTTTTTCTCTGTCTGCGTACAAGTACTCTACTTGTCTAGCATCCCATTGTACCATATTCCACGTTAATTCAATAAACTATCTAACAAGTGTCTTGCCGCCATCCACACTTTTTACGCGCCCATGTTCAGCGTGTCCATGTCTTCAGAGCGTCCGTGCCTTCTATGCGTGTTCACCTTCACTGTTAACGACACTTCTCTCTTTCACTTGTACACCCAGACAGACGCACATAGTCTCCAGGGTCTCTTTGTCTGACAAAAAGATTGGTGAAGAGGCACCACGTACCGTGCCGATCAATTCACCATCATCCTTACCAGGTCCCATTTCTTCCTTTCTTCGTTAGTCCCTCGGCGACCTTGCTTATTATTTCGGTCGCCAAGTCGAGCTCTTATTTTTCGATCCGCTTCCGCTTGTGTCCTTTCCTCTCTTCATACTCTCCATAGACTTTACTTCCCCCCCCCCCCCTCCTCGCCCTACTCTTCACTTCTCCATTACCTATCTCACCTTCCCTCGGGGCCAATTTGTCTTCTGCCATGCAGTCTGAGGTCTATCTGTCCTCACATGGCCAGGATGCACGCACCATCGCCCTCAAGCCCTGTCCAGGAAGCCGTTTCGACTCTTCCGCCGACCAGGGTCACGTCCTCTATCTGGCCCCACACCATCAACCCACGCCCAACGGGCTACCCCAGGTCTCAGTCCGGCTCGAGCCTGCTGCTGATTTCCACCCGGGCTTCTACCGCAAAGTCCACAGTCGACCGGTCTATGGCTGCCTTGGCCTTATGCACCATGCACAAGGTTTGTATACACCTCCTCCGATGACCACTGAATGGACCACATTACATCCTCTTTTTCGCTGATGTCGCCGTCGATGCTGTCGATGCTGTCGACGCTCTTGTTGCTACTGTTGCTATTATTGGTATTAATTTTGACATCTCTCGCTCTTTCCTCTGGCATTGCAACTACCAGACACTTTTATTGCCCTCGTAACAGGATGCGTCAAGGTCGGTGACCTTCGACTGGGCGAAACTGTCTACAGGATTGTAGCCGTCAAGTTCTTCTCCCTCACAGGGAATACGCCTGACGAGGACATGATCCCAGCACCCTACAATCCAGAGACAGCTAGCGAGAACGAAGGCCCGACCATGATGCCCCACCCCTGTCGCGACCTTGAAAAAGTCCTCTGCAACGGCGCCTTCTTCTTCTCACCACAGTTCGACCTCACCCGTTCGATCCAGTCGCGGTAAGTCGTCGTTGTTTACTTCAATCATTCAATACGTTTACATTACGGCGCGCAGGTGTCTATAGCATCTCTGTTTATTGTGTTTATTTTCGTGCTTCGTCCATAGGGCACTCAAGCTGCACGAGAAACAGAGCGCCGAGTCAAATCTTAACTACGACGAACGATTCCTGTGGAACATGTTCATGTTGAAGGAGCTGCTCGTCTTCAGATCACATCTGGATGAACAGGAGCGCGAAGAGCTGGACTCTGGAGGGCTCTTGGTATGTGCTGCTTCTCAGCAACCATCGCCGCTGGGAATCAAATGTTCTGGCTGGGATAGCTGACGGCACGGATACTGACGCGGTATCGATTGTCTAGGTCCATATCATCCAAGGATATGTCGGATGTCAGCCTTTTCGGACAGCTGCAACACAGGGACAGATCTCGGTCATTTCAAGACTGAGCTCAAAACGCGCAGGTAAAGCACATGCTGACACTTGCAGCGAGGGCTCGCGGCCGGCCCGTAATCACTTATTCTACGCAGCACAATCTTGCTCACTTTCTCGTCCTTCGTAAAAAAAAAAAAAAAAAAAAAAAACTAGGAATGCGGTATAAAACTCGAGGCATTGATGATAACGGAAACGTGGCGAACTTTGTAGAGGTAAGCGCACCTTGATATCCTAAAGCAGCGTGGTCTTTGGTCACCCCAGCATGCGAATTTGCTTGTGGATCTTAACGTGTGCATCATTTTATCTATCCTCTCTAGACCGAAACCGTCATATCCAATACAGAGTGGTGCTTTTCATACACGCAAATCCGGGGGAGTGTGCCAGGTTAGTCTGCATAGAAGACGCATTGCGATGGGCCTGTTTTGAACTGCAGCAGTCGGTATAAGGACACCTCCCAATGAGATGGTGTACGTTTTCATCGCAACACAGGCTAACTTCTGCAATAACCTTGGATATAGTATTCTGGGAGCAAGAGGGCTTGCAACTGGCGAGTCATAAAATTCAGCTTTCGAGAGGCTCCGAGGCCACCAAACCGGCCGTACGGCGGCATTTTGAGGAACTTATCCAAAAATACGAAGACATCCACATCCTCGACTTGTTGGGCACCAAGGATCAAGGCGAAATAACACTTTCACAAGAGTACAGGAGCCAGGTTGAGGACTTGGGCCCCTTATTGAGGCACCTTCATATGACTAGGTTTGACTACCACTCTCAAGTAAAGGGCGGGAATTACGAACAGATCATGGCGCTGCTGAACCATGTGCGTGGGGCTTCAGAGCGCTACGGATACTTTTACCACGACCTGCTCTCCAACACAATCGTGCAGACCCAGCGTGGAGTCTTCCGAACCAGCTGCCTAGACTGTCTTGATAGGCAAGTATCTAACCTGACACACACACACACACACACACACACACACACACACACACACACACACACACACACACCTATGCACCATGGAGTAGTAACTGCTCGACTATTCAATCAAAAGCCCAACAAGCGCTAATAGTATATAATCAATCTCTCTCTACTCCCGATCGCTCTTAGGACGAATGTTATCCAAAGCAATCTTTCTAAAGAGGCCGTGGAGCTTCTGCTTCACAATGTCCTCCCTCAAGACAGTCGGTTTGGAAGTCTCATGTCGATGCACTCGGAGCTTTGGGCAGACAACGGTGATCTGTTGTCCAAGATCTACACGGGCACAGGAGCTCTCAAGTCCGAGGTCACCCGTTCAGGCAAAATGTCCTTTGCTGGTATGCTGGGGGATGCCACCAAGTCGCTCAACCGATTTGTCATTAACAACTTTCAGGATAAAGATCGCCAGGAGGTCATTGATTTGTTGCTGGTAAGGGCGTGTAAGAAAGTCGACTGCTGGTCGGACTGAATTTTGCGGTCGATCCCTGAGGTGATAGGAAAAGGTTATTCAGACTGTATGTGTGAATTTTGTGCCATAGGGGAAAATGTCGCATCAAAGACCTGTAGCGATTCACGACCCGGTTCACGACTCGATTGAATCCGAGATGAAGGCTCGTATCGGAGAATACTCTCAAAAAATACAGATCGATGTCTTCGTGGGCACCTACAACCTCAATGGAAAGCTACCTTCGGGCGACTCTTTGGATGCCTGGCTCTGCTTTGACAAAGGCATGTGAGATTCTTCAGCTTGAGTGCTCGCTACGGATTTTATGGGCAGCGAACCAAACTTGTCCACGGGTTTTGGCAAGGTCTAACAGATGAAATCGTCCTTGGAATGTTTAGAGGTTCCGGAGCCCGACATGTACGTGATTGGATTTCAAGAGATCGTCAAGTTGACGGCCAGGCAGATTGCGGTGACGGACGAAAACAAGCGGCGGACCTGGGAACAAGAAGTTGAAAAGACTATCAACCGAAAGAGTAGAGCACGATATATTCAGCTGCGTTCCGTCCAACTCGTCGGTGCAGCCCTAATGATCTACGTCAAGGAGCAGAACGTACCATCAATTCGTAACGTCGAGTGTTCTATCAAAAAGGTATTACTGAATACGATCAGCCAAGATACGGTGCCTTCTTGCTCTATTTTTGTTGTCAGAAAAACATGCCTGCTAACGGGCGTCTACTGTTTTCCAATATCATGTGTAGACTGGCTTGGGCGGCATGGCAGGGAACAAAGGAGCAGTGGCCATCCGCATGGATTATTACGAAACATCTCTCTGCTTGGTCACCTCGCATTTGGCCTCAGGACAGGACAATCTTCAGGAGAGGAATGATGACTTTCATACGATCAATAACGGCATTACCTTTGCAAGAGGTCGCGACATATCGAGCCATGATATTATTCTTTGGTGCGGCGACTTCAATTACCGTGTCGACATGGAAAACGATCAAATCCGTGCATTGGTTAGTCAGGGCAACTACTTTGAAATATTTCGCTGCGACCAATTAAAGAGGTCCATTGACTATGGCGAGGCGTTCTACGGCTACAAGGAAGGAATCATTGCTTTTGCGCCGACATATCGTTATGACATTGGAACGGACAACTACGATACCAGCGAGAAATACCGCGCGCCTGCTTGGACGGATCGTATTCTTTATCGGGGTAGAGGCGTAAGTTTTACAATCATACGAGACTTTGTCCAGCGTACGGAAGTATCCTGCCTTTTGAATGATCATTCTTCTAAGTAACTTCTATCTCTCTTTCTTTTCTGGTCTGTTAGATCTATCAAACAAGTTACGAGCGCGCTGAACAACGCACATCTGATCACAGACCAGGTAAGGGGGGTGTCGGAAAAGAGCTTATCTGTTCGGCTGTGAAGCAGCATGTTCTCACATGTGTCGATGTTGGTGGCATTTGCTCCTAGTCATGTCGATGTTTGTGCTCGAGCTGACAACGCTGGACACGGAAGCCAAGGAAAAGATGGAGGATACTCTTTATCGTAAGAGCTCCAGTAAATCTCTTGCCATCGGAACATTGGCGGCCAAGAATGGTGCTGGACTTGGGCCCCGAGGGCTGTTGGTTGCTCCAGAAAAGCTGCGAAGTGAAGTTGGACCTAAATACGATCGAGTGTCTCAGAACGCAGGTAAAGTACTGCTGTCCAAAAGCACCATTAACGCAGGTCTTTCAACATCGGATGTCTCCGTGTAGGTGGAAGCGACGATACTGATTCGATTTCTGTTTTCCTATCTGCGAATGCAGGACCGAGGCCTAGTTCTGGAACGCATCAATGGTGGAACGACCCTTTGGATAAAGGCGTCAAGCGAATCCCCTCCTCCAACAAGAACCCGTTCGTGGGCGACCAGATAATCACAGAGAATACGGTGACCAACCCTATGTCATTAAAACCGGCTCTATCAGCATCCACCACCAAAAAGCCCGCAATCGATCTCCTTGGCGGTATGAGGAGAATCCTGAATTGAAAGAGGAAATGATATAAGCATGCATGGCGCAGTGATCAACCGCGGGTGACTGAACTAACCAGCTCATTACTCTAAACACTCTGGTTCTACAGACCTGGCTAGTGCAAATCCTAATGTGCCTGTCATGTCCACAACACTCAGCAATCCAAGCTCGGCGCGGACTGGTTTGGCGGGTATGAATGCGCTAGACAATCAGGAGAAGGCGAATTCGCATCCCTCAATTTCACCTGCGGTAATCAATAAGAGAAGCGCGCCTCCTCCTCCGACAAAGCGCAGGATCGACGTTCCCCTTACAACCTTGCCTGCCTCCTCAAATATCCACAAGGACGTACCCATGCGGAGAGCTGCCCCACCGCCTCCAAGGAGAAATGGCGGCGTGGGTGCGTCCACGGCCGACGTTGATGATGACGATGATGATGATGACGATGATGATGATGATGATGATGATGATGGTTATACCGGAGAGGAAGGGGACGACCGGAATGGCGCCGCTGATGCTGCCATGGACAAAAAAGACAGTATCAGGGTGTCTGGAAGAATCGGCCCATCTGCAATCAATGGTGTCAGAAACGATATTGAGTTGATTCGGCCCCGTGTGTCAACAGTTTCTTCGAATTTGTCCTCTACTGCATTGCCCTCATCGGTGTCAATAGCGACAGTCGCAGCCAATAAGTCCAAGGTCCTGTTGCCTGGGTTCGATCAGCGTGGACATGGTCAGCACCAGATTGGGTCTGGACCCTCTATTGCATCCATGGGTCTTGGATCTGCTGGCAGTAGCGCGGGTCTAATTCCTGCCCACAATGGCAGTGTGTCTCAGCGGACAAAAGGATTCGATGGCAAGCCAGACTCGGCATTTTCAGCAAAACGGTCAACACCAAGCTCAGCATTTGGATTGTCGGCATCAGGATCGACACCGTCCGCATCCACATTGTCCAAGGGCGATAATGCAGTAGTCAGAACCACTGTTGTCCCGGTTGACAGAGAGGGGCAAGAAGAGGACGACAGATTAGCGGTGCCGTCGGTCTCTGAATTGAAGAAGAGCTTTGCAACGGCTGCGCCAAGCAAGGGCGCTTCACCTCCCGCAAGATCAGATACGGCAAGGACAAGTGTATCGCCATCTTTGACTCGTGTTCCATCCAAGATGATTAATGCTCCGAGCACGAGTGGTATAAGGACGAGCGAGGGGCAAACAGTGACACCGGTGGTCCGGATAGTCAAGCCGCTAACATTCTCTGGGTCGGCAGTGACGCCGTCGCCATCGTCATCGTCGTCGTCTTCCAGAGGAGCTTCCAAGCCCTTGGCAGGGACAGCGTCCAGGAACAGGGAAAAGGCAATTGAATTAGAGCCTGTTCTTGCGGAGGGGAATAGACATGTACATCCACATATAGAGGAAAGTGAGACTGAGGCGGCGGATGTGAAACCGGCTACTGGGTCCGTGAAGCAGGCGATCGCAGCTCTGAAGGTCAATGCAGGCACGGAAGCAACAGTGCAGAGATCAACAGCAGCTGAGAATTCAACAGGCAGGAGGGACAGCAAGCCAGACGGAGGTGACGACAAGGTGTCGAGGGAGGAGACGAAGACGAAGGAGGAGGGGGAGGGAGAAAAGGTGGATGCGTTTGCGTTCTGGAAGGGTAAATAATATGCGAATAGAGGACACGGCTGTACAATTTCAAATATACGCGATACCGCCACCTAGACTCTAAGGATTTCCTTTACCAACCTGGAGTGGCACAGCGACTTTATTTGCCTTTGAAGCGGCCTCTGTCATGAACCTGCGCACCCTTCTTCTTTCCCAATTTCCCCTTACCAAACAACGGACGCGCGGCACTGATGGACCAAGTCTTGATGCATAGCGACGCGGCTGTTTTTCTGTTCAGACAGGGTGATTCTCAAACCTTGCAGCCTGACTAGTTCACAGAAATATTCCGCGCGCTCTGGCTCAGGCGTCAACGGTTCCCTCATGATGAAATGGGAAGGGACAAAACCAGATGGGATTTGGAACATAATTCGCTTCGACAGAGTCCGCGCCACTGCCTACTGGTGCAGCCGAGACGACAACCACAGCACGTAGGACGACAGCAAACTGGGCTCACCATGACAACGGGACCGATTTTAACGCGATCTGGAGCTATATTATGCTCACAAATGAACGTCCTCCATGATCACTGGAACCTCTAGATACGCTTGTTATGCGGAAACGTATACAAAAAAAAAAAAAAAAAAAAAAAAAGTTCGTCATAATGTCCATTCAACCAAACCCCACTGGCTTCGGTCACAATCAAGCGATCCAATGATGAACATTATTCTCAACAGCCACAAAAAAGAGAAAAAAGAGATAAATCTGCCGTCTGTAATTTATTTCGGCGCTTGGGGGATCTGGTAATGCAGTAAAAGAAGGGGCCATATGTACAAGAGATCTGCTGCTACCATAGCCGTCGAAATAAGAAAAAGCCGCGGTAAAAGGGAGCATGGAGGGGGGGAGGGGGGAAGGAAAATTGCGCGCTGCTGTTCTGACCGAGTCCGAGAAAAACAAGAAAAAGAAAGTTATTTGGTCGGGGCATGCTCCTCAGACGCGTGGATGGCCTGCTCTGTGGAGCAGTTGCAGTCGTAAGCGTGGCCGCACATCTTGGATCCGCTCATCGGCGCCTCGATGTTGCTTTGACCGGAGGGCGTCTCTGGAGGTTGGCCCTCGGAGGTCTGGTCCGTGGAGCGCTGCTGGCCCGGTTGCATTTTGCCATGGCCCAGCTTGGCGCTGGCCTGGGACTCCTTTTTGTCGTCGGAGGAGCGCTGGTTCAGGCTGGACTGGTCCGAGCGTTTGGTTGTGTCTTTGTCCATGGGGGATGGGTGTGTGGGGGGGGGAGTGAGGCTGCTGTGTAGGAGTGGAGGTGCTGTGTGGGGAGGGTGAAGATGCTGTGTAAAGCCGAGGATGGAGGGCAGAGGGGGGAACGGGTGTTTGTGGAGATATAAAAACGAGTGCGGGGTGAGACACGAGGCCCGCTGTCTCAATAGGGGAAAATCCCTCAGCGGGGGGAGCGCCTGCCCATTGGCCAGGTTCAGTCTGTGGCGATCCTGCAGGGCGGCTGAGTGGCGCTGATCCGCCTGGCCGGGGAAATGGACGTGAGCTCGAGGGGCCGCCCAACCTTAACGCGCCTGCCGCACTCCTTTTCGGGATATCTTTTTCACGTACTGGGCTGCAATGACAACAGGAGGACGAGAGTGTAAGCGCAATGCTCTTTCCTCTGTCCTTGACGCAATGTGGACAAAGAACCCTAATCGACTCTGGCTGCCGCATCATCTGCTTCCAGACAAGGTGGAGAGGGGGTCATCCGCTTCAGAATGTGCATAGTAACATCATCGAGGCAACTTGGTTTTATTCAATAAAGCATGCTGAGACTCTTGAGATAGAACATAGTGCATAGTTGAGACTGGTCAACGCTTCCCTTCGCAGGCATGACCCTGATCAGGTAATGAGAGTGTAATCTCAGTCACGTAGAATGCCTTTCACAGCAGACACGGACACCCCTAGCGTTGACCATAGTCTATGTTATTGCACGCCGAAGGAATTGGGCAGGTTTGGATCCCAGGCAATATCCATAGTAAGCAGTGCGGCAGGAGAATCAAAGAAGTAGAGAAACGGTTAGTATCAGTTTTCGCAATGACGGAATGCATCTCAGGCGGGCAAAAAAAAAAGTACGTACCCAAAAAGATTTTTACCTTGTCCTACTCAGGCTCGGATGGCTACAGGAGCCACCGCAGAACTGTGAGGGACCTTCGCCAACACGCCCGTATCGACAGTCGGGTTAACAAATCCTGCAGGCGACTCGGGTTCCTTAGGCCAGGACAGGAACTCGTTTGTCTGGTTCTGAACAAAGCTGTCGTCCACGATTCCTAGGCGCTTGCAGTACTTGGTAACCTTGTCCCAGTCGCGCTGCACGTTCTTCAAGTCGTGCGACATGTAGCGGAATGATCGCTGGAATATCTTGCGGTTCACCTCGCTGTGCATGTGGGGCTTCATCTCCACAAACAGTTCATAGGCCGCGGCCGGCTGCGCAAACATGTAGTCCGTCGCCCGTTTCACTGCCTTCATGAAAGCCGTAACCTTCTCGGGGTTGTTCTGGATGAACGTCTCGTTACCGATGAACAGGATCTAAGAGGGATTCGGATTAGAATTTTGTAGGAAAGGAATAAATAGAGGGAAACGAAGGGATGTGCAGAGGGGACATTACCGAGCAGAAGCAGCAGCATCCCAGATCAGCAAGCTCGTCAATACGCAGCATTCGAACATCGTCGCGAGAACGGCCCTGTTGAACGGACCATTCCTCGAGCTCAACCATCTGGACGTTTTCGAGACCGATACCAGCATCGATCTCGCCACGGATGATGGCGCCGGTGACGTTCATACCGACGCGAACGGCCGTGTAATCCTCTGGAGTCATGCCGTAGTGGCGGGTCAACTCGTCCAGCTGGATCTTGCCAAACTCGCCAACGTAGCCAATGCGCTTGCCGCGCAAGCTCTCGAACTCGGTCGTGATTCCGCTCTTGGAGGCAATGTACACCACACCCGTGAAGGGCTCGTCCAAGAAAGTGCCAATTGACTTGATCGGGAAGCCCCTGGCCTTTCCAGCGATGGTGTGGATCATGGCCTTGCAGCCCAGGTCCACCTTGCCGGAACCAATGATCTCCGTCACATCAGAAGGGTTGTTGGGCTCGAGGATAGCGACCTTGACACCTTCTTGTGTGAAGAAGTCGAGCTTCTCCGCTAAAAAGAGAGGAAGATGATACGGCGTAGCGTGCCAGTTCAGTAAGCAAGTGATTTTATCAGTCGACATGAGGGGCGTTAAAGAGTTGGGTGAGGAACATACAGCAGCTGTGCTCTCTGTTTTATACTGTATACTGGATCTTGCAGCCGTTCCCACGGTCATCGTGAGTCAACGGGACCAGGTGTTCAACGTCCTCTCTAGGCTATCTCCCCCTCATGCAATTGTTTGTATATGATAATCTCTGGAAGTATTCAGTCTCTGGTCGCGAGTTGACCACAATCGGGTCCCCCCTCCCCATCAAAAAAGAAAAAAAAAAAAAAAAAAAGAAAAAAAAGAACCAATGGTAGGAACTAGTACTTCAACACGTAATGAGCAATCTGTCCTCTCCCATCGTTTTGATGATAAGGAGGGGACAAAGTAGTAGGGCTGAGTATGGCCATGCGAGGTGTCTGGCACCGTATGTACATCATAGTCTATCCTACAAGCGGAGTTTTCAGTTCTCCCATGGATGAGTCAAGGCGGGGGTACACGGTTACAATAGACGACCACTCATCCCCTTTGCTGGGCGTATGCGAATGGCTTCTTTTTTTTTCTTTTTTTTTAATGCGCGCAGGCTGCATTGGCGTGTGCGAGGGAGGGGTACGCTGTGTCCTTGTTGTCTATCATCTTCGAGCGTTTGAAGCACTTCGACTTTCAGCAGCTCCTTCTTTGCACTTCCCTCTCGCCTATCATGTATTACTGCCTCGTTCTCGTCCTCTTCTTCCTCCTCTTCATCATCATAGTCATTAATAAGATCTAGAGCGGCAGCCCCCGAACTTGAGCAGCTTCTACTTCTTCTGCTTCAAATCTTATGATGCTAAGGAGAACTACACGTGCCATGATCCATATGGATGCCCTTCTCACATCCTTTAACCCCTTGATCTTGAAAGGTAAATTCTGTAATTATTAGAACTTGAGTTTAAACATGCTCGATCTTGACACGCGCAGAACCATGGAGTGTATTAAACCTTGCTTGATCACCAGTCGGGATTTTTTGTATGTAGATGTCCGAGTACTTGTATGCTTGGGGATCATGCATAGATCCAACATAGCCGGTGGTGAAGAACGTGATGATGCCTTGGTGGTCGCAAACAGCAGTGGCTCCCATAGCACAGTCGCACTCTCGAGTTATCCATGATTTGGGATCAAGCGATGGGGCATCTTGAAAGGGGAACGGCACACCATCAACAGTCCCGATCGCATTTGGAAAGTGCTTGTTTTTCCGGAACCAACGACTGATTTCCACCTCCCTAGTTTCTCCTGGCCATACTATGTACCGAAGCGCCAACTCTTCTATCGCAAGATCCAACGCCAGGTGAAAACGTGGGACAGATCCTCGACCGACACCAAAATGAAGTGAAACTTTTGGGATAGAAACTCCACGTGTACCAAGGCGAAATAGAGCGACCTTGAGCCGTGTATCGACGCCAGCTTGCGGCGTGTCTCCATCCTTGCTTTGGAAGCGTCTGTTTCCTTCGATCAAACCTTTGACGAGATTAAACTGATTTGGCGTAAATCTGATACAGTCCCTGAAGTGATCCGGATCGTATTCCATGAGGACCCTATCCCATATATCCGAGGAGCGCGCAGTCGATAGTCGATCCTGCTGATAACGTGTGTGGGCCAGGTACAGTACAGGCTCGTATGATCGAATACGTATTTAATATCTCTATTCGCTGCTGAATAGGGCTCTGATTTAGAGAGGTAGAGGACACGTTGCCCAGACAACCTTGTGAATGAAGAGATCAGAGGAGGAAGTCTGCGCATGCACGGAATTGTTTCTTATTGCTACAGGGAGGAATGTATTGCATCGCTTAAACAACGGAGTAGAAAAGAGGCCCTACATACGTTTTTATTTCACAAAGAACAATTCGCCTCTAAGTGGGTCCGGATCTCTTAGGGCCATCGGCTTTTTGTGCACACCACACAGAAAAGGGCGTTGATAGTACAAATATCTTGGAGAGGTATTCTCCCTCAACCATATGCTATTTTGAGTTTGGCACGTACCCCATTCACAAATGTATGAAAAAAAAAAAAATTACGCCACAGGGAATACCCCTCCCATTTGACATCGGCGTATGCGAGCAAAGCAGGAGAGTAGCACCATGAATACACAAAAGAGATGTCCTTAGCATCGAGGGTCTCGACAAGCGCCCAAGCAGAGAAATTAGAAGTGATGATAAGGAGATCAGGGTCGACAACTGCGCCGGTTTCCGATATGGCCTGAGAGTGCTAGGAGGATGTATTGGTTGTTCCCACGAGTACTGTTGGAATTAGGCTGTTGTTGGAGAACAAATATAATCATGAAAGACACAAACCTTTAATATCTACGAAGGGTCGTTTTCCGAAATGGTCTATCCGTCCAGTGTCAAGAACGGTGGGTGCACAAGCTGTCGATCAACCGGATGCCCCATACAGCTCATTAAACGGAGGAATAGGGTCGCACTAAAATGGGGCGCGGGGTAGCATGAGCCGACACAGCTCAGAAGAATATAGCAAGGAGTGATGTATTTCGTCCAAAGCTAATGAAATGATTCACGACCTATTTTGCAGGTGAAAGAACCGTTTCACAGCCAAAACTTGATTCATTATTTTTTCGAGCCAGCTAACAGCCAAATGGTTAGTCCCAGTCTGAGATAGTCGAACTGTCCAGAATTGCCATCTATGGCAACTTGCTTTGTTCTGTAGAGTCGCCCCCAGGTTGGTGATGGATCTAGTCGTCCACACCGTCTCAGCGTTCCAGTTTTGGCGAGTGTGGAGTAGGTTGGATGCGTGGAGGGGGGGAAGTGGGCGAATAAGATGCGGATGTGGGGTAGATTGGTAGGAATGTGCCTCCCTGTAAGCTATGAGAGCAGAACAAATTTCCGGCAGGCCAAGAAGAAGTATCCCGAGTGCCGAGGCGAAAACTCTGTTGACAGAGCGGGTTTCGTGGTCCTTAGTCCTGGGTAGAGGGCAGCCATGTGGGTGTCTAAAAGACCTGGATTTATAAAGGAATTTCATTTTGCGTCGCACCTACCGATAGACTATCCGCTTCATGAACCCCGCCTGGCTCATGATTTCACATATTAGAAAACTATGTCCCAGGACGGCACACTCTTTGGGTTTCCAAGGAGGAGTGGCTATAATCTTAACCTGAAGCGCTTAGGCCTTACGGCGCAAAATAGTAGCGCTAATAGTGAGCAGAAAGGGCAATTGAGAAACGTATGAGAGCCAAGGGTGCCGTTTTGGCGATTTCTGCGGTCAGCAGGGCGAAAGTAGCAACAACAGCGCATGCTATAGGACAGATAGTCCATGCCGAGCAGCAAGGTCTGATCGGCGGGGACTAAAAATGACTGCCGTCTAGGTTAAGGTACAGCAAGGCGACTACGTTCAAGATAGAACAAAAGCTGTCATATCCTTCGCTTGTCTTTGATATCATGCAATCCAGCTGGTCGAAATACAACAGAAAAGGCCTCTTTCCTCTATTTGAGACTTGCTAGGAATAAATGCACACACAATGAACTGACATCCATGGCCCCAGCGTGATCTACCACAACCGGTCAACCGGTCAACCGGTGTGCAGCTTCTTACACAAATGTACTTTCATCTAAGCTACCCTTACGCTTTGCTATACTATTCATTATGCTCCCTTTTAGAATGTAGCTGCTAAGGAAGAAGAAGGATGGTTTTAACAGAAAGCCTTTACTTGGAAAGCTCACGGAAGGCACACAGAAGGCACAGACGCAGAAACCGACGCTAATGCTGAAGGCGAGCGAAGGTTTCTAAAACACCATCTAGAAGGCAACTGTATGTTCTACTTTCACTTTGGTATGGGCTTGTGTACATTTGAATCGATGAAGTAAAGCCGCAATCTATTTATTGTCCCTGAGTGTCCCAATAGATCATAGAAACAAAGCCATTGGTGTCAATGAGGGACCTGCAGGGACGAGGCATTTTAAAATTCAGATGTCATCATAATTCTCCTCTCTTCTAGCGTTTCGCCATGGTCTTGCTCATCAACGAATTGCTCTTTTGCTTTTCTTCTTCAATACCCCACGTTTTTTTCTTTTCTTTTTTTTAAAACGTACAGAAGAAAGAGGCCAAGAGGCAAAAAGCAAAAAAGGGCGATAACTCAAAATGAGCATACCCATCCTGTTGTCCAATCTTATTCTATCCGTTCATTTAACTTTAACGGAAAGACGCAGCACACCTTTTAAAAAGACGGCCCCTGCCGCGTCTTTACAGCCCATTTCCTCTTAGACTTTGTCCTGACTTGAGTCGATGATACCCCTATCCATACCTTAATTCCCTTCGCTTACTACCGCTTATCTCTCTATACGTTCCTAATTCTCCTACCATTCTCCTACAACGACACCTTCGTACATACACAACAAACACACATCATATAATATCCTATGGCCATGTCATACTATGAGTTCGACAGCGACTTGGGCGACAAGTACGAAATGGATCAGATGCAGGGCCTCACACACCATGAGGCGCTCGCTCCAGAGCAGGAGGGTCTTAAGCGTGATCTTCGCCTCCGCCATATGATCATGATCGCCATCTCCGGTACCATCGGCACAGGTCTCTTTTTGACCTCGGGCAGCACAATCGCTACCTCTGGTCCAGGAGGTGCTTGTAAGTACCGCCTTTTCTTCGCAATAAAGTCCGGTATGCGTTTCCGATCCAAAGGTCGATCGCTTCTTAACACTTTTATCTCGATCAATAAAAATAGTGCTTGCCTATGTTATCATAGGTATATGGCTGGTGTTTGTGTGCCAGGCGATTGGTGAGATTGCCACGCTGCTTCCTCTGCCTGGTGCCTTCAACGCCTGGGGTGGACGCGTCTTTGACGAGGCGCTCTCGTTCCAGATGAGCTGGATGTACTTCATCAACTGGGCTCTGACTATCCCTGCAGAGCTGGCTGCCTCTGCTGTCATCGTCAGCTTCTGGTTGCCTAAAGACTCAAAGTTCCCAGACTGGGCCGTACCCCTTATGATCATCCTGCTTATGGTCGTCATCAACTTGGCTGGTGTCAAGGCATATGGTGAGCTCGAGTACTGGTTCTCGGTCCTCAAGGTTGTCACCATTGTCATGTTCATCATCTGTGGTATCCTTGTCGATGCCGGTGTTATCGGTGGAGTCAACTACGGTATGAGCGCCTGGCATATCGATGGTGCGCCCTTCAAAGGCGGCTTCATAGGCTTCATCACCACTTTGGTCTCAGTCGGTTATGCGTACGGCGGTACAGAAATGACCGCTATCACCGCTGCCGAGTCCCGCAACCCTCACAAACACGTCCCCATGGCAGTCAAGACTGTCATGCTCCGCATTGCATTTTTCTACATCATCTCGATCTTCTTGCTTGGTTCCATCATCCCCAACGACGATCCCGACCTCGTCAACAGCAGCGAATCCGCCGCAACCGCCCCCTTTACCATCGTATTTGCCAAGGCTGGAATCAACGCTGCAGCCAACTACATGAATGCTGTCGTCTTCACCTCGGTTTTCTCGGCCATCAACTCTGATTTCTACATTGCAACTCGCGTGCTTCTGTCGCTCTCCCGCAACGGTTGGGCGCACAAGTCGATCGGTTACACCAATTCTCGCGGTGTGCCCCTGGTGGCTCTGGCTATCGTCACAGTTTGCTCATGCCTGTCGCTGATCACAATCTTTGTCGGTTCCGGTGTGGCCTTCAGGTGGTTCGTCTCCCTCATTGGCTCCATCATTTTCCAGTCTTGGATCTTGATCCTCCTCCTTCATTTCCGCTTCCGCTACTGCTGGAAGGCTCAGGACCGGCCTGTGGTCGATCTCCCCTATGTTTCATGGGGATATCCCTATGGCAACATGGTTGCCACCTTCATCGGTGTCTGCATCATCATCGCCACCTGGTACCTCTCACTCATCAACCCTCCCACGAATCCTGGCGCTGGAGCTACGCCTGAGCAGCTGACAGCGTACCACGCTGCACGCGATGCGTACGTGCAGCATATCTTGGGTGCCTGGTTCCCATGGGTCTGCTCTGCATGTCTCTTCATCTCTTACAAGGTCATCAACAAGACCAAATTCATCAAGGCTGAAAAGGCCGACCTTGACACGGGCCGTTTCATCCCTACGGAATCCGACAAGGAGGATATGAGGCCCCATGGACCAGCCTGGAAGAGATTCGTCAAGTATTTGATATAAGCTTAATTTAGTAGAAAAAACATACACATGTAATATAGGGCATATTATTATTATAATTATTTTTTTTGGCCCTACTCAAATATGCTAAGTCAGTAAAATCTAAATGCTAAGGGCTGCTTTGAAGAAAAGTTGGTTTCTTCATCAACTTCACTAGCATGCCTCCAAAGCGAAACGCACCAGCTCAGGCGAGTAGGTCCGAGAGCAAAGTATCAAAAAACGACACAAGGGGATGTCAAGGAAGGAAAGAAAAGAGCAGAGGCGAACATAGCGCACACCAGTTTATCGCTTCAACAACAACCAGCGCGCAATCCTGGCTGAGATGTTCTCAAAAGGCCCTAGGCATGATCCTGTGGGAATTCGCAATGGTGGAGCACTTCCAGGCCCTCGTCCTTGTCCTGATGCTATTTCAAGGTTTGTTGCACTAATCAATGGTGTTTATCCCCATATTGCCGTTGCTTATCATCCTCACGCTGCTCCTTTGCCGCCGCCTTTTCTAGCGCGAATGACGATGATACATATTCTGGAGACAGCGACGAACGGTCTAGACCCTAGGGACGATGGTCTAGATCCTAGGGACGACGACGAAGAGCCTCAGCACAGGACGCGACAGGATATTCGGATCATGAGGAGGAGTATGGGCCAGCATACGATAAGGTCTTGCAACCGCCTGAGCAGGAACCGGATGGGCCCGCACTTAATGCCCTGCGATCTCTATTTCCTGAGAGATTCGTGAGGCCTGTGGGGCCTATTTTACGGAGGATGGTTTCTGCAACCCCCAGGGCCAAGCAACAGTTCTACGCGCACCACGCGTCGTCATGACTTCACCCCCGTACAAAAGAGTTCAGGTGTATAAAGTGATGGCTCTGATGCGTCCTCGTATATCTCTGTTGGACAAGCATCGGACTTGTACTCTTCACGGAAGAATCAATAGCGGGAGTCGGTCGCCAAAACCAAGTTGCAGGCAATAGAATTGAGGCGTCGTGCGTTGGGTGTACAAGAGAAGGGGCTGTCAGCCCAAGTGGAGATGCAAGACAAGAAGATGAAGGCCGAGACAGAGGTGCGGGACAAGGAAACGATGTGATTTCAAGAGGAGCTGAGTATCCTGCGACAGCAATAAAGTGAATCTGCCGGCAGAAAGCCGAGAGTACCGAGAGTCGATATGTTCAAGTACATGGTAGACACTGGCAAGAGCACTCAATAATAATGGTTGCGGCAATGGGTATAATTATTACACATACGTGAGAAACTCCATACTGTCGGCGAGCTACTCGGAGTGCCTCTTGCATGACACTTTGTCTGGACTGCTGTCCGGCCACTTGCCGAGGAGCATCCTCTGCGTTTATCCCTGGTTCCTCAGGTGATCATGTCCTGCGAAACAGAATACAAGACTCTTCATCCAGAAGTTCCCTCTCCTCGATCAAGAAGTTGTGGAGGATCATACACACTGTGATCCAATCCAAAACTATATCGGTATCTTGCTGGTATGTTTTCCCGCGGATCCTGAGAGGCATCTGGGTCAATGACGTCCAACTCTGCTTCCATATTTCTACACAATACTCGTTGCATGCACACACGTCTGCGACCCATCGGTTGAAGTCGGTCTCATCCTCAGTAAGGCCAGCGCCCTTGGTCACTGGTACGGTGACAGTCGATATTGAATAGATAGAGTCCATAATAAGGCACTCTCTAGGAGCTCTTTTCACAGCCAGAGGTCGGTTCGAGCAAAAACAAAATTGTCATGGCAACGACCTTCATATAAGAATAGCGATATAAAAGAACAAAATAAAAAGAGTATGAGTGGATGTATGTGAATTCTGCGTGCTAGGCCAACGTGTCTTCATGATTGAAGAGTTACCTGAATATCCTATATTGGCGAAGATAATCCTCCGATCCATGTCGCACACGATTTGAACGTTATAGGAGTAGCGGCCAAACCGACCGTAGTCCACGTCGCCGAAATGCACAGAACGCTGCGCGAATGGAACCGTTGTTCCGTCCACGAAACCGACGCAGCCAGAAAACCCCCTTCTCTGCCATCCTCTGTGAATGTGCTTGCTGCTTCTCTGGGGATGGCCAAGATAGGTACCGCCCCTCCAGCATGTCGTCCAGCACGGAAAAGAACGCGGCATACACCTCCGGGAGCGGGAGAGAGACCCTCATAGCCTGGGGTGCTTTTGCAGGTCAGCGCATGTCCAGCCTGGTTTTTCTGAAGGATGGAGATACTAAAAGTGCTAGATTTATCAGGGGGGAGTATAAAGGGGTAGTGGGTGAGTTTGTGCGTCAAATACTTAGTGGGGCGTTGGTCGAAAATGGTGCCTCCATCCATCGAGGTCAAGTGGCGAGCAATTGGCGCAGTATGAACGATGCGGAGAAGACTATACGATCAGCATGCTCTCCGGACCTGACCCCACTCGAAAATCTCTGGCTCATTCTCAAGGACTGCCTCAACACTAGAAGAGATCATCCAGTCCGGCGGCGAACATGCTCACTATTAAGTCGCCTCATATCGGCACAAAGAAAGCATATTCACCGTCCTCTCTGCTCAGTACCACCACACCCAAAGCTGCAGCGCTCATCATCCTCTCTTCGCCCCTTCATTAATGCCACTGTCGTGGCGCCTCGATGTATCCCTCATTAAAATTAAAATTATTCTGCCATTTGGTCTGGTACTGTATGAAGCTGCTAGCGATCTCTCGTCTTACTAGCAAAGGATGTTAACCTTTCTTACGTGCATGTGCCGCTTGGCATGGTAGTTCAATCTTCCTATGCCAGGGATCCATGGACATTCGTGAGTGGGCTGCGAGTTGCCCATGTTGAGCACACTAGCAGAGCGCGCTTTTTATTTTATTTTTACTCCATGGAGATGTGCCTTCGTCTAGACTATTAGGGCTAAATGAAACTGGAGTTGAGGAATGCAGATCGTTGGAATGAACTCCCAGCTTGCAGGAGCAGGCGCGGCGCGTCCGACGCGTTATGGCTGTCTCCTGGGATCTTCCAAAACACCTCGTTTGCCGTAGACCTTGACTTGTGCATGACGATTCGCTCGAAATGTGCAGCTGAAAGTAAACGGTGCATTGCGCCTCGACAATCCTTGTTATACGACGCTTCCCAGGGCGTCGATTGGCGCCAATGCCGAAATTGACAACTGTCAGATTGATACCCAAATGTATGAACCGTACTCTTTCAGCTTCCTTCGAACAAACAATACTAAGGAGCAATCAAAGCGACACTAGATTATACAGTGATTCTCAAAACTGTCCGGATGTTCTCAATTCTGCAGCTGCAGTCGCTATTGCTCAATAAACAGAAAGAGTAGAAGGCTGCACTTCTTCATAGTTGTTACAAATTATTGACGAACATACTAGCGACGTTTAATAAAAGTGGGTTGTCTTGGCAAGGTTCTATAAGGCGTGAAAGATAGTAGTCGCCTGGACAGCTTTGAGAACTGACCCTCTGAAGTACGATATTCGACTATTAGTGGTCGTTATTGCCGCACCACGCTCTGATAGTCGTTATGGCGCTCTGGTATACTGCGGATCAAACTCTGGTAGGCTTCCACAAGGACTTCATTATTCCAATCTGCGTAGCTCGCTCCCATAACTGTCTGGACGAAAAGGGATAGTTGTTGCATATGAAATTTTTGTGAGCGAGCGAAATCATGCCCGCCACTTTTAAAAAATCTTGACGATTAGTATTGGGCCTTGGAGTGGTAGTCAAAGGAGCCATAGAAAAATTTGGCAGTAAACCTGAAGAGGTACTTGAGATGTTCTAGATGTACGTGCAAACAAGGTAGGGGTTCTCCGGGGATCCATTCACGCACGGAGCTTCAAATATTTTCGCCTTTTGTACGCTGGAGTTGAGTGCAATGTTGAATTTTGAGGCGTGCATGTCCTTATTACGTACTTTTGACAAACTGGCCAGCTTTGGCTATTCCCTCTCGGCTCTTCCTAATGCCACTCGTCTGAAATCATTCCTAGCTATTATACTGTAGCAATCATTATTTTCGCGAGGATTTACAATTTTTCAAACTTTCATGAGGACGCACTTTATAGACGCATTGTAAGGTATATTTATTCTTCCTTCTTAGGGGAGGCTGACATCAGGATCAGATCTCTGATCTGGCTTAGCTGTTCTTGGAGTCCATCGACCCGTCTGTCCATACGCAATTGGGTCTCAACCAACTGTATCTTCAACTCTTCGACATGGCGCAACAAGGCCTGATTATCCTCGCTGCCGTTACCATGCGATACAGCTCCAGCTCTCCAAGAGACATCCGTGTCTGGATCCTTGTCCTCGTTGTGTGCGTGCTCGTTACGCTTTGAAGCCATCTTTATATCGGCAGGGAGATCTCCTGTTTCAAGATATTGGTTTTGTACGCTTCCCAGACATCCGTAAGTTCCGCATTTGTTCTCATTGGACTCGTTACCATATTGTGATTTTGCAACGACCTCTTGCTGCCCAGCCGCCGTCTCGGGCTCCTTTCCATTCGTAAAAGGGATTCCGAATGGTTTTGGCTCATAAAGGGTTGACGAGATGCCCAATAGCTGATCCTTGGCCGTCCGCGCAATTTCTGGTTTGAGTTGGAACTTTCTCTCGTATTCTTTGACCTGCTGAGGCGTAGCTGTATAGTATATTTCCTTTGGGAACCAATTGTACCTCCGCCTAAAACCTAGGAGAAAATGACCAAGATTGTAGTATAAGTACAAAGATACTCCTTTTCAAACTGTGTCGCCTATAACTAGCTTTACAGATGCTTGATTACTGATGAAAGATACGTATTACAACTCACCTGGGATATGGTATGACATATTCTCCGCCCTTTCAACGTAGCGGAGACGATTCTCAAGCCATTCTTGATGCCAATCGTCATCGCCTGCACTGAACGCAACGTTTATCAAGGCTTATTGAAGAAAGGGGCAAATAGTTTGGAGAATGTTAACCATCATCTGAGGCATCACTATCAAATGAGTTTGGATATAACGTTCTGTCTACTTACCGATAAGTACATTCAGCATAAGGATGACCGTAAAGAACACATAAATCATCATCATCAAGTGGAATGACCAAACATCGCCTTTGAACTCATCGCTGACGGGGTCATAGATTCCTCCCTATTGTATGTTTTGGACGATGGAATTAATAATATATGGTAACGAGTTGCACAGGAGATGGACAATACGTATTTGAAGAACATACCATGAAGAAATATGTTGCTGAAACGGCCAAGAATATATTATCGGGAAACTCAGTTGTCGGCCGTGCACATACTTCTGAGGAACATCCGCGGAGTAAATGCAGTATTGCGATTGAGAACGCCAAAATTCCACCAGCAAATATGAAAAAGAAGATTCGGATCTTGCCGATAACCCGAATAATGATCGTAGTGTAATGGCATACGCTCTTATTCGTCCGAAGCTCAAACAACTATCAATGAGACGCTCGAGAGATGTGAGAAACAATGATGCCGATTGTATGTTACAGTTATCAGATATGATATGTGTAAACGTTTCATAGCCGCATATACTAACCAGGTGCAAGAATACGAAGAGTATTGAAAAGCTGAAGGTGGTTGGGTTCCCATTTTGCGTTATGATCTGGTTGATGCTCCCCGCTAGAGGAAGTGTAAACACTGCCAAATCTACCAAGTTATAGGGCGACCTACGGTTACAGTAAATAGAATTAAGACGTAAGCTTCAAGGATTCGAGGAAAACAAACAAAGAGCAAATAGCTTCATTATGGTCATACAGGAAGTATCGAGACGGGTTATGTAGAAACTGGACAAATTCGAGCCATAAAAATATCACTGAGAGAATAATGATGATAGCAAATATAGGCAAAATTGGCTCCTGGTTTTGATAGACCTGCAGGAATACGGCAGTAAGAACCAAAAGGTAATAGACGCACTGGAGCAGGAACCGAATCAACCAGTACTTGAATCCGAACATGTTCCTAGATCGTAATAGAAAGTGATCGTGGCTAAATTAAAGAACTCGTCATTTAAAGACGGCAAAGTGCTCTTGAAGGGCCGTTGCTCAAGTAACCTACCATTTATACTCAATCAAAGCTTCAATAGCTGGGTTATCGAATGCACTTAGGATGAAGGCATGAGACGTAACGTATGTTCGACTTTTGGGCGCGCATGTATGCCAAATCATCAAAAGCAGTGTATGGACCCAGCTCGAGTTTTCAAAGATCTGTGATTCCCGCCCATTGGCAAAGTTTTCCACCCTCCACAGCATCTCAAATGACGCCACAAATACGCCTTTTGTGAAGTTGTCCTTTTGAGTTTTATGGGGTTTAGGTGAGAGTTCCAGCTGGAGGATCGGATTATTCCATGTGTGCAATGGTCGCTCGTCGCGTTTCCAGAATGGCCATCGTATCTCGGGAGGGTGAGCGATCCTATGATTGTCGATGACGAAGGATCTCTGCTTTACAGGAATATACGCCATCTTATGGAGAGAATTCAGAGCAATCTCAAGGTGCGGCAGGTTCTGATCGAATAGCTCTGGTAGACATGCTGTCAGCGGCGATATAAACTGAATATCTTCTTCCTCTTTGGCTTTTTGAAGACAATACCGGATGATGATTATGGCGAGTCCCATAGCCAAAGGATCCTCGCTGGATTTGTCAAGAAGAGTCCAGATTGGGTTGGTATGTCGGTCGTAATCTAACCTTGGAATCCACTGCACACTCGATGATGCCAGAAGTAGAGCCATCAGCTCCTCACAAACTTTAGAATCTCGAGGTTTCCATGCGTCAATAATCTTGCCAATCACGCAGTCGAGTAGGTTTTCTGGGTTCGGATATCTGTTGAGGTGTAGTTCAAGGTATCGAATAATTGCCTGCCTGACCTTGACGTCTGCTGCAACCTTGTACATCTCGACTAGAACCATGATTCCATTGACGAACTTGAACCCCTGATCACCGTCAGCGGGTCTATTCAAAGGTAGCTCAACTACAACAAGTTCATCGTCGTCGTCGTCGTTGAGGTGGTACATATTATATAGCAACTGTTTTTGGTGCTTGCAAGATACGATGCCGTTCCTTTCATACAATGAAAGAGGGTGGTAATTTCCCAGCCGAAAGGGCTTGTCCTGTGTCCAGTGCGTTTGCAATAAAGTACAATCGCCGTCGAATGTCTCCGGAAGACCCCACATCATAACGAACTCGTCCGCATATAGGAGCAGCTGTGATAGATCCTCGAAAAAAAATGCATCTATGTAGGCGCATTGGTAGGGAAGATCGGTGAGGGCAATTGGAGGGACCCTGAGTAGTTCGCGTTCTAATCCATGTTCAGACACCTTCAAAGAAAAAGTGTGAACACCGTCCACGTCTTCTTCAGCCGCAGGAAGGAATTTGAAGCTGAATGTAAGTCCAGATGAAGGCGTGAAGGTGCGTTCATCAGAGATAAAAGCAAAATCGTCCCCGGATTGCTGGTCACATCTGCACGTCGTGGGATCAAGGGGATCGAAAATGTAGTCTTCCAGTCTGACAAGATTCAGCGTCGATCCATGGCACGAGAAAAGTCCTTGTGACCTTGCTTCACTGCGGATATATCGTCCTGGACTGATGAACTTGCCCACAAGCGACATTGTAGCTGCATCCAAGATATATCCTAATTTCCGTTCAGAGTTCTTGAGTAAGGGCACTGAAAAACAAAATAATAAACCTGCTTCTGACTAGAAATGATCTGCCGGCATCTTACCTTGGTATCCATCACGATAAGAGAGGCGGTCAACCAAAATCTGAGAATCATGGCGAACGAACGTCAGGGATAGAGCGCATGTTTCAGAGGACAGCTTGAGTGTGTTTAAGGGAAGCTTGTATGTTCCAATTGCTGTGCCAGATCCCGTCCAGTAAGTTGTGATGGTGCGGCCATGCGATACCGCTATCATTGATCCATCGCTCGAGAATGTAGATAAATGTTCAGTACCCGTTATCCCGGTTACGACTGAAGCCATGGTACTTGCTTCAATATTCCAAATAAGAAGTAGACCCTTTCGGAACCATGACAAATATTTGCCCTGAAGGCTATGAATCAGGTCTCCAGACGAGAGCGGACTATCCACACCAAGTGACACTTTACGAATATAACTCCATGTGCCATAGACCTTGTACAAACGGACCGACGTTCCGTCGCATGTAATAAAGAGTTCGTTCTTCTCTTGCGGGTTCTCAATATCCGTTATATGGAACGATCCTTCTCCATAAAAATCACGAAGACTTTCACAGCACTCCAATTCAGTAAATGCTGTAGGTGTGTTAAGTCGACTCTTGGATGTGTCAGGGCCGTGGGGAGCTGAATATTTGTAGATGGCCAATCGTTCGGCCTGGGACCCTCTTGCAGTTGGAAGTAATACCACATAAGTGGCGTTCCAAGAAACCGAGACGGTAGCGTTAACCAGGATCGGCTCCTTGTCTGTACGAATGACGGGAGTGGCCTTTATCGACTTGGGAACAGCTATGGCGAGCTCGCTTTGTGCTGCTCGTGATCTCGAGAAAGGCAACGATTTTCCCGCAGACCATTCGGGGCTACTTGACGACTTCTGTCCTCGCTTGTCCGTATCAGTCATGCCAAGAGCATCCTTGCTGGCACAAGAAAGATCCCACAGGTCTAAGTATAAGCAGCGGTCCGTAGCAGATAACGTTGCAGCATGCGTACCATCACCAGAGATGGAGTAGTGAACGATCTCGACCGACTGTGCTGGACTAGGTTCTGTAGGAGTCTCCATATGCTCGATATCAATTGACCAGAGATATGGCTCATGAGCACGCATAGGTATATCTAAGTCGCATGAGTTAGCTCACCTTCATCCAACATTCATAAGAATACTCATTAGACGAAGTACTGCGAAAATACACCATCATACCATGAATGTAATTCTCCACCGAACACGAATGCAACTCAAAGTAATGCAATTCAAGGAATCCTCGTACGGATGCAGGAGAGATATGGGGGCTCAGGCAAACCATAATTTTTACAATCAAGGGACGCACAGCATCAAGCCCACTGTTGTCGAATTGTCGGTGAAGCTTCCACCTGCACAGCCCTTTGCTGGATCTTGCTGTAAGTAGGTCATTAGTATGTAGTACTACTTGCACTTCATGTGCTACATCTGACGATATATTTGACTGACTTACACAGCACTTTCAGCTGACGCTTCGTTATAATCTGATGTTGAAACGACCATCAAGAGAAATATAATGTGTGGTTAGAGTAACGATCATTCCTGCAGGTTTATCTTATATTTCAAGGTTTCTGAACCTCACCTCCCAATAGGCACACGATGCATTCAGGTACGTCGGACTGTCAACACCAACATAGAAAATGATCGATTCGAGGCTGTTCAAGTCGATATCCTTCAAGGAAATTCCAACGACAGGTCTGTACAACCTCTGCTTCAACTGACTAATATCGGTGGTCCACTAAATTTCCGCAATAGCGGTTAGCAAACTCAAGGTGACGGATTATCGACGAACTTCATAAAATCAGTTCAGGCCTACACTGATGTCCTGTTTGGTGATGCTGGCCTTAACTGGAGGTCTAAATCTGCGTTTGGATACCAGCCGTCATTAGAGAATCACGATCAACTAGACAGTCCATGACTAGCAAACATCGCATTCCTTACTCTGTGGTGCAATTGAAATACAAGGCGTTCGCGGCTTCTTCAAAGTACCAAACGGCAGCTATGATCATCCATGGAGAAAAAGAGCGAAATAAGCATTCTCAAGTCTCAGATTCAATTTGGTCTAGACATCGCTCACTCTTAAAAGTGTGGCTGTAAGGTGGTCACTAAAAACGACTTACGCACGACGTCGGGAACAGTAGTGTTTCGATCGGAGCTTCCCTTATACTCTATATTCTCGGATGCCGATGCAATAGCCGCAGCTCCGAGTGGGCTGCGTACAGCCTGTGAAGGACCAGTGGTGCTCTTGCGCGCACCAGTTGAGGTGCTATCGTGGCGATGGACCGCTGAATCACTCCCAGATGCTGGCCCATCGCTGGATAACTCGATAATGCAATTACGACTTTTCATAATTCGATCTCAAAGTCTGCGAGGGTGGCTTCTATAGGTAAGATGGTTGAAAAGAACGAAGGGGAAAACATGAAAGGGAGCGTGAAGAGAAGAATGAAAAGCAACTCGGGCCAAAAAATGGAGATTTTAAATATAGTGATGCTGCTGTGCTGCTGGGGGCGGGAGCAGGGGCAGAATGGGGTTTGATGTGAGCAATGCAATTATTGCTCTAATTATGCGAGTTCGGCTATTTACATCCAAAGAGAGGGCACGGCGTAATTTGCACGAAAAGGATGCCTCGCAGTGCTATCGACTTCCATAGCACGAACGAAGCAATCACAGAGATGCTCTGGATCTAGCGTTCAGTCTCGTACACCTTTTTCTTGTAATCAACCTTCTCGCCAGCTAGCTATACATGTATGTGTTTTTTTGGAGGTAGATTTGAGTATTCTCAGAGAGCCTACATAGCAAAAAGCTGAAAATAATCTCACCGTACAGGCAGCGGATATATATCTATGATGGTGGTCTTTCATGCTGTGCGAGCCTCTTAGGTTTTCTGTAGCAGTTTTATCCTTGTCTATGTAAAGAGCAAGAACATCAGATATAATGTATGGACAAAGCGATGAACTTAAAGTGATAGAGCCTCCGCCAGAACGTTAATACTTTTTTTTCGCAGAAAAGGATGAGGATAGGATGTGAATGGGTGTGGGTTGGCGGCAGATGTATTGAATTGAGAAGTTATATAAGCTCACGACATTCTGGCGAGAAGATCAAACCAGCGCCTCGAGTAAAGAAGTTTTTTCTAATTCGCTCCTCCAAGGAAGATGAATACTGACCCTTCGCTCCTTCAGCGAACTTAATATGATGATGTACTGTACGCTACTGCTTTTTAACATGAAAGTCTAGCGCGCCTTGAGTGAAGGAGAGCCAATGGATAGGTTCATACGCTTTGGATGGTTCATAAAAGAACCAACTCGTATATGTTACTGACTTCTGCGTTAATTTATTCAGAGGCACCGAGCTGCCCCGCTTACTTGCAACTCCTTAAATATAATACTTAAGCTCTTAAATATAATAGAATATTTTGTCAGCTTCAGGCCAATCAATCACCTTGGTAGCTCGAGGCACTCATAAAATTTTTTCAGGGACTTGATCAGCCATCGACCGCTTTCATGACCAACTCCATCTTTATAGAATGAGCAACCATCCCAAGGATCTCAACATTTACGATTCAGCAGGTCCACCTGCGGGCATCTTGCCTTCCAAGGACATGGAGAATGATGACGATTCGACAATGCTTTCGATCGTGCAGGACATCCCGACCTTTGGTATCGCAGGACGCATCTGGGATAGGTATGCAGATCAAACATGCAATATCCGCCTCCCTCCCTTTCCAATGGCTATTAGAAAGAGAGTGACCATAGATTACAACGACATTTACATGATATTTTTTTTGTTGATCATCTATCTTCATGTAGCTCCTATGCTCTCGATATCTTTCTTCGTCGCCCCTCGGATCAATACACCTTCATGCCATCATGTCCGATCCCCAGGGATTATTTTTTAAACCCCTTAAAGGCCAGAGGTTCCGCAGCAAGCAATTGTAACACGGTGATCGACTCTTTAAAGCAACCCCCATTAGACCCTATCAAGATTATTGAGCTTGGAGCTGGAACTGGCTACGTTGGAATAGCGCTGGCAAAACGGTTGAACCCCTCCTGTACGCTGATACTGACGGATCTAGAGGAGGTAATTCCTTTACTGGAAAAGAACGTTCACGATAACATTCCTTCGAGTATGGCGCACGGCAACACAGATTCGACCTTCTCTGTTCCAAACCCATCAACAACATTATCTACGTCTTCATCACCAATATCAGTATCAGCAGCAATGCCACAGCAGCCCTGTGCCGTAGTGCAAATCGAGCCTCTTGCCTGGGGTAACTCTTCCCATGCAGCCAAGATTTTGTCCCGGGGCCGAGTGGATTATGTTGTGGCAAGTGACTTGGTCTATTTTCCAGAGCTATACCCGCCTCTGCTTCAAACCTTGAGGGAGATTACGGATTTGGAGACCCGAGTCATCTTTGGGTATAAGGAGCGTGCGATCTGGAAGGAGATGCCATTCTGGGAGCAATTTGGACGATTTTTTGAGATCGACGTTGTACAGACCGAAATGAAGAATAGAGACAGCTGTGATCTACAGCAGTACGAAGAAGAACAACGAGAAGAATCAGTGCAAATCTTGGGAGCTGAGGAGGAGATGTATGTCTTCGTGGCCAAGAAGCGTCGTGATGAGGATATTCTGGATGGCGTAGATGATACCTTAGCGACTCTGATGATGATGCAGATCAGATATTAAGTGAAATAGAATATACAATTAAAGAGGTGGTCCCAATCTTTTACTTGCGTCGAAATTGATGACAACTCCATAGACGCCAGCAGATTGCTGCCTATTATCAACTGATGCTAGAAATTCAGTTGATTGGACCTGATGATGCTAGATCTGCGCTTGCACTTCCTGAACTGCCTGTGACTGTTGAACCTATCACTGCACCCAGTGATCAACCCGTCGAGGCACCTGCGCACGGACACGACCCTGTCTTCGAGAATTCTCCTTGCGATGCAGCCTTCAACGCGCCCATGCGACTTCGACGCGTTTTTAAGGCTATGAATAGGCATTCAGTGACATTTTGGACAGCAGACATTGTTTGTGCCAAGATTACCGTATTCGAAGGAGACTCTCGTCAAGTCTTACCTGTTGAGCCTTGAGCGTCATTACACCAGATTGAGGACGCGTGTTTGGAGAGCTCGGTAGTTATACGGCTTCATGTTCAGACTCTAAGTCTGGCCGAGAACATAAAAGTCCCCAACAGCCCACTGGACCAGCTATTCGCGCAATGCTTGCTCAATGTCGGAGAAAGCAGGGACCCAACCTTCGCTTCAGGTCAACACATGGATTATGCCAGAATACCGAACGAGTTTATCTTTACGCCGCCCGGTCCACAACGGCAATGATTACACTGTGAGTAGTTTACCCGAGAAATCTACTTACACGTCGAAACTGTCGCTCTTCGGTCAGAACTAGTGATTCTTGCGGGTGAATATTTTTTCACCGGTGAACAAAGAATCGGTGAAATCGCGGATTATATGGCGCGTTTGTGTGCAAATGAGTACGCGTTTCATTTTGCGAATGTCGAAGTTTGAAACCCCCTATTATTAAGATCGCTCTTCCAGAACGTGCGCCACGAGCGCCTCCTGATCTCCTCAGTATGTGTTACTCCTCTTTTCGAGGCCAAATTTTGTATCTCTCTTCATATCTAGTTCGCAGCGGCCTAATCAGCCTACCACGCAGCAAACATGTACACAGCTTCTGGTGAGTATTCAAAATCATGTGAACTCTATGCAGTTGCTTGACGTTCACAGGTTGAGTGTCATTAAGGGAACACTGTCTGTCGCCTTGAATGACGGCTACCATCGTGGAAGCGGTTTGATTTAGACGACTGGACCAGGAAAAAATAAAACTGCTTCCACCAAATACTAGGATTAAGCAGCAGAAGAGGACTAGGCGCGCCTGCGCATATCTTTATTATTATTCTATTAACGACAGATTCCCCAGACGCGCAGGCGTACCAGTCCTTTTTTTTTTTTTTTTTTTTTTTTTCACATCGGCCCCCTACAGACAGAGTCATGTCATCATATGATTTAGAGACTTTTGTAGACTGACAACTTTCAGGCAAATCCTCCTGTACTTCTAGTGTAGAAAGCTAGCTTCAACGCTGCCACGCCCGTGGACGCACAACCTCGCGGACGCCAGCCTATCGCGCTGTTGGAGCATTGTCATAAAATTACGTTCTCCATCCTCACAGAGTGTCTCTCAAAGAGCATCGCCTAATATAACAGCCTCCGCGGAGCAAATCTCTCCGTCCTCAAGGACACCACGACTAGAATCCATCCCCGTTCTCAACGCCGTCATGAAAGATGCCAAGAAACGATCAAAAACTGCGAGATTTGTCACAAGATACGCGGTGTCGCTATGACCCTGCGAACTGCAGCTCGACGGGATGCGCTTGAAGATTCTGGAATGAATCAATGTTGTAGTACAGGGATCTCTAGACTTTTTCTCTTTCATCACTGACAAAAAAATCAACCGTGCCACCACCACTTACGACCTCCCGTAGCGTTACACATCGCAGCGCAGACTCAACCAGGGCGATGTGGAGTAACTACTCTTATGGCGCAGGAGCTTTCAGTATTCATGGCATTGAGATTAACCCAAAGAAAACGGAACCCCTGGATATCAATGGACAGAGATGGGCGACATTGAATACGGCGGTAGCACGATTATATCACACCTCTCTTAATATGCGACTCGAATGCTTGGAGTTTGGTTTCCAGTAGACAGAAAATAGGACCAATGTAGTATATAGTGCAGCAGGAGGTGAGCTCGGCGTGCTCCTTGGTCGCGAATAGGTCGGTGGTTGATAGGCAAAGTGTTTCAATCCTCATAGCTCTACTATTCTGCCAAAGTTATGACTCTCCCGATACAGACGATTCGGCGTCTTGTCAACACCATCTTCAGCACTGCCGGCAGAGGTTTGGCCTCTCAAAGGCGCACCGAACACCATCCCTTGACATACTAGCTTTTAGATCTTACAGCGGCTACCGTATCGGCGCCAAGCCTTATTGACCTCCACATCCACCTAGACAGCCTTGTAGCAACCCAACCAAAAAGCGATCAATCGCAACACTACTTCTGTACGGGACAAGATTCGTTGCTACAATGCAGAGGAGTGGTCTGTACTTGCGTAGGTATGCTAGAAGCGCATGAGAGATACTAGGGTGTCATGAGTACAGGGACATGCCGGGATGATTGGGAACGAGTGTTCAGATAGAGCGGCGAAAGCAGCACAGGACAATCCAAGATTAGAAGAGTATCAAACACGGTGCCGTTCTGCAGGACAGGCCTTGGAAACCCCTGCAATAGCACCACAATAACTAGCTCTTAAGTGCATCAGATTATGCACCCCAGAATATTCAACAACCGACTGACTTGGAACGCTGGCTGTATAACACAATATTTAGCCCGTCTACACTTATGTCAGCAGCCAATGCAGCACACGTCTGCGCAGTCATAGAGTGAAGAGGAGCCTGAATTATAGCCGGGTGGAAGATACCGCGCATCCGAGGACGCAGTGGAGAACAACGAATATTTTTGGTTCTGCCCGGCTCACAGAGAGGAACAGGGTCGTATTTGAGAGGGAGGTCTTCGGAAGCTGGACACCTAGGGCAAAGTTGCAACAACACAGTACAACAAGGGCCATTAACGAAGTCTGGAATTGAAATTCTGGGCGTGGTACCGCCTTTCTTTGAACACTTACCGTAATACTTTAAATAGGACAGTGTCACGGTCATTGGCGCAAAACGGCCGACTGCGCTTCGAGACGGGCGTTGGTGGAGCACAGGCAGCATAATTCGCGGGTTTGTGCCTCGGAGCTCGATGATAGCGGGGCGCCCATAATTCATGAACACTGCAAGGAGACAGCATGACATGTTATGCGGTTAATTTATCGCTTTATTGGGAAGAAGGCTTACGAACTGCTATGGAAACTGAAATGCGATGAGACTGACGCACGAAAACAAACAGCAAGAGAGAAGGCAAGGACGGCATGGGCACCTACGTAGTACGAGTCCTGAATGTACATGGATGCTGATTGGGCCGGTTGCTGGAGGGACATGAGGGAGGACAATGCCCTGGTGAACAGAATGACCCGCAGGCGGCAGAAGGAGCGGTGGTGGCACTTTGATGTTATGAAAAGGTGAAGGAGAATAGTCTTATAATTGTTCCTGGACGTCTAGAAGCCTTTGAGCTTGCCCCACGAAGGACAGCACGGCTCATCGGGAGGAGCCTACGAGATTTGTGTGGCCAATAGTAAATGCCCTCCCAGTTATACGAGAAAATGATCTCGAGACACTTGGGTATTATAACAGGGGTACGCGGGATAAGGTTGGGGATAAACTATGACATAAAAGGTAATGATTGTATTCACTTTGCCCAGATAACGCTCCATCTGATAACTCCTGACAATCTGACAATCTGACAATCTGATAAAAGCACCCGCTTTTCTTCGTTCTTCCCCTCCACTCATTTCTCACACATTTACAGCTATCACACGCTCCATTGCCCCACACTTGCCTATTTCCTAACAATGTCTCCATTAGTCGCAGAGAACTCAAGCGTCAAGGATACTACTGCCACTATGGCGCCCTCTGCTGTTCAGAAGAAGAACGTCGTCGTCATTGGTGGTTCTTGTGTTGGTAAGAACGCATTCTCTTCTCCTTTCACTCTCTTATACATTGTGCATTCCTTGTCTGATTCATTCAATTCATTGCCATCATCCCATCCTACTTCACATTCATTCTCCTCCTTCTCCTCTTCCCCCCCCCCCCCCCCCCTCCCCTTTGTCTTCATGATGCCCTCTGTTTTAATACTACTTCACCACCTCTTGCTAACGTATCATGTACTCTAGGTATTGGTGCCGTACTGAAAGGCAAGAAGATTCTGCCCTCGACCCATCGCCTCATCGTCATTGAGAAGCACTCGCATTTTCATTACATGTTTGCTTTCCCCCGCGCTTCTGTCATTGCTGGCTGGGAGAACGAGCTCTTTGTGCCCTTTACCAAGATGTTCGATTCACCTGAAAAGGGCCAGGTTATCCAGGCCCTAGCCACCAACATCACAAAGACCCATGTCGAGCTAGACCGGTCTGTGGAAGGATTCGGCACCAGCGTCGAGTATGAGTACTTAATATATGCCACAGGTGCCCGCCACCCAGAGCCGGGTAACCTGAACGACCACGACACCAAAGCTGCAGCAATCCAACGACTCAAAGAGATGCAAGAAAAGATCCAAAAGTCGACCAAGGTCATGTTAGTCGGCGGTGGTGCTGTTGGGCTGGAGTTGGCGGTCGAAATTCGAGAGCATTTTCCACAGAAGGAGGTGATCCTGGTCCACTCGCGGGAGAGGTACATGCCCACGTATAAGTATGCCCTGCATGAAAAGGCAGTCGAAATTCTGACAAATTTTGGCGTGCGCCAGATCATGAGCGACAGAGTCATCGTCCCTGAAAGCGGGTTTGTAGATGATTTCAAGATGATTAAAGTCGCTACTAAAGGCGGCAAGGAAATAGAGTGTGATCTTCAGGTATGTAGACTGGTGTGAGAAACAGACGTATAAGTCCAAGGTTAGGATGGTGGAATTGCTGATTGATATTTGTATACTTATATTCTTTTTCGAAATAGATCCTTTGCACGGGAATGACACCTCAAAGCGCTCTGCTCGGCAGACTATCGCCTTCCTCCATTAACACCGCTAACCACCTGGTCAAGACCAAGCCAACGCTGCAGATAGCCGATGACAATTTCCCAAACATCTACACTGCAGGCGATGTCGCTGATCTCGAGGAAGTCAAGGTAAAACATCCTATGAGAAAAAGAACGAGGGAAATCTGAATTTTTTGCTAACCAAAAAAACAACAAAAAAAAAATACTATTCTTAGACCGGCGGTGCTGCTTGGTATCAAGGCGAACTATGCATGCGTAACATCTGCAAAATGATTTCCAACCCCAATATCCAGACCAAAGGCTTGCGCACCCATACCCCCAGGGCCCCTCATATCTTCTTGTTCTTAGGTGTCGCCAAAGCTGCAGCTCAGGTCAAACTTTTTGGCCACATCTTTGTTACGGCCTGGGACTTTCTCCTCAAGTGGCTCTTTAGCTACAACGTCCATGCTTCACGCGCCTGGACTTGGCTCGGTATACCTTTGACAAAAGAGGCAGCCGACCTCTGAAGGGAGAAAAAGACGGAAAGTAATATATGACAGGTGTTATAGTAGAATCGGAATGCGTACACGTTAGGATGTTATATGTGCCAAATTACAATATAAAATACCAAAGTTTTTATCCTACCATAATCCCCGTTCCCCTTCTGGGCTCCTGTGGTATCGTTTTTATTTTTTATTTTATTTTTATTTCGAAAGCTTGAAGATGCCTCCAGAGCTTGCTGACATACGCGGTAGTGGTACTTGTGGCACTAGAGTAAGGAGCAGCCCAGAATAAAAGCACGAGCTGGATACGCTGGGCCTGTTGGACTTGGGCTTGCGGGGCATTCTGGACCATCGTATGCCATCCGGGTCAGGGATAAAAGTCATAATTTTTCATTGCAACATAGTTCTGTAAGAGAATGGTGTAGAAATGAGGGATTGACAAAGTCAAGGGTGTACTTTAGTAGAAGGAAGGTGCGTTACAAGCTGGAAAGTGAAAGAGAGATGCGAAAAACGAGGACGATAAGATTTGTGGATATTACAGATGTCATCACATCTGCGCGCTGCGAAGAACACCAAACCTTTTGTTTCGACAAATACTGATAGATACGCGAAAATAAGAGGACAGGCTGTGTTGATGGCCTGGCACATCCTCGGATATGGTTGAAGAATAGATTGGTGGACTATTTCAGTATGCAATTGAAGATTTGCCCCTGGATGTGCTTACTAGTTTGCATCATTCTTCAGCTCTGGATTGTCCTATTTCGTGTTTCTGCTGTGCAGCAACCATTCCCTGAGATAATCTAAATACATTTATTCATGTGCATAAATTGGGCCCTATTTGCTGAGTAATCCGTTTGGCGCGTTTTCTGTCTCTGTCATGTTGTCTTCTGAGGCGAGAAAAGCTACTAAGAGAACAGTAGGGACGGAGAAAGCACAACTAAAAAACAGATAAGAAGACACTTAGTTAGATACGCTTGCTAAGATCCCAAGTCTAATCATTACGGGTTATTATGTAACAACTATTTCTTATCGTCCGAACAGTTATGGGAACGAGTTACTCAAATTGGAATAATGAAGTCCTTGTGGAAGCCTACCAGAGTTTGATCCGCAGCATACTAGAGCGCCATAACGACTATCAGAGCGTGGCGCGGCAATAACGACCACTAATAGTCGAATATCGTACTTCAGAGGGTCAGTTCTCAAAGCTGTCCAGGCGACTACTATCTTTCACGCCTTATAGAACCTTGCCAAGACAACCCACTTTTATTAAACGTCGCTAGTATGTTCGTCAATAATTTGTAACAACTATGAAGAAGTGCAGCCTTCTACTCTTTCTGTTTATTGAGCAATAGCGACTGCAGCTGCAGAATTGAGAACATCCGGACAGTTTTGAGAATCACTGTATAATCTAGTGTCGCTTTGATTGCTCCTTAGTATTGTTTGTTCGAAGGAAGCTGAAAGAGTACGGTTCATACATTTGGGTATCAATCTGACAGTTGTCAATTTCGGCATTGGCGCCAATCGACGCCCTGGGAAGCGTCGTATAACAAGGATTGTCGAGGCGCAATGCACCGTTTACTTTCAGCTGCACATTTCGAGCGAATCGTCATGCACAAGTCAAGGTCTACGGCAAACGAGGTGTTTTGGAAGATCCCAGGAGACAGCCATAACGCGTCGGACGCGCCGCGCCTGCTCCTGCAAGCTGGGAGTTCATTCCAACGATCTGCATTCCTCAACTCCAGTTTCATTTAGCCCTAATAGTCTAGACGAAGGCACATCTCCATGGAGTAAAAATAAAATAAAAAGCGCGCTCTGCTAGTGTGCTCAACATGGGCAACTCGCAGCCCACTCACGAATGTCCATGGATCCCTGGCATAGGAAGATTGAACTACCATGCCAAGCGGCACATGCACGTAAGAAAGGTTAACATCCTTTGCCAGTAAGACGAGAGATCGCTAGCAACTTCATATATTGACTAAATCTTCTTGTCTATCCATTTCCTTTCGTTCTCCTCCTCATTCTCACTCTCTCACACTCTTAACTTGCGCCAATATCTCATTCACCTTCACATCGCATAAAGAACAAGCTATGACTTGCTGCATCCTCGATTCCGAGCACATTAAGCGGACTTGCGTCAAGCAATCGGTCTTTTGATCTGTCCTACGACTGGATCCACTACTACATGCAGGGCGAGACCGGGATCTGTGCGGAGGAGGTCGAGGTAATCGAGAGTCTCGAGGGCACCATGAAGATATTCGAAGAGCGCCTTTACTTGCGCAGTTTGAAAAAGGCGTCCATGATTAAGATTAAGATTAAGATCAATAGCAGAAAACTGATCATGTTTGCGGCCGCGGATTCGTACTGGGACGAGTAGAAGAGGAAGGGGATCGACTCGAAGCCGAAGCTGAGGAGAAGGACAGGTCAGAAACAGAAACTAAGCAGTAGAATGAAGGTGCAGAGGAGGGCGAGGCAGTTGCTGTCATTAAGGCTGTATGGAAGGAAGCATTGGTAAGGAGCCTTCACAAGCGCGCATATACTAAATCAAGACTCTCCTGCATCGTCTTTTCTTGACACACCGCTCTTACTTTCTTACTTCTTATGAAAAAGTCCCTCATTGCCCCGCCTCAGCCCCCGATCGTCTCCTTCCCGCCTTCACCTTTAGGGCAAAATTTTGGTCCATGGGATGCCTGGAGTACAAAGGATAGGTGTGCTGGTCTGTGGCACCCGCCTGGATAAAAAGTAAGGCGTGGACCTCCTTGAAGGGGAGTTGACAGCTATGGCAGAACGCCTCCATCCACTCTGCAAATTCTTTGTGACAGAGCCTAGCGCCAATCGATCTCTTTCTCCCCGCCTTTTTTTTTTTGCATGTACAAAGTCTGAGCCCATATCACACGCTCCGTTGCCTTGGCCGCACAGTCTATCGCCACCTCTGTTTTGTTTATCTGGTTCTGCTCTCAAGTCTTCTCTTTCCGTTGCCACGCGTCTTATCTCGACCCATCAATCCGAGCTGCTTTTGCTTTTTCCGAGCACTTTCTGCAGTTGATATGACCGGTTGCCAGTTGATTTGGTCAGTTGAATGATCAGCTGTTGTTGAATGTCTTTTTGCATGTAAGACGTTGGACGCCTCGTATGTGAGTGGACTAGCCGATGAAACTAGTGGGAATCCTGCCGCACTATACATCGGCGCTTCCAATCATCCTCGACTTATTTGGCTCTTTCCCTCCCTGCATGAAAGGAAAGGGGCGGCACAAGCACTCGGCTGAATAGAATGGGAACGTAGGGTCTGATTTCATCGACATTACAACACAGCCGCTCGACGCTGCTGTCTGTATAGACGCCATGCCATGTATTACAGAGAAAAGTCTCTTTGGGTGCTGCTCTAAAGTCGGTCTATTAGCGCCCATCAACATTGCGATCGGAAAGACCGTCATCGTCGTTGGGGAAAGTGAGCGGGGACTGGCAAGCAACGCATCAAGATCTCCGCCGTGATGACTCCTTACACGAAAAAAGGCGCGTGAGAATAATTTCAACCTGAGCCAAGCCTTTCTCGGCCCATAAAAAGCCCAAGTTCTTGTCCTTCACCTCTTTTCTCTCTTTCTTCTCCTTCTCCTTCACCCAGCCCAAGATCCCCATTTGCGCAAACCCTCTCACACTTTTCCACAACATGTCTACCTCCAACGCCTCCTTCTCCAACGGCTCTGCCGCTACCACCTCGACTGCCCAGCTCGGCGCCATCAACTTGGTCGGAGTGCCCCAGTACGACCTCAACGATCTCCATTTCAACCCCATCAAGGAGGCCGATGTTAGCCGCGAGATGACTCGTCGCTACATGACCGACATGCTTGAGCACGCCGAGACTGATGTCGTTGTTATTGGTGCTGGCTCTGCTGTAAGTAATTTAATGTCATTGCCACATTTGTTCATACCGTGTTGAATAACTGCGAGCTGGTCTAACTTTTGGCACTCCTTTATTTTTACGATACGTCTCACGCGTTCTGAAGGGCCTAAGCTGCGCATGGGAGTTGAGCAAGAACCCTAACGTTAAGGTTACGGTTATTGAGCAAAGCGTCTCCCCCGGCGGCGGAGCCTGGTTGGGTGGCCAGCTCTTTTCGGCCATGATCGTCCGCAAGCCAGGCCATCACTTCTTGGCCGAGGTCGGTGTGCCGTTCGACGACTGCAATGAGAACTACGTCGTTGTCAAGCACGCTGCCTTGTTTACATCCACCATCCTCAGCAAGTTGCTCATGCGCCCCAACGTCAAGCTGTTCAATGCGCTCGCCGCCGAGGACCTGATCGTTAAGAATGGCCGTGTCTCAGGTGTGGTTACCAATTGGACCCTGGTAACTCTGAATCACGACACCCAGTCATGCATGGATCCCAATGTGATCGAGGCCAAGGTTGTCGTCTCCTCCACTGGCCACGATGGCCCCATGGGCGCTTCTGGCGTTAAGCGTCTCCAGAAGATTGGCTTGATCAAGAACGTCCCCGGCATGATTGCTCTCGACATGAATGCTGCGGAGGATGGCATTGTCGCCAACACCCGTGAGGTCGTCCCTGGAATGGTATGTAGCCGCAATCTTGACTTCGTTCTGTCCTTGTCAACAGTCCACGTTGTCTAACTTGTAGCTCTTGTAGGTCATCACTGGTATGGAAGTCGCGGAGCTCGACGGATGCCCTCGTATGGTATGATATCAGCCAGGATACGTGCGATTGCGCCAAAGATCTTTCTCAAGCAACCCTTTTGTTTTTACGACAACACGTTTGATCAGGTATTGGGTGTGATATGGACGTGTTTACTCATGATATTTACGGGGGCATAATGGTGCCCTCGCTTGTTCTTTTGCACCTGTCATCGTAGGGTCCCACATTCGGTGCTATGATGCTTTCTGGACAGAAGGCTGCCCATTGCGCCCTGAAGTCCCTCGGACTGGCACATGTTCTCAAAGCCTAAAGTGGTCGATTTCGAGCTGATGAATGAGCTTGGTGTTTGGTTGTATTCAGTATTTATGTTTATTGTTTTATTTTGAAATGAGAGGAAGAATGACACCAGGGGTCCTTGGTCTTCCCGCGCCCTGATCTTTTCTAGTACCGTGTCGTATCCCGCAAGGGAGTAAGCGGCCGGTACTGGGTCTGTAAAAGGTCTTGAGCGTGTGCATGGAGTCCTCGGTGAGAAATACCCTTTGAACCTGACGGTCGAGAGTAGAGAGAATGGATATCCGTCTCCTACTGTCTGATCCAACACGATAATGCGTGCGGCTAGGAAGTGTGTCATGTCTTGTTCCTCTTATCTCTTTTTTTCTTTGCTCTATTTATTTCAATAAATCCTTACAATTCGTACCTATCAAGTTATTTGATCAACGGTTGACATGATGTACGTAAAGTATAAGTACATTAGAAGAAGGCAGCTTTATTGCGGTGTATTGCCTTTCTAAACCTAAAGTCCCAATGTTTTCCTGACAGTGTTTCTGACAATTTCGTCAAAGTGTTTTCTGTCAGAACGCCAGATTTTCTATGAGTGATAAAACAGCGATTACAAATTTTAGCGATGAAGGAAAAGCCTACAATGTGCACTGCAAACGTATGTATCACCTATTACTTACGCATGCCTCAATATTGGCGCCACTTTCATCGTTCGGTTCCGCGAGCATGCTCAGCACTGATAACAGAATCTTTTCGACGCTTTGAACAGGGCTCCACCGCTCTGAGCTCGATTCGTACATATTTGGATCATCGCCAGGAGCATGAAGGATGGAGATGCATACAGTTCCGTCCTGATAGACTATTCGCAGACAGAAAGAAATCCTCCGCATTAGATCTTTGAATAGCCTTCGATGTTGCAGTGCGATTTCCTAGTCCATTGGACTAAGGCAGGTAGCTGCATCATGTAAAAGGTAGGAGATACACCTACTATTGGGGTGAAACATCTCGCAAGTGAACTTCATCGTCGGAGGCGAGAGTGGGTAGTCCTTGGGAAAGGTCAACGTCGCAGGGAAAATGCCTCCCTCATAAGGTGTATCCTGTGGTCCTCTAACAAGCATTGGGTCAAAAACCAAAGCGACTATGGCGTAAGTTACACTGAAATATCCAGTCCATTCCACAGCTTGTCCAAGATAGCGCTGCTTCCTACTCAATGAGTGCCTCCCACTCGAAGAAGTTTTCTTCGGTAATAGGTCCTAATGACGGGAATAAGTCAGCCAAGCATAAACGTTAGAGATGATTGTTCCATCGTCCGTCAAGTAGCGCTACTCACGACAGCACTTTTCCTATGTTCCTCTGCTCGACGCCCGTATAGTCGTTCAGCGACTAGACCTCCTCAACGTACCGGCGGTAATGCCCTCAGGCGCGTGCAAAGTGAGTTCGCGGTACTCTGTCATGAGCCTCTTGAGGGCGGTTGATCCCATTGTCTTGTACATTGTGTTCTGTTCACCGATGTTCTTGTTACGTGCTCCTGTGTTGTTGTCTCTGTTGTGCAGTGGGAGGATGAGTGATGATGACTCTGCTCCTTTCCTTCCCTCCTCATTCCGGAACCCCTGCCTGTGACTGTTTGCCAATGTGGGCGAAACTTTATGCCGCTTAGCATCGCGTCTTCTCCAGGGCAAGGACGCCTCCAGCGGTGGCCCTAGAGCGCGCATGCTATTCCAGATCGGCCCTTACTGCGTATCAAAAGACATTCGTCACGGCATTGAGTCCAAGAAGGGGTAGTCAGGCATCCTCGCCTGCTATCCTGTCTCCCTTCGATTCACTCCTCTTTCAGGAGCAACTATGCTATATAGACAGCACAGATTGGAATACAATTCCCAGTCTGGAGACCCCACTGGCCAGCAGCCTCTTTACGCTGGGCATTGGAATGACTGATACCCATTTACTTTTTCTTTTTTTTTTGTTTGACCTACCTACATCACCCAGTTCCACACCTCCGTACTGTAGCCCACTCAATTGCAACGCGACACATTCAGTGATTTCAGATGCTGGTCCTATCGATCCACAGCACCCACGGTCTGTCCAGGACGCTTCTTATGGGCTTATGCATATCTTTCATAGCTGGCATAATAGACGGTGCACCGTATCGGCAACTCCAGGCTCTTAGTTCCAGAAGCACCACCACCTACTCCCAGGAAGCGGGGCATAATACCCAGTTAAACCATCATGCCCTTCGCAAAGACGACGACTACGAGAATGACAGATACGATGGTGAAGTCGACATTTATAAGAGAATGCAGCCATCGACTCCGCCGAACTCGCTCGCTTCCGATCCCTTTGCACGCTATATCTACGAGAAAACACTTGATGCGAGCAACGTCCAGGCTACGTCCATTCGACGTACGATTGTGGTAGGAGATATCCATGGCAGCCTTGTTGGATTTGAGGGTTTTTTAAATAAGGTGGGCTTCGACTCTCTCCAAGACAGCCTTATCCTGGCCGGAGACCTCGTAAGCAAGGGTCCTCAGTCACTTGAGGTCATCGACAAAGCCCGGGCGCTCAACGCGAAGTGTGTTCGAGGCAACCACGACGACAAAGTGATTCGGTGGAAGGGATACCTGGACAGCTTAGACGTTGCCCAGGGACAGGCCTCGGATGACAAGAATGCGCAGCCGACGACCATTCCTGCGGATCTGATCGAGAACTCGGAACATCATCATATTGCTCGGAGTCTGAGCAAGGAGCAGTATGAATATCTCCTATCTTGTCCCTTGATTCTCACTTTGCCCAAGGAGTTGTCTGTGCGCAGAATTCCGGTCTACGTCGTCCATGGTGGGATTGACCCCCGGTATGGTATTGAACAGCAAAACCCCTGGGTCCTTCTTAACGTGCGTAACATTCTCCAGGACGGTACACCCTCCCGCAAGAAAAGCAAAGGTGATGGGTGGGCAGACATGTTCAACAACCTGCACTCGGAGCGTATTGGCAATGGGGATCCTGGCTTTCTTCTGCTCTACGGCCACGATGCTAGTCGGTCACTGAATATCAAGACTTGGTCGATTGGTCTTGACAGCGGCTGTGTCTATGGACGAGCGCTTTCTGGCTACGTACTCGAAACGGATCAAGTTCTAACGGCCTCCTGCCCGGATCTGAACATCAGCTCTTCTAAGGACTGAGGGCAGTGTCAAGAAGAAAAAATAATAATAATAAAAAGATGATCTTTTTGACGCATGGTTAGATCTGTCTATATCTCTGTTGGTGACATGGCAGAATAGGCCTACGTTTATGTACACATCTCCTTGAGATGTGCCCTTGAACATTCTCTTTGTTGACTGGCCCAGTAGGCTGCAGGAAACGAGACAGGAGCGTGCATGAAATGAACATTCCTGTCGGAAGTCTAGAACTATCACTGTACCAAATATCTTTTTCGCTCTTATATGTTAATACAATGATACCAGGATAAAACCCCCCTGCTATCGATTACTTTTCCGACTGAGGATGACAGGAAGCTCTTAATGAAATCCGGTAGCACAATTCAGCAAAAATCATCCTACCAAAGGAACCATACATGTCATCGCCAATGCAGGCCACTATATGCAATAGCGACATGTTAAACCAAGCTGCTCCGTTTGTTGGGACGCTCAGTCTTATTGGTCATTCCTTCTGTAGATGTATAATCTAAGGTTAGACATTGATAGTTTCAATTAGTAGAATGAAGGAGAAAAACACAAGGGATGAACTCTTAGAATATAGCTGCATGCACTTGTGTGGCAAACGCGACAAGATTTCCACACACTCAAAAAAAATAGTTGTGATGCTGGCTTCTGGAAGTCGCGTGCTTCATAGTGTGGTTCGGAAAGGACACATGTTGGCGATATACGATAGGAGCCTAAGCAGCATAACCCTGGAAAACATCCTAGAAGAGATCTTGCATTTCGAACGGTGGTACACACCGGAGCAATTGGTGAAGGAGGCCTGACGCTGCCCATGACATGCAGTAGTGATCTATTCGCGGCGATCGAGGAGCGGTAGGCTTCTCAATGGCTGGCCGAGGAGATGTTTCACCAGTCATGGGGGGGACGAAGGTTTCTGGATGCTGATTTGCTAGAGCGGGACTAGCGCTTGATACAAAACCAATGGTAAGGCGACGTCTAGTCTATGGCGGGCAACCCCTTTTGAGGATTTGCCCCTCTTGGAAATGGCTGGCATAACCACCCGCAGCAACAGGGTAGCCTCTTGCTCTTGCTGTGTGTCCACGCAGAAGGAAAGAGGAGCAGACGAGTCAGTGCATTGCATTGCTGCTGTATGTTGATGGGAAGCCTGCACCATGGACTGTTCTCTTAGACCGTCGTCCGTGGACGCAACCATCCGCGGCCAAGGGGCCAAACCCAAATGGAGTCTTGCTTGTCCTTATGGACAAAGGACGCTGGCCCTTTTCAGGAAAGGCCAACGGCCACCCTCTCGCAGCCAGCCAGTCGCTGGGCAGATCCCACCCAAGACGGACAAACCTTATTTATGCATCGAACCAGTGGCCCCAGCCGCCTCTCTTTTTATATAAAAGAACGCCCAGGCGTCTCCGTACACGGCGCCCTTGACTTTTGTTCCGCAACACGCATCATCCCCATCCCCTCTCGCCCCGCAGGCTCCTCTTTTCATTCGCACCTTACCTTTCTTTTTTTCTTTTTGTACTACACTGATTACCAGATAACACTCGCATACCACATCCACACAGCAGCAATGCCGAAATACGAAGTCGAGTCCGACACGAGCGAAAAGTATGAGATCGATCATATGGAGGACCTTGGGTGCCACGAAGTCCTCGCTTCTGAACAGGAGGGTCTCAAACGTGATCTCCGTCTCCGCCACATGGTCATGATTGCGATTTCCGGCACCATCGGTACCGGTCTCTTCCTAACCTCGGGCTCAACCATCGCCACCGCTGGCCCAGGCGGCGCCTGTAAGTTGCCCTAGAGCTTAACGTTCAATGCTCATACCACTTGTTTATTTGAGCGGCACTCTTCTATAACAGTGTGCTTACAAAGACTCTACCCTCCTTGTTCATTGTCCTCTCGCAGTGCTCGCCTACATCACCATCGGCCTCTGGCTTGTCTTTGTATGCCAAGCCATCGGTGAGATCGCCACGCTCTTGCCCCTTCCCGGTGCCTTCAATGCCTGGGGCGGACGCGTCTTTGACGAGGCGCTTTCGTTCCAGATGACCTGGATGTACTTTATCAACTGGGCCTTGACTATTCCTGCAGAGCTGTCGGCCTCTGCTGTTATCGTCGGATTTTGGTTGCCTGAGGATTCAAAGTTTCCCGCTTGGGTCGTCCCGCTCATCATCATCATGGTCATGGTCATTATTAACCTGGTCGGTGTCAAAGCATACGGTGAGCTCGAGTACTGGTTCTCGATCCTCAAGGTCGTCACCATTATCATGTTCATCATCTGCGGTATCCTTGTCGATGCCGGTGTTATCGGCGGAGTCAAGTACGGTATGAGCGCCTGGCACATTCCTGGCGCACCCTTCAAGAACGGCTTCATAGGCTTCCTCACCACTTTGGTCACAGTTGGCTATGCGTATGGTGGTACAGAGATGACTGGTGTTACCGCTGCCGAGTCCCGCAATCCCCACAAGCACGTTCCCAAGGCTGTCAACACGGTCATGCTCCGTATCGCCTTCTTCTACATTATCTCAATCTTCTTGCTCGGTTCCATTGTCCACAACGATGACCCTTCACTTTTGAACGCCAACTCATCCGCTGCCAAGGCTCCATTCACCATCGTCTTTGCCAAGGCCGGGATCAGCGCTGCAGCCAATTACATGAACGCTGTCGTCTTCACCTCGGTTTTCTCGGCCATCAACTCGGATTTCTATGTCACAACTCGCATGCTTCTGTCGCTCTCCCGCAACGGCTGGGCCCACAAGTCGATCGGTTACACCAACTCTCGCGGTGTACCCCTGGTGGCTCTGGCTATCGTCACCGCTTGCTCCTGCCTGTCATTGATCACGATCTTTGTCGGCTCTGGAGTAGTCTTCCAGTGGTTCGTCTCCCTCATTGGCTCCGTCCTTTTCCAGTCCTGGATCCTGATTCTTCTCCTCCACTTCCGCTTCCGTTACTGTTGGAGGAAGCAGGGACGTCCTGTCCAGGACTTACCCTATGTCTCCTGGGGATATCCCTACGGTAATATCCTAGGTGCTGTCATCGGTGTCTGCTGCATCGTTGCGACCTGCTATCTGTCCGTGATCAACCCTCCTCGGAACCCTGGCTCTGATGCCACCCCTGAGGAACTCCGCAAATTTAAAAGCGACCGCAATGACTATGCCCAAGGTCTTTTGGGCGCCTGGTTCCCTTGGGTGATGTCCACGATTTTGTTCTTCTCGTACAAGTACGTCCGCAAGACCAAGCTGGTCAAGGCTGAGGAGGCCGATTTCGACACTGGTCGCTTCATTCCATCTGAGTCTGATAAGGAAGACTTGAAGCCTCACGGAACTGTGTGGAAGAGGTTCCTGCAATCCATGATCTAGACGAGCGAATTTTCGATAGATATTAGCGCACTACTGCAACATCTGTAAACCCACTATTGTACAATATAATAATAATAATAATAATAAAGTCATCAGAAAACATCATTTATTCATCAAGTTGTATTGTCGATATTCAAAAGCCTGCGATCGCTGGCTTCGGTTCTGGTCAAGTTGCGGTTCGTTCAATCGCAACGAATGGGATCAGAGGTCACAACGATGCACATCAACACATAAGCCACTTTATGGCAACTTGAACCCGGACCTTTTTGTTCACAGCTCTCTGCTATCCATCCTCAAGCCGCCATTCGACAAGGAAATCGGGAAGACTCGCCGCTCCCCCCATAGGATCACACACCATCGATAGTCTGCACGTCATGACCTCTCTTGCTAGCATCCTTCGCCCTGGACTCATTTCTCAGCGCTCGGTAATATCTTTGGACGATTCTTGATTGCGACACTGGCGAGAGAGTGTGTTGTCAGGAACCAGACTGTTCTGGCGCCTGCACTTCACGCCACTGGATCTATCAATGCGCCTGAGAGACGTTCAGCACTGACTGTAGCACACTTTTCCCATTTTTTTATATATTTTTATGAACGTTGCGCGTTTGGGTTGCGTACTCGGTGGAATGGATAACCATGGACGTTTGAACACTCAGGCTGGATTGAAGGCTCTTGGTGAGTTGCATGGCGCACTTTTGTTCGCATTGTATAGAGGGGCATAACCACTTGTATCTAGCAGAGCATGACTTGATGCTAACTGTTTCACTATTTGATCTTTGGACTGGACTGGGGGCCTGCTCAGCTGCTTCTCGCTTCTCCACATTTACAGCTGTCCGCGCCGAAGCCATTGATACGCCGTCGACTCCCACATCCCCACCATCGTCTTCATCACAACAGCCTTCAGTGGATCTTTCATCATCAGGACGCGCCACAGCGGAGCCCATTAGTCCATTCCACGTTCCTTTGCAGGCATGGATCCGGGATTTTAAATCGAACGAACCCAAGGATCTGATTCATCTTCAGCGCAAGATCTTTGGGGCTCCCCTGAGGAAGGATATCTTGCACAGAGTCGTGGTCTGGCAGCGGGATGCGGAGCGTCAGGGAACACACTCAACGAAGGGAAGAGGCGAGGTCAGTGGAACGACCCGTAAGGCTGCTCCGCAGAAGGGTCGTGGTGCGGCTCGTGTCGGCACATTGCGCGCCCCACAGCGTCGCGGAGGTACGATTAAACAACGCTTTTCAACAAAATAGGCGTAATGTGTCTGTTGTTCTTACTTTGTGCATTTGCTAACAAGGCCGTTTTTTTTTTTTTTTTTTTTTTTTTTTTTTTTTTTTTTTCCCTCTAAAACTTGATAACGCGCAGGTGGTATCGTGTTTGGACCCAAGCCCAGGGACCATGCGAGCGAGCTCCCTCGCAAAGTTCAGGAGATGGGTCTCCGCATTGCACTGTCGTCAAAGTTTGCGCAGGACCAGTTGGTGATTGTGGACGAGCTGTCGATGGATTCGCACAAGACTCAGGAGTTTGAGACGATCCAGGAACGTCATGGCTGGGACTCTGTTTTGGTTGTCGCCAGCAAGGAGAACGAGAGGTTGTGGAGGGCAACAAGGAACCTGCAGCAGGTTGATGTGGCAGTGATGCAGGAGGCCGATGTCCTGAGGATGCTGAAGTATCAGATGGTCGTGATGGATAAGCAGTCGGTACGTTACTTGGAGAAGAAGTTGAAGATCTAAAGCCGGCGTCGATAATCCGGTTGACAAGGGAAAGAACACTGTGCATGCAGAAGCACTGTCGTCATTCGTTCGTCCACTCGTTCGTTCACTCGTTCGTTCATATAGATTTTTTTATCCGTTTCATGATCATTTATTATTATTGTAAAGAAAAAAATAAAATAAAATAAAAAAGAAAGACCTATTAAGACTAGATAGAAATTCAGAGGACATAAGGAATAAATCGCCAACGCTCACTCGCGTAACGCGTCCACTCGGACCCGAAATGTTGCGACAGCATCTTTTCCTCGCCCTGGACTCTGAACACTGTGAGGGCATAGCAGATAAGCAGGCCAGCGACAGTGACGGCTGAGCCTGGGACGGGAACCGGTATGTACGGCTTAATGATCTTGGTCCAATAGCCCTCATTAGCCAATGAGAAGAGATAAAGGATCCCTGTGAGCATCAGTCCTGTGTAGGAGGGGTGGAGGAGGTACCGGTAGGGACCATCCTGGACGAGACGGTGGTTGGGACGGATTGTGAGTGAGAACTATGTAGATAAGACAAAGATGGAAAGTAGAGGGAATTAGAGGTAATTGTGTCTGCAAATACATACCAGTCCGAGCGCTGTTTGAGAATTGGGCTGATGGCACTACTTACGGTGAAGAAGCGATCCAGGGTCCTGAAGGACCATGCGCGGAGCAAGTAACCGAGGACACCGGACACGGTTGTTGCAATCTGCCAGGGCTTCAGTTGACCGGAGATGACGCCGCGGGACATGAGTAGGATATAGCCGGCAGTGGCGACGACGGCGGCGGACTGTCCGAAGCGGGGCAGGAGCTTGATCATGACGGTAGAGAAGAGGCCCTCATCCTTGACCTTGTCAGCCTTTTCCGCTGTGGTCGAGGATGCCGGCGGACGGATTGAGAGGATGAGGGCGAGGGTGTGGAGCGAGATACAGGAGGCCTTTGCCAACATTTTTGCGCGACGCTGTTTGTACGGTTAATTGGTGCTTTTGTGTGTGTTTGCTGCTGGCTTTGACCGGATAGGACAATGAAATGATGCGATGGTTGATGGGTGATGGGTGATGGGTGGGTGGTTGGCGGTTGGTGGAGGAAGGATGATGAATGGCAGTCGATGACGAACATGAACGGACATCCTTCATCGCTTTGCCCTTTTATTTGTGTTTGTTCCAGGCGTTAGTCTGTCGGTTTGTTCACGCCCTTCGGTTCAACGTGCGAAAAGCAGCAGCCGAGCTCAGCTCTGTCACACAGCCAAGACGGCCAACCCCACAGCCTTGGCAGCATTCCTGTGCACGCTTTTTCCTATTACATGTTTCATAGCCTACTCCCTCTTAGACCTGACGTTCCTGGCCGACTGCTTCTTACTCGCACCCGGCCGGCGACCCCGACCATGGCCACCATCGCCATCGCCATCGCCATCGCCACCTCCATTCCCGCCGCGACCCTCACTTCCCTCCTCAGGCCCTTCTTTTCCACCTCCCCTCTTCCCACGCTGCTGCTGCCGTTGTCGGCCCTTTCTTTCATCAAGCTCGTCACGCCCTGCCAATCCTCCGCCAATACTGGACTTCCATCCCTGCGCTCGCTCGAACCCACGCTTCTTTTCTTCGTAGTCCCGAAATGTCCTCTCCAACTCGTCTTTTGAGGCCATTACAAACGGTCCCTGACGGAAAACCGGCTCACGGCATGGTTCGCCCGTAACCAGCACCATGTGCAGCGGCTCATCCTTTGTTTCAATCTGCAAAAACGATTTTTGAAGACCTGTTTGACTGACACCATCATGTGTTATTGTCGTTGGCGCAGCCGTCGTTGCCTTCATGGGAATATCGCCGACCTTTCGGCTCCTCCTGACGCTGTTCGGTGATCCCGAGGATGCGGAAGTGGATTCCAGGATGAGCAGTTGCTGTGGCAGTCCCTCGACAGGCCCATTCTCACCAAAGCGCCCTCGACCCTGTAGCACGTACACAAACCCTTCATGGGTTTCCGGGATCCACTCCCGCAAGACCTGATTCCGCTTCATGTTGATCTCGAGATACTGCGTTGGTGTCCTTGTGTAAACCTTGCTCCTGACCCCATGCGATTCTCCCGCGATCACTTTGACCTCAATGTCGTTCTCTTGCTGACTGCATCGCATCGACATATTCTCTGGTCGTTCCGAGGCAATCGTGCGTTCAGGTGGGGAGTCCGACAGAGAGTTCAGCGTAAGGAGGTCAAGATCGGCTGAGAGTTTGTTGCTATCGTTGCTATCACGGTTGCCGCTCCTAACATCTTTCCGATTGCTCCAGCGTGGAATGCGCTCGTCCTTGAACTCCTGGTACTGCGGTTTGCACAGCTTGTGCTCCTTAGGCAAGTTGATCCAAAGCTGCAGTCCCCAAATATCCTGCGCTTTCTTGGTCTTCTTGTTTTTTGTCCTTCTCTTGTCCCCTGCTCCGGCTGCACCAAGCACGGCTGCATGTGCCTTATCCGCCAGAGCGCGTGGTTTTGCTGACTCCTCGTTCCTGTCGATATCATCCTTGTCACCATCCTCTTCTTCATCCTCTCCAAGGAATAGAGGCATCTCTGCGTGCACGATCCCACGACCGGCTGTCATCCACTGCACATCCCCTGGCCCGATCCTGCCCTTGTGCCCTGCAAAGTCCTCGTGCTGAAAGTGTCCTTTCAACATCAGGGTCACAGTTTCGAACCCGCGGTGAGGATGATCAGGAAATCCGTTTTTTCTCGTGTCTTGTTCGTCTGCTTTGCTAGGAGAGGGCGGAGACATCCGGAACTCGTCCAAGGTAAGGAATGGATCGAGAGACTCGAGATCCGGCCCTCCTATCGACCGTTGCACCATCGTGCCAACTCCCTCGGCTGTGCCCTAGAGTGCAGTGTTATAATACATCATGGCCAATTTCAAATTTCAATTTTTTTTTTTTCGTAGCCGACTTGCTTACCCGTGCTGTGACAACCTTGCTGATCCCTCTCGAGAATGCATCCTGAGCTGGCTTTTCTTCAAAACTTGACATGACTAGACGGGGTTATATTTTGTTGGCTACAAGAACAAACGATGGCCTCTTTTTATAGGTTTAATGCACAGACCTGACCGAGGCGCCACAGCGAATTAGTCATTAGGCAGGCTGTGCAAGCAATTCTGCTTAAATATAAAAAGGAAAAAGTAGTTGACTAAACATTAGTAAAAAAAACAGTCATCGCCCACCTCGCACTAATCGATGCATGAGAACTTCATCGTCCTTGCAAGTCCTTAGACTACGAGAACACTCCTCATCCCGCCCACTTTTCAAAACATGACTGAACAAGTAGATAAGAAAAGAAGAATAAATGCCTCGAAGACAGGAAGGTCAAGCCGAAAAGTAATCCCTTCGTCTGTCAGGAAATTTTGGGTCAGGAAATTTTAATTGTTACATTAGTTTGGTGCGGAATATCATTTTAGAGAGAGCAACTTTGCTTGCCAATACTCTTACGGTTCTGGAATGTAAAGGCATGAATCAAGGCACAAACTAACCCTTCAATTTGCATCAGGGGCATGGAGCGGTAGCATAAAAAATACAATCTGCAGGAATAAAATTCGGAACATCAGTGTTCCGGAAACAGACGGAGGAATAAGGAATTTCACAAGATCCGGACGCGTTGTTGAACAACCAAGATGCTGTTTCAGCTGAAGAACTGAATGGTACAGCGTCGAACATCTAGTCGCAGCATAGGACTTTTAACTAGAAACGCCTATTCATTTTTCAAATACAACCGCTGAATCAAAGTCTGGATCATTACAAGAACCTTGCCGCGCTTCGCTTGGTTATTAACATGCTGGGTGGAGGTGATCTACCTATTGACAACCCAAACGGTGAAGACCGAACCATCATTGCGCTGAGAGTCCTTTGCACCAAATAGCAAGCGCTACGATTAGCGATAGAGGTTGGCAAAAAAAAAAAAACTACACTTGACCAGTTTATCTTGAACTGATTTCAATACCTCGCAAAGACTCTTTATCCACGTACAAGTTGAAAGCTAGATGGAGGATGATCTGCCCTGTCGCGTGGACCTCTCTCTCCCTCATAGACTCGATGGACTCGAGAGCCAGAAAAAATAAACGCATGTTTCTATCGCACCACGCTCGTTCTCATTATATTTCATGTGCACTTGGTGTTTCTCGCGTTCTATTAGCATTATAGCCTTTTCGATCGATTCTACAGCATGATCTATAATGAAGTAACCGTTGTTTTGATTGGCATTGTTGCGGATGAAATTATGGCTGAAGAGCATTAGTAAAAAAGACGCTGAGAGGACCAATAACTATGGGCTTAACACCTTGCAACTCCTACAATTCTACAATCCTTTTTTTTTTTTTTTTTTTGACGCCTCTTAATCCGCACCGCCTAGTATCTTGTTATTCTTGTTCCCACTGCCAAAAACCATAGTTGACAGGAGACCCCTTTTCCGTCCTTGACCAGGAATAAGTAGACTCATGACCGACACACCATCCCTCAGTGTGCTTGCTGCCATAGGTTGTGGTAACGGCGGAGGTTGATGTATACTGCTGCTGTCGGCGTCAGTACGGTCAAATGTTTCACTACTGTCGCTAAGCTGACGTCGCACTATAGTTGGCTTCGGGAAGCGCTTGTTCGGAGACGTGGGTGAGACTATGGACGCTTCGTTACCAACAGCGTTGTATCCTAGGTTTCCGCTGCAGCTGATAATGCTGCAACTTCGTCCAATCATGCAGCCCCTGGGAGAGGTGGGCACACTTTGCGCATCGCATAGGCTCATCAGGGGCGAGAAGGAACCACTGCGTCGGTGCTGGTGTCCCGATATGTATTGTTGATTTGAAGGCGAGCGCGCCGAGAACGTTAAGATTCCAGCGCTTTCCCGAATCTTTCTAAGGCCCTTGGCCTTTAATGTCGCCGCCTTCGAGAACGAGCTGGCAGTTTTATAGAGATAGTCGGTGTCCATGTAGACCCTGCTGATGTGTAGATGTGGGCTCTGGTATGGATTAAAGCTGTATGCTGTCCATTGAAGATTCGCGACTACGTTCGTCATACAAGCCAACGCAAGACAAACAGGTCAGGTAGGAGTGCATATTCATAAGCAAGAAGATAGCTCTACTTAACTTACGGAGTTCGGAGATATGAACCTGGAACGCATCCGCGTCCAGGAACTGATTCGAGTCTTCTGCAGCTATTGATGGACCACCTATCCGATGAAGACTCGTCTTGCTCCTCAAAATGGCTCTAAGGCCATAGTCCGACGTTTGGATCATGCCGACGAACTGGGGCAATCTTGAGAATGGGGTAACTTCCACAGGATGATTCGGGACAGTTGTGTAAAACAGCGTGACCTCACCCTTGAATTTAAAATCGCGATACTGTGTTTCAGTAAAGACGTTGCAGAATAGCTCCAGTTCGGCAATGTGCAGTCTGGAGGTGGATTCGGGTCCATTGGAGATAGCAGCGGATTTGGCAAGAGCGAGCGTTTCGTAAAACTTGGAAATGAATGGATCTCTCTTGCTCAGGACAAGGGGCATGATTCCGCGCGTTGTTTGCCATGGATCGTCCTTGGTTTCCGCATGGCTGCGGGTGGTGATGCAGAACAGCCCCTCGGGGTCCGCTAAATGTTCATCAAAATAGATGGTGAGAATAAAATCATTTGTGTGAGCAGCGGTACACGACGCGCTATACCGCATTATCTCTTATCCAAGCCAGACAGAAAGCTTACTCTGCTCCACAACAGAGACCTTCAGCCTCAGAAGGTCCATCCAGCCCATGAACTTCCAGTCCTTTCTTAGTATGCTAAATCCAGCGCTGACATTCCCAAAGGAGCTGGCACTGGCACCATCCGTCTCAGCCTTGTCTTCCTTCTTTTGACGCAATCCGTCTTTCTTGTGTTTCTTCTCTCGCTCCCTTCGCTCCTTATTCTCCTTGTCCTTTCTCTTCTTCGCTTCCACGTCTTCCTTCAATTGGAACAAGACGTCGCCATTCAATCCTTTGGGCCGTCGGACGATCATGACCTTATCGGAAAATAGTATCAGCGTGATCGGTCTACCACTTTCTCCTGTCAGCAGGTTTGTTTCGTATCCATCCAAATACGTGATAATGCTCCTGTTCTGGCTGAGAAGCGAATCCGGGCAGCTTTCTATAGTGCTTCGTAAGTTGAATAGCATTTCTGCCTTTTGCTCGGGCTTGGCCTTCTCCATGTGCGCTATCTGCGATGCTATTTCTGCAGCCTCCCGAAGTCCTTCCACATCGGAGGAGTCCTCAGCTGTCCCAGATAGAATTTCTAGACAAAAATTCAAAGGATAACCATGTGAGGTGTATCCAGGTCATCCGCCCGAAGCACACACCCTCCTCAATAAGCTGATTAAGCACCTCGCGCTATGACCATTACCTTTGAACAAGAGTGGATACTTGACGATTCGCTGTGTTGGCTCGATTAGCAGATTGGACAACGTCTGGATACCGCTTGTCTGAAGACATTTTTCTTGAAGAGTTTTATATGCAGGGCTCTTTTTGGTCAAGGATGAATGTGTTTCTTGAGCTCGCTGATACCGCATCAGATACTGTTTGTAACATCCCATCGCTTGAAGCTACGAACAAAAGTAATTGTTGTTGGTGAGGATGGCCACGGATATACCTGACAGTGTAGCTCCCGCTCGTAGAGAGATTTGTGACGCCTACGTTTTTGCGGCAGATGTCTCCAAGGCTCAGAGTGTTGGTGTCAGAGCTCTGATACTCGCGCAAGTTCTTTAAAAATTCAGTGCTTGCGGTGACAATTTGCTCAATGTTTGAAAAGATCTGCCGTATCTCATATTTGCCCAAGGGCGGATCCAATGCTGTCACTGAAGAGCGGGCTTCTCCCAGGTATATCTAATAATAACGCATAGAGTCAAAAGAACACTTGTTAATGTCCATTTCCGTTTGTTTTGCGGAACCTTTTTGACGGACATCAAACCGACTGAAATTATGGCACATACATTGACCAAGTCATGCATACGCTTGTTGTAGCTGACTTCGGTCTCTATCAGCTCAGCCAGGGCACCCTGGCGCTGTTCTTCCGTCTGTAATGCAGTAAATAACGTCGGACATGGTCTTTAGATCTTTGAATCATGCAAAAGACTTGAATGCGCTGTCATTCAATGCGTGGCAAATACACACGGTACCTTGCTGCCTACGACCATGGCCGGCATATTCAGTGAGACCGTGGATGTTTGAGGCAGGTACGTCTCTGGCTCGATGTGATCACCAAGATCATTGAAGAACGCCCAAAATTTTTCCTTGTCGCCCCCTACAAGTGTTTCCACGTTTGGGACCACAATGTCCAGCGTGAGCGCTGCAGGTTTCTAACAACATAAAAAGAAACAACACGACACGCGTGTTAGCTTATTTATCAGTTCTTTGCCTCTAGACGCCAAATATTTCGCACCAAATAGCAGGCCCTGCATACCATCTGGGCTTCAAGATTTTTGAGTACATAAGAAAACCCTTCATGTCGGATCTCTTCGAGTCCTCGGACGAGGCTCGAGATGTATCGTGGGCTCTGCAGCCACCTTGGATCGTCCAGCACGACAACAGAGTGGTCTGCCCCGGCTTGATGTCGAACCACCTGGTGACGGCTGACTTCGTATTCAGGGATAGACTCGAAGCACTGCTGCAGTGCAGCATGCAGCACAGGTAGTAGGCCGTTTTTTTTCATATAGAGAGACCGACATTGGTCAAATTCCAGCGTGGAGCGATAGCTGTCTGTGATATCGATGTTTGCGAATCTCTAAAGCATTGAGCGCGCGTTGCGGAGATGCATTAGAAATAGGAGGACAAGCGCACTTGTGTCTGCTATGATGGAGAAGACGCGCTGGTAAGGACGAGAAGGATATGAGGAAACCTACAAGAACGGTCCGAACGAGGACATGAGTGACACCCTGGGCTTGCTTCATGGAGATGCACACTGTTCCAATCCTGAGGTCCTTTCCCACAAAGTGTGTCACGTCTGTTGATGCAAGATGGCCGAAAGCGTTAGACAGCAATTTCTGATGCGCCGTATCTAAGCACGACCTAGCGTGCCTTTGGTATTTACCTGATTGATTGAGATAGAGAGCTTCGTATGGAGAATTGTAATGGGGCAGGATCACGACGGGCGGCTCGACCCTTTGGCGGCCCAAGGACAAGATGCTGCTTGTGTTTGATCGAACCGTGTAAGCATATCCCCTCTGCGAAGCTGACCCTGGAGAGACGGGTGAGCAGATTTGCAGACTTCCGCTTGCATTACTTCCTCCTATTCGTGTGCCCTCTCCTCCAGGGACAACGCTTGAACTGGAGTCAGCAGGATAGTATCCATTTCCAGCCAAGTCGTGCGAGGAGTTTAACGTCGAAAAGTTGAGAGACCCATGATTATTACTAGGGCGTTCGTCAATGCGGGCCTCATGGTCGTATCCAGCCCTAGTCAGCGTCTGCTCGATGGCCTTTAAAGTTTCAGGAGAGGAAGATACGGTGAACAATTGGAGTGTTGGTAGCCAGGGCACCTTTAATTCATGGTTTAAAACTATGCTCGTACCGAATATTGCTGCTCTTTGGTCAATACGGAAGGAGACATCTTGCTCATTATGATAGGATGGCTCGCCTTGTGTGTCAATAGTGTTGGTCGTGCTTTATGTCGGCACGAAAAAAGGTCCCTGAACTTTTTGGCCGTGGGGACACCGCTCCGCAAGGAGGAAAAAATACAGACTGGACGAGAAGTGGGAGAAAAAAGAAACACAGCGAGGGTGTTCTTTCTGGCTCAAAGCTGAGGGCGTAAATCAGCTCTTTCTTTTGTTGAAGACGGTTTGGCTCAACGTAGTTTTTGGCCAACGTTGGGAAGATGTGTATTACTTAAACAGAAGGCCAGTGGATGGTGACAAAAGCAACACCACGATCAGTAAGAGGAGAGGCTGGACTGTCGTTAAAGCGTCGATAGTGTTTGGAGAGTAAGATGTGCAAGTGGACAAGCAATGCCATCGATCGTTGCAGTTGACTCCCACAGTTGCCATGGGAATGCACCTCACTTGTTATTGTGATTCTTATTCGGGCATGAACAGCAGAGAAGGCGGCAGCACACATTGGGATCATGGTGGCCGGTGCGTATTCGGACATGACGATGGGTCCAGGTCGACGACTGCAAACGTCAGAAGGATTTGAGAATGAAGAGATGCAGATGAAGATGAAGGTAGGGATGAGGAAGATGAAGGCGCCCCAGATAGCCCTAGTCCATGTTCCTACGCCGTGCCGCGACTACACACGCGCTACGCGTTTCAGGGGAACGCACGCGTTCTGGCTTCAGACGCGAGAATGTGATTGATTACTATCGATGTTGATTGGACGAATTTTTCGCCATGATTGGCACTAAGTTGATTTCCAAGTCTGTTACACAAACGCTACAAAAGGCGCCCCTTAATTATTTTAGAGAGAGGGCTCAACACATGAAATTAGGCTTCTTGCCTGGGCTCACCAGTTTGTGCTGTTTTCTGGCAGTGGAGGGCTACATGCACCAGAGGGATGCCTCTTTCCCTTCAGAAGAGTTCAGACAACACTCTCCATGATAGAGGCGGCACAGCGGATTGGCCCGTCGCCGGTGTCATGAAACCATTGCTCTCCCGCCCCTTGTCTCATTTGCGTGCCCACAAGAGCCCACCCACAAGCCAGACGATCTTTTCTTTCTTTCTGTCATCCATGGTCTCGACTTTATTATCATTATGGCAAGGTCAAAGAACAAGTGGGTCGAATGAACCAGAGAAGGAGTACGAAAGACAATTGGGGCGGCATGGATGGGGGAAGAGTCGACGGGTCAAAAATGGAGGAGTGGCCCAGCGAGGCAGGCGAAAGGATTAGGTTGAGTTATGTTTTTGTTTATCATTCCACGGAAAAAAGTTATGAATGAAGTGATGCAAAATATTATGTATATGTCGATAGCAATATCAATAAACAATGAAGGAAAAGTCCAGAACGGCTGTCGACCGAGGCTCTAGCCCTGGCCCTTCTCTCTCATGAAATAAAAATATTGGTCCAATCGGTTCCTGGCGACGCGCTTCCTTAGAGCATCAGGGACGCAACAGCAGCTACAATGACCAGAGCTGCAGTCGAGCCGGCCTTTAGGATTGTGGCGTCGTTTGCCTTAGTGGGAGTGGCAGTACCGGTGGTTGTCGTGGACACAGTTATGTTTGGTAAAGACGAAGTGGAGGTAACGATGGCTGTGGTTGAGGGCACCGTGAGAGTGGCGGTCGTACTGGGACCGGCCGTCGTTATCGTGGCTGATCCTGTGATGTTGCTGTTGATGGTGAAAAGGGCAGAGTAGCTCAGGGAACCACCATTTTTAACCAGGATGGAGTAGCCGCTTCCTTGAGGGACGAGGGGCACCTGCACCTCAGTGGTACCAGAGTCGGAGCAGTCGAGGTAGCCGATGGGATCCGCGCCGACCTGGGTCTGCAGGCCGCTGGGAGACTGGACGTTCAAGGTGATGGGGAAGGTTGTGTTTCCGGTGACTTCTTCGCAGTCGTTGTTCCAGGAAACGGTCGCGGTCTCACCAGCTCTGAAAGAAGAGGAGGAAGAAAGCGAAGATACAGGGTTAGCGCTATGTTGAATGGATACATAGTGCACATTGTAAGAAAGGGCCTCAAAAGCGCTGCTTACTGCCAGGTGCTAGCAGAGGTCGGCTGGGTGTAGTAGAGGACCTGCGCGGAGGCCTGGGAGGCAAGGGCGATGGCTGCAAAGGCCAAGGTGGTGGTGAGCTTCATTGTGTGGGGAGGATATGTGAGCGGAGTGGTGGAGACAGAGCGGAGCGAGGAACGAAAACAAGAGACAAGAAAGCGCACAAGGCGTGCATTTTATATCGGCGGGTCCCGAGGGGGGCAGCAACGGATTCTAACGAGGAGCGCCGACCGTGCCTGAAGCAGTCATTTTAATGTAACACCGCTCTGTGTGCGTTTATGTCATGCATGGTATACCCGATGAATTACGCATCCCTGCAAAAAAAAAAAAAAAAATGCCAGGGGGAAGGAGCAGGGAAAATGGGAAGGTAGTGTAACACTGCATATACTATACGAGCAAGGGGGGACGAGGGACCAAAGGGACGGGAGCTTGGAAGGGGCCCCAGGCGGGACGCCCTCAACTACTGAGCTGCAACTGGGAAACTCGAAGGGACCAAAAGCATGTGCAGTAACAGGCAAATGGACATTACCACCGGACATGCAGTGAGGTTAGTCTAGATGGTCTCCATAAACACCTATGAATGTATAGCTCCCGTCGCTTCAATGCCTTACCGTATCACTACCGAATGCGTTGCTCCCTTGCTCTTTTCTCTTTTCTCTTTGTCTCTCCTATAGACATTGCGCCCAAGGGCATGACCAATAGTCTATCTTTTCGTGATTACCTTCGGGTGCGAAACCAGAGTCTTAGGGAGAGAGCGACCAGCTGCATTGGAGTGGCAGCAGAACATTCGTGATTGTGTAGCTCAGCTACAAAAGTCCAAATGTAAAAATAGCAATGGACCTTGCGTACCGCGTATGAATGCAGCCCACCAGAAAATAGAAAGCCTACTCCAGCAGCAAGGTCGTGCGTTTTTACGCGCATGGTCGGTAAGCGAGTTTTCAGATGACATGGAAAAGCCTTCTGTATTCACTTTTCTTTTCTTCTTTTCTTCTTCTCGGCTGTTGCGTGCTTACACAAAAATAGCCTTCATTTGACGAGGCGTCTTGGAAGTGGGATGAGTTCATGTAAGGAATCCAAGTCAACTACAAGTCTTTTCGCCCTGAGATGATGTGAAGACACAGAAAGATTTATCCAAAGAGATTGGTGTATGGAGACGAGCATTAGATACATGGTTTAAGGATGAGAATATACAGGTCAAGGAGAACAAGGTGGTCAAGAAAATAGGTGCCGTCAAGAGCCAGCTTTATATTGTAAAGGTCTGCAATTATGCTATTAAAGCAACTGGATAGTTGCTTCTCTATTTCTTAAGGAAAGATAATAGACGCGTTTGACGGCTCTACAAAGGTGTCATCGAGCTTGCTTCTCTTCTTCTTGGATATAACCGATATTGAATGCCGTAGAGGATAAGCTTGGGATCTTACACTTCTGACCTGTGTTCTCAGTCTGTAAAACCATCTTCCACTTTGTATCCTTGTCATCGTCGCCACTGATATCAGAGCCCTCGTCTGACTCCACATTCATTTCCTCACCAGAGGATGATGCTTGATCACCCTTTATGTTTAGCTGACTCTTCTTCGTAGCGGCCGACGACGATGTATTTATTGACTGACTCGTACCCAACGCGAGGGTCGAGCTGATAGTATTCATTTAATCGCACGATGCCTTCTCTCGTCTTTGTCGAAACTTCACTAACTGGTCTGCTGCTAGTTGGTAATATAGACTATTTGGTCTCCTTGAAAGTATCTGCTTCCAGATATAAAAAGCATTCAGAGAAGCTTAGTGTCTGTGAGTTACCTGTGTAGCACTTAAGCCTGAAAGAGGTACTCAGTCTGTATCGAGATTACGAGGAGCTACTGGATCACAGCCAATCTAACGCTTACAGTTCACGCATGCGCAGGCTCTCGTATCTGGCTTCCTCCGCAGGCAGGACACATCGACGAGGTCGAAAATTCGTTCATAGATACAATCACATATCCTAAAGTTGCTGCTTAAAATAAAGGATGTATGTTCAAGGGGTAGCTTTTGCCAAGACAACAAAACCCGCCTTGCGGAGGAGAAACTTTGGTCTCATGCAGCGGGGTCAGCCTTGTTCCCCTGTTGAACTTCTTATTGTCATTTGTAAAGAGAACCGGGTGGTTCAGCTTCTTATGGGGTTGGGCCCGCCCGTGAATCTATGGCCTTAAGCGTACCTGAAAACGCCATCCCCAACTTTGCCCTCTTTTTCAGTTCCTAGAAACGACACTTATACTGGGTAGCGGCGTAGAGCGCGGCGAGGCCCTCCTGAACGTATGTAAGCTGGACAAGATTCTGCAGTCCAGCCCGTAGATCATGGACTTCATCAAGCGAAGTCCAGCACAGCGAATTCTTGAAGTCCTTCTCTGACGCTGCTACCAAAGATTGTTCCAGTTTGTTATCCTACCCACTACAATGTCGTTCGTGCGCCTTGCATCCAGCGTCTGTCCTGAAACACTGAGTGGGGTCGATCGAACAAAACTCAGCTGAAACCACCTCCCCTGGATCCACCCAAACGTAGACAGTGTCTAGATACGCGATGTGGAGTTTTTTTTTTTTTTTTTTTTTTTTTTTTTTTTTTTTTTTTTTTTTCAACGGCGGCTTATTCGGCACGCTCTTTTGCTTCCTTGTATGAAGGGGTTTAGTCTATCCACTTCCTTGAAAAGTCGAACGCCGGCGCGTGAACCTCTGGCCCATCCGTCCGAATCATATTGCTCATGACGTACGCGCGACCGATCTCATCTGCCTGCGGTAGGTTCGGGTCTTCCACGCTGCACGAGAAACAGGCCTCCTTGGCTGCCATATGCGCCCAAGCTTCTCGGCCATATAATTTCCCAGCTGTTCGTGCCTGAATTCCTCTATCGTCGAGATCTCGGACATCGTCCTCACCCTTTTGATCTAGGTCGTTTGTAATTGGGAGCAACCGCCCCTGATCTGGACTGGATGGCCAATAAGGAGCCGACAGAACAACTCGCCATAGTTATTCTTTGCCACTCGGTTTGGGCCATCCAAATCTCCATTATCAACCGCGGCCCTTTTTTTTTGGTTCCTCCCCACAAGACGCCGACGACATACCTCTTGGACAATGTCGCGAACCCCTCTGAAAATTCGGTTCGAGGACAGAGTTTCAGTCCTCTCTTTGGTAATAATCGGCCTAGTAGTCCGGCACAATAGCGAATGTGACCCTCTTGCTCCTCGTCATTGTTCTACTGGCCCTCAAGACTCAGTTCCTCGTCCTCCTGATCGTCCAGTCCCTACAGATTGACATGGTCCTCATCAGACCCCTTGTTGCTTTCCTCACTCTCACGTACTTCTTGCTCAGGGAATCTAAGGGCTTCCATCTAAATGAATTGTATTCATGCGGTGCGGCGTTAGCATGTACATCACAAATATCGTTGTCCACTATCAGCTGGGGAGGCTGGCGAGATGATGCTCCAGTACTCGACTTTGATTGCTTATTCTGAGATGCCAAGTCGCTGGTTATGGGTTGTTTTCGCCCTTCTATGGCAGGATGTTATTATTGTTGGCGGCACACTAGTTGGCGTTTCTGCTGCGGACGATGATATAATTGTTGACGCAATAAGTGCTCAAGGCCTTGGAACTGTAGTTACTGATGCGAGTGCATGATCCTCATCGCTTATCTCTCTCCTGGTTTGCTTTTCATGAAAGCTTGCGAAGGGACCGTAGGCCTGTGCGCCGGTGACCAAAGTAACTGTCCCCGAGGACGCTCACATGTACCGTCCGACCGCTCAAATTGACGGGTAGGGAGTGGGAGTAGAGAAACAGAAAGTTTGCAGAACGAGCAACTCGAACACTAACAATCATGATATTACACTTGGACACGTTCATTAAACGGAATGCATGTACACCTTCTGCGAGGCTTCGATGTACTGGTACCACAATCTCTCAAGTGGCACAACGCTTCCTCGAGTGCATGAGATCCCTGGCTGCACGACCCCTTGTTCTTGTTGCTTTCTACCGAGAACACCCTCATTCTGTTTTTCTTCGGTCAATGTGAGTGCTGTCGTGCACTTCTGACAGCAGCTCAAAGGTGGAAACCCTTCTTGGTAAGCTTAGTTTTCCGCCGACAGCACCCATTATCATTTTTTACTTCGTTCGATTGGTTGTGTCTTTTGGTGAGGCCATTTACACTTTGTTTAACGAGAAGCCCTTTATTTACAACTAGTTCGTATCCTTCACTTCTGCCCTATCTTCTCTTCTTTGTTACCTTACTGAAATGTCGGGATCAATAGGCTCTGAGGGAATATAGCTTTATTGAGAGTCAGCAGCCGACTAGCTAAAGATCTCGATAAGAATACTACTTAGTTATGTCACAGTACTTCAGAAAGTCCTAGAAGTTGACAAAATTAGTACCTTAGTTCGCCTGTAACACGATCGCCACTTTTTGATATTAGGAGGAAGTATTGGATGTAGGCGTTTGCACCGACAGAAGCACCACTCATAGATAGTCTAGGACATGTGGTTCCATCCAACACTGTGAATACCAAGCCTGTTCTGAACTCATTCGGGCCCGCGCATATGCAAGTTTTTGAGTACGAGCTGATTAAAGCAACTGTCCCCGTTTTTTTTGTCTCATGGAATATTACATGATGAATGCATTCGAATTATCCTGTTGAGATGGTGCCATAACGATCGTGCGCTGCATTCTCCTTCGGAAAGTTATCCTCATGCAGGATTTACATCCTATCCCAGGAGTAGGAGCGCCTTCACGGCAAGAAGCGACTTGGACACGATTGCATGGTTCCTTTCGCGTTCATGTAGCCGTGATCCGTACTGGTCCTACAACTCATAGTCGAGTCATACATATTTCAAAAAAAAATATATAAACAATAGACCCAGTAATGCTGCGCCCATCCCATTCTCACGCGTCTTATTCGTACTCCTCACCCCGGAAACATACATTTCTGAAAGCAGAACATCATCTCTGCTACTTCTTTCTAACTACGTGGGCCCAGATATCTTAGGCCTACTTCGACAGTTTTCTTCGCAGTCTACTTTTTGAAATCATTCCCGACTCATCAATTGAAAATGCTACAGTAAACCAATGAGTAGAATAAAACGTAGTTGCAAGTAGACTATATGTGCTTCAAAAAGGAACACGCCATATTACAAGCAAGGTCTTTAATCAGATCATGTGTTCTCCTTTGCAGCAGGTCTTAAGCAAAAAGGAGAAGCGCATTGAGAAAGAAAGTTAATAACAATTGAAGGAGGAAGTCCAGCCTTAGGAGCTATCCGAGGATGCCGATCTGGCGAAGATCCTCTCAATGTGAAGGGCACCAATGAGTGGATTCTCTACTGAAGGGACACTGAGCGAATGCGCAAGGGAAGAAGATTACATCCTCGATGGAGCAACTCTAGATTAGGCAGGACAAAAGCAGCTCGACAGATCATCGCGATAATGCGAACGCAAAGTCATTCAGAGAGTATCTCCAGGGCTTATGTCAACGATGCCAGGACAAGGGAAAAACAGGCGTTGTGTTTGCCATGAATAATACCAAGCACCATCGCCGTGAAGAAGGCACTGTCGAATCTGCCAAAGGGAAGCGCAAGGAACTGTTTAGTTACAACACGGGTAAAGCGATCAAGCGATTTTTCTACCTAAAGGACAAGGAGCAGGGGCTCTATAGCGACACAGAAGAAGCCGGGGAAGACAGGGAGAAGATACTCAAAGAGATGCGAACGACTCTTGAAAAGATGCAAAAACCTGGCCTTTAAGTAGTAGTCAAGGACCCTGCCTACGGTTTCTCTCTTGCTACTTTGGAAGCGATTGCTAGTTTTTTGCCGCTTTGCATGCTGGCTGACTCGTCCTGTTTGAACAATGCTTCGGCCACGGTATCCTCTGGCTCCCTCCTTACCATCCCGATCTCAATCTCATTAAGGAAACGTGCGAAGGTATAGGTAGCCTATCATGATGACGGAACCAACTTCCAAATGGTCAAAAAATTGATTTTAGAGGGCATGGAGGTGGCAGATCCAAAATCGGCCGACCTGTTGAGGCGGACGGAGCATAGCGAAAGGAGATGCAGAGCTGAGGACCATTTAGATGAATGTCCCACTTCTCCTCTGTTGATTGACCTTGACGAAGCACTGGACGAATTGGAGGAGACTGAGAACAATAAGGTTCGTGGGCTTTATAGGTATTCACGCTAACAGCGCTGCAAATAATGCCAAAGCCTCTTTGTTTCGACAGCCCTTTTGTCTCAGCATGGCTTGATGGGTGTGGGGATACAGGAGGACAGGGTTTGATCGATGGCCTGGCATATCCCTGGATGTGATTGAAGACAGGACTGAAGATTCGTGTCCCTAAGTGTGCTTGCTTGCTCGCGTCATTCTTCAGACCAGGATTGTCGCGTTTCGTGTTTCTGCTGTGCAGCAATCGTTCCTTGAGATGACTTTTATTCATGCCCACAAAATGGACCCTGCTCCATTTAGTTCAAAATCGAGGGAGCGTGCCATTCGATTTCTGACTCCTATCATCAAGTTGGGGTGTCCTTAGTCCGGACCCTCTCATGACTGCCGGCGGGCGAGGCACAGACGCGGCCACCACCAAAGCTGGTTCAGTATCGACGTCGCCGTTGCGACATACCGCCACGAGGAGAGGTCAAAAGCTCCCCAGAAGTAACCCGGGCTTGGAGACTGGGCGTTGACTAGGAGTTTACCCAAGCCGACTTGCAGAAGCACCTCAGAGCTCAAACGGACAGTGTAAAGCTCTGGCGATGTGTATCAGAGTTCAAGTACGAAGAGACATGGACGAATGTGCTGGAGCGAGACGAGAAGGACGGCTAGTGTCGAGCGAAGGACAAGGAGGGAAAAAATTAGGCACTGGGTAGACAGTAGGCAGAAAGATAGATAGATTTCTGCAGTGGTCACTGTTTTCTCTTTCTTCCATTTCCCAGGGCTTCCTTCCCCCTGTCTCCTCATCACTCACACTTTCACTCGTTCTTCTCATTCTTCATTCTTCTTCATTCTTCTTCATTCTTCTCATCCTTCCATTGTAAATAATATCAATAACAATGTCCACTCAACATTTGAAGGCCTTCCTTGCTTGGGCTGACGAGAACGCCATCACCTGGGACAAGGACGCCATCGAGATCCGCGAGGGCAACCACGGTCTTGGCGTCTATGCCAAAAAGGACCTCGACGCCGGATACGAGGGTATGTCTCAAATGAACCACACACGCCACCATCCTTCCATATTCTTGCTGCATCGGCCTATTGTTTCAATTGTTTTCGACATGCCATATTCCTCGAAATACGACCTTTGCCCTAAAAAATACCCCACCTCTCTTTCTCTCTCTCTTCAATCCCTACAGTGATCCAGGTACCCAAGGCCGCTGTCCTGTCGATCGAGAATACCGCCATTGCGGAGCAACTCGAGGAGGAAGATATCGAAGGCTACGTCGGACTGACCCTCGCCAGCATGTACGAGCTCTCCCGGGGCGATGCTTCCCCTTGGTCTGCGTACCTCACCCTAATTGACAGCCGTCGTCCTCATATGGCCAGCGACCTTTCCGAGGATGCTCGCGAGCTCATGAAGAAGTCCGAGGTCTATGGAGATATCGAGACTGACCTTGTAAGTGCATCTCGAGATTTTTTTTTTTTTTGTTTGTTTATTTGTTTGTAATTCTTAAAACACGTGGAATGCTCGCGCCCATGCTTCCACAGACCAATGGCGCCCTCCTACGCGCTTATCACTCTAGGTTCTCATTATTATTACTATTATTATTTTTTCATACTGTATCTGTAGAAGGACATGCGCGAAGACTATGACACGGTCGTTGTCCCCTTCCTGGAAAAGCACCCCGAGATCTTCACGGAGGAGATCAAGGCAAAATTCTTCTCGTTCGAGGACTTTAAGGCCATGACCTCCCAGATCTCATCCCGCGCCATGGATGTCGATAACTACCACGTCTCTGCTCTTGTTCCCTTTGCTGACTTGTAAGCAGTCGATTACTGGATGTTTTTTTTTATACAGGTACAGCCCAGCTCTTATTGGTGGATCAATTTGTTCCTTCTGACAGCAAAAATACCTTTTTTCATTGAAACCTTGATAGTGTCAATCATGCTGATGAACCCAACTCAGACTATTTGACCCATGAGGACGTGTGCGAGATCTGTGGTGCCCTCAGCTGCGAGCACTTGGATGAGCTCGACGAGGATGAGGACGATGAGGACGAAGAGGCCCCCGAGTTAACTGCCGAGGAGGCGGCCGAGCCCAAGAAGAAGCGTGCTGTTGCCAAGGGAGTTACAGCCGATGCCGAGGACGACGAGGAGACAGAGACTGACGATGACGAAGATGCTGATTGGGAGGATGAGGACATCGACGACACTTGCGACATTATCTTGGACGAGGATGTCAAGAAGGGAGAGGAGATCACTCGTCACTATGGCCCCTTCCCTAACAAAATCTTCCTGTCCAAGTATGGCTTCGCTGAAATTAACAATCCCAATGATACCGTGACGGTCCAGCTCGATATGGTCAAGAAGGCCGCGGAGGGCATCCTCGGCGATGCTGCTCTTGTCGAGGAGCGTGTCAAGTGGTTCTTGGAGACTGAGGATGTGTTTATCGGAGAGGATGACGACGATGATCAGGAGGAGGCCTGCTGCGGCGAGGACCATGATCACGACCACGACCACGATCACGGTCACTCTCATGCTCACAAGCACGAGAAGAAGCAAGAGACCAAGCAGGACAAGGAGGATGACGAGGATGATGAGGACGACGAGGACAACGAGGATGACGAGGACTTCCCCCGCGACATTATGTATATGATGCATGATGGTTCGGTCGACGATCGTCTGCTTATGCTCCTCAACGTCATCTTTATGGAGAAGGAGCAGTTTGACAAGGTTCAGGGAAGCATGGAAGTTGCGACCGAGTACTTTAATGACATTTTCCTCCGCCGCGCTCTTGAAGAGGATATTGCTGAGGATGGTGAGGACGAGGGCGAGGACGAGGACGAGAAGCCCGAGGTCAAGCCTTTGGATGAGGCTGGTCGCAAGGTCCGCACGGCTGTTCTCGATGCGATTCTTCAGGTGATCCGCCTCCGCGCGGATGCGTTTGGGGTCTCGGATCAGACGACTGCTGAGGAGGATTTGGAGACACTGAAGAAAGCCAACCTCTCGGGGCCGTTGTTCTACGGTAGTGTCTGCGTCCAGGGCGAGAAGCAGATTATTCAGAACGGCCTCAAGCTGTATGGCAAGTTCCGTGCCGAGCTGTAGAACTCGCCTGATTAGTCCAGGCAGAAAGGATCCTCTCAGGCCCCCCCCCCCCCCCCCTCTTCTCCACGCATTCCTTTATAGAGCACAACAGTAACAATGGCTATATCTACATCTGATGCAGTACACTGGCACTACACAGAATCCACATACATTTTACCTTCAAGCATTGAGCAAGCAAAATAAAAAATAATCTGATTTTATTGACCCCAACTCTGACTTGCACAGATACGATCGTATTATGCACTCACTCACCCATTCGCATTTCACACACCATGGAACATAACTCTATTTTCACCAATACATCCAGACCAAGAGATAATGGAGAAGGGTGTTCCACAGGTGCCTCTCTCTCTGCCAATGGAGTCGACATTGCACATGCTAGTCTAAGTGATGGCATGTTCTGACATTAGCCAGTTGAAACGCTACTCATCACACCGACCGATACACCAACTTACTATTCTCTTTTCGTATCAACCGGTCATATATACATGTATATAGCTGCTGCCGTTTCGTACCAGGCTTTCAAAGACTCAGTGAACACATCAGACTACGCCTATACATATAGCGATGTACTCGAGGGGTCGTCTGGCAATTTCTATGTCGAACGTGACGACCCAACGTTTGCTGAACCCGTTGACAATCAAGAAGACGACACGGACGACGACGACGACGATACGACAGAAGCTACGGATGAGGATACAGATTACGGCTTAGACGGCGTCGATGGCACCGGTGTTGCAATGAGTGACGAGGAGGAGTGCCAGGAACGACTGCTGGATAGGCGTAACAAGAGAAAAGCGAAACAAGCACCAGGGAAGGCGCGACCTGCTCGCAGGAGGGCAACAACGAAATCCGGCGACCAGACTGCACAGCAACTGTCCACGTTCACTTCCAAAACCTCCGTCCAGCAATACCCCTCCTCTATCCCCAAGGTCTCCAGCACAACTAGCTCCTCCAAGACTTTCATGGCCTAGCAGTACAGGTTGACAGAAGCTCAGCAATCCAGGGACTTGGCACTTAATGAATATCGCGTCGAAATGGAGCTTCAGACACAGCGTCATATTAACTTGGCCACGAGTACGGGAAATATGTACTCACGGCACCAGTCCCATTGGAGGGTAGGTGTTGTACTAGAGCGCGGTCATGTTGCTGGAAAACAGACGCTTCGCAATCGTACTAATCTACCTATACGGACATTTCTGGGGCTTCTCCAGAAGTGGTGCACTCGAAAGGGATACACGGATCATCTCGTGCTCTCAAAACGATTTCAGGCTTACATGGCTGAGAATTCGGCTGAGGAAACGGATAAGGATGAAGGCGCCTATCCAATACGTGTCCGTCAGGAACAGACTTAGGAAATTGGGATATTGCAGTGGAAGGGAAGGCAGACAGGCGGACAAGATAGGTAATAACTGTATTGCAGACTGAGATTCTATGCTATGAATGATATGGCTCTATTTATGTGTTTCTAGGATCCTTGGTCAGGGTACTTGGATGGCTACTACGGGACGCGAGGTATCTTGGCTAGGAATAGTATAAAGGTCTAGGACGGGAACAATGGTAATGTTAATAAAGATACTTAGTTGAACATATATCGGTTCCGATGGACTGAGGCAAGACGAATGGGTTGGGACGAATACGGTGGCAGAGTACCAGGCGGAGATTCTACGCGACTCTGAGGTACGCGGAGAGCGCCTAGAACCAGTCACAAAGCAACATGAGCAATTGTGCGCGCAGCTCAATTGACACTCTGCACCACACACTATGATGCTATCCGTAACACCAACTTGTTGATCGCGTCAAAGCTGTTTTTTTTTTTTTTTGCTTCTCACCCTCGACTTCGCGTATTGCCTCTTCGATGATCTTACTGAGAGGTCTTGCCGTGATCAAGTGCTACTTTTTGTCTTCCCCTCCAATTTGAGTCCGCGTCCCAGCTGCTTTCTGGCTTCTTGGCACTTTTGGTGCTGATCCTGCCGCGTAGGAGTCCAACAACGAGTTTTGTAACTTCTACCATTAGTTCTATTTACAATATGACACGCCACGCGATTAGGACTTCTGCATGGGAATGCTTCGGTCAATTATTGGTTCGTGGCGCAGGGTCCTCCTTTAGATCGAAATGCAATAGCACAAAGGTAAAGAAGACTAGACGGAAATGGAAGGAGATAAATATGGGGATCTGTTTAGCTAAATGCTTCGAGCTAGGACTATATTCCTTTTGGTAATTTCAAGGAGTTCGCATATGTGATATCCGATGAGGTGAGGAGTCGTGACAATGAAGTCTACCCCTCTGGAGTCGCTGTGTGCCAATGTTCGCTGATCAGGCCTCCATTGTACCTTTATAATGCGGTTCGACGAGAGTGGGCCGATGACGATGTTCAATGAGACGATCGGCGATCGGGGAAGCATTGTAGGGCAAGTACAACGTCTAAATGAGAGCGATTGACGGTGCAAAGGTGGCGAATGATCAGGCTTAGCATTTTCTGCTGGCTGCATCTCGTTGCGTTGGTTGCTGACGACGGCAGTCAGTGCCTGTCGATGATGCGGTATAATTCGGACAATCTGGACGAATGCGGTGTGGGATACAAATGATTTAGGCGAAGAGAAGACTCTGGCTCAGAACCAGACCGTTCATTCTTTTATTCTGGGGCGGTGCTCTTCCCCGTAATCTAATATCAATTTTACGAGGCCAACCAAATGATTCTCGTTTACTACACCGCAATCCTAGACCACCGTCGAGCAAAAGTTCCCATAGGCTTTCATCCTTCAAACTTTGAAGGTTGACCGCACTGCTTGACTGATTTCCCTACCCTCCGTTGCATCCCTAGCGACCTACCTGGATTTGCGCCTGCCTCGCGTACGTTGGAAACAGCGATGATGGCGATGTGGGTGTACATCTGTGTCAGGCCGTGGTAAGGCTACTTGTGCAACACTGATCACGCTTCGTGTCAAGAGACCAGCATCCACCATGCGATGGCTCATTATCAAAGCCTTTTTTATTGTAGGCAAGCAGTCATTGCTTCTCGCCTATAAGCATTCTGCCACACACTTCACAGCCCTCTTCGCCACATTTTCCTTTCATCTCTTCAGCCTGCCACACAGTCCACAACCACCTTCTCTCTCTTTTTCGTTCACTCTTTCAGCACAGGCGACACCATTCGTCTATTCGCGACACTACAACAGCACCTTTTTCTCTACTTTTCTTTCGTCATCCTTTCTCCTCATCGTTCTTCGTCCGTAGTTCGCCGTCCATATGCAGTGACTCCGGGAATTGAGCCAATGTTTGCCTCTATCGATATTTTTCGGCGACTGCACTGCTCAGGGATCTCTAATTATCCCATATTTGATAGAAGAGTGGACTAGCATCCCTGGTATCCGATAATAAAGTTTGGGCTCCACCGGGTGTCTACCTAAAAAGGAAATATAGATTCCGCTGGACATTCGCATTAACTCAATTTCCGGCGGTGTGTCCAAAATATTTTTTTCGTTGGATTGCGGCCGCAATACTCGCTCTTTCTCCTTTCTCCTTTTTTTTCCCCAAGCACCTCGAGGTACGGTGTACTCGAGAACGTCATGTGTAGACTCTCCGAGGCTTTGATGGATATCATTCGGTTCAACGTTCGAGCAGGAGTGTCGACAAGACGTGTTGCTCACAAGCATGCGGTATACTAGTCGTCTGTGGCTACAATAGCTGACGCAGCTCCTTGAGCTATGCTGCATCCAAAAGCGAGGTGGCGCAGACAGATCTCAATAGCAGCAGAACGACTAATAATTCGAGGTATTACCACCGGATTTCTCCATAATGCCTTTCAGGCTCAACGATATCATAGAGAGGAGCTTGCTATGGATAATTCAGTCAACAGAGTACGGAGAATCCGCCGAGATGGAGATATAACCGCTCTGCGCAAGAAGTGCGAAAAGTTTACCGAGATTCACACCCTGAAGTACGTGGAATTTGTCAGCCGATGTTACTATTGGATAGTTAAGGACTGAAAACGTGTTCTATGGACAGACGAAACAAAAATCAAGTTTTACATCTCAGACAGGACCCAGACGGTTTGAAAAACAACAAAGCCGAGATGCAGGCGCGATTGGTCGAGGAGACACTCAGGCTCGAAGGAGGGTCACTTATGATGTGGGGCTCTCATAATAAATAGGGCCAGGTGCCATCGACATCTCAGACGACTGAGTTTCGTTAGCCTAGGAGCATTGCGGCGTCAGTCTAGAGTGTATGGTTTTTCAGCATGATAACGACTCCAAGCGCACAGTCAAAATTACAGGTCGATTCATTGAGCACCACGCTTACTGAGTTCTCTTCTCGTTGTCAAACTCAACAGACTTGAACCCGATACAGCAACACTGAGTGCATCTTAAGAGGCTTCTACCAAGGTATTGGGAGTTATCAGGAGGTATTTTCCAGCTATGGGAGCGCATCCAAGAATTACGGAATGAAATCCCAGCCTCAGTAAGTCAGAGTCTGATTGAGAGCACGCCACGCAGGACCCAAGCCGTCAAACGCGCAGAAGCACGCCATACCAAGTATTAGAGATGGATAGAGTCGATGTTACTACTAAAATTACAAGTTATAGTGGCCTGGTGGAGCCCAAACTTTATTATCGGATACCAGGGATGCTAGTCCACTCTTCTATCAAATATGGGGTAATTAGAGATCCCTGAGCAGTGCAATCGCCGAAAAACATCGATAGAGGCAAACATTGGCTCAATTCCCGGAGTCACTGTGTAATCCTCGCTACTCCTCTTTTTGTGCTCGACTGTGGGACTCGTCCAACTTTTGGCTAAGGACACGACCGATGATTGCAGTGGGCTTCGGCAGGTCCATAAAGTTGTGTGCACAATCAATATCGTACGTCTCAATCGATCCAAGAACATGCGGTTTCCAGTCGTCGGGATTCAGCAACCTGTCGCCTTCTTTCTCCAGAACTGTTGCGCGGAATATTAAAAGATCTGTACTGATGATCTGAGGAACCTGCATCATTAAGAGTCGAAGGTTGTTGTTCTCGATAGTTGATGCCTTCTCCAGAAATGGGTTGATCAGATCGGGCGCGTACTGCTCTTTGTTCCCAATAAGCATCGGAATCAGGTCCTGCCTTTGTTCGTCCTCGTCCTTGTCATCCGGTTGTTGTACCCAGGTATGGTAGTCCGCAAAAGAATCCATCAATGCAACAAATGCCACATTCTCACCATGCTCCTCCAGATACGATGCCATGGCATGTGCAACCGCCCCTCCGAACGAATACCCCAGTAGATGATAAGGACCATGAGGTTGGATGCGTCGGACTTGGTCGATGTAATCAAGCACCATCTCCTCGAGTGTCGAGGCCATCTCTCCGTTATCAATGAATCCACGTGCCTGCAGACCGTAAAGGGGCTGATCCGGGTCCAGGCGCGTCGACAGTCCGGTATAGCACCAGCTGAGTCCGCTGCCCGGATGAACACAGAACAATGGCGGCCGAGTTCCCTGCGGTCTGATAGGGAGTAGGATATCGTATGATTCCTCCTGCGTTGCGCCTGTAGCGAGCAATCTGGGAGCCAACTCTGCTATTGTCGGTGCCTCGAACAGGGTGCGGAGGGACATATCGAAGCCTAGCATGGTTCGTATCCGGCTCATCATCCTCACGGCCAGCAGCGAGTGACCGCCTAGAATGAAAAAGCTGTCGTTCCGTCCAACTCGTTCGACCTTGAGCATCTCCGCCCAGACGCTCGCCAAGATGTTTTCGATCTCACCCTTTGGTTCCTCGTATGCATTCACAGCAAAGGCGTCAATGTCCGGAGCCGGCAGAGCTTTTAGATCCAGTTTGCCGTTGGAGTTCACAGGGAAAGCTTCCAAGCACACAAATGCAGCCGGGACCATGTAGTCTGGAAGGCGCGTTGTAAGATGAGAGTGGAGACTCGAGGCCATTTGTATCGTGGAAGGTGCTATAGCGTCAAATATATAGGTGCTGACAGTTAGTACTTTGCACGCACTTCTCACAACATTATAAATATGAAATTGCCCTCATTGAGGCATTAACTTACATTTCCCTGTACTTGTATCTGGCTCCTGCTGCTTGTCATGACGAATAATGACATATGCAACAAGCCGCTTGTTGCCTGCTTCCCCTTGAGCTACGACCACTGCTTCAGTCACCAGAGGGTGTCCCACCAATCCTGCCTCGATCTCGCCGAGCTCTATACGGAAACCGCGGATCTTGACTTGGTGGTCATTGCGACCCAAGCAGACGATATTGCCGTCGGGGAGGTACTTTGCCAGGTCTCCTGTCCTGTACATCCGAGCCCCATCCTCACTTGAGAATGGATCTGGTAGGAATACATTTGCTGTCAAGTCTGGCCTATTCAAGTACCCTCTTGCCACACCGAGTCCTCCAATATAGATCTCTCCGATGGATCCTTGAGGCACTTGATTGCCATGTCTGTCCAAAAGATAAATGCGCTTGTTGGAGAAGGGTCGACCGATGGGAGCCGCATCCTGGCCAATGAGCTCCTCTTCTGCATATTTCCAGGAGAGTGCAGCTACAGAGGTCTCTGTGGGGCCGTACTCATTAATGATAGTCCCGTTGGGCACAAGTTTGCGCACTCTCCGGACGAGCGCCGCCGACAATGCCTCTCCTCCGATTAAGAGCGTCGACATCGCACTCAAGGGTGACAAGTCCCCACAGTCTTGAAGCACGGTGGGTGTAAGAATAGCATGGGTGATGCGATTTTGCACCAGATAGTCCCACAGCTGAATGCGATCCAAGCGGGTAGCTTCCTGAATTACATGCAGAGCACCGCCAAAACCGAGCGTGCCGAATATCTCAAGAAGACTTGGATCGAAACTTACTGAGAAGAACTGTGTCATACGGCTCGAAGAACTGACGGCAAGGTACTTTTGCCTAGAGGTGACAAGACTGATGACACCCTGGTGCTCCACCATGACTCCTTTCGGCTTGCCGGTTGTTCCTGAAGTATAAATAACATACGCGAGGTGGCGCGAGGTGAGTGTGCTGGCGCGAGGATTTGTCGCTGGATAGGATTCTACGCCGTCCGGGTCCGCAATGGTTACAAAGGACAGTGCGTCCTCCCCTAGTGCAGTCCTCCCGACGGGGTCAGCAACCAGACAGACCGGTGCAGTGTCGTGCAGAATGTTGAGGAGACGCTCGCTAGTATAGAGAGGATCGAGAGGCACGTATGCACCCCCTGCCTTGAGGACAGCTAGGATTCCGATAATCATTGACAGCGATCGCTTCACACACATCGCAACAAGTGTATCTGGCTGGACACCAAGTGTGATGAGATGATGTGCCAAGCGATTGGCGCGTGTGTTGAGTTCCACATAAGTCAATGACTCGTCCCCATGAACGACAGCGATGGCTTCTGGGTGCGTTCCACTTGCTGCTCGAACAGATGGTGGAGACAAAGCTGATCCGGATATTCGCTGAGAGTGTCGTTCCATGTCTCCAGAAGAGTATGTTCGTCTGGAGACAGGATGTCAACAGCGGCAAGTGGAAGCTCCGCATCCAGTGTCATTGCTTGCAGCACCGCGTTCAGGTATCCAGCGTGCCTCTCAATTGTTGGCCGATCAAATAGAGATGTCGCATAGAAAAGACTTCCAGAGATGCCATCATTGGACTCATTTAGTGCCAGGAATAGGTCAAACTTCACTGTATCGTATTCCTCCTCATAAGATGAGACCTTCAAGTCTGTCAGATCCAGGTCTTCGGCTTCGTTGTTCTGCCATGCAAACATCACTTGAAAGAGTGGAGTATGATCCATCCTGCGAGGAGGCTGGACAATCTCGACAACTTGTTCAAATGGCAAGTCTTGGTTGGCATACGCAGCTAGTGTAGTGCGTCGGACGCGCTCCAAGAGATCTCGTGCAGTCGGTTCACCCGACAGATCAACGCGCAAGGCGAGCGTGTTGACAAAGAATCCGATCAGCGGCTCGATTTCCGGACGGCCACGATTGGCACTTGGTGTGCCAATGACAATATCGTCCTGGCCGGAGAGCCTTGACAGGACAGCACTCCATGCAGACATGATGATCATGAACAGGGTCACTCCGTACTTTTGACTGAGCTGCTTCAAGGCACTAGTTGTCTGTGGGTCCAAGTCGATGGGGATATGACCTCCTTGGAACGACTGCTGAGGTGGACGTGGCCGATCCGTTGGAAGATCAATCAGCACGGGTGCGCCAGACATCGCGGTGCGCCAGTACTCGCTCTGGGACTTGAGTCGCTCGCCAGAGAGCCACTGTCGTTGCCATGCTGCATAGTCAGGGTACTGAATCACGAGCGGCGGTAAGGGATTGGATTCTCCGTTACAGTAGGCAGTATAGAGCTGGCTCAATTCACGGGTCATGACTCCCATTGACCATCCGTCCGAAACAATGTGGTGCTGCGTAATGACAAGGACATGCTCGTCATCGGCAAGTTGTATCGTCGAAGCACGGACCAAAGGGCCCTTGGCCAGATCAAACGACATGCACGTTTCTTCTTCAACCACATGCTTCAGCTGTGTGTCCTGATCAACTACGCCTCGCAGATCGACATGGCGCGATGGCATTCCTGAAATCCATAAAGATCACACAATATAAATACATGTCAGTACTGCTCTTTAGAGCCTTCAGTCATCATTTTACACTTGCAAGTTCCAGTCGAATTGTCTTCACCCTACCTTTGGATGGAAGAATCTGGACCTGAGGCTGTCCATCGATGTTGACAAAGACGGACCGCAATGCTTCATGACGAGAATATAAGCAATCCAGGGCTTCTCTCAATGCCACTTGGTTCAAGTTTCCTTGCAAGTGCAAAGCCAGAGGAATGTGGTATGTATCGCTGACTCCTTCAAGCAGAGCAAGGAACCACAAGCGCTGCTGAGCAAACGAGAGCGGCAGCGCATCATCTCTGGAGACTGGGACGATAGCTGAAGCCACAGACTCCCCCTGAGCTAGCTGTTCCTTGACGACAGCTGCAAATGCAGCAAGGCCTGGTGAAGCAAACAACGACGAGACTGGCATGTTGGCTCCAAGTGAGCTGATGCGGTTCATCAAGCGCACTGCAAGCAGAGAGTGTCCACCGAGCGCAAAGAAGCTATCGTGACGGCTCACTCGCTTCACTCGCAGCAACTCGGTCCACATAGCTGCAATTGCCATCTCGACCTCGCCTTGAGGCTCCTCGTACGCTTGACGAGCGAAATCATCTTCTTTCGGTTCTGGTAGAGCGCGTCGATCGAGTTTTCCGTTGGGAGTCAAGGGAAAGGCATCCATGCACACAAATGCTGCTGGGATCATGTACTCTGGCAATCGTTCCTCAAGGTGAAATCGAAGATTCGATGCCAAATCTACTATAGAGGACGCTATAATATTAGAAATATTTGCGCTAGCTGTTAGTATGAAAGTTATTGCAGTACAATTTTAAGCAGTAGAGATGCTTCACAGTTTCATCAGCTTACATTCTCCTGCATCAGCGGTTTGCCCAATCTGCTCATCAGACTGAGCAATGAAATATGCAACAAGCCGCTTGTCGCTCTCTTCTCCTAGGGCAACGACCACTACTTCAGACACCAAGGGGTACTCGGCCAACCTTGCCTCGATCTCGTTCAGCTCGATACGGAAACCACGGATCTTGACTTGGTGGTCATTGCGGCCCAGATAGACAAGAGAGCCGTCTTGGAGGTATCTCACAAGATCTCCAGTCCTGTACATCCGAGCCCCAGGTCTTTCAACATGCGGGTCCGGTAGGAATCTTTCAGCCGTCAACTGAGGTCTATTCAGATATCCACGGGTGACACCGGCACCACCGACATACAGCTCACCCACAGCACCAACAGGCACAGGCTGACCATTACCATTCAGCACATAGGTCTGCAGGTCTGGTATCCGTACGCCGACGGCGCTCGTGCTTTGGTCGCAGTCTTCGAGCGCCATCAGTCGGTACGTCGCGTGCACCGTGGTCTCAGTGGTGCCATACATGTTCACAATCTTGGGACAGTTCTGTCCAGGTGCGAGGAACCATGGCTTCAGCATTGTCGGCACGAGAGCCTCGCCTGCAAGAACCACATACCGTAAGCTGTTGTGTAGTCCGAGTCTGGTGTGAGTGTCCGTGATCGACATGAATGCGCTTGGGGTCATGTTCAGGAAAGTGACAGCCTGGTCGCATATCAGCTGATAAAAGTCTTGCGGTGAACGTGCAACAGCCTGAGAGATAATAACCAGCTTGCCTCCGTAGCGAAGGGAACCCCAGATTTCCCATACGGACACATCAAATGCGTAAGAGTGGAAGAGACACCAGGTGTCGTGCTCTGAGAATCCATACCAAGCGGCGGTAGCATCGAATAGACGGGTGACCTGACGGTGCTCAACCATTACTCCTTTCGGCTTGCCAGTGGAACCTGAGGTGTATATGACATAGGCCAGGTGGTGACTCAACACATTTGGGGCATGGGGGTTGGCAGTAGAGACCGACGTACTATCCGTGGGATCAACCACCTTCAGAGAGGCGAGATCTGCTCCCTGAAGAGCGGTCAACCCATAGGAATCAGCTACGAGGACAGATGGGGCCGCATCCGAGAGAATGTCGAAAAGTCGGCCACTTGCATGGGATGGATCAAGCGGTACATAAGCACCACCTGCTTTAAGGATAGCCAGTATGCCGACAATCACTGAAAATGAGCGCTCAACGCAGATCGCAACAAGAGCATCCGGCTGGACACCAAGTGTGATGAGATGATGTGCCAAGCGATTGGCGCGTGTGTTGAGTTCCACATAAGTCAATGACTCGTCCCCATGAACGACAGCGATGGCTTCTGGAGTGCGTTCCACTTGCTGCTCGAACAGATGGTGGAGACAAAGCTGATCCGGATATTCGCTGAGAGTGTCGTTCCATGTCTCCAGAAGAGTATGTTCGTCTGGAGACAGGATGTCAACAGCGGCAAGTGGAAGCTCCGCATCCAGTGTCATTGCTTGCAGCACCGCGTTCAGGTATCCAGCGTGCCTCTCAATTGTTGGCCGATCAAATAGAGATGTCGCATAGAAAAGACTTCCAGAGATGCCATCATTGGACTCATTTAGTGCCAGGAATAGGTCAAACTTCACAGTATCGTATTCCGCTTCATAAGGTGAAACCTTCAAGTCTGTCAGATCCAGGTCTTCGGCTTCGTTGTTCTGCCATGCAAACATCACTTGAAAGAGTGGAGTATGATCCATCCTGCGAGGAGGCTGGACAATCTCGACAACTTGTTCAAATGGCAAGTCTTGGTTGGCATACGCAGCTAGTGTAGTGCGTCGGACGCGCTCCAAGAGATCTCGTGCAGTCGGTTCACCCGACAGATCAACGCGCAAGGCGAGCGTGTTGACAAAGAATCCGATCAGCGGCTCGATTTCCGGACGGCCACGATTGGCACTTGGTGTGCCAATGACAATATCGTCCTGGCCGGAGAGCCTTGAAAGGACAGCACTCCATGCAGACATGATGATCATGAACAGGGTCACTCCGTACTTTTGACTGAGCTGCTTCAAGGCACTAGTTGTCTGTGGGTCCAAGTCGATGGGGATATGACCTCCTTGGAACGACTGCTGAGGTGGACGTGGCCGATCCGTTGGAAGATCAATCAGCACGGGTGCACCAGACATCGCGGTGCGCCAGTACTCGCTCTGGGACTTGAGTCGCTCGCCAGAGAGCCACTGTCGTTGCCATGCTGCATAGTCAGGGTACTGAATCACGAGCGGCGGTAAGGGATTGGATTCTCCGTTACAGTAGGCAGTATAGAGCTGGCTCAATTCACGGGTCATGACTCCCATTGACCATCCATCCGAAACAATGTGATGCTGCGTAATGACAAGGACATGCTCGTCATCGGCAAGTTGTATCGTCGAAGCACGGACCAAAGGACCCTTGGCCAGATCAAACGACATGCACGTTTCTTCTTCAACCACATGCTTCAGCTGTGTGTCCTGATCAACTACGCCTCGCAGATCGACATGGCGCGATGGCATTCCTGAAATCCATAAAGATCACACAATATAAATACATGTCAGTACTGCTCTTTAGAGCCTTCAGTCATCATTTTACACTTGCAAGTTCCAGTCGAATTGTCTTCACCCTACCTTTGGATGGAAGAATCTGGACCTGAGGCTGTCCATCGATGTTGACAAAGACGGACCGCAATGCCTCATGACGAGAATATAAGCAATCCAGGGCTTCTCTCAATGCCACTTGGTTCAAGTTTCCTTGC